CTATAGAACCTAATATTTTTTAATTCTTATAATTATCTACTTTAACTACTTACTTAATTCTTACTTAATCTATATACTCTATTACGCTACCTAACAGAATGCGCAAAAATATGCCAAATTATTATTAAAAACTAGGTTATATTATATAATACTAGTAATATACTACTACTAATAAAGAAAAAAGTATATAAAAACAACATAGCAGCGCTATTAAAAAATTAGGAAAAAAGTAGCTATAAGCTTATAATATACCAGACAATCTTAATACTAATTTAGTTTTAGCTAAATATATTCTAAAAGTTATACTAAGTATTTTAAAAAATATATACTAAAAACTTTAGCAAATAAAAAGTAAAAAACTTTTAGAATATTTAAATTTTATAAATGCTTACATTGTATAGTTAGTTATTAGTATCTATAAACTATATAATACTCCTAATACCTTTTAAGCCGATTTTTCTAGGAAAATAATATAGAAAAGTTAAAAAAAACAGGGTTAACTATAAAAATAGCTACCCTAGAAAGAAATTATAAAGAAAGTATAAAAAAAATAAGCTAAAATTAACAAAAAAGCGTTAAAGCAGGCAAGGGCTAAATATATTTATAATTTTAATAACATTTTTTTATACTAAGTTAGTTTAGCAATAAAAGTATATAATACAAACTTAAAGATTGCATCTAGATATTATAAGCTGTACTACCAGCTATAGCTATAAAATAAAAAAAAAGAAGATAATAATATAATAAAATAAATAGAAATAATACCCTATATATACTATAGTACTTACTTAATTATTTTATAAATACTTGCGCCTTTATTCTTATAAGTAAAATAAGATACTAAAAGATATTTTTCTATAGTATTTATAGTAGTTCCCTAATATTTCTAGAAGTCTATAGCTATAATATAGCTTTTATCTACTTTATATAGAAATTCTAAAAATATAAAACCTTCTTTTAGTTTTCTGCTTAAAATTAAAACTTCAAATATTAAAAAAAATTACTATACTATAACATCTTATATAGGTACCGTATAAATCAAGATAAAAGATATAATTAGCTAAAAAAATAAACTTAGTATATTAAAAAATTAATATTTTTAATTTAATTTAGAAAAAAAAATAGTTTAGGTAATATATACTAAAAACCCAAAGTTATAGTAAAATTCCCTAGTATAACTATGCTTATATTCTTATTTTACTAAATATATTATATTTTTTACTTTAATAGTATATATTTTATTAAAGCTAAAGCTATTAAATTTTTATGCTTATAGCGCTTGCTATTTCTAAAGTTTTAGAAATAAATTTTAAAAATTATACTATAGTATCTAGGATCTAAACTCCGCTCTATATAAAATATTACTTTTTTAAGCTTTAAGCATTTAACTGCCTTTTTTTGCATATTATTTATATTTACTAAAGCCTAGCTAAATATCTAGAGTAATACTTTATAACTAATTTTTTAGTATTTCTGTCTGTGCGCTCTGCAGCTTTTAAGCTATTTTATTAATTTATATAATTTTAAGCCCTAGCGTTGCCTCTTTATTTATTTATAAAAAATATTTTAGTATAACTAAAGTACTTAGTATAATACGTAAAAATACTAAATACTTACTTTACTATACTTAGTAGTTAGCATAAGTTAATATATATACTTTATTACTATTTTTCTATAATACAAGAGTTCTATTATATTAAAATAATATATTTATAGATTTAAATATTTTAGTAGGAAAATATAAAATATATTTATAAATTAAATTAGAACTTTATATATTAGTAAGTATATCTTAACCTAACCTTGTTATTTGCGGTAATATATAATAAAATATAGTTTATACTTATATAACTATTCTGCAATTTAAAGAAAGACAAGTTAAAAAAAGTAAGCAATTTATAATATAAAATAATTATAGATATTATTTATAAAGCTTATTATTACCTAGCTAGATATATAAATAATACTAAAAAAAACAACTATATAAAGCTCTATTAGAGCTAGGTATTATCTATCCTAATAATTTTAAAAGAAATTCTAGATACTATTCTTCCTATATTAAAGCCTAGAAAATATTAAAAAAAACAAAAAATTTACTTATTATTACTATAAAAAATGTACATTACTAGCCTAATTATTTATATTTTTTTACTTTTAAGCTTTACAAAAAGTACTAAGCCTAGCAAAGCTATTTTTAGCTAGCTTTGCCTTTTTAGTTTTACGCGGACGCTTAGCCTTATTTTTAACTTTAAAAAGTAGTTTAAAATTAAAGCTTATAAAAAGTTAGTTAAATGCTAGTCTAAATATTAAAAAAACTAAAAATATTTATTTAAAATAGTGCTTTTTACTTTGTAAGCCTTAATCTGTGTTTTTACAGCTTTAGCTTTTTTATTGCTAATATTAAATATCTGCATTTTACTTCTATATTAGCTATAGTTCTAGAATATACTAATAATATTAAAAAAATATACTTTCTTAAATAACTAAAGGCTAAATTTTATTTTTTAAACTTATATAATTATTTAGGCAGACGCACTAAAGCTTAAGAGACTAAGTATAGTATATTAAAAAGTAAGCTTACTATACTAAAGCTCTAATTTCTATATATATAATTAGCTAAAAACTAAAAAAAATAATATTTAAAATTAATTACTTTTTAAAGCCTAAGTATTATATAATAAAATTTAAAGCAAATAGCCTAATACTAGAATTATTAGCTTTTATCCTAATAAATATTAAAAATTCTAAAAAAAAAACTTATAGTATAGTTATAGCTATAAAGCGCAAGTAGGCGGACCTTAGTACTATCTAAAGTATTATTAAAGTCTAGCATTAACTAAGTCTAGTTAGAAAAGTCTTAAATTATTTAAAATTTTTTTTAAAAATACTTATAACTTACGTTGCCCCCTTTATAATAAGTATAATAATATAGCTTAAAATTCTTTTTGCTAGCGTCGTAAAACTTATTGCTAAAAAATATAGCACTATAATATAGTAAAATTAGTAATACCTATCTGCAAAGCTTATAAGTACTAAAATTCTAAAATAGAAAAATACTAAGCTAGAAAAAGCAAATAAAAAAAAAGTAATCCTGCAAAGTAAATTAGTATAATTAAAAATAAAAAAAGTAGGGAACTATAAGGAGTTTAAATGTACTTACTAAATATAGTTTTTAAATAATTTATTTTAAAATATATTAGCTAAAGCTTAAAAAGAACAAGGTTACTAAAAAAAAAAATTTAAATTTATACTTTTAGAAAGCTTTAGCTTTTTAGCTTATATAGCTATATACTTGCTTTTTGCCCTGCTACGCGCCGCGTTAGAATAGCCTACTATACTTAAGTATTTTAAAAAAAGCAAAATATTTTTGCTTTTTTTTTTTATTAGTATAAGTATTAAAGGCAGGGGCAGCAAAGCCTTAGAATTTCTAATATCTTTATTTTTATTTTTATTTATTATGCGCTTGCTTTTACTTTTGCCTTTTTTAGTAGCTGCTTTTTTTACTACCCTTTTTTTAGCGCTTTCTCTTATAAATTTATTAAATTTAGTAAAAAGCTTAAAAGTACTACTATTTAATATTTTTTCTTTAATATTATTAATATTGCTAAGCTTTTTTTTAAACTTAGTACTTTACGTGTTAGAAAGCTTAAGCTAAAAAAAGCTAGCATTTTATACTTTTATTTTAGGAATATTAATATTACTAAGCTTTTGCCCTTGCTTAAAAACCAAAAAGTTAAAAAGCTAAAGCTTAGAAAAACTAATATTCTGCAATTTTTAATTAAAATTATTAATATTGCTAAGCTCTTTCTTAAGCTTAGCAAGTTACAGGTAAAAAAGTATAAGTTTAAAAAAATTAATATTCTGCGCTTTTTAAGCAAAATTATTAATATTATAAAGCTCTTGCGCAGGCTTAAAAACTACTAGGCTAAAAAGTAAAAGCTTAAAAAAATTAATATTCTGCACTTTTTAAGCAAAATTATTAATATTTAAAAAACTTTTATTAGTTTTTATAATAAACTGTAGGCAGCAGGATAAAAGCTTAAAAAAACTATTATTCTGCGCTTTTTAACTAGTAATATTAATATTTATAGCGCTTATTGTAATTTAAACAGCAAACTGTAAAAACTAGAAAAAAAATAGAAAAAAAACAATACTAGAAGTAAAAATAAGTTAATAAAAGTTTTAAAAAAAGCTAAAAAATAAAAAAAAAAAGCTTAGAATATTTAAAGGTAAAGTAAAAAATTCTAAGTATAAATAATAAGCAGTACTTATATTACTATTATAAGCGCTTAATATAAAGCTTTAAGTAAAAGCAAAGGCTAGAATAAAAAACTTTAATAATATAGAAAATTTACTAAAGAAGAGCAAAGTAAGCGCTCTGCGCCTAATATATTTTATATACTTTTAAAACTTTTAAGCTCTTAAATTAAAATTATAAAATGCGCAAATATAGTACTTATTTTTTAAATATACTAAAATTGCTAGAGCTAAAGCTACTTATACTTAAAAATATAGTACAGCAGGCACAGAAAATTAGTATATTGCTAAAATTATAGTAAAAATATATTAGTTTTATAAAAATTTTTAGCAAACTTTTTTAGAATTACAGGCATACTAAGCTAAAAATTAAATAAAATAAAAAAATTTTTGCGTAAAGCGCGCAGGATTTACAATAATTATAATAAAATAATTAAAAGCGTTTTAGTAGTAGTAGTAGTAGTAATAGTAGTAGTTTAATAACAGTATATTTATAAAAAACTTAATCCCGCGAAGACGGGACCTAATGTGTCATCAATGGCTTACGTCATTGGTATTTTTACTGTGTATTGCGTACTTTCATTTTTAGAATTGCCAAGCAACAAACCTCCGACCCCCGACAACGTGACTTCAACTGCCAAGGCGCTGTCTTTTTCAACGGCCTCCGAGCACATGTCCGAATGTCCGGCGTGACGTCAGACCGCCAAGCGGCTGACCAACACCAGGCCTTCAGGCAACAACAGCAACGCCAACGACAACGACAACGACAACGACAACAACAACTTTTCCTGCGACGTCGGCCCGAACGCTCGACCGCCTCCTCGCTCCTCTCCTTCGCCCGCGCAAGCCATCGTCTGTGGTGTATCCGAATCGTCATCGCTCGCTCCTCCGCTCCATCGCTCGCTCCACCGCTCACGTCTACCCACGCACCAAGTCGACCGTCTCGAGAAGCTGCATCTTCCAGTCATCGTACCGCCGGTGACTGCAGTCTTCGAGGAACTTTTCCTGATACGCCGCGAGCCTTGCGTTACTCTTGATATCCTCCGTAAGCTGCAGAAGCTCGTTTCTCTGGTTTTCGACAAAGGCAGCCTGGTCGCGGCTGAGGTCAGGGTCTCGCATCATCATGCAGCAGCCGACTGCAGAGAGAGGTAAGTTTAACGGCTCTATACTATGAAAAAACCTGCTAAGAACCCCTATCTCTAGTCGCGTATCGCTGCTGCCTGGTTGTAACCGGCTCATCGTAAGGAGATGCCGGAGGGTCAAAATCAACCAGGCAGGGTGAAAAGAGCCCGCTGCGAGAAAGAAGGTCGACTTTGAAGTATCTGCATACCTTCCTATAGTACTGGCGGTTACCATTCACCAGCTCAAGATGGTTGAGGAGCGTATGTTGTCCCTTGTACAAGCAGTATGGCTCTAATTAATCAATTCATAGAGCGACTCGTACCAGGCAACCATCGATGGCTTGCGGCTGGTATCGCTAGCCATGATAGCGACTCGCGGGCCTGCATGCACGAGTTCGTTCGTTGGCGTCATATTGTTCGTATTCGACATGGAAATGGAGGTGGGAGATAGGAGACTTGAAAGTCAGGATGGGGACAGGTCTCAATTTATGGGATGAGCGCGCAAATGTGTGCTTTGCTGCCTACGCGTTCAGACCCTTACCACCCGAACTTTCAACCTCCCGCCCACATACGACCATAGGACGCGCGACGATACGACCATACAACGAGCGACGATACATGATCATGAGCCTTGACCGCAAGCTCTACCCCGCGTGCTCTGTGGAGACCACGTCCATCGCGCAAGCTATTACTAATCGTGGGAGAGCATCGGCTGTTGAGGCGCAAGCTCACCACCGAACCAAAGCTCGCCCAAATCTCGGTCCGAGGATTCATCCGTGCTTTGACAACAGTCCACGGTTGAAACTCAAAGCCGCCTGGCAATGCCCGAACAACTCAGTCACCGTTGGGGAATCTATGGTTCCGTTGCTACAATTTTCAGATGATGACGCATCAGGGCTGCTGATGGCGATCGTCGAGGGTCTCTCGGTTCGTTGACCTTCCCCGTTCTTGACAACGGCTTGCTAACCGCTGGTTGATCAATAGATGATCTATTCAGCTGACCTGGTATTGTGTAAACTTTACTGCCTTAATACTGTGTTAAGGTGCTGGGTATAGCACCTGAACTGTGATTTTTATACTGATTTCTCCTACTGCGTGGTATAATCCGCTCTAGCGTCGACTTTACTTCCAATCATAGAAATAAAAAACTTAATATAAGCTTATTATATTATTAACGCGCTTTTTACTACTAATAAGGGGTAAAGCGCAAAATAACGTTAGTAATATTAGCATTTAGGGCTACTATTCACTGTAAGGCGCGCCTAGAGCCTTACCCCCGCTCTCTAAGCACATGGATAATGGCGACACTAACTGGGGCCCGAGAGTTTGCAAGGGTAAGATGGCAAAGGGGAGGGTGAAGTGCGATCGAACGTGGATCTCGCGCTTGCCCCACTTTGAGCACACCCTAGTGCAGGGTCACAAGCCATCCCAAAGACTACCTGGAAACGATGAATTGGCATCTATATTAGATAGTCGAAAGTATGAACTTGGTTCTTTCTCCGCCAGGCTTATTTCCAGCTCATTTGCATCTGACTTGTCGTATTGTCACTCAAACGTTGTTTGGGTGTGTTATACCGCCTCGTGTCAGCTACGCGGGAGAGTGCAATTCGCGAATCGGCCCCCGCTCTATAAATAGCTGATATAACCTCGTAAATAACAAGCCGCGGTGGAACGCCAATCGATCATCTATTGATGTTGCCTTCTATTGCTCAGTGCTTGTTCATTTAGTACTTGAATGCAGCATTGTTGTTTTAAGATAATTGACTTCAAGAAGAGGGTGTGGAGGCTGAGGTGCGGGTAAGAAAGTCACAAAGAAAACGCTAATCACAGGCGCATACATGCAAGAGATTTAGATTTTATCATCTAGACAGTAGACGCGCTTGTACAGAATCCTTGACGCCAGCGTGCTATGCATACCTCATCTCATCATACGACACTATGTGACGTCCCATGCCTCATAGCTTCTGAATATTGTACTCGTGCTCCGTTATCCAAGGACCACCAACCCAAACGCCATCGCATCATACCTAAAGCCTTGGAGCGCTCTTCTATGCACTTGCTCGGAAAACAACGCTGCCGCCATGCCGCCATCTTATCGTTTCCCGAGCGTTCATGACGTGCAATGCTCGAGCGAGAGCTTGTTCCGAGTACCCCTTCCCATCCACCATCTCGCGCTTAAGCGTCGACAGGTTGACTTGCCAGCCGATGGGCATACGTCGGCGCAATTCTTCCTCCACTTTGTTTGTTTCATCCATCAACTCCTTTGACCCTTGACCACCGCCTTGGTTGACCGCATCCATGGTCGATGCAAGGAAGAGGCGTATCGCCTCATCCACGTGTTTCTCATCCGCGATAGGGGCCAACGACAGCTTCGCAAGTGATTCAGTGATACGAATGATAGCTTCCAATTGGCGGACGGTAATCGGAATGCTGGATCGTTGGTTGGCGTTCATTTCCGAAGCGTGGACTTGCCGCCTAATGCTAACGAAATGCGAGGAAAGCTTCTCTGCAGCCTCGGGCGAAAGACGTGGTGCGCACTTCTGCCGGCAGTAAGTGATGTAGCGCTTCATCTTTTCGATGGGAATCTCTGCTTGCACAGTCTCCTCGACGCCACGGCCGCCCATGGCGATGCCCATGACGTGCTTGGCCATCCGCTCATCACGGCCACGATCGTGCTCGTCACGCACGATGAAGATCATGTCAAAACGTGACAAAATAGTAGTCTGGAAGTCAATATTCTCTCCAGGCGTTTTCATGTCATCATAACGCCCAAAGATTGGGTTGGCAGCTGCAAGGACCGATGTCCGCGAGTTGAGAATGGTGGTGATACCTGCTTTCGCAATTGAGATGGTTTGTTGTTCCATAGCTTCATGGATTGCAACTCGATCCTCGTCCCTCATCTTATCGAATTCGTCAATGCAAACCACGCCACCATCGGCTAGGACCATGGCACCGCCTTCGAGGTAGAACTCTCGTGTAGTGTGATCGCGCTGAACGGAGGCTGTCAACCCAGCTGCTGAGGATCCTTTACCGGATGTGTAGATGGCGATGGGAGAGACTTTTTCCACAAACTTAAGAAGTTGGGATTTCGCGGTACCGGGATCACCGAGAAGAAGCACGTTGATGTCACCTCGGAGCTTCATACCGTCCGGCAGAATCTTCTTTGACCCACCCATCAGTAAGCAAGCAATGGCTTTCTTGATGTCCTCGTTTCCGTAAATAGAAGGAGCGATGCACCTGGCAAAGACGTCGTAAATGTCAGGTCTCCTACTCATCTCTAAGAACTCCTGCTCTTCCTCCTCGGTAAATACGGCGCCGCCCTTTTGGGTATGATCGACATCGGTTTTGATGCCGACGGCGCGGATATAGGGATTGCGAATCGCGACCGCAGCGCTTCCGGACCGCTTGTTGCCCTTTTGCTGGTATATGGAGAAGATGCCCATGACGGTGCATCGCGTACCGGGCACAACTCGGTTCGCCAGATAGCGATCCGCTGAGATCATGATGTGGCGCGGCAGCTCACCGACTGGTACCTGATCAGGCGCTTCCTGCAGCTTGAGCACTTGCTGGTCGATGAACTGGCAGCGCTCGTGCATGACATAGTAGGGATCCAGTGGACATTGATCGCCACCTTCACCCTCACCTCGTAGCCTCCCACACGTTCTCGGAAGGGAAACGCCTGAGAAGCCGCCTGACACGGGTAGCATCTGCTCGTGCTGGCAGTTTCGACATCGGACAGCAAGAGCAGTGGATTTTGAGGAGAGAGTGGAGGCGCCGATGACGATGCCGGGTATGCGGACAAGTTGCGATACATTATTTGCAGTAAGATCGCGGATTGAGAGCTCGGTTGCGGAGGAATGAAGAAGCAGCTGGTGCTCGGGAAGCTTGATGTTCTTCTGGGAGGGGTAGACGATCCGCTGTGTGCATATCTTGAGAGCTGCCTCAAACTATATCGGGTCAGCAAGGAAGCATGTGCGGATGCTCGGGCTACACACTAGAGGTACGATCTCAGCCGGGTTCTGCTTCAGGTTGTGCGCGAGCTCGCCATCGTTGTAGTTTATAAGGTGAGCCATGTCGATATCACAGTAGTACTGCTTTAAAAGCACGTTTTCGCGGATCTGATCTCTATTCAGGCGTGAGCATTTGCGCATTTTCGATTCGTCATCTCATGTGGCGCACCTGTAGACAAAGATGTTGTCGAGAGTGAACTCCATGATGAAGTCGACCAGCGCCTGCTGGACGCGCGAGGGGGCAGCCGCATCCTGGCCACCTTCGCTCTCTTGGCCTCCAAAGAGACTGACTGTGTATGCCGATTGCCTGTCCGCCATTGTGTGTTGTGCGTGGGTTGTTGGTTGCGGATCGTGAGGGGTCGAATAATGAGGGTCGTCAGGGGAGACGCGTTGAAAATGGCGGGCGCGTCTTCGCGTTTCGGCCGTGCGCCATTTCCACTTAGGTCCGCTTTCGACTAGCCTCTCCAGTCGCGGGACTCCTCATCCTCTTCATCGTCAGATCTCAGCGAAACGTGTCGATGCCCTTTCATGACCTGTGCTCGACGCAGCGGGTCTTATCGTCTCAGCGCATATCGGCTTTGATGGCAAACGAAGCACGCTGCAAGACGGTGCGAACCATCAGGAGATCAAGAGATAAGGGAAGGACCGTTGGTGGCTTGAGTTAGCAATGTACAATCTCCTCTTCCCATTGGTACCATGAATAATATAAGCGTTGGGTGAGGGTACAAGAGGTGTACGGTTCAGACAAAGTAAGAATTTCCTTACAGTTTTGCTTTCCATCCTTGCTAGAATCAAGGACAACAACTAGGTTGTCAGCGTCTTATAAAAGCCTCAGGTCTACTACCTGGATCTTGCGATGTACGACATAACAACCATATTCATTTTCACTTAATTGCTAACATGGAACGCTGACACAGGCTGTGCTCATTCGCCACCGTCATTTTGCACCAAGCTCAACGTCACTATAGTCAAGCTGTCCAGGACATCGAACGCAAGCTAGTAATGATCCTCCTCACGCATCGCAGACCTACAGCTTCTAGAAGCCATTGGCAAACCCACTTCGCCGCTAGAGCCCCTCAGGGCTGAGTTAGTCGAGCCGTCTGAATGGAACCAGGGTCCAAGAAACCAAGAGCCAGGTCTTCAACAACTTCCTGTGATTTCAAATCAATCAGATCGACCGCTGTATATTGACACTGGTGACAGAAGGGTAATCTAAACCTGACACGTGTCATGTGGCTATACACAGGATGCAACCTACGACCTGATCAAAAGTCAACTTGATCTGAGAACAAAATACCACGATATCACGAAAACAGCCGATAGTTCGGTAACCCCTCATATACATGAGATGTGTTAATACGCCTAGGCTGGGTTGCGCCGACCCACCTGGTGGTCAGATATCATACCTTGGCGATCCTTTTCCGTTCAGTATCCACCAAGCGTGCCTCTATGACAAGGCAGCATGGAAATTGGCAGCTAAAGTGCAATGTCACCTTTACATGCCCATGGCTTCATACCAACTGCACGTGGGAAGTTCCTCCACTCTCATTGATCGATAATAGGTTCCTCGGTGTTTCCAGTCCAGCTATTTCCATCGCGTGCTCCGTCTACATCTATCTTCAGCAACCACTCTCAGCTCAGTAATTCTAGCCCAGTCGGTCAAACACACCTCTATTGGACTAGCTGCAACGATCTTGTCTAGTTTTCACAGTTCTCATCTGCTTCGTTCTGATCTCATAGGCTAAACTTTTGTCGAGTAGGCTCAATCATCCATATCGACCATCAGTTGCATCGCCTTCTTTGTCAAGGACGTTGTTGGAAACCTTTATAGTTCTAGAGGAAAAGAGCACTACCCTTGTACCTTCTGCTGCTACCGCCGCTGCTGCTAGTATTTTATGTAGCAGCTAACATGCAGCTGCTCGCGTGCTCTTCTGAACTCTATCGTACGATCAATAAGAAAGAGATTTTGTCGCCGTCTTAACTCTCGTGGGAAATGGTATGCCCTTGTGGACGTCCTCCACAACATTTGGTTTTGTATGGATATAAGCCACTCAGGACCCAGACAGCGCAAGGCGTAGAGAGGCAGACATGGCAAAGGCGGAAGTCGGCACAAAACTAAATAGCCAATTCTCTGGGGCATTCTTGGACGTCCGGTTTCCGCCATCCTCCTCGTCAACACTCAAAACCACACAGGACTATCACGACAGCAGCGTGCCTTTGTTGCTAGCTCCTATTGGTTCCTGTCGTTCCTTGCAGCGACCTGCTACCGAGCTTGGCCAGGGCGGAGACTAACTTTTGGCCAGACTTGGCGCCAAGTCGAAACATCATCCTTGCCGGCGGAGCCACCGAAATGGTTACCACAATCTTCTTCGAAGACCAACAAACTGATGAATATTGGTGGCAACTGATAATTCCAAGATGCCAAGGGTGTTTGCCTTCGCTTGCATGGCTCTCTCGGATTTTGCTTACCTAGGATAGGAACACATGGCGCACATGAAAGCAATGTGGACTGTGGTTGGATGGAATGGTCGAATCCTAGCGTCTGGGTTTGGGCTGCGAAGATGATGATAGATGCACGTGTGGTGGGCTGAGTGGTATATATCCTGTTCCACGTCTATTTTCTTCCCTTCTCTGATACTGCAAGCAATCAAGCACTCGACCAGACTAACCAGTCGACCGGGCCCCTGACAGGAAAAGGACCAACAACTGCAAGATGCCAGCCCTTGGACAGTTCGACTACCTCTTTGCCATCGGCACCATCTTCGCGTTCCTCGATGCGTGGAACATTGGTATGTCCATCTCGTTACCACCTCGCTTCCGTCACACCCCTTGAGTGCTTCGAGTAGCTTTACAGACTGGGCTTGACTTGGAAAGCTTCAACACATACTTTATGATGATGAATTTCTATGCTACGATTCTCTGTAGTACCGACTAACTCTCCCAGGTGCCAACGATGTAGCCAACTCCTTCGCGACTTCGGTCGCTTCACGGTCGCTTACCCTTAAGCAAGCCATGTGCATCGCTTCCGTTATGGAGTTCGCTGGTGCTATGCTTGTCGGCTCCCGTGTCACAGATACCATTCGTACCAAGGTCATCTCCACAAAGTTATTCGAGCAGGACCCTTCTGTGCTCATGCTCGGCATGGTGTGCGCCATTGTCGGCTCGGCTACCTATCTCACCATCGCCACCAGGTTTACTATGCCTGTCTCGACTACTCATTCCATTATGGGCGGCGTCATCGGTGTTGGTATTGCCGCTTCTGGGCCCAAAGGTGTCAATTGGTCGTTCAAGGGTGTCTCTCAGGTTTTCGCTGCCTGGGGTATCGCTCCTGGTATCGCTGGTGGTTTCGGTGCTATCATCTTCTTGATCACTAAGTACGGTGTCATGCGTCGGAAGAACCCTGTGATGAAGGCCTTCATCATGGTCCCGATCTACTTCTTCATCACTGCTTTCCTCTTGGCTCTACTCATTGTCTGGAAGGGTGGCTCTGCTAAGATCAAGCTCACTGACGGGCAGGCTGTTGGTGTTGCCTTTGGTGTTGGCGGCGTGGTTGCTCTCATTATTGCTACATTCTTCATCCCCTTTCTGTACCGCCGCATTATCAAGGATGACTGGGAACTGAAGGCTTGGGAAGTCATCAAGGGCCCTCTGCTCCTCCGCCGTCCCCAGCCTCCTGTCCGCCCGGAGGGCGTCACCGCCGGTCATATCAAAGACTATTACGCCGGCCATCTTACCGCCGAGGAGCTCGAGGCGAAGCGCGCCAACGAAGCCCACGTCGCACCAGATGACATCGAAAAGGGTGCTGCCCATTCTGTCAAGCCCGAGGGCGATGGTGCTGATTCTGACATTAGCCCCATCCCCTCGGTCCGTGGTGCTCCCGTCACAGCGTCTGGCCATCAACAGCTCTCCAAGCCCAAGAAGCAGCCTCCTCCCGGTACGTGGTACACGCCTGCCGTCGCGTTCTACTGGATCAAGTATGCCATCTTCCACGGTGTCGAGCAAGAGGTTGTCGATATGCAAAGTCACCGCGATTTCCTGTCTGGCGACATTGAGAAGGTTCACGCCACTGGTGAGCACTACGACAACCGCGCCGAATACACCTACTCCTTCCTCCAAATCTTGACTGCCTCCACCACCTCTTTCGCCCACGGTGCCAACGACGTGTCCAACGCCATTGGTCCGTACACAACCATCTACTTTATCTGGTCCACTGGCAAGATCTCCACCAAGGTCCCTGTCCCTCTCTGGATCCTCGCCTTTGGTGGTGCTGGTATCGTTATCGGGCTCTGGACGTACGGATATAACATTATGCGTGCGCTGGGTAACAAGATTACACTGCACTCGCCAGCCCGTGGGTTCTCCATGGAACTCGGTGCTGCTGTTACTATTATCGTCGCAACGAAGCTTGCTCTCCCGGTATCAACCACTCAATGCATCACCGGTGCTACTGTTGGTGTCGGTCTCTGCAATGGTACTTGGCGGACCATTAACTGGCGCATGGTTGCGTGGATCTACATGGGCTGGTTCATCACCCTGCCTGTTGCTGGAATCATTTCTGGATGCTTGATGGGTATTATTCTCAATGCTCCAAGGTGGGGTGGAGGTGTGTAAGGAGATTATGTGCAACAGGAGACTAGATGGAGAGTTGAGTTGCTTGAGATGGTGCGATTAACCATGTGATGAGGGACGGAGGGCGGGCTTTTGGTTCTACGCTCGCTTTGTTCAATATTTTCCTGGATGTATTCCTCATGTTTGCTGTGCGCGAAAAGTCGGCTGCAATCAGCGCTTATAGATACTTTTTACTAAATACTACCCCTTTCGTTGCTATACAGAGTGTGATTGAGATGTGATAGATAGCTCTTTGATAATCTACAAAGCCAGCGATATATGTTCCTCGTCAATTTTTGAGATTCGTCATGACACTGAACAAGCTGGTCATCTCCATATACTTGATCCTATGGGACTTTCCACTTAGCTCAACGATGGATAGGTATCTCTTCCGCGAATACTAGAAGGAATTGAAGAATGACTGGTGATTAAATTCATCACGGAACCGATCGAGTGAAGCACTAGTGGAGGTCTAAACCACGAAGAGAATAGGGGACCTGGCAGTGTGGTGGGGTACACAGGCAAACAAGGACTGTTTACTTCAGTTGAGACGGTAACGATGAAACAAGGCTAAAGTTGATAAAAACCCCGCATGGAGAGAGAAAACGACTAATAAGCTACTACAGAATTTTCAGCATCGGAGAAACCATGTTGACATTCTCCAGCTAATAAGAATGCTGCTTTCAAACACCCGACTCAAGGGCCATCCAGCCACTGGCCTCAATTCAGAATAGCGTGAAAACTCTTATCAGATCATCAGATAAGATCCGACATCGCAGCCACTCACCACCACTCACAGTGCTTCCTTTGCCCCGAAGGATCTCCATCCAATGGTCTAGCAAACCTTTTAGCCATGTGCCAATACGCGCGTCCGTAGAGTGGGCGCGGGCGAGTCAATCCTGCAGAGCGGTGAAGCGGTGGTTCGATGCTGGCGTGGTTCGGCGAGCGGAAGCTAGCTTTTGAGACTGGGCTGATGGGCTGCAGGCGTCTTTACTGCATTAGCGTCGTCGATGGTTAGACGCAATACTCTCTAGTGATTGTGGTAGTACGAGAGAGGGTTAAATAAACGAGAGAGAGTTGAATAATAGCAAGACGATCGGGATTCATGACTCTGGTACTCCGTTCCAATGCATAATGGATTGAATTACATAATACATAATCGTGAGTGGACATTTATGCTATGCACCAAAAAACAATGTGTGCACAGCGGTCCATTAAGCAGCCGTGCATCTAATCCGTGCCCTCATAAGCAATGCAGAAGTACATACGCACATGCATGCGCACTAAAAACCTGTACCCGAATGGGTGCGTAGAAAAGAAATCGTCTAACGGGTATCAATGACTGAATGAATGCAACAACAACACCTATCGTCCCATGTTGAACGACGACACAGGGGGCATGCCACCGTGATCCTCGGCGACCGTCATGGGCGAAAGAGTAGCGCGACGCCTGTCTTCTGCCTCTCGGATCAAAGGTGCCAGGCGGCCATCGGATAGACGAGGCTCGAGGGGGCGTCTGCTGTGTTGGAGTGTAGTGAGGATGCTGCTTGCATCTAGCTCCATGACGCTGTACATGCCTGGCTCCATTGTAAACGTATCCCTTCGGCCATCGTGGGGGACGGAAGCGGGCACAGGCTTGAGATTCCTCCAGTCCATGTGGTCGACATCCATGGGCACGCGGCCATCGAGCAGTTTGAAAGCCTCGCTGCAGCCGATGGAGCGCTCGCCAACGACGGGTGATGAGCAAGCCGTGATGTTATCAATGCGTGAATCGACCTTTGGTTCCAGTACGTCTGGTGTGTTGCTCTTGTTCGAGTTGCGCCGTGAGCTTGGCCGTGAGCTGGGCGGGGTTGCCTCGCCTCGCAGTTGTGCCACTCTTTGACACCATGCCCGTTGACGGGGATTCGCCTGACAGTCAGCACAGCTCCCTGGTCCGCTCATGGTTGAACTCGATTTGAGGCCGTCCATTGACGACCCGCTTGTAACCTGAGATAGCGGGGGCATGTCATCCTCGCCATTGGGACGGACTGTCGAGTCCCTGCAGAGACAGTATTCGGGATTGTTGTCACACCAGCCGCAGTCATGGATCTTGGCCATCTCATTCGATGGCATGAGCGAAGCTGCCGGACGTTGAGCCTGGAACTTGGCGGTGAAGTCGATCTCTCGGTCCTTGAACTCATCATCCGAGTTTGCTTGTCCAGTCTGTTCAATGCCAGTCATGGGCGTCGCACCATTGCTGCGGCGAGGGAGCGGTACAGCCTCCATGGGAGTCAAATTGGCGTGCTGCTGGAAGTGCATGTCGTTTGCGATCTCAGTTATGCATGCGCAGCTATCAGGCTCGCATCTGTCGCAGCCGCCCATGGCGCCTGTTGTATTCGGCGTTCCGTAGGCCTGGGCGCTATCAATGGACCTGCGGTTGGGAGAGTTGTGGCTATGGCCGGTGAGGGGGGCCATCTGGAACAATACAGGCATGGGCTGGTTGTGATAAGAGTTTTGCATGTCCTGCTGGATGGTAGCAGACGTATTGCCGTCCTTGAGCAATTGGAATTGCTCTTTCCAGTAGTCCCGTTCAGTCTTGAGAGCGTTGTTTGCGTCACGCAGCATCTGGACATCATTGTGCAGGGCGTCGATCTCGACCAGCTTATCGTTGATCTTTCGTCGATGCTCCTGCTCGGCTAGGTCGACCTGGATGGTCAGCTCGTTGACCTTGGCCGCCTTGCGGGCGCGGAATGCGCGCTGCGACTCGCGATTCTGCGCCTTTCGCTTGGACGCGGGCTCGTCTGTTGCGGGCTTGCGGCCGGGCTTTGGTCGTGGTGGGATTTCGTAGTTTCTGCCGGTTGGGCCCCCACCCGGTCGGGAGGGGCCAGAGCCATTCGGCGCGGGCGAGGACACGGTGGAGATGGAGCTTCGAGGAGAGATGCGGGAGCGGAGCGGAGGAATGGTGTCGGCTTTGGGTTGCTGGGGGACGAGGACTGGAGAGCATGTCAGTGAATCTGTCGGTTCGGAGAGTCGGTCCATGGGGTTGGAGGAGGCGGCGGCGGCATGCGACGGCAAGACGACGGCACATCGCCAAGGGCAATGGCAAGCCCAGCAGGTTGCTGCGAGCCACGCCAATGGCGGTCGACGACGCGATGCAGACGACGTCTTGCCATTGACACAGATGGCGACACTGGTGTTGCTCGAGGCAACGAATGCGCGCCGCCGCCGGCTGGGTTGATGGGGTAGGTATGGGGTGCTTGTGCGCGGTTCCACTCACCTCTGTTGGAGGGGCGCGTCGCAGAATTTGCAGGCGTGTCTAGCACAGGGAGCGGCGAGAGCGCGGGCGCGGGCGAAGCATTGCTATTGTCGCCCGAGGACGAGGGCGTGAGACCTGCGTATCCAGCGTCGTCAGACATGTTCATGTACCGGCCGGCGCGAAGGCGAATGAGGGAGAGGAGGGTTATCAGATGAAGGGCTGGTTATCAGATCAAATTCCTTCCCGCACCCCGACCACCTCGCCGAACCCAGGCCGAGCGACGTCGGAGCGGAGCGGAACCTTGACTTACCATTGCCAGGGCCAGGGCGCCGCGACATGAACGGGTTATCCGGACTCGTTTGCTGCTCCAGTGCGTATTCCACCTGCTCAGAGCTCGCGCGCATCACCATCATCCTCAGGTAGTCATCCATGGTCTGAGCCATATCTCCGTCCATTTCCATCTTGCGCGAGAGTATGCCGTGGGCCTAGCTAACGATGCTGAGATACCCAGTGTAGTCGAGTGCGTGTGTTGTGAGGTGTAATACATTACTTGCACCGTGGACGGCGGGCTTTTATATCATGCCCTTTCGAGATCCCACTTATTGGTCCTTCCCTCGTTCTCACGCAGACACGTTCTTCCTCGTTCGAGCTTGACTGCCCAACGGTACACGAGTCCTCCTCTCTTTCCCCTGGTAGCGTACTGCAAATCCTTTCACCATGTTTTGCACCCGACCCATGGTTCGGCTTGCGCTCGCGCTTCTAGGGGAGGCTCTTTCCAATTCATCATATTGCCAACACGGCTTCTTTCATTCACTCACACTACCAGTTCAATTCTTGCGTCAATAGCAGGTTCCCTGGCAAAAAAATTCTCTCTCTCTCTCTCTCTTTCTCTCTATATGAATGCAAGCGTTCACTCGTTGCTTGGCCATGATGAAGCTCGCAATTCCTTCTCTACTTTTCCATGTCGTCTTCTAATCGTCTCCAGTACCATGTCCTCGTTTCCAAGAGGGGCTTTGACCGACTCAGCAACACCCGTGGTCCATACAATGAAATATCGATCTCGCCATGGGTGGAGCTTGGGCTCGGTTCAAGACATCAGATGCGGAGGTATCTGTTACCGAGTCCTACACTCTTGCCGCCGATCATTAAGCAAACTCAGTAGTGCTCTCATGTAGCCCCACCCATGAATCATAATAACGCACGGGGGTGCCATTAGAGGCTGCAGCAATAGCCTCATGCGTAGAAGTGACTATCCCAGTCCTAGTCCTACACCATTTGGGGCAGCGCATGCCAGGATTTCAAGTCAAATAGAGGCCTTCTGACTGGCCCCAGAGGCATTTTTCTCGATAGCTTATGGTACGTTTGAACCATGGGCTTTTTCGATCTCTCTGTTCTGTCTCCCACTCAGACATGGTCAAGCCTCTCAACAACCGATATCCGTTATTGCCACAGTGCAGCCTCAACAGCGCCCTGCTGCACGAACAAGGCTAAGGCTTCGCACACGACACTGGGGCAAGAGGCGAGTATCTCGACGGCGTATCATACGCCAAAGATATGTGCTATCCCCACCTCTCCTCGATCGGCTTCTGGTGGGTCCCCGAAGACTCCCAAAAACCGATCTTCGTTACGACTGCGAAGACTCAATAGCTCCTTGGTCAACCAGCACTCGACACTGCTCCTCGTACACGACCAAGGCTTCGCGAACGACACTGACGACAAGCTTAGAATTACCCGACTGAACCACGTTTCGGTGCCGACCTGCAGTCTGATAGCGAGAGGAGGATCATCTTCTTCTACAATCGATACGATGACAATGTCCGCCTCGCGACTGGTACGGTCGGAAATTACAACACAGTTTTCAACTCTTTGGCTTGCGAGGACCCACCCCACATCAGGGAGGACGCTGCGCGCTAACAATCCGTTCTCATGCGGAGACTCGAGAACCAACTCCACACCGACCACACTGGAAGCCAGGCTGCCTCGTCGTGCAACCCCCACCCCCCGAGCGTTCTCTGAATAGGATTGAAGGCTCGGAATGCATACGCGTAAACTGACGAAACCCAGAGAGTTACCAGAGGGACAACGGTACTATCAGTGTCATTCGATAATGCCTTCCTTTGTTTTCGAAGATTCTTCATAATCATACGATTAGTATAGCCAGAAGCCTAAGCGACGATCTGTAGATGATTACCACGTCACTGAAGAAACGGTAAGTTCCGGTGGGTGTCTCCATGACCTCAGCCCAAGTCCGGTGCTCCACACTCCCTTCAGCCCCTTCCAGCCTGGCTGTGTCGTCACCTAAATCCCGAGGCATTTTTTGAGGCATTTCCAAAACCGCTGGTATCAAGACTTGATAGACGATTTTACGCCCCCACCATATATAGTCCAAGATTAAAGTGCTAAAGCCGTACGAGCTGTTCGATTCCAGATCTAAATTTACCAGTACACTCTGGTAAGATTTTGCCGTGCTGACTGGGGAATGTAGCTTGCTGCCAAGCATCGTTTTGCTTTTACGCTTCCAGCTGCCGGCTGACGCCAAGTTTGGCCAGGATAAGGAACATCAAATCAGCAGTTACGGAGCAGGTGAGCTTACTCACACAATAAACAGCAGATAGGAGGGCAATAGTGTGCTCCTGTTGAGTGCTCCTTTTCACAAGCCCAATTGGAAGGTAACACGGCCTTCTGCATCCTTATTGGACAACCTTTGCGCGCAAGGTGGAAGGCTCATGGTCCAGATGAACGCCCAGCTGAAGAGCCATGGGGTCAGCAGACTCGGCTGCATACAGCTCAAGTATGAAAGCTGAAGTTTAATTCCTCTTACGGCGCCTTCGATCTTGGGCCTGTGATAACTGTGCTATATAAATTCAGACTGCCTACATATGAAATTATCAGGACTTCTTCCCATAGCGTGTCATCGATATTCTTCAGCCTTGCATTGAAATTTTGCTAAATCCGATCTGATTTTCATTGAAAGAGGGATCTCACCTCTGCGTAGCTCCGTCCATCTCTATCATGGAGGAAATTCAACAGCAGCCTATTTGCGGCTTCGTGCCGCCGTACATCCTGGAGGCCATAGCTGGCTCTGATACCATTGCGGAGGAATCTCGCCATTCCTGTAAACATACACTACAACACGTACAGTCTTATGCCGAACACCGTCATGAGCTATACACTGGAGCTCATGTCAGTTCTCCCTCCACCGGGACAGGTTTCATCCCCGAATACATTCTCAGTGCAATCGCTGACCCTAAGGAGGGCGCTATCAAAGAACACGAAGCGAGTCAGCAAACTCTGATAACTGCAGACGCTGATGTAGCAGCACCAGTGCAGAGGAAGATCTACGATTGCAAAGAAACTGGTGATCTCCCTGGAACGCTGGTCAGGTCGGAAGGGCAGGCGCGCATCAAGGATCGCCAGATCAACAACTGCTACGACGGATTCAAGATCACGCACGACTTCTTCTCCCGAGTCTTTGGCCGCAACTCGCTTGATGACAAAGGGCTGGCCCTTATCGGCAGCGTTCATTACAAGCCGAAAGACACGCCAGCCGGCTACAACAATGCGTACTGGGACGGTGACGCCAAACGCATGGTTTTCGGTGACGGTGATCATATTACCTTCGACTACCTCACAGATTCGCTCGATGTAATTGCCCACGAACTAAGCCATGGCTTTGTCCAGTACACGTCGCCGCTCAAGTACCAGTCGCAGTCTGGCGCATTGAACGAGTCCTGCGCCGATGTCTTCGGCTCCATGGTGGAGCAATGGCACATGCGACAGACTGTGGAAGACGCAGACTGGATCCTCGGACAGACGCTCTTCCCTGTCGCATTCACCGGGTCGGCCTTGCGCAGTTTGAAAGCCGGGAAGGCCTACACTGATGACCCGGTGTTTGGAACTGATCCCCAGCCAAAGCACATGGACAACATCTTCAAAGGACCTGGGGATAATGAAGGCGTTCATATCAACTCTGGAATCCCGAATCATGCTTTTTACCTGGCTGCAAAGTCTCTCGGGGGTAACTCGTGGGAGAAGGCGGGCAAGGTGTGGTATAAGACGATGACGTCTGGGAAAATTCCGTTTCAGTGCGATTTCAAGACTTTCGCAAAGGTGACTGTTGAGATTGCAGGGGCTGCTTTTGCTGCTGATGCTTCGGTCAAAAACGCGATTCGTGATGCGTGGGTCAAGGTTGGGGTACTTCCTGCAGCTGCGGCTGAATAGGGCAAACTGGGAAGCCGGACTTTTCTTCAATGCTGGCAATGTCTTCCGTACATCATGAAAGTTTTCCTGTGTCTTCTTGTAAAGAAAGTACAAAAACGCCAAAAATTCCCTTCTATCGTTACAGTTACTAGAACTACATCTTCTCACACCTCTCGTCGTGACACGCTCGCTAAATTCCCTTCCACCTGCCCCGTTTTTGGTACTTTCTTTCCCCTGCCATCTCCCTACTTCTTCACCTCGATAAAACTTCCCGGCGTTCCATACGGTCCCGCTCTCACAGCGACCTGCACGTCCACGCCCCACCGCTTAGAATTTTCCAACGCAACATTCGCAGCTTCCTGCTCGAGTAATGTAGCAGCTGATGCGAGCTTGCCACCGACTGCAGCCAGTTCGGCGCCGAGATTGGAGAGCTCGGAAGCAAGCTTGAGGAGGTTGTCGGGTGTGTTGGCTGCCATTCGGATTCTGCGTGAGGGAGTAGACCTGATGATGCTTTGCGATGGTGAGGATGTTGGAGCGTGGTATTTTTATAGAAATTCTACTGGGAGATGACGCAGGGACTTGTTGCTCTAGGAGGGTTCAAAGCAATGTCCAGTTACAAGGAGAAAGTATGGAAATACAGGCAGATAGTCCAACAAGGTATTTGCTTGGTATTGTAGGTAGCTGCGCGAATATTGAGGTCGTTGACCAGAATTTCTGAGCAGGTTGGCAGGTTATGTATGTGCCTTGAGGTGTTTGCGCCAACATGTCACTGTCCAGGCTGTGGACGAACATTCCATGATATTTGCAAACAGCGCCTACACGACTAATCAGGCATTTAAAGTCTAACAGGAATAATAGAAGATATCTGAGGGATGCAAGTTGGGTGAAATTCATGAGACCAGCAGAGATGAACCGGCATACATTGAACGCTTTCTCTCCGTGTGCATATGGGGGCAGTCAGCATCATATCATGCTATAAATTAGGTAGATAAGTAGGAATTCAGTTACCAAACTCAATCACCGCGCTTTGATGTAATGTAGACAGGTTGGGGCCTGAGGAACCCCATTCACGCGTGAAGTGTTATACTTGGACTGTTACTAGTTGCAAAGGGCAAATAGTCAGAAACTAGTACAAGAGCCGAGCATTGCTTTTAAACGCTTATCCTAAAATGTTAAATATATTTGTTAAATTAATACTCAATATATACGCAAACTACCATGAACCGTCTGGGTGTGAGCGCTTCCAAAGTATCTCTTGAGTAGCTCTCTCGCATTTTACTAGTATCTACATAGATTGGCGTTGCACCTTCAGAACACTTGTTCAATTCAGTGCCACGTTCACTTGACGCGGCGAAGTAAGTACCCTGGTACCGTTTATTGTTGCACCCCGTGCGACTGACACACTAGCGTGCCTAAACGCCCCAAACCCCCTAGCTTAGCACGTAACCCATATCCACGCAAGCTAGCAAATGCCTACCCGTTCCATCGTTTTAGGACAGAACCTGAAAAATGGGGCCCCCAACTAGGACCTAAGAAAATCCGTACCACGGTCCATCCCTACAAAACTGCACGCTCTTGAATGATAGGCCTTGGATAGCAATTTGTCCACCTCCTTTGCCTGTACTGCTCCGAGCCCGTAGTTCTAATGACTTTGTCAGCTTGCAGTTTCACGTGCCCACGGGCAGGGAAATCCGCCATCTAACTACAAGGAAGAAGATTCAGCTTTAGGACAGTTTATTAAATGACTCTAAAGTTGGGTATTCTATATTGTAGTTCCGTGACGTCGGGGGTCCTTATTCACCTTTTCTTCCTACCCGCAAAACATATGTGTAAATCGTCGCTATCCCAATCCAAGTTGTCCTCTCCTTCCTCTCTTGTGCTCTGTTCAGTAGTCGTCAGCTGCTCCTTATCTTGCGACTCTTTTGCTTTGTCGTGGCTAGCTTCAATCAACTCCTTCTTGATCTCGAGAATTCTCTCACCAAGTTCCACTTCATGTTCCGTTGTTTTGAATGTTCTGTTTCGGACGGCTCTCCACTCTTCTTCAAGCAGACGTAGCTCATTCTCTAGTGAGGCAGTATTGGACATGTTGAGTTTGTTTGGTGGCGAATCGGGACGGCACATAGCTCGGAGGAGGGAGGGATGGACGTAGCATGTTAGCGGCATAGTTATATATGAGAGATGCAAGCTTTGGAGTGGTACAGAAGTGTAGCGTTGAGTATGCTGGCGATAGAATTTGCGTTGGCGCAAGTGCGTTGGCGTTGTGGTCAGCGGGTGCATTGGTTTGTTTCTGTTTGGAGCCCGCTGGCAACATGATGCGCTACTGTGAAAGACTTGAGGTGTGGGGTTTCATGTGAGTTCTGCAATCATTCTGGTTCTTTGAATACAGCGCAGTGATAATAAAATTTTCGTAATGCGACAAAGCATTGTGCTGTTAGACGCATACCTGTGGTTTGCCATCATTGCTTGAAGACATTAAGCTCTCGAATCCTCTTTCATCTTCTTGAGCTCACCCAACAATTGTTCCTTCGCCCATCCATTCTCGAGCCCTTTGATCAATAGCTCTTGTTCACTCTCTGGTGCCATGCCCGCCGTCTCCGGTACTCTCCTATCCAGATTCGTAGGGAAAGGATAACCTTCTGCAACGTTACCTACGAAAGCCCTAACCTCATCACTCAGCCCATTCTTCTCGTAAACCTGCACCAGTGCGTCCCACGTCATCTGGACGAGCGGATACGTGTCAATCATCTCCATGGGCTTACCGAACGCTGATGAGATCTGAAGTAAGTTTGCCGAGCGCAAAATATCTGTCGTGTCGTTCTGTCCCGCAGCATGGAATAACGCTGGATTGAAGAAGAGCCCATCTCCTGTATCTAATGGTACCGAGACATACTTCTCCAGGAAGAAGTTCTGAAACTCGGGGGTCCGGTATGCCATGTACCCTTCCTCGAACATTTGGCTAAAAGGCAGTAGTCGCGTAGGTCCGCTCTCGAGAGGCATGTCTGAATGTGCAACAGCGCCCTGAAGAGTGAGGAACTGGGAAGCTACTTGTAGTGCTTTCGGAAACATTGCACATGACTTGTTGTCTTGGAAGCCGATGTGGTAGTCTCGGTGAGAGATCTGTGCTTTTGCAGTCGGCTTCACGATGTTGACTTGTGCAGTCAGTCGATGATGCGGACCCAGCCATGCCGACGAGATGAGCGGCAGCCATGGATTAGAGTAATATTCCAAGAATGATACCGGATCCTGCAGGCAATGCTTCGAGAACGAATTCCAGATACGGTCATTTGCGCCTGAGCCAGCGAAATGATCGCCACGTTTACCGGCTAGCTTCTTCTCTTCCGCGATGATATTGCTGTATACTTCATTTACTGTGTCGAGCAAGCTTATGTTACTGTAAAGGCCTTTCGTGACGAACACGCCGGGGCCAGAAAGAAGGATATGGTACCACTCATCCTGAAGGGCAGCGTGCTGTTGTGGACTCAGTGAAGAGTAGGCAGGAAGTTCGTAAATAGGTACGTTGGCTGTTATGGAGCTAGCAAGGGGATAGTGAACCAATTTAGATTCAGTCGTGAGCTTCTTGAATTCATCTAGCGAGGGCGGTTTGGCGACCGAGAATAAGCGGGATCCGATTGACGATGTGTCGTCGTGTTTGGACTGCCCGTTCGTCAGGGAAGCCATCGTACGTACCCTGGGTCGTAAGATGTTGTGTGGAAATGCGATTCCAGATGGTAGATGCTGTTGCCTTGAACCATGGATCTGGATCTTGTATGGATATTCTGCCCGCTTGGAATGAGTCGGCGGGTCTTACCTAATTTAGAGCCGACGTTTGTGTTGCACAACTTTGGAGGTTTCAGCGGGGCAACGCTAACCGGAAACTCAACCACCATCTTCCATTCCCTGGCCTGATCGGCCCATGCTCTGGGTAGTAGTCGGCGGTGGAGCAGATACCCACTCTACGTAAACCGATTCAGCGCGAACAAATTTGTGGGCATCAAGCCCAAGCACGAAGTGAAGAACGGCAGGTCGATTAGTATTCACACCCAGTAGCAATGCGTAGGCTACATAGCGCCTTTACAGTCACTGTAAAAGTTTGCTCCTCTTGACGTCCTTTCACCCGTTCACGAGGAAACGGTAGAGTGGGCTGTGGACAGGGAGATTTCAACATATTGTTTTATCATTTGAACAAGGGAGGTCAAACTCCGCAAATTGTGATGATTGGGTATTATCTTACAAAACGTTCTACATGGCAGATGAAATCTGCATTTTGCCCACGCCAAACGCCAGGTGTATGCAGATAGCCCTACCTGGTTAGTTCTGTCTAAGAAGCTATCGCACAATGCACGGTGTGGCAGCACCGGCGCGCGAAGTGTATGCAACTTGACTTACTTGAAATGCTCCCAGTCGTTCCAACTCCCATGATATGTAGCCGCAAATGCAGCACTGTGTTTGCAATAACCTCGAATCGACTAATCGTTCGAGTAGCAAGATAGGGCGACCAGTTGTCGCTGGTGCTGGAAAGGGGCCTCCTCGGTTAGGTGGCTGTTGGCAACCAGCAGTCGCTCATAGCATGCCTGCAGCAGCCAAGTCCCTATAAACCTTCTCCGGCATGACGTTGCCCTCGTTATCCTCCATCTCCACCACGTTCTCGGCAAGGGTTTTCTCTTTCTTCTTGTCTTTCTGGATCTTCCTCCACAGAGACTCAGCTTCCTGAATACTCGTGATTTCTCGGAACAATGATGTGTTGGTGATGCCGAGACACTTCAGACCGTGAATATGGCGCGGCTCGTTGAAGTGCTTGTCGAAAGCGCGCCTGCCCATGTACACGAAATTACCGCAAACCTCGCAAGGGAACTCGACGCCAAGACCATGCAGTTTCCAGAGCCAGAAGGGAATGGGTTTGCCATCCCAAGCGAGCGGAAGCTTGAGCGGATTGGAGATCTTATCCTCGACGTCGGACTCGTTGTCCTCGTCGTTAGCACCATTGTCTGGCGTTTCAGAGTACAGTTGTTCCAGCTCTTGTTGCCGCTCGCGCTCAGTCATGCCCTGCTTCCGCTCGACGTTGACCTTGGTGTCGCCACGCTCTGTCTGCATAGCCGCAGCAAGCCTCCTTATCCGGAACTCTCGCTCGGCCACTGCTCGCTCTTTGAAGCGTTGGATATCTGTTGAAGCATCATTTGTCTTGGCAGTCGTCTTGTCCGCCGAGGCACCTTGACTTTCCTGTACAGCCTTCTTGTGCTTCTTGCCCGTCAAGTGAGCCTCGTAGACGGTCTCTTTCGAAAAGCTCTTCCTGCAAGCCGAGCACCAGATGCCCTCGGGCTGGGCCTCGCCGTTCGCTGCCGTAGATGCCGACACGTTTTTCTCCCATCCTGGCACTTGGTCCTTTTCCCAGAGCTCGACGAACTCTTTGTCAAAATTCGCGAAGAGCTTGTCCAAATTCTCTAGGGGTTTAGTCCGTCGCATAAAGCCCTCAAGGTAGTCTTGTAGCGCCTTTAGATAGTGAAAGTAGGCTTCCGACTTCTTCTGGTCGCGGCGGATGTTGCCTTGCGGGGGGGTGAAGACATCAAACAGATCGAGATACTGCAGATAGGTCAGGCGGCGCGCGTGCGCGTGAACGGGAAGGTTCAGGTACTGCTCGTGCAGTGTGGTCAGGTCAAAGAAGCGCCCGAAGCCCTCCTCCCCCGTGAACATGGAGTCGATGACGGCAACCGACTGATCCTGATCTTCGGGCGAGCGCTTCTTGTAGGCCTTCTCCAGATTTTCGACAGGCTCGTTCGGGTAGCGGGCGTGGAATTCTTTAATGGAAGCGATCTCGCGCATGAACGACTCCATGGGATCGCCGTGGGTGAGGGCGCGCACCTCGTCCTCCTTGGCGCCGTCGACATCCTGGTAAATGGGGAGTAGGCGGTTCGACTGACTCTCAATCTGTTCGAGGAAGCGTGCCATGTCATGGTCGCGTGCGAGGCGGTTGCGAATCTGTCTAGCGATCAGTAATGGGAACGCGATGGTGCAGTCATGAAGATACCTACGTGCGGTGGGTCTTCGAGAAGGCGCTCGGCGATGGCGTCCTCGAGGCGCTCCAGATCCTCGTGCAGCTGGCGCTGGTCTTCCAAGAGCATGATTGCGGTCGCCTGTGATAACTATGAGTCTTGTGTATAGTGTAATGGTCAAGCAGTGCGTGTGCTGACCTTTGGAGGCGTTGGTGTTTGCGTTGGCGTAGTCGAGCGCGAAGTCACGAAGCTCGGGCGCGGCCAGATAAATCGATACCACGCTAGGCCGAATAGTTTTGCCGACATGGTCCTAAACTTTGTCGCGCCGCTCATCCACTCTTCTACTAAACCCCATATCCACAACGAAGACGAAGACATACGCCTACGCGCCGACGCTCAACATGGCCGACGGAATCGACCGCAATGCTGACGACAAGATGGAGTTTAGCACCTCCAAGGAGGTGACGGTGGCGCCTACCTTCGAGGCCATGCACCTGAAAGAGAACCTGCTGCGCGGCATCTACGCCTATGGCTACGAATCGCCCTCAGCTGTGCAGTCGCGTGCTATTGTGCAAGTCTGCAAGGGCCGCGACACCATCGCCCAGGCCCAGTCCGGCACGGGAAAGACGGCCACCTTCTCCATCTCCATCCTCCAGGTCATCGACACGGCGGTACGCGAGACGCAGGGTGGGTAGTCTTCTGCACATGCGCCCGTCTCCATGCTAATCGTGTGTCCAGCGCTCGTCCTTTCCCCTACGCGTGAACTCGCGACACAGATCCAGTCCGTCATCATGGGCCTCGGCGACTACATGAACGTGCAATGCCATGCTTGCATTGGTGGAACGAACGTCGGCGAGGACATCCGCAAGCTCGACTACGGCCAGCACGTGGTATCAGGAACTCCAGGACGTGTCGCTGATATGATCCGCCGCCGCAACCTGCGCACGCGCAACATCAAAATGCTCGTCCTCGACGAGGCCGACGAGCTGCTCAATCGCGGTTTCCGTGAGCAGATCTATGATGTCTACCGCTACCTCCCGCCCGCCACACAAGTTGTCGTCGTCTCAGCTACCCTCCCCTACGATGTTCTGGAGATGACGACCAAATTCATGACGGATCCGGTGCGCATCCTGGTAAAGCGTGACGAGTTGACCCTCGAGGGCCTCAAGCAGTACTTCATTGCCATTGAAAAGGAGGAGTGGAAATTTGACACACTCTGCGATCTCTACGACACACTCACCATTACACAAGCCGTTATCTTCTGCAACACGCGCCGCAAGGTCGACTGGCTTACAGACAAGATGCGCGAGGCTAACTTCACCGTGTCTTCAATGCATGGCGATATGCCGCAGAGAGAACGCGACAGCATTATGCAGGACTTCCGCCAGGCCAACTCGCGCGTCTTAATCTCGACAGACGTCTGGGCGCGTGGAATTGATGTCCAGCAAGTCTCACTCGTTATCAACTACGACCTTCCCTCAAATCGTGAGAACTATATCCACAGAATTGGTCGAAGTGGTCGGTTTGGACGCAAGGGCGTCGCCATCAACTTTGTCACCCAAGACGACGTTCGCATTCTTCGCGACATTGAGCGTAAGACCAATCGTGCGTCAATTACTAGCAGATAGCTAACCACATGCAGTGTACTATTCCACTCAGATTGATGAGATGCCCATGAACGTCGCTGATCTTTTGGCGTAAGCGATTTACCGGCTTTTGACATGGCGTTCAGGATCTATCACGATATCGCATGCTTGTTACTCAAGGTATTGCAAGCATATAGGCAGCAGCAGCGTCTCAGCGTCTGAGAAGTTGGCCCAGGGAATGAGTTGCGGAGGAAGGGCTCAATAGCCAAAAAGTAAGACAATGCTCTATATTTGACTCATTGAGAGCAGCAAAGCTAACGCAATGTCGGACAGTACCAAAATTGATCTTACGATATGTGTGTGCATATATCTCCAGTACTTATTCGCAACGCGTAGTGGAGAGGGGAACTCGGAGCAAAAGACTTGACTCTAGTACTACCGTCTCACCAATTCCGACCCATTCATCATCATCTTCGACCTCTTCAACTTCCTGTTCATAGCAGAGAACTTGAGACCTTCCGTCTTTATATCAGTGAGGTAGCGCCTCGACGAGGCGGCCGGGAGAGAAAATCGGTGCCCAAACTTGGTATTAGGGGAATAATACAATCGGGTAGCTGTCCAGAGGAATAGCCAAGACCATCTCAGCGTAGCCAAAGATCATTACGAATTTGGCCGCGAGAAAAACTGGTACAAGAATTGGATTACGAATTCAACGTTATAACCTGTTCGAGTGTCGACGATCAGGCCTTCTTGAGTGCGACGGGTACTTCAATTGCGGCGATTAATCTGTCCCCACGTGGCTGCTTTCATCCTTATTCCTATTCACATCGATCTCAATCATGGCTCATTCTCGCATTTTTAGTTGAACGCGGCCAATAGCACTCCTCGTCTTCATTGAGATTTCGTCTTATATCCAAACTTCCTCGTTAGGACTTGAATCTCGTCAAAGTTTTGATGCCGAGGCAATGCTAGCACGGCAACCTTGAAGCTATAGAATCACGTAAGCCTTCGGCTGACAGCCAGTTCTGGTAGATCACACACCACTCAACAACACGCCCGTGCCATATCAACGGAACCTTTAAAAGACCTCGACCATCACCCAAGCCTGAAAACTGGGCGAAAGATCACCTGCACGAGCCGCTGTGCGCCATTGCGTGTTCAGATGGTCGCCACTATCGTTAGTGTCACCAGCTGAAAACTAGTATAATGCGACCAATGATACGCCAACAAGCAATTTGACTCAGACCAATTCTAAGACAGGGCGTTATGGCTACTACAGTCAGCTTGCGACTGTGCAAATGAGGCTGAGCGACCAAGCAAGTTGCTTATTTCAACATGTGGGACACTAATAAGGCAGAGGCGCCCGCGAAAAATGCACAAGCATCGCAAAGCCTTTCAAACTCGCTACGTCTTTAAGGAGAGCGAGAAAATCTGATAGACTCACGAAGAGTTTTCATGGATGGCAAAAAGATGGAGTCTTTCGACCTCGTTATAGTTGGCGCAGGTGAGCATCGTCCACCGACCAACCCAGCGTTTTCCTAATTCCCGGGATAGGCGTTCATGGCTTGACTATGTTGAAGACATACCGCGATGTCCACTCCAAGGCATCGATCTTGGTGCTGGACAAGGGAAATTCCATAGGTGGAGTCTGGTCAAAGGACAGATTATATCCAGGTCTTCACACGAACAACCACTTCCAGACGTACGTTAATCTCCTTACATGTGGAATAAGCTAATAAATGCCAGATTTGAGGTACCTACTTTGCTCGTGGTGCTGAGTGAGGAACTAACTCCTCTGACAGTACAGTGACTACCCTATGAGTACGGAAGGATTCGACCTTACTGATGACCACATCCCTGGGGAACACGTTAACGAATACCTGCAAAGCTATGCCAACGACTTCGATCTAGCGAACCATATGCGTTTCAACTGTACCGTAGACTCTGCTACCGACCAAGGATCCGATGGGTGGACGTTGGAAGTTACGCAAACCACGCAAGCGCAGCAACAAAAGTACAAGGTCGCGGCAGCAAAACTTATCGTAGCGACGGGGCTGACTTCGGAACCCCTTATGCCAAAGCTAGAAGGAAAGGAGGCGTTCGACGCCCCAATCTACCACACCAGTGAGCTCTCAAGAGCAGAAAATGGCCTTGGCACATTTAATAAGGTGGTGCTTCTTAGTGGTGCAAAGTTCTCGTGGGATATCGCATGCGCATATGCTTTAGCGGGGATCAAGGTCGACTGGGTTATTAGGCAGTCTGGCCACGGTCCTTGCTGGATGATGCCGAACCGTCTCACACCTCTCAAGATCATACCGGAGTACCTACTGCAAACTAGGCTGATTACCTGGTTGAGCCCATGTATATGGGAAGACGGCTTTTCTTACATCCGAAACTTCTTCCAGCAACACTGGCTCGGCCAAAAGATCGTGGACTTGTTCTTTGGTAAAATGCAACACAGCGTGGAAAGTATCAATAATTATGACGGCCACCCGGAGACAGCTAAGCTGAAACCTTGGGACGACGTTTTTTTTATCGGCACGAATCGAGGTCTTCTGAATTACGGTCTGGACTTTTTTGAGTTTGTACGCAATGGCACGATTCGCGTACATATTGCGGACATCATGCATTTATCGCACCGGACAGTCCATCTCTCCAATTCTGAAGCGCTCGAAGCAGACGTGTTGATATGCGGCACTGGATGGAAAGACACACCGCAACTTAACTTCATCACAGAAAGGGAACTAGGCTTACCCGGTCACGCTTTCGCATCCTCGCAACAATACATTGCACAAGCCGAGACAGAGATATTCAAAAATTGCCCCAAACTACAACATCAACCTACACCGAGACACTACGAACCGATTTCCGAAAAGGCTACAGAAAATGTTCCTGAGCCATACCGTTTGCATCGCTTCATGGTCCCTCCAGCGTTCATCAACAGCCGCACGCTGGCTTTCGCAGGCACGTACCGCAGTCCAGCGACTACTATCATAGCGCAAACTCAAGCGCTTTGGATCACGGCCTTTCTCGACAACCAGATACCCACAATCGCTGCTACAGACGACGAAGAGGTACTCCAGCGCATCATGTACGAGACGGTGCTTCATACTCAATTCGGAAAATGGCGCTATAGCAGAGGATTTGGCGCGCGTTTCCCTGAGCTCTGGTTTGATTGCCTACCATATGTTGATCTTATGCTGAAGGACATTGGTGTGCAGAACCAGCGGAAGAAGAGTTGGTGGGCTGAGCGGTTTACGCCGTATATGCCAGCGGATTATGTGGGTATCGTCGGTGAATATTTGGCTTTGAAGAAGGCGCATGAGGCGTCACATTGCGACTGAAATTGACTGCGCTTAAATTATACGGCTGCTAGGCCTAGATCCTGAACGCAGATACGATGACGTCCACACCTTACGTCCGAATGATGCAAATAGGCTAGGGCCGCATCCGGAAAGTGCAAAACAACACCCGACACCAAAAATTGGCCTTCTATCTGGTATCTTCATGTTCAATTCGAGGATCATCATATTAAGTGCTCGAGATACGAAAACATCACTACAATCGTCGAAATAATGTAAAAGGTACTGCTCCTGGCAGGGTGTTATTTGTGCAAATTGCACATGTGAATTTGGTGGTGACACTAACTAAGGCTAGTTCAGCCCGCTCGGGGTTTGTCCATATTTCCAGACATCAAAAGAATGATGCTGAGCGACAGAGAAGCTATATAATGTTGCCTACCCTTACCTCTGTAAATTTTATATTCTCACAACTTGACTCCCACGACGTTCAATTACACAGCATCCATCGCTTGTCCCGTCAATCCATCATTAGATATGGCAGCCCTTGCGAAAGAAATCGCCTTGATCACTGGTGGTAAGGGCACTCCCACAATGACTCTTCTAGCCTGGAGCTAACGAATACATAAAGCGAATAGCGGCATTGGCTACGAAATCGCTCGCCAGCTTCTCGCCAAGGGCACTTACCACGTGCTACTATGTTCTCGATCGTCGCAAAAGGGGAGCGCAGCACTCCAAGACCTGCGATCCCAGAACTTACCGGGTTCCGTGGAATTGCTCACCCTAGATGTTCAGAGCGATCAGCACATTCATGAAGCTGCGACCTCCATCACGCAGAGCCACGGCAAACTCGACATTCTCGTCAACAACGCCGGTGTCGCCCTCCCTTCAGGCGCGACAGAGCGCGAACGACTTCAAACAGCCTTTGATACCAACGCGGCAGGGCCCTACCTCCTCGCCAAAGCTCTCATCCCTCTCCTGCGCAAGTCTGCCAATCCCCGCATTATTAACATCTCGTCCGGTGCCGGTTCAATCAGTCGCCGCCTCTTCCCCGAATCACCAATGTACAAGATTCAGGGCATACCTTACCGTGCTAGTAAGACCGCGCTCAATATGATTACTTCATGTTTACACGTCGAGTACGGTCTTGGCATCGAGCAGGCTGATGGTGAGAAGGTGGAAGGAGAAGTGGAGGGCAAGCGCATGAAGGTCTTTAGCTTTGACCCTGGCTATACGGTGTCTAATTTGAGCGAGCATAATAAGACGGAATTTGGTGCCAGGAGTGCGGAGGAGACGGTGTTCAGTATTATGGATGTTGTGTTGGGGAAGAGGGATGCCGACGTGGGTAAGTTTATACATAACTCTGGAGAATACCCTTGGTGAACGTGTCGTGTTTCCTATCAGGTAGAGGGATCTATACAAGTTAGGTCACGGATAAACTAGTCAAGTTGCAAGCGCAATAGATCAGGTATACAAAACATAATTAATTAATACTCCTTCTATATCTTTTTCGAAGTATAGCTTGATACAGTAAACTGGCATGGACACATGGGTTTCATTGTATATAGTACTGTCGTTTTATCATCGAATAGCTGCCTGAGCGGTTTTAGTCTTCCTCAAAAAAAAAACAATACTCCTTCAACACCCACGCCTTGGAGTTAATAAATACCTAACTATATGTCGATGACTTCATCTTTTTCAGCGCTACCGTGTATTTGTAGAGCACAGCTTTGAATATCGTCGATCCAAATGACGAGTAACAGCTCGAGATTAGACTAGCCTGTACGGACGAGTGAGCGGACAAACGAGCGGACGAACCCCGCAGATGATGACTTCTTTTTCGCGACAACACCGAGACATGACCAAGCATTTCTATACACTCGCAGTTCGGAAAGCCCGAGAAAGGCCGAAGGGTTTCATGGAGGACGAGCAGCAGGGCGTTGGGCGATCCGTCGAAGATTTGTGCGACCGATGAAAACGAATAAGTAACCAGCGTAGGACCTTAGAAAAGACTATAAGCAATTTCATCTCTTCTCTATTTATTTCTTCAAGTAACGAAGATTTCACAAGACCTCTTCGATCCATACACTATCGCGCAACATGTCTACCAAACAAGGTCGCAAGATCGCCATCGTAGGCGGGAGTGGTTCCATCGGCTCACACACGCTGTCAGCCCTCCTAAAGACCAACATTCACACTGTTACCGCAATCTCGCGCAGTGAATCCAACGCCACCTTCCCAGCTGGTGTAATTGTCAAGAAAGGCGACTACTCTGACGAATCATTCCTCGTCAGCGCTCTGGAAGGTCAAGATATCCTCATCCTCCAACTCGGAATCTTCTCCGTCGACCAACAAACCCCTCTTATCCGTGCCGCCGCCAAAGCAGGAGTCCCCTACGTATTGCCCACGGAGTTCGGCTCAGACCCATATTCCCCGCTCGCGAAAAACTTCCCCATGTTAATAGAGAGGAAGAAGAAGTACCGTGATCTAGTGGAAGAGTTGGGATTGTCCTGGATCGCCGTCGTGAACAACCCCTGGTTTGACTGGTCTCTCAAGCATGGAAACTGGGGAATAAACATCAAAGAGAAGAAGGCGACATTATATAAGGGGGCTGAGGGAAAGTTGAATACGACCACACAGCGGAAAGTAGGGGAGGGAGTTTCGAAGCTGTTGAGTCTCCCAGATGCGGAACTAGAGACATTCAAGAACAAGCCAGTTTATCTGAGTTCGTTTGAGATTAACCAAAGGGAGGTCTTGGACAGTGCTATTCGAGTCACCGGGACGAAGGAAAGTGATTGGAAAGTTGTGGTCAGGGATGCTGATGAGGTCATCGCAGAGGCTAGAAAAGAAGTTGCGCAAGGCAACCATATGGCGCACATCATGGAGTTCTATATCACACACATGAAAGAGTCCTCCGGTGGAAACTACCAGGCCAAAGCGACCAAGGATGCGGAGGTGCTCGGTTTGAAGGACGAAGAGGATCTTGATGATGTTGTGAAAGCTGTTGTGGATGATATAACAACGGAAAATTAGCAATTATTTTTGTCGCGCCTGACGACAGAATGATCGCAAGACAGCGCGGACACAATACATAAAGGTTTGTAAGGGCTTGGATGTAGAGCTAGAACCGGTGTCGAAAGGATAGGTCAGGATATGAAGGAAGCGATATGTCAATGCATTCCGCGATTTAACAGTCAAGGGTCGCCGTGTTTGTGTCTTCCCTTTTTCTGGCCCATTGAAGCTACCCGTAGTCATTCTCGTATGCACCCCTATATGATTCGGGACTCAAGAAACCTCTAACCTCAGAGCATCGTACTGCAAATACACACTCTCTGGCAACACTGCAGTCTCCGGTGCCGTCGCGCGTGCCGGCAGACTTAGCACAAACTCATTACTCCCTGTCTTTAATGTCTTCGCATCAAACACAAACTTATGCCCCGTGGTGTAGCACGTAGCTGCACTCCTAACCGCACAGCTACTTGAGTGCTGACTCGGAATAGTCCACGTCTGCAACTGCTTTCCATTCACAACGACGTTGTATGGGAGGTTTTCCCACGCCTTGCCATCAGCGGCGTCGTTGTTCCCCGCTGAAGTTTTGACGCCTGCAAGCTGCACGGTGAATGTTGCAGAGCTCTTGTTGGCAATCTGGTTTTGTGTGAGGTCGAACGTTATCGTCCAGTTGTTTACATTGGTATAGTATGGGTCTTTGCGGATGTAGTTCGCTTTACCACCGAAAACGCTCCAGTGGACATAATTCAAGTCACGCAGGCTAGATGTGCCGACTTTGTAGTTAACGCCGTTAGGGAAGTCTTTGGGAAAGTCGTGGACAGCCCAATAGAGACGATATTGGGACGGTTGCAGTGGCTTGGAAGTATCTTTTTCGTTGCCATGTCGAAACTCGCCGCTGCTCTTGTCGGGCGTACCGATGCGCCAGAGCTCTGTGCCGGCGGACTCGGCGGTCCATGTCACAGCCAAATTTTCGGTAGCTCCGGCTTTGACAACGACGTTGTCTTGCTCATATTGTCCAAAAATGCCGTCGGCGTACACGGTCAGGCGATATGTACCGGCCTTGACAGAGGCAATTGTAACGCTACCAGAGGCGTCAACATTCCCCCAGTATTGGTAGGCCTTGTAATCTTTATTGTTGTCCTGAAAGTCGCTACCGCTTAAAGAGAGGACGGCCAGAGCACGAGCCGCACCCTTAGGAAGGGCAATAGTGGCTTTGAACGTACCACGGCCAGTAGACGGGACAAGGTTGGGGACGTGCTGTGCAATAGAGTCGTAGAAGGGGGTCCAGTCACTGCCTGCAGTTTTTGTGGCATCGCTGCGCAGCTGTTGAAGAGAATTACCCTTCGCGCCTTTGTTGAAATAGTAGACTTGCTGTATATGAAATCAGCTTCGGGTATCCAAAATGGACGGCGCGAAACTTACGGGTCCAAAGGTCCTGTCAAATCCATTCACCATCTCCGGCACACCGTTTCCATGATGGTTCGACACAAGATAGTTGTACACGATCCCATCGACCGTAAGATCAGAGTGCGTCGGACCGTTATAATACGTGTCCTTGTAATTCATTATTAGCCAGGCACCAAAAGTCGATCCGTCACTGCTCTTGCTCCCATCACCAAACATTCCATGCACAATTTGGTCCCTCCACTCCTCAGAAAACATGTACTTGGTAAAGTAGTCTGAAAACTGCTTAACGTACGGGTGATCTTTCTTATCACCCACGTACCATGATGCGTCCTGCACAGTCGGTGAACCACTTGTATCAGGTAGCGGTGCATGCAGCTCGTCATTTGAAGATAAGTGCGTCCATACCGAGTTAGCAGGACGAAACAATTGACGGAACTCTCCCAGATCCCCGCCGCTTGGTGTTTTCGAGTTGCTGTACTTCGCCCGCGCGAACACATGCAGTCCTGTCTCCCCATCGCGAAGAAACCAGTATTGCTCAAGCACCTTTCCCGTGCTTTTGTAGTCCTGGCTCATCAGAGCTCCAGCATATGCTTTGCCAGCGCCATCGGTGCCTTTGAACAACTTGTATGTCGCGCCATTGCCTGGCGTCCAGAAGCCGTCGTCAACGCAATGACAATCGAGATAGGGGCCACGTCCGGTTCCGAGAAGATTCTGTCCGTCGAGGGAGAGCTTTGACACAGATCCCGAGCTTTTGGCTACGGAGAAAGACAGTCGGTCATTGGAGATGTTGATCGCGCTGTTGTCCTCGGAGGATTTGATTGCTGCGAAAGTTACCGAGGCCCAAAAGGAGAGGGAAAAAAGGCCGCGAAACATTATAGCTAGCTTTGTAGAAATATTTCCGCACCACCCAGGATCAGGGCAAGGAGTAACGCTGTTTTATACAGTTATATAATGTGAATGCTCGATTTGAGCATAGGCCGAGCAGGTACCGACCCTGTACGGATGAGATCGAAAGTCGTTTTCCGCAACGTGTACTTATTCGCAAAGTGTACAGTCCACTGCCTTTGAATCAACGATGAATTCGACGATTCCAGAATTTTTCCATAGTCGTCATGTAATCAGCTTCGCTCCATCGGAGTGTACTACACCGAGATGATTTCATCTCATGTCGCGAGGCCCGGTTCGAGCTGAAGCGAAGCCTGGAAAAGCAGTAGAGCCGCCTTCAAGCGAAATGCCTCCAATCAATTAGATTGACACGCCGCTAGGATGTTTTTTTTATTCATCACTAAATCAATGATGTGGAGAGTGTGGACCCTGGTATTAATATGCGGGGAGCGGGGCAATTTCACGGTCTAATTACCTGGGCGCATATGGCAACAGTCAAACTAATTAACACCCCCGAGAGTGTTGATATTTGGTATCTGAGGTAAGGTTATTGTTACTCCTGTTGTCGCTATATGTAAGACTATGAGTCCACAACAACACTAAATAGATATACTAGTAACTATTGTCGACCTTGGCGAAAACTGATAGCAGGCAACAGGTCAGAGAAACTCTCTGCAGGAGGCGGGGAAATAGGTCGATAAATGAGTTTATGGAAAGCCGGTCGATGTAATAGCGCATACGCATGAGTGGATAGTGTAGTAGTCACCGAAGCCTGATGTACGGTGAAGCGCGGCCCTAGACTCGCCACAAGCCGCTAGCCCACTTGGCCTAAGTGGCACTGTTATCGATACTGTTCCTTCCTCGCCGGCCATCACCCTGTGCTTTGAAAACCATTACCTTGGAAGCTGAGCTACGCATGTCACCTCACGTACACATTATCCGGCATGGCGAAGGAGTTCACAATGTTGAGCGAGGATACCCGCATCGTGATCCGCCTTTGACCGCAGCCGGCGCCCATGCCACAACAGAAATCCAACTAGCCATCAAGCCAGACCTGATTCTGATCTCACCTATGACTCGAACCATACAGACTGCTATGAATATTTTTCCATCATTAGAAGATCAAAACGGTGCGTTTGCGGTGCCTGTTCAGATTTGGCCAGACCTGCGGGAAGCACACGACGCAATCTGCAACAAGGGGCTCTCACGCGCAGAGCTGCAATCAAAGTTCGCGCAATTCGACTTCTCTGAGTGTCATGAAGAATGGGATTATCCAGCGCATTCCGTCGAGGGAGCTAGGGCAAGGGCAGAAAGCGTAAGACAACGGTTGAAAGATCTTTCAATAACGTACCAGCACATCGTCATCGTCACACATCGATGCTTTATATCATACCTAGTACAAGGGACACGCTTCGACCTCTGCGAAATGCGATCGTACATCTTTAAGGCTGGAAGAGGGGTTCATGATGACAAGTTCATGGAGGAGTTGAAGTGCGATAAGGTACAAGAGCAGGACTTTGGACCTACAGTGCTGGTCCCTCACGACCGCGATGGGAAAGAGTTGACAGACACGGAAGCCACCTAGCGACCAGCCAGGCTATGAATCAAAGGACGTAATTACTGACACACTCACAAAACTACCGACAAACATAGCCATCTCGGGTAAATGTTAGATTACCACTTATAGATCGTGGACGAGTCGAACCTGGCGACCGGCCCCACAGATCACAGCTTCCAATCACGCCCCTTCATTGTGATCTATTTGCTTTTTCTCCAAACAAGCTCAGATTGTGTCCGGGTTCTGAAGCTTAATGAAGCTCGTACTCTAGAGCTTCGTCTAAGATGGAGCACGTATAAGCAGTGCCCACCTAGTAACGTTAGCAACATACCACTCATTTCCAACGCTTTCGATTTCGTAGATTCAAGATGCTGGCCACTACACTTCTTGCGCTCGCGCTTGCCGCAACCGGTCTTGCCCAGGTCCCTGAGGGCTACCGCAAGGTCTACATCACTTCGAAGCAGGATCAAAAGTTCGTCATCGTGCCCAAAACGCGAACAAATGGCAGCACTCTCGTTGTGTATGTCACCCCTCCACATGATTATACCATAACACTACTAACGGGTCTTGCACAGCCAAACACTAACCTCGAAACCCGAGCAACAATGGTATATCAAGGCCAACGAAACGCACATTCGACTTGCAGATACAACATTCTGCCTGGATGCCGGGCCTAAGACCGCCTGGAAAGACATGGCGAATATCTATCTCAGGGAATGCGCGGACAATGAGCAGCAGAACTGGATCGCCAAGGATGATGGGAGGATCGCTTTGGCGGCATCGCCTGGTACACGTAAGTGCCTACTATCTGTCCAAGTCCAAACATACGCACGATGGATATGAGAATTGAAAGGTGACTAACACATAGACAGAGCAATGCATCGATCTCCAGTATCTGAAGGCTACGCAGAACAATCCTGTTGGACTGTACAACTGTGCGGGATTAGGAAATACGGGTGCGGCGGATAAGGGTATCAACTGGCCGTTGGTCAATGCTACTGCCTAAAGTAGAAAGTGTACCTGCACTACTTGGAGGAGACAACCCCAAAGCAAATTGGGAAAGCAAAACTATCTTGGGCGTCGAGATGTATATACATGTATATATTGCCGCAGCTACTTTCATACACACGACCAACTTCGTACTATACTCCAGCCCATTATGAATCACTACGTCATAACTTAGTTGGGCCGAAAACCTACAACCACCCAGGTCGCACTAGAGCCGACTCCTACCCTGCGCCTTGTCCTTTCTCTTCTGCTCAAGTACCTCTTCCACCCTCGCAAACTGCTCGTAGTATTTCAAGCTCTCCGGATTCGCCAGCGTCCCGCTCGGTTTGATAATCTTGCCAGAAACGATCTGCTTAACCGGTAACTCAACCTTCTTCAGATTCACCGTAGTCTACAATACTGTCAGCGAGTGCCTACGAAAGGATCTAGTTCCGAGTATACGTACCGGAATATCCCAAGTCTGAAACACATATTTAGGAACATGTCGCCTACTCCTCTCCTCACTAATCTTGCCCTTGACCTTGGCAATTAGCTCTTCCGTAAACTCATACCCATCATTCATTTTCAGAAACAACATGACGCTCTCATCGTCGTCCTGCGGTCTCCGTTGCCCAACGCACATGCTATCCGCGACTTCAGGGAAATGCGCCTCAATCACACTGTATATATCGCTCGATCCAAAGCGCACACCACTAGGGTTCAGCACACCATCTGCGCGACCCAGGAACAGGATCTGGCCAGTAGTAGGATGCATCTGGATGAAATCTCCGTGCGTCCAGACGTGCGGGAAGCGCGTGTAGTATGCATTTTGATATCGCTCGCCCGTCTCATCGCCCCAGAAGAAGACGGGTTGATTGGGAAAGGAGGCTGTGGCGACGAGTTCGCCGGGCTCACCGTGCGGGATAGCACGCCCTGGTCCCGATTCAATCAAACTATCGTAGACTTCTAGTTTCGTGCCTAAGCAAGGGCCCTGGCATCCGCCCACGTACACGGGCTCGAGGGGATTCTCAAGAGCGAAGCAGCCAGCTAGGTCGGTGCCACCAGATATATTTCGCAGGTGAACAGCAGCGGGAAAGCCTGTGTCGTAGAACCATTCGAACTGCGATTCGGAGAGGACCATGCCAGTTGTACTGACGGAGCGGAGGGCCGAGAGATCAAAGAGACTGCGAGGAATGATGCCGCGCTTCTGCAGTTCGTGTAGGAAGCGCGGTGAGGTGCCGAAGTCGGTGACGCGCTGCTCTTGGACGATGGATAGGAAGGCTTGGGGAGAGGGTTGGAAGGGGGAGCCGTCGTAGAGGATGCTTCGACTGCCGAAGAGGCAGCACTGTACTGAGGCCAGGTACATGATCCAGCCCGTTGTGGTGTACTGCAGTACTACGCTATCGGGTCGAATCTCGCGATGTAGCAGACCTTCTTTGGCGACGCTGACCAGCACGCCACCAGTCGAATGGCAAATGCATTTTGGAACCCCAGTGGTACCACTCGAGTACACAATCAAGAACGGATCGCGAAAAGCCACTCTCTCAATCTTCAACTCCTCGTTCCCATGGGCAGCTTTCAAGAATCCTTCGAGAGTGACCGTTCTCGGTACACCGTCGAGATCCGCTGGTTTACCTGGAAATCTCGGCTGTGTTACTACCCCTTTGAACTCACTAACACTGCTCATTCCTTGGACGATCTCCTGGATCTTCGGCCGCAGGTCGATAGTCTTCCCGTTGTAGACAGCCCAGTCGTCAACAAAGACATAGGCAGGCTTGATCTGGAGTAAACGCTCCAGTATACCCTTGGTTCCCATGTCTGTACTGCTAGATGTAAACAGGCCCCCTAAACTCACAATAGCCATGAAGACGATAAAAGTGTCGAAGCTCGTACTTGCCACTACGGCGACTCGATCGCCTTTCTTCACGCCTCTTGCTCGGAGTGCATTAGCTAGCACACCTACACGTCGGCGTAGCTCGCCCCATGTCAGATGCCGGACTTCAGTGTTGCCCTCACGTATCTCGGTCAGTGCGATCTTCGCGTCTTCTTTATGCTCTGTGGTGCGAACAGACGGATCGGATGAGCTAGCAGAGTAGAGAATGTTCTCTGCAAAGTTCAAGTGTGTGCCCTGGAACCAGCGTGGTATGCTGTCCATAGGCGCAGAGGTGTCGACGACCTAGCGGATTAGCCCCAGGTATGAGATGCACATGGAAGCATGCTGGAAGTGACGTTTACAGCAGGTTTAGCATACCTCGGTGTACCTTCCCCCGTAGATCAACCCACTCGCATCTAGCATGTCTTCCCAGAAGTCTGTCCGCTTATCTCCAACACTCCAGTCATACAGCTCACGAAATGTCTACATCAGAGTGAGTATTCATCGAGCCAGGTGAGGAAGAGTAGAGCACAAAACAAGATGACTTTACAAACTCACTTCCAAATTCAGCCCCCTTTTCAGATTGGCATTCTGCATAAACTTCCACATGGCCGTAGAATTTGGGTTAGAATGTTGCCATAACTTGCGAGGGGCAGGGTGTTGCGAAGGCATTGGTGCTGATGTGATTAAGACGTGCACTTTGAAAGGAGAACGCGATTAGAGCATGAAGCAGCGAATTAGAAAAAATGTAGTCGATAAACAGAAGGTGGGATGGATGTGTTTACTACTGCACGACCTCGGCAAGCTGGAGCAGGAAGCCGCCCCACGTTTTGCGGAGGGGTTCCGAGCGGAAAGCGGAACAAGGGGCTTAGCCGCATGCTTCGCAACTCTTGAACCATTCACAGTACCTTGGGTTCGAACGGCTTAAGCGCAGTCGCGCTCTATCCGACTACCTAGGTAGAAGAACCATTCTTTAGCTAGGAACTCACCAGGATACAAGAAAGGTGTTCCATCCACCTTCCAGAACCTACCCTGCATGTCTCCTTCAACATCCGCCTCACGCGGCACTGCGAAAAACCCTGCGAATATTGTAATACAAACATAGGGCTTGTCATAACTCTGCCCCCGCCGTATACCAGCTTTATATGAGATGGATCACTTACCACGGGTGGTAATATGCAATGTGGCGTAATCTAGTAATCTAGTAATCTACCGACCCCACAGCGTTGGGTGGGTGGCACGCACTCTATCTGAGACGTCGGTTCCGTATTCCAGCAGATGGGTGTGCTAGCAATATCCCGCCTATAATTACAATTACGGTTGGTTCATCGTCCAACTGTTAGTTTCTGTTAGCAGGTGGTTTTGCGATGCGTCGCACATGGGCGCACAGGAAGGGGCATGTCAGCACTTGTGGATGATGGTTGCATGGACGTCGGATTTGGGGGTTCGGATGTGACGTTTGTGTTACTCGATGGGGCTGAACGTGTCGGGGAATTTCGCGTTCTAGTGGGAGATCCGCTTGCTTCCCGAGGGTCGAACGTCAGTCCGGAGTGTGCTGTGGAGGATTGAGGAGGAGGTGCAAGTAGCTGTTATACATGGGTCACGATCGGGCATTGGAGAAGCGCGTTTATCGAAAGTCGCGGATTTCGCTGTCCGTAATGTTGTATAAAAAGATGGTGGGCCTGTCATGGAGTGACGTTGGAACGGTCCTGGAGGAGCCCATGTGGTTGCCGGGGTAAAGTGTCTAGCGTCTTAGTCCGGCCGATGTTGGTGTTACGCAGTACGGTTGGGCGTGGCAATGGGCGTGTAGTGTCAGACATTGGGGTCTCGACTCCGAGATAGATTCGACATTGCATACAACGAGAGCGCTTGATTGAGCAGCATAGAGAACGAGTAGACGGGAAAAACTGTTGAAGAGGTGATGGAGTTGGGCGGGACAATCAGGGCTCAATATGGGGGTACAAAAGGGCGGTGAGAGTCCGGCAAGTGCAGTTCTCCCAGTGTCAGTGAAGCGATAGTGATGGGCATGCCCTAATAGTGTGGGTCGCTGATGTTGGCCTCACCATTGAGGGCTGAGTAGAGCGGCACGGTCCTGGTTTCCGAAGGCATACCACGCGCAAGGTGGATTTAATATGCGTAGATTGCCGAGGCGTCGTTGCTCGATTCCACGACGACAACTGCTTTCTGGGCAATGTCGAGGCCGTCTTCGATAGGGAGATAAGAAGGCTACTCCAGGCGCGGAACATTTCTGACTCGCTGCACAATCTACAGCAGACTAAGGGTGACGCGATGAAGCGGGTGACTGAGTCTCCCATGTTGAGTGGTGGAGTGAGGGTACGCTTGAACCACGTTAGTGCACAGGCATAGACAAATCGCATAGCGCAGCGACATGCACATGCTGTATGCAGGTAAATGGACCCTATGCGAGGTCGATGCTGGGGTGGCGCTCCGAGAATAGGCCGGAGAAGAGCATGTGCGTGAGGTGAAGCTCAGCGGACTTGGATACGCTCGATGCGAGGCGAGGCGAGGGATGCAGAGGTGGACATGACTGTGATGAAGCCTGAGTGCCTGTGTGTGACCTCGGGATCTGGTGGTGAAGATTCTGTCTGCGAGAGCGACTTGTCTTGTCTTGTTCATGGGCTGCCAACGCACCACCACCACGACAGGAACAGCGGGTTCAGAGAGGGAAAGAGCCAGGGCTGCAGCGGATCCTCATTCGGCTATGGCGTTACCATTTCCGCCATACTAGTGCGCCCCGCAGGCCCAACTCGGCAGGCACGCGCTGTGACTCGCCCGCCCCTGAAAAACGCGGCAGGAGCACTTGTCATGCACCCCTCAAGACTGGAATGGCGTCAAAGAGAAAAAGATGAAAGGAGGGCGATCAAAGAGCGTCTATCCCGTCCGTTCCTCAGCTCGCTCGAACCTCCAACGGGCTGTAAACGCCGTGTAGTAGTAGTAGTACCACGAGCCCTCTGCTGAAACCCACAGGCAGCCAGTCAGGTCCTACATGTGCCCTCTTCGTTGCACTGCAGCCAGCCACACGCTGCACCACCACGACTTGTCGACATGGCGCATCCCCAGGGGCCAAGGCGTTTTCGCAACCCACACGGCCTGCCCAGCGCAGACTTGTCAGGGTCGAGTGCATTGTTACCCACACGGACTCTAGATTCATGGTTCCCCTGTAATCATTCCCTCGCCGTCCTCGGTTGTTCTAGCTGAAACCCCAGGGGGGCACGGCTCCCGCGTTCATGTTTAATACCAACCCATCGCCAAATCCTCTACCCTTGGCTATTGTCTTCTTCCAACGACCGTTGACCCCTCCGCAGCAGGCTCTGACTGAGGCTGTAACTGTCCAGACCAACATCCGGATCCGTGTGACACGACAAGTCTCACTCAGCGCCCGCCTGCCTTGTGCTCCCACGCCCACGCCCTCCATCACACTTTTGGCGCCCACCCTGCACGCCTTGGGTTTCAGCAGCTGCACACCAATCCATTATAATACCACAAAACCACCGAGTCTTGCCAGACCATTCCATTCCTTCTAGTTTTTGCTTCTCTATATCAAGAAAAATGGCCGACGTTGCTGTCACTGCACAGCTCCAGCAGTGGACGTTCGAGAAGCCTACCCTGGCTACCCGCTCTGAGCGATCCAGCTCCGAGATTTCCACCACCAGCCCGAAACTGTGTGACGATGTTCCCGACACCCTGAGGATAGACACCGCGGCCGCACAGGCCTCGACATCAGCGTCCAGAAAAGAAAACATCATGATGGTCCGCTATCTGTCCAGCGAGGAAGACCTGTCCGCTATAGACGACGAACCAGAGAGTGACATGGACGACTACGAGGAGGCCATTATCCACGACCCAACAACAAACGAGTGCAAGGCCCGCACAATGTCCATATCACGGTGGGACAAGGGACGGAGCTGCGACATGGCCGTTCTCGTCTCCTATGCTTTTGCTGGGCGTCCCAAGGTCGTCGAGCTTGCTGACTGCCGTTCGCCCATCACTGAGCGCCCGGTGCAGCAACGGTCCGCTTCACTTGCCAACCTGCCAACTGCCGCAATCAGCAAACTACAAAAAGCAGACTTCACACAACGGCTTTCCATGAATGTTCCTCCTACACGTGGCATCTCGTCGCCATCCTTTACTCCTTCTGTTTTACCTACAATCGAATGTGAAGATCGACGGCCCTCTACAAGCTATGGTGGCATGTCTGAGAAACCTGCCTCCCCGCATCTTACTGGTACCGCTTCTACCACATCCTCGTTCCTGACGGCACCCTCGAGTCGAAGCATTTCACCTGCTTCCAGCGAAGCACCTCGTCGACCATCCACATCCGCGGAAAGCCCTCGGTCCTCCGCTTACCTTCCCTCAAGATCTCGCCTTGACCGTACGACATCAGAGATTGTACAACCGCTCAATCGACACTCACAGCTTGCACCGCTAACACCTCTGTCTCCTGCGCTCTCCTTCCTAAGCTCCGACCCTTACGAAACTTCAAACACCAATGCCGCGTCTCCCATCATCAAGAAGCCCGCAGCACACAAGCGCTTACGGTCGATATCCATGAAACTGGCGCTGGCGAAGATTGCCATTGCACCTTCCAAGAAGCCATACGACGCTCGTGTCAACGGCAAGACACCCCTTACCCCGATGACGCCTATGACACCACAAACCGCCCCTATCGAAGGATCAGCAAGCTTCTCCAGCCCAAGCAAGCTACGCAGAGCCTCCACCATTCTACGACCAAAGTCCCGACACGGCGAATCTGCAAGAGGCCCTTCACCAGACATGGTACCCCCGATTCCTTCCTTCAACGCCAGCACGCTCTCGCTCAAGCGAATGACGAGTAGAATGGTTGCCCGGGGTGCCGACGAGCGGGAACCTACTCTCGTCCTGCCTCCGTGTCCCGACGCCTCCGACGCCGATTCCATGGGCACTGTAAGGCGTAAAACGCTGCGAAAGCGCAAGTCGCTCATGGATCTGCTCTAGCCTGGTCGGTCGCATAAACGCTCGTTTATTCTTTGTTTCGAAACTACAGCACCCCGCATTCAAACGCATGAACGCATTGACGACCATCTTTATTCATTCATGCTACATCCTAGCTAGCACCTTCGCCACCACACTGTACATGCCACACCACCCTTCCTTCCTTCCTTTCTTTCTTCTTTCGTTTTTGCCTCTAGGGTCATGGCGGCTTGTTTCAGCTCAGCGACATCGCATAATACCCGGCGTACATTGTCTTATCCCAACGTGGTTCAGTCTGTTCGAAAAAGAGGTGATGATACCCCTCGCGTTCGCCTTCGTTTGCCTTTATTTATTCTTCTTTTCGCTTCTTGGTAAGCGAAGTGTTCGCCGCCGCTCTATTACACTACACGTAGTAGTTTAGTTCTTACTGTCGCTATCCATCGCATCTAGTATGCCATCATCTATTTTTTATTTTAGATTGAGTTCAAGTCTCCTGCCTCGATTTGGTAGCTAGGCTGTTGTTCTTGACGAAGATCTATGACTTTCTTGCGTCTGAGAGAGAGAGAGCCAGCATAATAGACATGAAACTCTTCACTACAAAATCACAAGTTGCAGCACCGTAACACACAACCCTATGCTTTCAGAATAAAAAGACATAATATTACCCTATCCAACCCAGTTCCACTTTATACCCACCTTCCACCTCCATCCGGCCGTCCAGCCGTCCAAGCCGAGATCGCGAGACGGGGCCTTATGTCGCAGGGTCTAGCGAGGGAGTCCCACTGTTAGCTCAAATGAACTGCTAGGGTACTTCTTTGGCTCAGGGTCCACGTGTGGAGACTAACTAACTAAATAATGAGCTAGCAAGTCAAGATAAATGTTTCGAAACAAACCGATCTTACAAGGATGGGCATTGTCCATTCTCTCAATGGCGTGATGTGTTAAGAGATTTTTTGGGAGGAAGAAAGGTTGGAGTTGTTCACACTAGGGTGAAGCAGAGCGGTGTGTCTGCGGTCTAGATCCACACTCTCGCCCTTACCCTCATCCTTATTCCCCACTCCTCAGTCCTACGCTTCAAACGTCCATCGCATACACACATATCTCTCTTAAATCGCGACAAATATCATGACATCACTATCAAAATCGCCAATCCATGCTACGTACCCGCTTCTTCCCACCCCAGGCTCACCCTACCCACCCAGCGATCATAATATCCTGCCCCCCTAGCTATAAAATTACCTCCTCGTCGTCACCATCTTACGATACCGCCCATGCATGTCGCAATTAATCGAGTTTGATCTTGGGTGGGGGGTTTCTTAGTATGCCGCTGCCCCGTGCGCGTGCCGTGCTTCTATGCTTAATGTGAAACAAGCCTGCTCCCTGCGCTTTATGAGTGGGCTGGGCATGGGGCAGTGTTATACCGAAATGGCCTCGGAGAAAGTGAGATATTCCGTCTGTTTATGAAAAGACGTTGGTGAAATGGGGAAGGATTTAGGTTGGGGAAGGAGGAGGTGTAAGGTCATGTGACTGCGCGTGACGACGCGTCTTAACAGCGGCGTGACTATCTATTCTTTAACTACCTAAACTGCAAGCAAGCTGTTCATCTAGGACTACGTACTTCTTTCCGTGGTTCACATAAAGCATTTAGTTTCTGCGACTAAGAAGACGTTTGTATTTCATCCAAGACCCAATTCACTCCATCAACAACCAAATCCGGCTGCGTCAACTGAACAAAATGCCCACTCTCACGCGCAAACACCAGCTTCCCTTTTGTAGAAAGTTTCAGATGCCCCTCCATGAGCCCCTTGCTCTTCTCATCAGCCGAGCTAATCATCTCTCTAGCACACTTCCTCTGCTCCTCCGTGCCATTCCCCCTCTCAACACCCGCCCGATACAACCCACTCCAATCCCGACTCCGCATACCCCCAATAACATAAACCGGCTTATCTCCCAAGACCGGCGGTTGTCTTTTCCCTAGTTGCTTGCTGCGCAGCGTGGGGAAACTCGCTTCGTACTCATCTTCCTCCCTGTCCGCTTGTACCTTGAACTTCTCTGTGGCTTCGTCACGGAGAAACGCATCCCACTCTTGCGGCGTCAATCTGTGTTCTGCTCTAAGCCCTTGAGCAGACAGCCAATCGACGCCCGCAGACATGGCTGCGAGATTTTCATCCAGCACGTTGAGCACTTGCAGACTCGTCTCCTGATTAGCATCGACAAACACCAGGCCAGCGATTTGCGCGCCGTTGCCCGTGCGAGCGATGAATTCGCGGACGAGCACGCCGGCCCAGGAATGCCCGACGATTATTAAGGGGTTCTTAATAGGCGCTTTTTCGATCAAAAGGGAGAGTTCCAGAGCGATGTTCTCGGCTGTGGGCGTGAGGGGGGAGGCCTCCGAGTTGCCACAGCCCGAGCGGTCGTACGTGTAGCTGCGTAGCAAGGCGGGGAGGAGTCGCCTTACGGCGGCCCAGACGAGGCTGCTGCTTGCTATGCCACAGACGAATAGGACGACGGGGTCTTGAGAGCTGCTGGGTTCTGGGCCGTGGGCGTAGAGGGCGAGGGAGTGGGTGCCGATGTTGACGAGGGTGGGGTCTGGAGAGGACATTGTGGAGTTGTGGAGTTTATAGTAAGCCTTGTGGAAGTTCTAATGAGGGAACTGTGTTATATATATGTTAGACGGGAGTAAGGCCCTCCACGATTGCGAAGAGTAGCACTTTGTGGACCACGGCATTTGTGCGTATAGAGATTTATAAGCAATTCTAAACTATATCTTACAGGGTTCTAGCGCCATCGTCTTCATCTCACCTATGGAAGGCGTCGGATCACACTAGTGTACTGCAGTAAGGGGATACTAGAAAGAGTGAATCATGCTTCCGGGCGGTATGCAGTGTCGCGCTCACATCATCTATTCAAAGCACGGACCACGTCGGTCGTTGGCGGAGGTGCCAAGGAGGCAGTTCTCCGTCTTCCTGTACATGTCGCTGCGCTGTCCACCTATACCTACACCCGAACCATCGCAATTTTCCTTGTCCGCAGCAATAGACCTATCTCCTCTGCCTTTCCCCTACTTTCACTGACTTTATTGCAATGATCGAGGTCCTGAAGACGGCTCAATTGTTCGCGCCGATTGACGGTAGCATCCAATTCAACTGTACGCGAGTCCTTTTTCTTCGGGATGGCATGACATTCTGCGCAAAGCCACCCATGAGGATTGGCAAGCGCTATAAGATTGATCTGGACACACTGGAGGATATTAGACCTATCCCTCCTGAGCCTTACCAGCCCCTTTATACGTCCGATTACACTATCGCGTCACACCCCGATCGGTGTTTCTCCAAAAAGCCAAACTTGACTTCCTTCATGGGTGGGGCAGAGCTTTGCGACTATGTTCTCCTGGAGCTTGCAACTTGCGAACTCATCCGGAACCAGCCGCACCGGAACATTGCAACCTATCATGGCTGCGAGGTCTTTGATGGTCGGGTCATCGGTCTCTGCTTTGAGAAGTACGAACAGACTCTATTAGAGAGGGTCAATCCCAGCCATCTCAACAAGTCTATGTTTATTCTTGCCGAAGATCATATTGCGGTCCGTAGGAAGGCAGCGCGTTATCTCTCTGGTATTGAGGAAGGAATCCGGCATCTGCACAGCCTTGGTCGCAACCACAACGACATCAATCCTGCGAATATCATGTTTCGCGAGGATGATACGCCAGTCATCACTGATTTCGATTCCAGCAGTGCCCCAGGAACAGAACTCGACAAAGCAAAGCGTACATACGGATGGTATGACCCAGACGTTACTGTGTCACAAGCGGCCAACGACTTCAAGGCTTTGGCAGAGTTACGCACCTGGCTGACTGGTTCTGAACCAGCCGAGTTTCAGTTTGGTTGGTAAAAGACGTATGTGGCTGCAAGCAAGCTGAGACAATCTAGGGGAAAGTAAAAAAGTGCAATCGTTTTGGTTCAGCTGCTACAGACAGTGGACTGCCCCTCCGCCGCGATATCCTGTCTAATTCGGCTTCACCTAGCTATCCGAGTGCGGATGATCGGACCTTTCGCAATCCTTTTTTTTTTTCAATCATGCCATAAATTGACCTGAAAGTGCAGTTATGAACCAATATCGGCATGCTGGCGTCAGTTCTGTAGAGAGCCAGCTGAGGCATCAACAGTCATGTTCGTACCTTATGCAATGTCAAGGCGTTCGACCCCGGTTGCATTTCCCCCCACTCGGCTTCAGTTCAGACTTAGCGAGAGAGGCGAGGGCGAGGGGTGGGTGAGGGTCAGTCACTAGGCAGGAGTTTTCAAGGTGGTAGTTTACCTTTTGCCCACGTCCCAAGGTCGACAAATAGCACCAATCAAAGAGCAGGCAGGTGCGATTCATTCAAACAGCTTCCAGAAATTTCCAATCGTTAGGAAAGCTATTCAACAGGGGTGGCGTGGCTGAGGGAAGGTAGCCACCAGCGTTGCGACGTGGAAAATGCAAACATACAGGGCCTAGTCAAGACCTTGTAAGCTAAAAGCAGATATTAGGTAAACATTGTCACACCGTCTAGGTAGGCGCAAAGTAAAGGTTTCAAGCTACAGTAGATTTGGAGCAAGGGACAGGTTATTTCACTGCGATAGAGCATTATAACGTAGACAGTACGACAAGATGACGAAGGCTCAGTCGGGAGTCTGTTCAGGGTGGAGGTCGAGAAGAAATGTGATTTGAAAGAGTAGGGCAGCTAAACTAATAATGTGCATGAAACACTTGCCTACAGCCAGGAGATGAGATCCAAAAGCAGATCGAACAAGGAGATGCAATTTTCGTGATGCATAAAACAGCGTCAGGAAGAGAAGGGCTTTTCATAAACCACCCCATAACATATATCACGTTCGTCGATGCGCAGGACCTTTTTTTAATGCACAACACCACATCATCGCTTCCTCACCCCGTTGACACACCAGTAAGTGACTACTTACTTGTTGATACGACACTGTTTTCGGCACCTCGCAGAGCCTCCATGGCGCGATCTAGCTCTTCCTCAGCAACCATGACCGTCCCCGCGCGCGCCGTACTGAGATAGCTCATCTCAACAGGTTCCTCAACCTGCCCAGTCGTACCACCGACCAACCGTCCCGCCACGCCGCACACAATACCCGTGCTCTCCATGGGAAGATCACGCAAATCAAGCGTAATAGGCGTGAGATAATCACCCTTGGAGCCAAGCAGGGTATCTTGGGCAAAGTTCGGCAGCAGCGTGTGGTCAAGAAGGAGTGAGGCGGACTCGGTGTCGGTTAGCGTGAGGGATAAAAACTTGGGATAGGGTTGGGAGATGAGGCATTTTACTAGGCCGAGGTGAAGCGCGTCGTCGGCTGCGCTCGTCATGCTGTTGCGGTTGCGGCTTTGGTTCATGCCGTTTGCGCTGTCTGTGCGGCCGGCACACTGGACTAGGCGGATGCTCGAGTCTACCGTGGGGACGATGTTGCGGCGCTTCAGTGTGGCAAAGGTCCTGGTTTGGAGTTCGGTGATGGTAGTCGGCGGGGGCGTGCTGGGAGGCTGAACTTCGAGCGAGGCAGCCGAGGCCTTGCGGCTGTGATGGTACGAGTTGACATAGGACGATGTCTGGTGCTCGAACTGAAAGCCACGCTCTTCAAGCGCCTGCACAACATGCGCTTGATTTCGAAGTGGAACAAGGATGTAGTCGGAGTAGTATGTTGTGATGAAGAAGATGGAGCTGAATAGATCAATACCAGAAGGCTATGGAGAACTGTGGCAGTACTTACATGCCAGCTAAAGCAAGTGGGCTCGTGAGCTCCAAAACACGTTGGCCAGCATCAAGCCCTTCGCCATCGACTTGCATGACGACGAAATCCTCGGAAGTAATGTGCATCTGGCTCTTCGACTGCGGATCTAGCAGGTTGAGAACCGGGACAAAGAGCTCAATTGCAAGCGTCCGTGAGCATACTATCGAACACTCGACTGGCGTTATTGAGATATTCACAAAAGGGTGCTCGTAGGGCCAGCCTCTTGGAGGCTGAACCGCACCTGAGCCATTGCCGAAGCCATTCTGAGTCGCGTTTGGTAGTAGCAGCTGGAGAATAGATTGGAGGAAGTTGCGATACAGGTGCAATGGGATATGTATCAGAGCAAGCTGCGTGTCCTTGGAGGCGATCATGTTAGCTGAAGTTTGCTAGGCAGAAGAGTTTGTGTGGGAGGCGAAATATAAAGCAGCCCTACAGGTAGCCGTGCATACGGATCTGCCGCCAGGCTGAGTTAAGGCATTCGGCATGGTCACTTTCAACATTGCAAAAGCACAAAGAGCATGACAGACGGAGGGCAACGTACCAGGAATTGGATGTTTGCACTCAGCAGGGTCATGGACGAGTCCATTACGTGCTATAATAAAACGATAAGAATAGTCCCGTGTGATGACGGGGGTTCGCGTGTGCTGCCTGCAAGGCTCGTTCCGATTCGGTAAAACCCCAGTTGATGAGGCTTACCACCAGGTCCGACAAAGGTTCCGCAACAGTGAGATAAGCAAGCCTGGTGTGTTCCGATAGACCCACAGAAGCAATATGCTGTCGGGAACGGCCGTGATAGGTGATAGGTAGCACTCGGATGGTTGCAGTTGAAAGTGCGGGGGAACCGAGCAGGTGTCTTTTTCTACCTGTTGATGTGCTCCTGTCCTACGGGCCAGTGAGAAGTGTCGTTTTTGAAGCCGAAATTCATCCCAGACAGTCGTTGAAATGTGGCTTTGAAAAAGGACAATGTAACGTCAGGTAGTGATGGAGCACGACGGTACCAAGGAGTTTAAAACGCACTTTGCCGGAGTACTTTGCGGATGGGGGTATGGCAATAATAGGACAACAACGGAAGACTACTGCAGAAGCCGCTGCAAGTGTCCTTGAGCGCTCGGTCAGACGAGGCACTGCAGAGAGTCTGGGGTAGAGGTGCAGCGTGGGGACGGATGCAGGTTCCTCTCCCGCAATTGGCTGGTAGCGTCCGAATCGTACAGCTGGACGGAAGCCCAGGGCGCGTTTCCAGGCTGGCTCTGCAGGCACGCGGGGCGAGGTGGGTGCGTGGGATGCACACTGGACGGGTCTTGCGCGTAGAGCGGTTGCTTTTGCTAGTACCGTCCGAGAGGGCGTGTGACGACAAATGGAGGCCTGGTCGGGGACAGCAAGCCAGGGGCCGTGGAGGGAGTGAAGTAGGTGGATATCTGGGCGTATAACGGCTTTAAGTGACTGAGGGTGCAAGAGTGGAGCTAGCTCTGGTGTTTGGTTTCCGGGCGTGGTGACTCGAACGGCCAGCCCGGAAAAATTTCCTCGACGGCGTGCCCGTCATGCTGGGACGCTTGGGCGAGGCCAGCGACGACGAGACAATGGGGTCAGTGTAGAGAGAGTAGGTTTAGGCCGAGTGTTGCGAGGGGCCAGAAGCAGCCACAGCCATGCACTTGTCTTTGTTGCTGGGTGCTTCATGTCATGCAGCCGTGGAGAAACCTCAACACCAGTCGTCTGTGCGCTACCTGAACCTACTTCAGGGCGGGCGGCAAAGCAAGTTTGGCTGCCCATGACACAGCATTGGACGCGCTGAAGACGTCAGCCCAGCGAGTGAGGTTTGGACAGCATAGCATCATCAGACTATCCTGATCCCATAGTTCAGGATGGCAATCCTGGACCTCGCTGGGCGTGACAGACGCCCTTGTCCAGTCCTCGCCAGCATGTTTCTCGCCAATGAATATCCGTCTCATCAGCTGCATTCGCCCATGTCGCCCATGCTCGTCCTGCTTGTGCCTGGGATGCCATCATGGTGACCCCACGCCGTGTTGCAGGTCATAATTGCGTGCATGAAGCCGCCCATTTGTCCCTAGCAGGTAAGCCGGGCGTAACCGCCTGGCGTCGTAGGCCCTCGTGCGTCTTCCACTCTTCTCTCACGTCTCGCGATATGCGACGGATTTGGCAGCCAGCCATACCTCATAGCCCGTAGCTCGTGCTCGACATGCAGCAGAGCCAGTAGACGATGACGATGTGTGTGCAGTCGTGTAACGCTACAGGCACACACAAACACCCACACACCCACACACTACCCCGCAGCACCACCGTCTCGTACATAGAGCACAACCACTGGGCTTGGGAGCAATGACGTGCACAAGTGCCCTAGATTAGATCAGATGAATGGGAACCCGCAGCACGGGAAGGTCTCGCGGTGGAGCACAGGCTGATCGGCTCAGGCCAGTGTTGCTTAAATCTTCTTCCTTCATCTCGACCAGCTTGCCGGCCAACTTGTCCGAACCCCCACGCATCCCTTCATTGCATGTAGAGTAATATAACAATTTCGCGCGAGACACGCCTCCAACCGAACTGCAAGCAGCGTGGTCTTACCCCTCGTCAACACATCGGACGCCTCCGCACTTGAAAGGCCTGCCCTGTTTGCTCGACGTTTGACGAAAGCCGCTGAGAACCGTCATGCTTACATTGGAGGTGATGCCGTCCTCATGTCACTTTCTGTTACCGATATCCAGAGATACATCCATCAATCTTGCAAGGCGCCACTTGCCTCGATGCGACTGACTTGTTTGGGAAAGCCTCGTCTCCCTGCTCGACTTCGCCTTGGTCTGAACTCCGCCTAGATATGAGTATAATAGGATAACGAGCCCATTCGAGGACTATTCAATTTCCATGGGTGCTGCTGTCTGTCAGTCATAGCTTCGGGCAAGGTCAGAGTTTGAACAGTGAGTTGTGAACTGAGCGTTTGGCATTTCAAGAGCAATACAATCCCGATCAGAACCAAATAAATCTGTTGCGCAAACAACAGCCAGCCGAGGCTCCTGCTCGTCCGTCCCAGCTTTTCGCCCATACTCCATGAAAAACGCCGATGCCATGCTGTGCTTTTTCCACCTCGTCCATTCCACAACTTCGGATCAGCTCATGCTTGCTTGAATTGTTGCCTGAAGATCCATCGCGTACAGCCAAGGTAGAAATTTAGGTAGAGAGTACGTTGACCTATCCCTCTACGATCGCTCGGCAACCTTGTTCTCTGTGCGGTGATTAGCCCTATTCCCCTCAATGCAATCTTCCACACAGGTATACCCGACAAGGGAGATAAACTCACTCTGCTGCGTCAAGAGCAGTCCATAACGCTTCTTAATCGTCACGCGGTGCCTCGAGTACTTGTCGTCGGGCGAGAACCGGGCAGGATGCGCGCTCTTGCTCACTTCGCCGCCAATGACCTTTTTCAGCGTGTAGGTGCGCTTCGTCGGGTTGGCCGCGTCGGGGATGTACATGAGATGCATGCTGGTGTGCTTGTTAGTAAAGGAACTGGGAATCTCGTCATGTGAGCGCAGCTAGCTATGCCCGGGAAGCGTGAGAGAAAGATGGGCGCTTACGTGACGGTATTGGTGCGCGAAAGACTGGGTATACGTCTAGTTTTGTGCGGGGGGTGAGCGGTTGTGAGGATATTCGCGTTCTCGAAGCTGGATGTTCACAGCTCGAAAATTGCGGAACTTTTTGCGGCCCCCAGCTCGGCGGTCCGCAATTACTCTTGGCGTGTTTGCATCGTTTGGTCGAGCTGGCTCGAAGCTCCACATCACCCAGATGACGCTCGCCTCAAACTACACACAACGTACCGCAGAAGCCGTTGCATTTTTGACTGTGCGAGTCGGATTGCAATCATGGCACGCTTTCAAATGGTTTTAACTTTTCTCGCGACTTGGTTCCTCACTGCAAACGCCCAATTCGGCTTCTTCGACCAAATGTTCGGTGGCCAGCAACAACAGCAGCAACAACAGCAAGCACAAAATGTCCGCAGCGACAGCTCATGGTACCAGGCGCAATATGAGGGCGGTATGTTATCTTCCCTTCTCTCCTCCCCCCAATTTGGTTGTCACATTCCTGTACTAACTTCTCCGTCTCAGCACAATGCACACACTACCTCTGCCCTGGCACCCTCTCCTGCGTCCACTTCCCGCACCACTGTCCTTGCGCATGGGATAGCGTAGAAGATAAAGCGGAACTTGGGGAGGGGATTGCGATTTGCGGATCAAAGGGTGGGTGGAGTGAGGGCGAGTTTGCGAAGAAGGTGCAGCTTGCTCGGAAGGGGCTTCTCTGAACGGAGTAGAAGAAAAACGTGGGTGCAGCCTTGGGCTCGGTACCGGAGGCTGAATAGAGTGAATTTGTGAGAAGAGCGTAGAGTTGCATTTGGGGTCTAGAAGGGCGCGAAGGGTCAGATCGGACTAAGACTTTACGTGACACTGATATGATGGGATGCGAGCGAGGGAGCAATGAATCAGGTTGAAAGGGCATCAAAGCCCCAAATGTGTGTCAAATCATCGACTCGTTCAATCATTAATACCGATACGCCTGTCCCAGTCCAAACTATGTACACAACACAGCCCTCAAGACCGCTTCACGTACTGATACGCATACCCCTGCCTCTCCCCACGCTTCTCCTGCGCAACACCTATCTCTTCCCTCCCCCACTGCCTCAACAGCACTTTCCCCATGAGCTCCTTCTCCGTCTGCACCTTGCCAACAGTCTCTACCCATTGTCCGTCTCGCTTGCCAACAACCGTCTTTGCACGCTCTTTCATGAGCTTGCTCAACATAGCGGCAAGTTTCTCGTCCATGGCTTTGTTTACAGCTTCAAAGTCTGATTCTTGGGCCTCGAGGCGGGCTTCGAGGGTACTGTTCTTGGTGCGTAGGCTGGTGAGCTGGGATTCGAGGGCTGCCATGGTATCTTGGAGGTCGGAGTGGGAGTCGGAGGCTGATATGAGTTTCTTATTCTCCTTTTTCAGCGTAATCGTTTCAGTTTTTAACAACTTCATCTCAGTGACCTGTTTCCGGATAATGTCGCGCAGATTTGAGATCTCGGTGTCTTTCTCATTTGCCTCGCTTGTGGACATTGATGTCGAGGTATCGTCATTAGAGGTGCTGTCTTCAACGATCTTTTGGGCGGCCTCAGCGCGTAGCTTCTCCGCCTCCTCTTTGGCCTTTTTTAGATCCTTCAAGACGCGCTTCTTCTCGCTGCGCTCCTGCACGAGCAACGCACCAGCTTTCCTGACCGCATCCTCGGCCTTCTCACGCACATCTTCCATTGTCGTTTCATACTCTTCCGTTAGGTCGTTATGTTGGGCCTGCAGCTCTTTGAGCTTCTCCTCAGCCTCAAGCTTTGAGTCCTTCACCTTACTGACCCTCTTCTCGACTTCGATGACACGTCGGCTTGCTTCTGCACGAGCATCCTGCAGACGGTCATTTAATTCTTCGAGATCTTGTTCGAGTCGTTCCACGTCTGTCCTTACTTTAGCACTGTCACGGTGTGCTTCTGCAAGCTGTTGACGGAGCGTGCTAATTGTGGTTTCGAGACCTTCGATTCGGCCTTGAGAAGCGTTAAGGCGTTGTTCGAACTGCTCTTGGGACTCCACGTAGCGTAGGATTTGCTGGTCTTTAAATGCAAGATCCGTACGGGTGGTTTCGAGCTCTGTTTGTAGAGACTTGATGCGCGAGTCAAGGTCAGTTACAGGGGCTGATTGCTGATTATTGGAGGTTAGTCTTGTTCGCGTGGTATCGAGCTCGGCCTGGAGTGTGCGAACTCGGGAGTTGAGGTCCAGGTTCGACTGAAAGAGTTGCTGCTTCGCGGCACTATCGGCTTGTGCGCATTCTAGCTCGAAACGTGCGGTTTGTACATGAGCTTCAAGATCTGAAACACGCAATGCATGGTCATGGCATTTCGATTCAGCAGCTGTGCGCATGGCATCATTCCTCTGTGCGTCTTCGCGAGCTGCTTTCATACCCATTGTAGCCTTCTCGAGCTGCGTATTCAGACTGTCCGCGCGAGTCTGAACAATCGAGAGTTGCTCCGCTAATCTGCGCTGCTCATTTGATGCGTTTTCCTCATGTCGCCCTTCACCTGATCGGTTGATGGTCATATTGTTGAGCGCCGACTCATTCGATTGCTTGAGCTGGGCCAGCTCTGACTGCATCTTCTCTAAGGCCTGTCCCTTTGCCTCCACCTCCACATCTACTAGTTGTTTGGACTCTTTTTGCGTCTTCAGTTGTCGCTCAAAGTCTTCTCTCTGCATTTGCAGCTTAGCGAGGTTTTGAAGGCGCATCTCCTCTTCAAACGCTTGCATCCTGGCTCCCAATGCATCTTCTCGGGCCTTTGACTGAGCCTCCATGGAGGAGCGAGCCGCTTCGTCTTCTGCCTTTTGTCGCTCCATGCTAGTTTCTAGGCTGGTAAGTCTTTCTTGGTGCCGGTAGTTGTCGGTACGTGCGCCTTCCAATTCTGAGCGAGTGTACGAGAGTATGGTCTCGAGCTCCGTGATGCGTGTCTTCGCAGCTAGCTCTTGAAGTTCAAGCCGCGATTGTAGGTCAGTGATCTGGCTACTGATCGCATTCAGCTCGTTTGCCTCCCTAGTGGCCATGGTATGATGTATGACTGTCTCTTGCGTCGGCTTCCGCGGCGTGTCGTAGTCCTCCACGGTTGCTTGCAGCGATCGTGCTTTAGGTGGCGAAGGCCTAGGTATTTGTAGGAAGCTTTGCTTGTTTACGAGGAGTGGTGTTCCCGTAAGCGCGCCTTCCATATCTGTATCTGGCAGCGCACTCAGAAAGCTTCGAACTTTTTCGTCGTTTTCCATGGATCGCTCAGATGCTGGTGTGCTATATTCACGGTCGGCAGTCGTGCCATTTGCGCGGATCGTAGGCGAGGCGGTATACTCTTTGGGATTCGTTGAACTCTCCCCTACAACTGCTTGATCGCCCTCTTCTATCGTGTCTTGTAGTTCGCTCTTCTCTTGCATGGCATCCATTCGCGCCACCGATTTTCTAGTATTCGCTTCTTTCCTAGACTTGATTTGGGCCAGCGGCAGATCTGCCGTCATCCAGTAAGTCATGTTCATCGTGAAGTCTTCCGGTCCTTCGATTTCGCTTGTATCTACACGATCGACTGGTGGCTCATAGCTTCCGTCCAACTCTGTGGATTCAAACGTCGAGTTGAGGCCTAGTGCATCTAGATCCATCTCATACTGTGAGCCATCCTGGGACGGGCGACGCGCCGGGCTTCGTTGTGGAGAGCGGAAGCGCGTTGGGCTCGCGGTGTAAGAGGAGTGTGTCCGAGCCATTCTTGGTTACGTGTACATTTGAAACCGAAAACACGGCGACGTGGTGGTGGGATTAATAAGAATTGTGTTGCGGTGAAGCCATTGTTTGTTGTGGAAACGCGCTTTCAGCGGCGCGCTAGCGGGGCGCACAGGTCCACTCCCGAGGTGGCGTCTTCACTCCACCCGTCACTAGCTCATCGGGTATATGTAACTAGGCCAGCGCTTCATGGGAAAGATGTTCGCGAGGATTGCCCACGAGGAAACTCTTCAACCGATAGAATGCGATCTTGGGCTTAAATCTTGCACACGTTGAACAAGTCTCCTGCTCATACACTTGCTTCAGACTTAGTGTAACCTGTGATATATCCACGACTTCTACGCATATAAACTGTGTATGATTCGAACTGAAACTTGAAATTGTATGCTGACAGTATCCACGCCCGCTCGTGACCACCGTAGCTTGCATGATCTTACGCTCTCACTCTGTTCATGGCCATAGTCGTTACTCTTTGAACTCCGCATCCACACTCTCAAAGTTCTCGAGGAAGCTCTGGAACGTAAACACTCCCAAACCGGGATCCAGACTTCCCGTCGTCGCGCGAATAGAATGCATACTCAACTGCGGAATACCACAATCAATCGCCCGGATACCCGTCGCAGCACTCAGCATCGGCCCAACGGTGCCACCACTCCTGCTATCGTTCCTGATCTGGAAGACCTGCAGTTTCGGATCAACCTTACGCACACCGATATCACGGTCCACGCAGCGCTGTAAGACAGCGGTTGAGACGGCATCGGTGGTCATGTGCGCGTTTGAATCGGCAGAAACCGCGGGACCGATGTTGAGACGCGGAGAGTGGTTCTCGAGATAGGCGTTAAGGAAATTGGGGTTTACGGCGTGAATAACGTCACTAGAGACGAGGAAGGAGTTCGCATATGTCCTGCTTAGCGCACCCTTCGTCTTCCCCCCATCGGCGAATTCTTCGACGATGCGCTCCATAACGCTGGGCAAGAAGTTACCGCGCGCACCTTGGCGAAGTAGAGAGCCAACTTCCTCATCGTCGAAGAGGGCTACGATGCGAATCTGAGAGGAGCTGGAGAGCGAAGAGGAGGAGTTGAGTAGAGCTTGGACGGCGGCCCAAGAGCAGAGCTTGTCATCGATACGGCCAGCGAAAATGAATTCTTTGCCTAGACCACCAGTTTGGGCGGGCTGGGTGTCGAAGAGCTCCAGTTCCCAGTTGACAATGGAAGAGTCTGTAGATTATTAGCGCTCAAAAGTCCAAGAGCTGTGTGCATGATGTCAACTTACAGTCGGTAATGCCTAGCTCTCCAGAGATAGCCTTGATCAGCCTCTCGGGCTGCGTGGCAGCAAATGTACCCTCTCCACCAAGCACACTGGGTTTCCATCCGTCCTCGTTCTCAGCCGATGCAGCATCAAGATCGGTGTTATCTAGACCAATAATGGGCACCATCTGCGTTTCCCTGTTGAATGGGCCATTCGCAGCGGCACCAAAATGTGGAGCAAGAGTCGGAATCCTCGCAATGGGCCAGTCTAGCTTGACCAACTTGGTCACAATCTTCCCATTCTCTTTCACAAGCACCCTTCCACCAATGCCTAGATCTCGATCCCACCAAGTGTCACTTAGCGCACCCGCATAAGGCGCCACGCCTAGCTGCACATAGCCAGCCTTGTTACGTAGCTTGGGGATGGGCTTCAACTTGGCGGTAAGAGCATCGATATGGCCGGCTACGATGGCTGCACCGTTCCCAGCTGAATAGCCGCTGCCAATTGCGAAAGCGATGAGCGAGGTGCCGTTGCGTTCAACATAGTACTGCACACAGATTAGCCTGTAATACTTTGTAGATGGTTGTCGATGCCATCAACTATGCAGGAGGCATTGTATTAGCTTGTTTGGAACATACCTTGCTCCCAGCCTTGAGGTCCCAGGTATCACGCTCCGACAGCTTCTTGTATCCATCCTTTTCGAGGTCCTTGGCTACAGCGTCGACGGCGTGAAACACAGTCGGGTTGCCGGTCATGAATTCGAGGAAAGGCTTTGTGTACCTCTCTGGGCCCTCTTTCGCGCGTGTGAGCACTGGATGCCAGCTATGAGATGGCGCGGGTCGCGGCCCCTTTGGCTGCTCATTCTTTGTCTGGGGAGCTGGCACCTCTGGGATTTTAGGAGGCACAGGCGGCGGGTTCTGTGACCGCGAAGGCTGAGAGAAGTCGTCCTCAACATCGATCAGATTGGGATATGGTGCTGCGAGGCTGTGACGAGTCCTAGCCTCAGGCTGGATCCCCCCGTAATTCCACCTTTCGGGCCTCTCCAAAACTCGGTCTGGCCTTGGTCGATGAGTGGCCGACGTAGTGGTATGAGCTCGCGAAAGCGTGGAGTAGGAGTGTCGTAGCGGACGGGTCGGTGACGGGTCGGAATACAGGTCGGCGTTTGACGCCGTTTTGCGGAGCGAAGGGTGATTCTTGGTCATCTTGAGAGCGTCCGGTAGCCGCTAATGGATAGCAGGAAGTTGGTATGTAGTTGATGAGGAAGAAGGTTGGAAAGTGAGGATCAATGGTTGTTGACCTTGACGTGCTCAGCTCCCGCCACAGTAAGGCGGCGCAGGCGGAGCTGGTTGAAACCGGCATGTCTCCGCCTCCCAAGCTTGAGAGGACCTAGATTCACATAGCGAACACCGCGTTCATTGTCCATAAACACGCTATTGAAAGAGAGGCATTCTGCCCAGACTCTTATAAAACTATGTGTTCATTCATATTAGCCTTGCAGTTGCTTGGAAGTTGATTAATTCAGAGCACGAATTTAGTTCGACCTCATGCTTTTTGAAAACACACAACACCACGGGGTCAGCTACAGCTGGCTATGTCGCTCAAGCATACTTGCGTTGACTTTGGAAAACACTTTGTCCGTCAGCCCCTTTCGTGAAACTAGAAATCGTGCTTGCTGCTCCTATCTAAGCTCTCAAATATCGCCTGCTCGGACTTCAGCATCCCATAGGCTGCCGATAACTCCACCATGATGCCGCAAAAGTTACAATGCCGAGCCAACAAACGCCGATCAGTGATAGTTCCAGGCGAAGGTCATGTTTTGAGCATGGGGATTAGGCCCAAGCAAACGACAGCCCTCGCATTCGAGACAAAAAGACAAAAGCATAAAATGGTGAAAAGGCAGGCTCGGGCATTGTGCGCCGTGGAGAGATTCCAAGCCATGTGCAAGGCCAGCTATGATGTCATCGCAGCCTGTTGGTAGACATTGGTGGCTATTGACCATTAGGTAGCGGTCGGGCCTGCTCATCATCCTCGTCGTCTTCTGGGTGGCTGAGTGCTTGTTAGTTTGGAGAGACTTCAATTTGCAGGTGTGCACGTACCCCAGCAAGTCTTTGACGTTTCTCATCTCGTAGTGCTTCTTCCGCATCTCGTCGAACTTGCGGTGCTTCTCCCTCTCTTCTTGTGTCGCATTTGGGAGTAGCTCGCCATGGTAACCTGCGTCTTCCTCGGTATCCTGTTCAACCATGACGCGCTTCTCACCCTCTGGGGTATGCGACTCTGTTCGACCCTGCACCTCTGGCTCCCCCAAATCGAACTCGGGAATGTCTTCGATCCTGGGCTTCCGCTTTGGCTTGTCGTCCAGCTCATCCACCCTGAGCTCCTCGGCGTTCAGCATCTCGACCTCCTCTTCATCCTCAGTGGGATCGTATTGCTTGGCGTATGGTGTCTTGGGCTCATCGATCTTCATTGTGCTATCACGGTTCTGCTCATTCAAGTACAGGTTTGCCTCGTCCCACTTCAGCTGCGGGTTGCTGTCGTCAAGGCTGCCGACACCTGATTGGCGGCGCGAACCGGGGCCGCGAGCATTCGAGGAGGAGCGACGATGGCCACCAGCATTGCGCAAGGTGTTTTCCAAGACGATTTCCTTCTCGGACATTCCGCGGCCGAGCTGCGGTCGCTCAGCAATTGGGCTTGCAGCAGGCGGAAGTTCGCTCGTGGGAGAGGCTTGCGAGTTTGAGCGGTAGGAGCTCGCTTTCTTGAGAATGCCTAGGCTTGTTAGCCGTTTTCAAGTTGAATCGCGGGGTATTGGGAGGACGGACCCCTCGGTTGCTCGGCATGCGAGCTCGGCGAGTGCAGCTGGGTAGGTTGCGCCGTCATTGTGTATGATGTTGGTGGTGGCGGGGTACGGAGATGGTTGTCGTGGAGTTTGCAGCGTCGAGGCAGGTGTGTTTGTTCGCACGTGAAGAGGAGCAGAGCAATGTGGGGTTATGGGGTGATGCTTGCGAGTGTTCTGGCAGCGGCAGGTGTGAGTGGTGGGCAGGAGGAAGAGCAGACGGGTGAAAAGACTGGTAAAATAGATTTGAGAGGGTAGCAGTGGTGGTGTAGGTGGCCGGGGGAGGGGCAACTGTAGATGGCGATGCGATGCGATACGATGTGGGAGGGGTGCGGGCGTTGTCTGGGCGAGGGAACGGAAACGAGCTAAATTAGAATGAGGAGCTTGGAATGACGTAGCTCAGTCTCACGCTTCAACTGCAAGCATGCCTACGGGTACGGGTACGGGTCGTGGCATGCTTATTATACCTATATACCTACTCCCCGACGCAGCCACCTACTTGTAGTTCTCAGGTGGCTGCCTCGCAGGCGGCGATGATATCAAAGACAAAAGAAGACCCTTACGCAGCCACATGACATGTTTTTTCACATGTTTCCACATGTTTCCAAGCTGCATGTTGTCCAGTCTCGATAGCCTTGCCTTCTTACGTTGCGTTCGTGTATTCATCAAACTACCAGATACTCTATAAAAACGAACGCTGAATGACCATCCTAGATGACTTCAGCCCCTTCAGACAAGCTCGCATTCAAGCCGCCTGCAGCCTGGACCTGCTTGAAGGTTTCATCATCGTACCATGTCTTGCGCTGTTGTGTGCTGCGGCGCTACTAGGACTTTACTCGACAGTTAGCAAAGCTCCAGAGAGACAGACGTGACAGGCATGCTCATGAAAAAGAAAACCTATGCTTCAGACTTTGCCTTGGGTCTTCAAGCTCAACCGAGAAATCGCAGTGCGACAGTGTACATCTGGCTGAGACTCCGACTACCAGAAGTGGTCCAGAGGACCTGGTCATCACGAGATAGATGCAGTGCTAGGAATCCAAAGTAGGTGCACCTACAAGCAATGGCTTTGGGTGAGACAGCTGGCAGCCTCAACCGCGTCGGGCGCGTGATAGAGTAATGTCCCTAGCTTTTAGGTCATCGACATTTCATGGCAGCCGCAATAAAGGCGGCCCTCGTGACGATGGTTTTATAAGAGGGATGATCCTTCTGGGCCAGTTATCGGAATTGCCAGCTGAGTAGAGAAGATGTCAAGCTGGCAAAGATTTGAGTTAAAGGCCGGTGATGAAGGAGAAAGGAAGGGGAGACGGGCGCACGCGAAAAAAAAGGGCAAAGAGCGAGAATGACTAAGCACCAAAACACGAGCTTTGAAGAGCCATCCCGGGCAAGGGCCATCCTCGCAAAAGAACCACTACCTGGCATTGCACACGATATATCCCGCCACTTTTCACCACCGCTTGCCCTCTCGCTCTCGCTATTGAACACCAGCATTCTACCGCCAGTATCCCCCCCAAAGCAACCCATCCCACCAGCCATTCAATTCAACCCGCCGCACATCCCCGCATACCAACCGTATATTGGCCCTTGGCCTTGACCTTCACAGCTCTACTCTGTTGTTGTTGTTGCTTGTTCGCTCATTTATCCTACCAAGCTTTGGACAGAGTACACCTGCCTCCTCCCATTCTTTCTTTACCTGACATTGCTATCAATGGATAACAGGGAGAATCTCTGGACCCGGCGTTCCAAGTATGTTCGCTTTGTCCCCGCATGTTCGCGCTTTCAGGACTAACAGCACACAACAGCACCAGCAAGCTCTCCCTGTCCATGTCGCACTCAGAATCCCATGGTGACAAGGCCGACGCCCCCCAGCGCACATTCTCCGCATCGAAGCGATACGCGGGCGACTCGTCGCACGGTGGTAGAAACCCGTTCAACGCCATTCCGCCCACGACACCTGGTGGGCTAGCTTCCCCAACCACGGCCGGCGGCTCGTCCGCCTTTGGCCTGGGCTCAGGTGCGTTTGCATCTTTCGGGTCTGCGACTAAGACTCCCAAGACTCCAGGCACCACCTTCGACTTCAAGTCAGCAGCCATGTCTGCCGTCCCTGCGCCTGCAACCCCATCAGAGAAGAAGGACAAGCCGGTGCACAAGGCTGTTAGCAGCACACGCAAGGACTCAATATCTACTCCAACCATACCAGAGGACACCACCACAGCATCCGCGCCATTAGATCCCGACGCGGCGTGGCCGCTCAAATCCACCTGGGTCGTGTGGTACCGCCCGCCGACGCCCAAAAACACAGACTATGAAAAGTCAATTGTGGCTATTATCAGATTCGGCACTGCCCAAGAGTTCTGGAAAGTCTTCGTCCACCTCAAGAAGCCTTCGACTCTGCCTTCTGTATCGGATTATCACGTCTTCAAAGAGGGCATTCGGCCTGTATGGGAGGACGAGGAGAACAAGCGGGGTGGCAAGTGGATCATGCGCCTGAAAAAGGGCGTTGCGGACCGCTACTGGGAAGAGCTGCTCATGGCGCTCGTTGGTGATCAATTCATGGAGGCCAGAGAGGAGGTGTGCGGCTTTGTGTTGAGCGTGCGGAGTGGCGAGGATGTCCTCAGCATATGGACCAAGAACGACGGCGGCCGCAACATCAAGATACGGTATGTACCTACAGCTGCTACTCTCGCTTCAAATACTTACGTGTGCTTCTAGGGAGACTGTCAAGCGTGTTCTTGAGCTGCCGGAGGGCACCAACATCGTCTGGCGGAGCCACGACGACAGTATCGCGCAAAGATCGGCCATTGATCAAGCTCGTTACGAGAAGAACCTACAGGGCCATGAGAAGCGGAGAGTGACCTCGACGGACGAGTCGCAGCGAGACAAGTCTACAGCCGGGTCATAGTCTTCGCTTCAGCTCCCGGTGTCTACCTACTACTAACTGGTGTTTAGCAGCGACCGCCGGGTAGAGCGTTTTTTAGCAAACGCGCGCAAGCCTGAAGAGTGGAAGTCGGGCGGTGAGCTAAATGAGACGTCGTCCTGGGCCCGTTCTCAAAGTTCTTCTACGATTTCCTCTTCCACAGGGTTTCGGCAACGTGCTCAATCTCCGCCCCGTTTTTGCTTTCCTCCGCCTGGATTTTCTGGTCCACATATCCCTCCCCCGCCTGGCATTACGCCTTTGCCTGGACGTTACCCTCCATCTCACGCCACTGAAACTAAAGTTGCTCCGCTTCCAAGTCCTCGTCCTCTGGTGGATTGTACTCCCCGGCCTGACCCTAGTTTTTTACTTGGTGACAGTTCTACAAATTCTGCTGCAGGGGTGGCCCTATACCATCCTCGCCCCAAAGAGATTGGCTCGGTACGGCGACTGCTCTCAAACCTAGAACTTGACGCGGCAACCTTCTCCGACGCATAGCTCGACGCAGCAAGCTATGCATTACCATCTTTTCCTGAGTAGAAGATTGGATTGGATAGCGGACTACAACGTGGAGATGGAGGCGACAATGACGCCACCTAGACGTTCAACGCTCAAGGTGTGACAGAAGAATAAACCATCGGCCTTCATCTGACAAGATGGTGGTACAGGGAGCGGGACATGCTTGCATGGCGCAGACCCTGAGGCAAAATGGGTGCTTGCATGAACAGTTCATTGAGTTTAGCAGGCTATTCGGCGCACCTAGGACAGCATGCATTGCTATTTTTGCATTTTCTCAAGTGGAGAGTGGGTTGCGTTCTTGCTTCTTGCATACTGTATTTTACATAGCCGTCTGTGGAATATTCTGGATAGCGATCAGTGCTTCGAAGCTCGCCCCGGTCGCGCATCGAGGTATAGCATTCATTCTGCACGTGCTATTTGTAGTCAATGAGACAACAAGATGATCAAAAGAGTCTTGGTTCCTTTTCACGTTCCTATCGAACTAATGTCTTGATACCGATGGATTCACCGTAGAGCCGCCAATGATTGAAGTTGAAGGCACGTTAGAACGCACGGGCCTCCAAACCTCACCTCTTGTTGAAGCAGCTTCACCTCCGAATAATGCCCCACTGTGCGCCTCTGCGCTTTGTGCTGTTCCCTCGAGTCTCCTAGCATGCTTTCTCCTTTCGAAGCTATGCAATCTACTCTCGTCGCGCCAACACCATGCTACACCAATGTTCTCTAACTTTCTAGACGGGATTCAAGCATTTGCAGGAGACCTGCTTGGAACCGCCCATGCACACGTACGCCAGCCTTTCTTTCGCGCGCTTTGAGGCCTGTTGATGGCTTCAACCCCAATCATGACTGTCTGTACTAAGAGAATATTGCTTGCGCACTATGCTAACGTACGGCCCATCAGGCAAACGATGCCGGCGCACCATCACCGACTCGCGAGCTACCGCCGTGGCGCCATTCTCGGGGCTCAACACCCATTTCAAAGACGATGCCTGCGGTGATAGACCTTTCATCGCCGCCTTCAAAGAATTCCAAAACACCGTATAAGCCAGAAGGCCCACGAGAGCCCAAACGGCCGCGACTTGCAAAGTCCCAGATAAGCGACGACGAGAAGCGTTTAGTGGGAGACTTCAGCACTCCTGCTGATGCCGTCGCGCTTCCCGACCCTCAAATTTGGATGACGAGCACAAGTTTTGGCCAAGGAACAATGAATAAGAAGCCCGGCTGGAGTAGCAGCTTTCGGCCTGTCAACACCATCAGCGATGTCAATACTGCTGGACGAAGCAATCAGGTCACATATTCCAGGCAGCACCGCCCATACCCCCCACCAATAGGCCAGGCGCGACACGCAGGGCAACTAGCCTTCCTTGACCGCACAAAAGGCAAAGTCTCTACATCTCCTGTGTCTTCACGTGAAAGGCTTGATCAGCCACTGCGAGGCGTTTCGCCTGCGAAACGCAGGAAGACACAGCACATCATAGATTTAGACGATGACGACGATGACGTAGGGACGGAGGCACCACCATCCATACCGTACACGCCTGCCGATACGTCTCACGATGCGCCGCTCTCGGCAAGGTCTTCGCAGTCACAGGTCAGTGTTGGAAGTGGAAGTACTCTACTAAGGAGCCAGGAACAATCTCAATCGAAGAGCGAGTTCCGAGCAACCGACGACCTCGTTAATTCTCGCCGTAAGAAAACGAGGACTCCAGGCCACTACAGAAGACAAGGTACTCAACGAGGCTCTCCGTTCGGCGGCGGTTCTGTATCTGGTACCGCTAAGATACACGTGCCACAGGCGTCAATCTTAGTGCATGACGACGAGGGTGCCAGTAGAGATCAGACCGCACGCCGACTCATCTTGCAAGACTTTATACAGGGCGAAGTGGCTCGTTCGAGTGAGGAGAGTGAGTGGCATCAGCACCCCTCTCGCAAACACAATACAAAAACATCTCGCCACTTTCCAAACGCGCGTATCAATGAGTCTACGTCGGAACAAATAACAAACAATCGTCAAGCTACTGAAAAAGCTACCGATTTACGCAACCAGTACCGGCCAGCGCCTAGTCCTTCCATGGACGTTGACAGCAGCGAAGACGAGCTAGCCATGTCGAACACGAATAACTCCGCCCGTAATCGAGAAAATTTGCCCTCTAAAGCGAAGCAAGCTGCGAATAGCAGTGTGAAGAGGAAAGTCCCAAGAAGAGAAGTCAGCAAAGGCTGGCCACTGGTCTTTGCGAGGACACGCGAATACGAGTACTCCTCGGTGATGGAACATGGGCGCCCCGAACTCTTCTTGCTCCCAGGACCAGACCCCAACGACTGGCGCATCACTATGTACGATGACACTGACGGAGTGTACGACACGAAAGTTCAGATACGAACCCGAGATGTGAATGTAATACAGGCGGACGATATTAGCCGCATACGGTTACTAGGACCTCGACAGCAAAACGGAAACCCGCTCATCTTCGACCTTCAGTTTGCCAAGACGCCAGACTTTCAACTGTTTCGTGAAGAACATGCACCGTCCTTGACAACGACAGGAAGGATTTATACCAAGGAAAGGTAAGCTATTCCATGTCTGTTATAGTATCGGTCTAATCGACTTGCAGTGACGCTATGGCCACGATGTTCAACAGGTTTTTACCGAGGAATGATAAGGTTGGTACGTCTGAGTTGGTCCACGATGACATATCTGAAGCAGAAAATTACAAAGATGTAAACAAGATGTCAAGAATACCGCTCTGGAGTCAATTGAGATCTTCCATCCCAAGTTCGAATAGCAATGCAGTATCAAATGAAAATGCTGGCTCTACAACTGCACCCAGTGCCAGAAGGGTATCAACTCGTCCAACACGATCGACCAGGTCATCAGCACCAAATTATGACCTCGAAGCCGCAACTGATTACCGAGAGGTGGAGAAGTTTTCCGTTGTTGTAGGACTGGGTACACGTTGGCCCAAGTAAGCAACAACATCCGTTAGGACCGACCCCTGCTAACGAATGAAAGACCTGTTGAATATGGCCATGGACGCCAGCGAGCAGTAGTGCATTTTGACGATCTGGCTCGCCTGGACGAGGAAGAATTCATGAATGACAGTCTAATTGACTTTTATATGATGTGGGTTCCTCTCTTACCACGAATCTTGCACTTACTAATACAGTTTAGCTATCTATTCGAAAAGCTCCACGTTCCGTCCCAGAAGGTGTACTTCTTCAACACGTATTTCTTCACCCAGCTCACGAAGAACACTGGTCGCCAGTCAATGAATTATAAAACCGTCGAACGATGGACTTCAAAGATCGATATCTTCAGTTACGACTACATTGTCGTGCCAATCAATGAAGCGTACGTTGGACAGTGGCCGCTTTAGTGGTACCTACTAATGCGGGTGTAGAACTCATTGGTATCTCGCGATCATTTGCAACGTGTCGAATATCGATCGGAAGCCAGTGGTTGAAGATTTCGACAAAGATTTTGCAGAAGCATTGGAACACAGTCGAAAGGACCTAGTCGTCCAGACTGAAGCCACTTCTGGTACGCCGCAACTCGTTGAATCGTCACGTCACTCCAATGATGCCGAAGAAGACCATAACGAACGGACTGATGACGAACCTAACCTATTTGACGAGGAGTCAAGGCTCAATCTAGTTGACCGGGAGGATACCGGTCCAGACGATGGATTGCAAGCAGAGGCTAAGATTGCACACGTGGCGGAGAGTGAATCTGATGCAGAAGTGGTACCCAAGGGTATCTTTTCCAGCTTATCCGCAGTGCGTGCGAAGAAGAAGGCGAAGCGGAAATTCCCACAAGCAAAAAAAGATCCCAACCAGCCCATCATCCTTATTTTAGACTCCCTTGGTCAGGTTCGCAGCAGTACAGTTCGCGCCCTTAAAGACTGGCTAGCGGCTGAAGGTGAGGCCAAACGTGGCATGGAGGCGATAATCAAGGAGAAAGGCTATTACCCAAAAGCCTCACAGATTCCCAGGCAGGACAATTGGACCGATTGTGGCGTCTACCTCCTCGGTTATGTGGAGAAGTTCTTTCAGGATCCGGACGAGTTTAAGAACAAACTGTTGACTGGGGAAATGTCGGCGCACGAAGACTGGCCGGAGTTGAAACCAAGAGAGATGAGGAAAGCCATGCGCGAGACCATCTGCCAAATTGCCGAAGAACAACAGGCTGCAAGGAAAGTGGAAAAGAAGGCGAAGAAAGAAGACTCGAAAGCCAAGGCGTCACCAGCTCCGATTAAAGAGTCTGTGAAGCTGGAAGCCTCTGAAAATGTTCCATCTGGAAGGCCAGAGGTCGGTCTAACAGAGCCTACAAGCTCTGAAACGAAGACACGAGAATCAAACGCACAACCACTAGTCAAATTTCCCAAGCCGAGGCTTGCGTCACCCTTCACCTTCGAATCGCAGTCTGCAGAAGCCATCGCCCGCTCGCAAACTCCCGAAGCCGTGGTTAAAGTGTCGGATTCGCCACCGGTTGTCACGTTATCTGTTCAGCCCGCCAACACGACTCCACCATCAAAGTGGACTCCAAGACAGAGTCCAAGTAAAACTCCAAGACGAAACAGCCCGGAAGTACGCATCCCAGGGAAAACACCACAATCAGTAGAATCAACACGTAGCGGACGAACGATTATGGGTGGCGCGGCTCCTCAATTCGGGCTTGTTCATCCACCAAGAAGTGCATCCCGCTCGTTGAGTCCATCCAGGAGACTGAGGCAGGATGAAAACGAAAGTCAGCTCAGACTACCCGTTGCGAAGAGACAGCACACCAGGTCTCCGCAGCAACAGAAGGGACATGGCATAGAGCGGTCTAGTCCCCTGGTGACAGGCAGTCGAGAGGGCAGCGAAGGCCAACCCATCACAATCGAGGACTCACAGGAGGTGAAGCCAGTGGCCATTGACTGTTCTAAGCACCAGCCAACCAGTTCGCCCTCCCGGCGTAAACCACCAACAAGGTCTCCTCGTCGCCCACAGGTACTTCGACACTCACCGTCCGTGGAGGAAATTCTACCCTCAATCCCTCGCGCCGCACAACGAAAACATGACCCAGGTGATCAGCATTCCGCTGGCCAGAAGCTGGAGACTAATGCATCTCCACCGGAGGTTACGATTAAGGAGACACCGAAGGCCATTCGAAGCAGCCCGCGTTCACAAAAAGACAATTCACGTCCACGTTGAACGCCAAAATGGGAGTATGTAGAGCACTGACCTTCTATCCAATGTGTACCTAGTTAGTTTTGGCATGGCGACGGCGTATCCCACAATAAGCATCGGGGAGGAGTTTGATATATACCTAGCTTGCTCAGTTCGAATTTGATTTATACTGCACTTTTCAGTAGTGTCTCTTCTGACTCTCCAGCTCGGTTGAGCTGTTGCGATATAGTTCCATTTGTACCGCGTCCGCCGGTAGGGTCTTGTAATGCTGCGACGGCGTCGTCGACCTCTACGGCGCGTTAGTATGCACGCATTACAAGCCTCGGTTGAAGCAATATACCATTAATGGAAGGCCTACCTTGAAACCCTTCATCCGTCTCTGCTGCTTCCCTCCCCACCCATCGCTTCATCTTCTCCCGCACGAATTCTGCAAAGTCCCATTCTTCAGACTCGAGTCGGTGAGCACCTGCTATCCAAATGTATGTCTCTGCTTCTACTTGCTCACCCTCGACGTTATCTTGCTCGTTCTGCGTTAGCGAACCCATGCCTTGCTCCTCTTCTTCTCCACGACTTTGTCCCTGTCCGCCGTGCAATACCCTTACTTTCACTCTCCTCCTCTCATACTCTGAGCCCTCGAAGATGTCCAGACGCCATATGTCTCCATCTGTCAAGCCTTCAACGAGAGTGCCGCGCACCGTAGCTGCTGCATTGGTGGGTAGGATGGCGGGGTAATCGGCATGCTTGACCTTGTGCCGCTGGTGTGCGTGTAGAATGGCAGGGCGAACGTGTAACAAGGAGGCATGAGCAGGTGTTGGAGGGGTGGAAGAACCCCATATTACGCGGTGGAGGACAGGAGGTGCCATAAGGGTGCCGTAGAAGAAGGCCGTGTGAGACATTGCGGTGTTGAGCGACTGAGCGCTGCGGGGAAGGGTTTGAGGGGTCGAGGGCTGTGGTTTGCGGTGCTGGTGTGTGTAGAGGGTGGTGCGGTCCATGTACAAGTTTTTCTCAATGTATATGCAATTCTACGACATGTATATGATATAATATACGAATTGATGACATGTACCAAGAGATAGGCGATAAGGTTTGTCTTGGATCAGTCCAGCCCTACGGCGGGCGCTAATGCACGACCAGGTGTATGCAGATTGCCCACTAGATTGGGCTCTAATTGCTCCTCTCCTTTTCACGGCGTCCTTGGTGCCTCTTCCGCGGTATTCCGTTCTTTTTGCAGAGCGCGAGATTTAGCAGCTTCTTTGCATTTCTTTATATTCGAAATCGGTGTTGGATTGGTCGCTCGACAAGAAAAAAAAGTGAGATTTGGCTACTAGCACGTAGTCTGGCAGGTTCCGGACGCGTCCCACCTGGTACGAAGTGCGGCGATCCGCACGACCACCACCACGACAGCCCGCCAAGATGGGCTTCATCAACGCCATTGTAACGAACATTGCGCCGATATTGTACGGCCTCTACCTTCCCATTGCTTTTCCACGGGGCTAACGCGCTCTCTAGCATCGCAACAAGCCCAGTAACCAGCTATGGCGACCAAATCTACTCGATGCACCGCTCGCGCAGCTCAGCGGGATTCTCCCTCGACATCCCGCTCATCATGCTGGTCGCCAGCATCCTCAAAGTCTTCTTCTGGTTCGGCACACACTTCAGCACCTCGCTGCTCATCCAAGCCGTGCTCATGATCGCCGTGCACCTCTTGCTGCTCCACGTCGCCCTCACCAACCGCCCGCCGCCATCACACCTCCCCTTCCAGCCCCACGCGTCGAACCGCCCGTATGACTTCTGGCAGTGGCGGAATCCACGCCCGTTTTGGACGTTTATAACCTACTTCGCGGGTGTGCTGCTTGTGCTGCACTTCCTCGTGTCTCCTACGGCGTATTTCATCCCGTATACGGATCTTCTCGGCATGGTTGCGCTTACCATCGAAGCTACGCTCCCGCTCCCACAACTCCTCGCAAATTGGCAGCGGAAAGGATGCAAGGGCTTCCGGCCGAGTGTCATTGTAAACTGGGTTATTGGCGATACCTTCAAGATGTGGTTCTTCTTCTCGAGTCCTGTTGGCGAGGTCCCATGGGCGTTCAAGGCGTGCGGCATCTTCCAGGCTTGTTGCGACTTGGGGCTTGCAGCGCAGTATTTGATGTGGGGTGATGGACCGATTGGTGTCGATGGTGCGGGGAGGGAGAAGGAGTTGCGTAGCCCCATTGTGCAGGAGGGTGAGGGGTTTTTTAACGAGAAGATTGGCGACACGGGGGTAGTTGGGGGTATTGAGATGAATGATGGACATGCGTGGGAACGGCCGAGGGCTATATAGAATATCATTATGAGGGGACGACGGTGGGGTATACGAAGACATGTACATAAGCGGCATTTATAACATCGCGGCGCTGACTGACTAGCCCCGACTTGACTTGCTTTCCGCCTTTCACGCAGGTTTCCAACATGCCCTAATCGCTTGATTTAGCAGCATATACAATCTTGTTTTCACATCACGAAGGCGGAAATTCCTCGACTACCTCACCGTTCGTGCTGGATGGGGTGGATGAAGAGTTCAGGGAGATCAGAAAGACTAATTTGTCAGCTAGGCATAAATCGATACAGCTTATAAATTCGCCAACGGTGACATTCTCTCAACCACATTCATTCAACTATGATTCTAAAGCATCTCAATCTTGCTATAGCACTAACTACTCTAGTAATACCGGCCGAACAGTGACTTCCATATATCAGCGAACCGGGCACTTGTCGATGTATCCGCGATATCTTCCCACCGATCTTTATATTTCGAGCTGATGTGGTGGTAAAGTCTTTTATATGTCTCGCTGACATCATCCCGATAGTCGACATAAAACTCCCTCCCATCGGGCACAAGCGCGAGTACCGAATATATCCTATCAACCTCCATCGTGACGCGTCGGTGTCGCATGTCATGGACAACGTCAAGGAGATCGGGTGGCGGAGCGTATGTAACTCCATCTATGGCCCTCATCCCCAATTCCAATAGTTCTCGAAGAGGTCTCATGTTTACTTGAACTGAATGTCGCCATTCTGGGGTTATTTCAACAAATTTGATTCTCTTCAAGAATCGGAACGATGTAGACTGGTCCCAAGACAAGTCTGAAATCCGACATTCAGCGTTGCCGTTTTTGACAGTGCTGATTCTTGAACAACCCTAAAGTTACTGCGTTAGCATTTATGTACTAGTTGCTGGTGGGCTACAAATGCTTCTTACCATCCTCTTTCAAATCAGCCTCACCAAGATTTGTAGTCACGTTACATAGTGCAGGAGATTTAACAAAAGATGTAATCTGGTTAAACGCTCTGATTGAGCTATCGCTGGTCTGTAGAGCAAGTTCAAGCACATTGGAATGGCTGTGTTGCAGCAGTATAATGGAGGCGATTACCCTACACTGATCAGTGCACGAGAGTTGCCATTGGCCCAGTACTTCAAGGTTGCGAGTGCGTATTCAGCTTCAGCCTTGCACAGCCCCACTTTCTGCTACGAAAGCGGTTTGAAAACTCCGCCAGCTCTTTCTGACATACATATTATAGTCACGCTGGCCTGCTGCCTAACTCACGACTATTTTGATATTTCCGCCTTTGTGAACATTCGGGCCTGCATTAGACGTCCTTTCAGCGTCGAACCTAGGCTCAACTTCACCTTTCTGCGCCCTAGCTGTTGGCCCTGCCAACTGCCTTCAACGCGATCGCCTTTCTTGCCTCTTCTACTCCTCAATATCCCCATGTTCTCCCTCACATTTGTTTCACCCTGAGGCGGCGAGCTAGCACCAGCTATGCGCCTCTTACGGATTAACGATGATGGCCAGCTCAGCCTTGTTGAGTATGGGGGAACTGATATCCCGCACTATGCGATTCTTTCGCATCGTTGGGGGCCAGAGAGCGAGGAGGTTACCTTCAGAGATGTAATAGAAAATACAGGCAATAGTAAGGCGGGCTATTACAAAATCCGGTCCTGTGCAAAGCAGGCTGCTAAGGATGGCCTGCATTACTTCTGGGTGGACACCTGCTGCATCGATAAGTCTAGTAGTTCTGAGCTCTCAGAAGCTATCAATTCGATGTGGCGCTGGTATCGTGACGCTCAAGTCTGCTATGCATACTTGAGAGACGTTCCAGCAGGGACAGATGCATTCGCTGCATCAGAATGGTTTACAAGAGGATGGACTCTTCAGGAGCTTCTAGCGCCGGCTAAGGTTGTACTATACAATGCCTCGTGGAAACCAATTGGGACCAAAAAAGAACTAGCGTTCGAGATCAGCATCGTCACAAGAATTGACAAATACTATCTTAGCTCAGATGCTTCAGCACTCGAGCGTGCGAGTATCGCGGAGAAGATGTCTTGGGCATCGGCTAGAGTGACGAAGAGACCCGAGGACGTCGCCTATAGTTTGCTTGGGATTTTCGACATCAATATGCCGCTACTATACGGCGAAGGTACACGGGCTTTCCAGCGATTACAAGAGGAGATTATGAAGCAATCGGACGACCAATCGATATTCGCCTCGCGTCCTTCGGTATCTCCAGAGGTTGATGCACTGCTCGCTCAGTCACCCGCTGACTTTAGTACCTGCGGAAACATTGTACGAAGCATCAATTCAGCTCATAGCAAGCCATACGCCATGACAAATCGAGGCCTCCAAATCGAGTTACCACTTCTCACACACGAGAACAAGATCTTCGCTGGCCTCAACTGTCGATTTGCGGACGACTTCTTTTCCGATTTGGCAATTCCTCTTCGCAAGATCAGCGGCAACCAGTACCACAGGGCAGAGGGTATAATACGGGAATTTACAACCGACGAATGGCGTCGAGCAAGGGTGCAGTCGATGTACATCAGCACAAAGCCACACCAAATTGACTCGAGGGGCGATATAAGAGACAACTCGTCCGTTGTACAGCGACTACCATTCGGCTATGTAGTCTCACGGATTTTCCCGCCCCAATCCGGGTGGTCCCCCGGGATTTGCACCTTTGAGGGAAACCCGCAAGATCTGAGCAACCGTAGACTGATGCTAGTCAGTTCGCTCATAGCGCACCACCACTTCCTATTCATGATGTGCCTTCACAAGAACAGGGTCTTCCATGATGGGGTCTGGGAAGCTCGGCTTCTCCCCGTTCCAGTTGATGAAAATTGCGATCTTATACAAATCTTTTCCCACTGGAAAGGGAAGGATCTGTCAACCTTGCCACGAACTCAGAAATCAGAGTTTGGAGTAGTCGTTCTTCGAGCTACACCACGATGTATCCGAGGCAGGAAGCTTACAACAGTTGATATTGCCATCAGTACAGATCAAGGCTATGGAGCTTTAGAAATATCGGAACAAGCGATTGCGTTTTTTCGATCTACTGGAGATTGCTTCGCTCACGTCTTAGCGTGGGGATGTGACTTAGTTGTTCAACTTCTAATAGCCCGGTTCTCGGTTGTGCTTTATCTTCTAAACTTCGGCTTTATCTTTTTGATCGTGCGGAACACACACTTCTTGAATCCTGACTTTGACACCTTTCACGTTATGGCGCTGACCTTACTTGGTATGCTCAGCGCCCCATTTATCCAGAAGCTCCAGATGAGAATGGCGATCAAGGAAAGAATTAAGCAACCGCGTAGTAGAGGGGGTGTAGGATGGCAGGACAGACTGGATCATGTTTCAGTTGGCTATCTTTCCATTTTGTTGGTGTCAATCGTTTCGGTTACTACTCTTTTTCAGTCCTTGTTCGAACTTGATTTTTATCTTGTGAACCTGTACATCTCAGGCGCATGCATGATCATGTATTTTATGATATTCATCCCAATAATTATGGGAAGCCCTTTAGACTTCTAGTCTAATATATTGTAGCACATATTTTCTTAAGATTTCTTTATTGATGATTGTTCTCTATATTTATTCTTGCTTATTTCACTCCTATGAACAATAACGTACTTTATAAGTAGTAATAAGAGAGGATTTAAGAAGTGCCCACAGCCTAGGTACAACATATTAAGGTATCGCATAGACTACAGTGGGCTTGAGAAATGTAAAGTTTAAGTAAATATTAAAACCTTAAAGTTATTTTTTAAGTAGCTTACTTATATATATAATTTACTTATCCCGCAAAGACGGGACCTAATATATTATTAATAGTTTATATTATTAGTATTTTTTACTGTATATTGCGTACTTTTATTTGTAGAATTGCTAAGTAATAAACTTTTAATTTTTAATAATATAATTTTAACTACTAAGGCTTGGCTTTTTTAACAATTTCTAAGCGCATATTTAAATATTTAGTATAATATTAGACTGCTAAATAGCTAGCTAATACTAGGCTTTTAAGCAATAATAATAATAGTAAAGTAGTAATAGCAATGCAAATAATAATGCAAATAATAATATAAATAATAATAATAATTTTTTTTATAATACTAGTTCTAATACTTAACTGCTTTTTTGCTTTTTTTTTTTATTAGTGCTATTTTTTTTTTAATTGCCTAGCCTAATTGTTTATTTTTTTAACCTTCTAGCTTTTAAAGTATTTATTAAAGCTATTTAAATATTTATATAATTTTTACAGCTGCAAAAAACTACTACTTTTAATTATTAAATTGCTAGTTACTGCAATAGCGCAAAAATAATTTTTAGTATAGTTAAATAAGCTTTTTATTTTAAAAAGCTATATAGAAAACTTTAAGTTTATTTTACTAATTAGTAATAAAATTTTTTTAAAAAGCAATTAAACTATAGTAAAAAATTTATATCTAGCAGCTTACAATAAATATAGCTAATATATTTAATTTTTTTTAGCAGAATTCCTACTAGCTAAAAAAGTATAAATTTTAAAAAAAAATATAGTTAAGTATAAAGTACTTTAGCATACTAAAAAGCCTAATATTTAAATTTTAAAAAATTTGCCTAAGCTTGCTAAAGTACTTAAATATTTATTAATATTAGTTTAACATCTTAGTTTTATATAATAAAAAACTAGCCTAAAATTAAAATTTTTTTATAAATTTTAAAAAAACAATAAAACGCAAGGCAGTATTAAAAAAATTATTAATAAGTATTATATAAATTTCGGGCTTTATATATTAATTAATAGTTAATATAGCTTGCTGCAAAAGTACTAGCAAATAACTATATAAAAAAAAAACTTTTTTTTATATACTTATTAATATTGTAAATTTAAAACTGCTATTTGCGGCTTTTTACTTTTAATTATTACAACTTATTAATAACTATATAAAATACTATAGTCTACAATTTTTTATAAGCTAACTTGCTAAATTAAAATTTTAAATAATATTTTATATACTATTACTAATTAAATTACTTACTATATATTTTAAAAGCTTATTACTAAACTAAGCTCTTAATATTAGTCTAAAAATTTATTTATAATTTAATAATAAACTGCAGTAAATATTTAAAATTTAAGCGCCTAGTATTGCTTAAATAAATTAGTTACTATTAAAAGTTAATAGTTACATTACTATAATTTTTAAATAATAATATATTAAGTCTGCTAATAGTAATTATTAAAATTTTTTTAATAATTTATTTAGCTAGCCTAGTATTATATAAACTTTACTGCCTTAATACTATATTAAGGTGCTGGGTATAGCACCTAAACTATAGTTTTATACTAAATTTTTTTACTATATTGTATAATCCGCTCTAGCGTCAACTTTACTTTTATTTATAGAAATATAATTTACTTATAATACAAAGTCTTTAATGTTGACAACGCCCCTAGTTGTTTACTTGCTCAAGTGGAGTTTTTGTGTTTTAGTGATACCCCTAGGATATGGTTACTCGGACTAAACAGAATATTAGGGAAAAGAAATTACCCAAACAAGTCCAGAACGCAGTTCAACACACACCTATGATCTCAAGTTGAATTGAAGATCCCCCTCCATTCCCATTACCATGCTCAACCCCATGCCATGCTCATGTCCCTCAAACTTCCCATCAAGATAATGAAGCGTAGTCCCATTAGACACCGTCCTCGTAACTGTCTTGCGGATCTCGGCTTAATAGTGCGCGAGCTTGTCTCTGAGTCCGGTTAGTTCGGTGGTGAGATGGCCATGCTTGCCTTGATGGTATTCGCCTTCGCAGACAAGGACTTTGTTCGTTTCGGTCAAGGTGAAGATTTCTGATTTGAGCTCCGTAACAGTATGCTCTGCACGGCGGAGAGACTCTTCCAGGCTGGTGATGTGATGGTGATTCTCTACATTTTCCTGCGTTCGTCCTCCAAGTCTTTCTTGTGTTGATCGCACTCGATGATGCGAACTGTCTCTTTGAGTTTGTGATGATAGTGCTCCACACGATCATGTCGTCGGGCCAACTCTATGAAATCTCGAGAGCACTGCTCCCCTGCCCTGAATTTAGCCTTCTTGACATCATCTTGAAGCAGGCCTTTCTCATGGAGATATTCGGCCCACTCCAACTCGAAATCTTGATGCGGTCGGAAGGAAACAAGACCTCTTTGCGGGTATACTCAAACTTTGTCGAGGTTCCTGTGAACTTGCTCTGCAAGTCGGTGTGCTCACGCAGCAGGTTTCGAAAATCGCCCTGATGTTTGGGCGAGTCATTTCTGGCGGAGTCGCGATTGTCTTCAGAGCAAAGAACTTGCCTTCTGCTTGTGATGTAAGCTCCATGTACATCTTGCTATGATGGGACTGCAGGAACGCGGCCTTCATCTTCGTGATGGCAAGCTTCTCGGGCGTAATATCGGCCTTGGATGCTTCATCAATCTCCATTGTTAAGCGTGAACGAGGACCAACCTAGCACCATAAGATATCATTGAAACATCAACAAAGCACGAGCCGATTAAATGAAGTCAAGTGTAGAATCATATTACTTAGTAGCGCTTGAAAGCAAGCTGTGCTGTGAGACTGTCGCCATGCGGACGCTAGTTCGCTATGTAGAGATCGTAATGCATCTCCGTCCTATTTGTACACTTCCTAACGATGAAAGAGATACAGTGGTCTCGCCAAGGAAGCCATCATGTGCAAAAGAACACTGAGGCACAAGTCTGGCGCAAGTCATGGATAGATGGAGAGACTGAAAGTCAAACGATAGCCAACCACGCTTGAAGTGCATATGCTCCATATATCTCGAATGACGCTCAGGCGCTACGCATATCGAATAGTGAAGGGAGCGCTTAACCAAACACGCTACTAATAGCAAGCTTTGATGGCTCGCTCACGACGCGGTCATCATCGTCCCCGTCCTCGTAGACTGACTGCGGGTCATCGGAACCCTCAGTGCGCACCAAGAGCTGCTCATCAATCTCCTGACGGTAAGAAACTTCAGTGTCATCTGCGCCCTGTTCGATCCCGATAACCTTCTGCATGCTTAGCTCAATCTCGACCTCCTCGTCCGGGCCAAGCGTTTGTTCCTGGACCCCATCCTCAAACTCATCGTCTTGGAAGTCCTCTTGAATCTCGGCTTCATCACCACTGGCCTCAATTTGCTCGGAAATGAACGAACCTTCTTCCTCTTGGTCCTCCTCTCCCACTATATCACTGGTCACTGGGACATTCTCTTCGGTGCCGATATCGGCATCCTCCTCTGTCTCTTCTTCTTCTTCTTCGACAGGAGCTGGGCCAGAGGTGCTGCCATCGAGCAATTGCTGAAGGAGTTCCTGTATCTGAGCGGCGAATTTATCCGGAACCTCAATGGTAGTATAGCCGCGTCGCTTGCGAGGAGCAGCGAGCTTCACTGGCTTCACTATAGCAGCTTTCGAAGCCTTACGACCAGCAGCAGCCTTTTTGGGAGCGGGGGCATCGACAGCGACCTTGCGTGGTCGTCCGCGCTTAGCTGTTGAGGGTGCTGGCTCTTTCTTTGCAATCTCCCGGGTTGGAGGTAGACGCGTCCGGAGCCTGTCGGTACCGGCAGCAGGAGCAGTCTTAGAGCGAGGAGAAGAGCGCTTATCGACTCTCGGAGAGCCCACGAGGTTGAGCGCAGCCGATTTTGCTGGACGACCGCGCTTCTTCTGGGCAGGCGCGTCTTCAACAGCCGATTCCTCCTTTCGCGGTCTTCCGGCGCGCTTCTTGGGCGTAGGAGTTAGAGCTTCTGCGACGGGCTCAGGTTGGGGCGCAATGAATGAGTGGCGCCCGCGTCTGGGCGTCTCCTCGATGGCAGGAGCCTGCTCTTCGGGCTGCGCTTTGGCAGGACGTCCGCGCTTCTTTGCGGGTTCAGCTGTAGCTTCGACGACATCGGCTTTGGCAGGACGACCACGCTTCTTTGCGGGTTCGGCTATATCTTCGATGACATCGGCTTTGGCAGGGCGACCGCGCTTTGATGGCGTGCTATTCGCGACGACAGGAGCTGTTTCTGGCAGCGCAATCTTCTTGGGTCGACCACGGCCACCAACCATATTTGCTCGTGATTTATGAGCTATTTTGAGTCGTAATGTGGTGTCTGATAATTGCGCGATGGGCAATTGAGCGGCGGGTTTGAAGGTGTTGATAGCCAAAGGGCTGTTGCGGAAGGAGCTTGAGTGGAGCCGTTGCCCAGGTGCGGAGCTAACTCGTTAGCGCGCTTTTTCCAATGTTTGCTCTGAGCTCACTTAGAATTTACCCTACCTTTACTTTTGTAGGAATACCTACATATGCTAGTCTACGTAGCTACTACTGCCTCTTTGCAGGTAATTGCATTAATGTAATTGAACAAGGGAGGGTTAGCGGTGACGTCAGATCTACTACTGCCCTGTCACCACTCCTACGTACCAAACTTTCACTATGCGCTGCCCCGGCCTCTATCTAACACTGCGTTGCCTCAGAGTCAACGAGATTCGCCTGACCATGCATCGACGCTTCCAAATATTGTGTGTATGTCTACCAACAGAAGAATTGAACTGCGCGCAATTCGGCTTCTCTGCACTGGACATCCATAGGACAGTTTATAAACACGAGAGCGCACCCATGACGAAGTTGAACGCGATCCAAATGCGATAACTCCTGGATCGGCCGTATGTGACCACGGGCAGGACACCGCAGAAGTTCAACTATCATACAAACATAACAACGATGGCCCTACCTTGTTTAAGGTAATGTAACTCTGGTGGTTCTTCAAAATAGAGGGAGTAGCGTGAACAGGCGCTTGAATCGTAGCTCGACAAGGTGCAAACGTATGTTTAAGCAACCAAAGTCACCCACCTCATCAATTTTACTTGCTCCCACGGTGAAAGATCCTTCAAGTCCGTCTCAAACCATTCCGTCTACCACGCACATCGTCAAGTCAGCCATTGCCTAAACCAATCCACAGCAGCATCCTTCCCCCTAATCATAGCCTCTCTCTCCCCATCGACCTTCTCATCCCCCTTCGTCAAACACCCATGTGCCACATCAGGGAAATGCACCCACTCGACCGGCAAGCCCTTCCCATCCACCCCACGCGGCTTGCCCAGCACCAATTTCTGAAACGCATGCAACTTCAACTCATCTGTGAATACTCTATCCGTTTCTGGAGCCAGGAACTGCACCGGCACGGAAATGCCTTCCAAATCGCTCTCGGTGAGCCACGATGGATGACCTACAACGACAGCGTCGACAAGTGGAGGCCTGGCAGCGAGACGAAGGACAGCCCAGCCACCGAAACAGTACCCTACAGCCCCGATCTTCTTATACCCATTTTCACGAAGGGTTTTTGCGCAGGCGAAGATTTCCGGCTCGCGTACCTCGCGGGCGTTGCGCGTCTGGAAGCCCCTCAAGTCCACGTCATGGAATCTTCCTTCGAGAATCGCGACTTGGTCCAGTTCCTCCCCCCCGAAGAAATCGGGTATGTAGACTGTTACATTCGCCTCTCGGGCGAAGTGATCGGCGAGGAGACGGGCGTTGATAAATTTCCACCCTAGAGCGTCATGGATATAGAGCACTGCGGCGTTGGGGTTTGTGCCAGTGATGTAGGTTGGAATGTTGGAGAGGGTGGTGTCATGCCCTGTGGGGGTCTCATCCCACGCGAAGCTTTTGAGGCAGCAGGATGAAAACGTGTTCTCGGGCGCCATATTCGAATAAAAGCTATCAGGTACTTTGTGATCAGGTCTAAGACGTCGGGGAGAACAGAAGTTAGGGGTGGTCCTTCAAAATCGATCTCGTGTCTAACGTAACAAGAGTTCAAGAGCGACGTAAAAGACTGTTCACTGTTTAGCCACTGCACCTTATCTGTATTTTCCGCATAATATCATATCCCCTCTTCCACGCCACATGCACGGTAAGCGTGACCGGAGTTATCGCTGGCCTTGAGGACTATCTCCACGCGAGTACGAATATATGCTAAACACATATTTCTAACGGGACTTGGCGAATCGTGGAAATCTTCCGGCTCATATCTTGTGCGGTCGACATTCAGTGCACCGTATCATGGAACAAAGTCTTCGTTGGGGGGAACCAACATGCGCTACGCTCATCATAACCTTACCCGAAAAGAAAAGAAATCCGCTTTGCCTGGTAGAGAATAGTCATGAGCAAGCCGGCGTAATGGAGTCAACGGAAAAGAGACTGACTTGTTAAGATTATGCATAGTAAATATCAATGCTGAGTGTAAGAGCGCCTGTTGAAGGCCCGGCGCTGTTGAAAGGCCAATGCGTCTAAATGCTGCAATGAGAACCGCCGTTGTAGAGTGATGAACTCCTCAACCCAAACGCCTTTTCGATGAGACATAACTCGTGGATGATGTACAAAGTGCATGCAGAGAGTGGTTGAACTCTTCCGCACAGTGAGTCAATGCGCCTACAAACCGCCTCCATGTGCCCGATGCCTGACGCCAGACCTACCGTCTGTTGATGAGGTTTAGGAACTCCTCCCTCGTCCTAGCAGTGGAGCGCATACGGCCGAGCATGCAGCTTGTGGTGGTTGTAGCTCCAGTTTTTTGAACGCCGCGCATCACCATGCAGAGATGACTCGATTCGACTACGACAGCGACACCTTGTGGTTGGAGCATTTCAGAGAGGGCGAGAGCAACTTGCTTGGTCAGACGCTCTTGCACTTGCAGGCGGCGGGCAAACATTTCGGCAATCCGAGCTAGCTTGGAGAGGCCGATAACGCGGCGGTTTGGAATGTAGCCAATGTGCATCTACAGGTTCACGTTAGAAGGGATTGCATGAACGCATGGCATGGGAGTGGAGAAGTGTCGAGTCGAGCAAGAAATAGGAAGATTGGACATTGAGGAAAGCGGGAAAGGCTTACTTTGCCGGTGAAGGGGACCAGATGGTGCTCGCAGAGCGAAAAGATCTCAATGTCTTTGACAATGACTAGTTCGTCGTGATCCTCGTGGAAGACGGCGCCATTGACGATGTCGCGCAGGTTCTCTTCGTAGCCTTTGGTGAAGAACAGCAAGGCCTTTGCATAGCGCTCTGGTGTGTCCAGTAGGCCCTCCCGGTCAGGGTCTTCGCCGAGACATTCGAGCATGGTTCTGACAGCGCCGGCCAGCTTGGTGAGGTTTTGGGCCTTTTCCTCTTCAGTGGCCTCTTTGCGCCCGCGCGTGCCTTTGCTAGGCCAACTAAGCCCGTCAAAGTCGATGGTGGGGTGCTGGGTGTACGGGCTGTGGGCGCGACTCGTCGCCAACGGTGTCTTCGCAACGGCGTCCTCGTTGGAGCCCTCGGCATCCGTCTCGCCGTTTATAATCTCGTGTCGGCCGTGCGCGCCCGCATCGTCCATGTTTGCGGGGAGGTAGCCCTCCGGCCCGTCAAAGTTGACCATCTGGCGGCCGCGATTCGATGTCTCTATGGCGTTGTAAAGCGACTCGCGCTCCCTCTGGTCGCGCACCTCTTGCGATACTCGGAGAGGCGATCCGCCGTTCACCATGTGTGTGGGAAGTGCCGACTTGGGTTTGGGCGTGTCGGCATCCATGGTTGCGGGGAATTTGTCGGAAGTGGTGGTGCGGGCAAAAGTTTCTTTAGTACGCGGCTGGGATGGTGGTCTCGGTATCTATAGTGGCTGTGGATTGGGAGAGGGCACGAGTGCCTGTAAAGTTTGATCGATCCGGCGCATGCTGACCGTGGGTTATTTGTCGGGGATTTGCTTGACTGCAATCGAATTACCTTCACTTGCGCATGCGGAAAAGAGTTTAGCGCCCCAAACTGGGTCTGCCAAGGCCCATGACGCCAGGTCACGGGACTTCTGGCTGAGTGGCGGTATGCCGGTCGACCCAGCACGAGTTCCGAGGACACAACACCACCTCTCTCGCAACGCGACCCGCCCACCCATCATGCACGTCTGGCTGAGGTATGTACGCGCTGGAAGATACAAAAGAACCCGTCCTACGCAATATTCACTATAGTGCAGCGACCATGGCGACGCGGGGATAGACGGTCTGGAAGGGGTCTGACGGCTCTCACCCGTCCCCGCCAGCTCCAACACCACCAACTCTAATACCACCAGCAACGCGGGCCAGTCGTCACAGTATCGCCTCGATCGAGTCGCACCTCTATGCGTTTCGACAGAGGATGCATGTGTTTATTACGGGAGATGGATCGGGCGCATGGCGCGAGGTAGTGACATGATGGTGGTCGCTGTGCGATAGGGACGCACCCACATATTGGCGCCCACGTTCTGTATCTCGCAGGCCTGCAAAAGGTATACTAACAGTCGCTGTGCATTCTTGTCAACATCGATTGCATCAGCAAGGCAGTGCGCCAATATGCTGCTGCTTCACCCGCCTCCAGGCACTTTACCTAGGCCTTGGTTCTGCCATTGTCTGCGTGGCATACCGCTCTCGCGTAACCGGTGTGGGTATGCTCCAAGGAAAGCAGGGAGCAGGGAGCAGGAAACCCTAAACGACATCAACATGGCCATGACCTGCGACTTGTTTAGGTGAGCGTCCGCCGACTACCCACCTTTGGAGTCGGGCAAGGAAAGTGGGCGCGTTTTGAACACTTCTACCTCTACATGATGACTCCTTGTCTACTCTTCGGCGTCTCGAGCGTTCGACGTCTTGATGCTCCTACACGGGCATGCTCACCTTTTCTTCATTCTTCAGGAACACATTACACCTGTGTTCTCGTGCCCTTACAGTCGAATGCCCCGCTTCACAAGTCCGACGCCATCTACCTGGCTCCAATTCCTTGAGAGTACGAACTCGGACGACAGAGACATCATTCGAGACTCCAGCCTCGTGAGTCTACAACCTGCGGCCCCATGTCCATGTTCAACACTGCCATGCTTGCACCATGTCACTTGGCTTCACGTTACCTTTCATATATTGCTTGAAAGCGTAATCCTCGAGAGGCTGCTTTGGGGTACATGTGGATAGCTGGAAGGCTGGCTGTAGGCGTGATTTGTATTAGATAGTTATCGTGAAGCCTTTTGGGCGCATCAGAAGCACTGCAAGCAAGGAGAGGAGAAGCGAGCACACACAAGACAGACAAGCGCTGAAGAGGGCGTTCTCTGGAGCCGAGCTGGAGTGCTGAAAGAATCCGGGGGTTGAATCATGTGCGGGCTTCATGGGAGGTCCTCCTTGTCACGGGTCTTGGCGTAATCGATAGCGGCAGGCAAAAGGCGGCGGGCGAGAAGGCCTGCAGCGGCACGACAGCATCGCTGAAGACGAGCACCGACGGCAGCGCACCCGCTGAAGTGTCTTCGAACCGGTCGCAGCAGATCCCTCTTATTGTTTTACCATTCTGCTACTCACCTTTCCAGCTAGGGCCGAGATTGCGAAGTTGGGTCGACGTCTTGACGCTCGGTTAGGCCGTGGCATTCTGACCACCCGAACCTTGATGCTGCAACCTTCCCATCTCTAATGACATTCCTGCCTCTATGGCTGCCCTGCGACGGGCCCAGGATATAGACCAGTGGAGACCAGAGGACTCGTCTATTAGGGACAGAGAGAGACCCAGGGAACGTTCACGGGAACCCATCACCGAACCCAGAACATCGTCACCGGCGCCACGCGCTGCGAGGGACTCTTCCAGACGTCGCACCCACGACACCGACACTCGCTCATCGACAAAGCACGCGAGAGGACGCTCACACGAGAGGAGTTTGAGTAGAGAGCGTACGCGTCGTCGTAGTCGCGGAGCTTCTAGAGAGGAGCGCTATCGAGGCTCGAGAAGGGAACCCAGTTCAGACAGGGCTGCACACTCAGGGCGACACCATCACCACCACCACCACCATCGCGACACGACGCCATCCTCGAAACGCCATCACAGTCGCTCTCCATCCCCCAGGGCCTCCCACAAGCGAGCAAAGCGCCATACGAGTCGTAGCACAGCACGTTCGAGATCGCGGACACGGCGTGCAGATTCGACGCACCGACCCGTAGAGAGGCGATACTCGCCACGAACCCAGCGCTCTGACCGCGACCGACCACCGCGCCGACCCACGCCAGACACAGACACGTATATACCGCCTTCCTCAGCCCGCCGCCGTTCGCCATCTGTTGATTCACACTACAGAGCAACTGCACCTCGGACGCGGAGAACGTCTGCTTCACCCGCTAGGAGGTCGAGGCGTGAACCGACGCCTAGGAAGTCGTCACCTAGGAGAAGCGACAGGCGGAATAAGACGCCTTTTGAAGAGTCTAGGGAACACAAGCACAGCTCGACACGCGACAGGGACCAAAGTCGCAGCCGAATCTCCAGACACGCCAGGTCTCGCTCTCCACTGCGCAGGCGATCTCCTGCACCCGTCCGCAGAAGCTCCCCACACAGCCTCGACCGGACTAGAGCATCACCTCGTGGGAGTCGTTCTCCTCGTGCACCCCGTCGCCGCCGCTCTTCTCGGTCGCCGTCCCCTACCTCAAAACCTCGACAACGCCCGGACAAAACAACCAAACCGGACAAACTAATTCGCGCAAACAACCCCACCTCGCGCAGAGGTTCGCCTGCACCTGCCTCAGGTTACAACTCAGATACGTCAAAAGAGAAGAACAAGGAAGATAAGATGAGGGGAGCGAACCACTACCAAGGCCGCGGTGGGCCTGGCTTTCAACATTCTCCACCATACCCTGCACATAACCAATACCCTCCTCAGGGCCAGTCACCTTACCATGGCGGTCGGGGAGGATGGAGTGGGCAGCAATACTCCAACCAAGGGTAAGCTCCAACTCCATAACTTTTTATCGTGTGCTAACGCTTAGCAGCTCTCCCATGCAAGGCTACTCGCCAAACCAATCGCCATATAATCAAAACCAACAATCACCTGGATACTATCAACATCAGTCATATCCCGCTCAACATGGTTTCCAGAATACCCCCTATCGAGGAGGTCACGGTGGCTTCCGTGGGAATCACTTCAATGGTCCTGATAGGCGGTTGTCGGGCCCTGGCGCAAATGCCCCATTTGGAGCGCAGGGCGGCCGAGGTCGCGGTGGAGCGCCCACACAGTTCTCAAATCTGTCGTGGACGCCAGCCTCTGGGACGCGAGGCGGCCGACCGGCCACCGAGGCACCACGCCCACAGCCTGCCCCGGCAGCGTCCACCGAGGCTGCAGCCGTCGATGCTGACGACAATCCATTTCGTCCTTCGAAAGACCTGCGCGTAGAAGATGAAGGCCCCAAAGAAGAGAAGATAGCACCACCGAACAAATCTTCCGCTGCTTCTCTGGCACAGCCAAAGTCAGGCTTCAGTTTCTCCCTCAAGACAAAGAATCCAGTGCCTCCGGCTAGTAAGGCTAAGCTTGGACTGGAAGAACCCGAGAAGCCAGAAGTATCAACTAAGGAGTCTCTGCTGGCCCCTAAAACGAAAGAGGCGTTAGCTCGCGAATCCGCATCACGCTATCCTTCGGAATCAAGAGGTGACCGGGACCGCGATCCTCGGGATAGGGACTATGATCGAGACCGGAACCACGATCGTGACCGAGATTACCGTGACAGGGACCGCCGATTCGATGATTACTATGATCGAAAGCCCGCTTACAGAGATCCTCGCGATAGAGACCCGCGAGATATACGCGACCCGCGAGATACATATTATCGTGACAGAGAACGGGATTATAGGGACCCACGGGACCGAGATGTACGCGATCTGCGCGATGCTCGAGATATACGTGATGGAAGGGACCGAGATCCGCGGGACCTGCGTGACCCACGAGACGCTCGAGATATTCGAGATAGAGATCGCAGAGACCCTTACCCGCCTCGGCGACCGGAGCCGCGGCCTGACACTCGTCTTGGTGCTCGACCAGAACGGCGAACACCTCCACCCGAAGTACCAAAGACGAAAATCATTAAGAAGAAGCGAATGAAGCCTCGACCAACACTCACCCCTGAGCATGCGGCCTCAGACTCTGTATACTACCGGAAACCGGGTAACGAATCTGTGGTAGGCGCAGGTACATTCGGCAAAGTCTTCAAGGGTATACATGTCTATACAAAGGACATGGTGGCTCTGAAGAAAATTCGTATGGAGGGCGAGCGCGATGGTGTGAGTAATGCCCAAATATCATGAATTGGGTTTACATACTAATCAATTATAGTTTCCCATTACTGCTATCCGAGAAATCAAACTTCTTCAGTCTCTCAACCATGACAACGTTGTCAAGCTACGAGAAGTCATGGTCGAGAAGAATGACTGCTTCATGGTCTTTGAGTACCTTTCTCACGACCTTACTGGTCTGCTAAATCACCCGACCTTTAACCTCGAACCATCCCACAAGAAGGATCTTGCGAAACAGCTCTTCGAGGGCTTGGACTACCTTCACCGCCGTGGCGTATTACATCGCGACATTAAAGCGGCAAATATCTTAGTATCTAATACAGGCCAATTGAAACTTGCGGATTTCGGACTCGCACGGTTCTATGCGAAGAGCAGCAAGCTCGACTATACCAACCGCGTTATAACCATCTGGTATCGCTCACCCGAACTTCTACTGGGGGAAACGCAGTACGGACCCGCAGTCGACATCTGGTCAGCAGCATGTGTACTTGTGGAGATCTTCACTCGACACGCCATCTTCCCGGGCGATGGAGGCGAGATCAATCAGCTTGACAAGATCTACAATGTTCTCGGCACTCCAACAGTGCAAGACTGGCCTGGCATCGTCGACATGCAGTGGTTTGAACTGCTTCGCCCTACCGAACGGAAGCCTTCAACCTTTGAAGAGAAGTACAAAGATAGGGTCAGCCCAATGGGATTCGAGCTGCTGCAAGCCATGTTCCTATACGACCCTACTGCGCGGCCCACCGCCGCGGATGTGCTCGAGCACCCCTTCTTCACAAGCGAGGCACCCGTTCCCCGGCGTGCGGAAGCACTGAAGGAGTTGGAGGGTGATTGGCACGAGTTTGAAAGCAAGGCGCTCAGGAAGGAGAAGGAGAAGCACGACAAAGAAACGCGGCGGGCGGCAAGAGAGGAAACAGCGAAGAAAGATGAGGGCAAACGCAGGGCCGACGCGTCACTAGGAGAGGAGCGAGAGACAAAGCGTGCGAAGAGTGGTGACGTGACGGTATAGTCTGCCGATAGACTGTTAGCGGGCGCACGTTGTTTGTATGAGTAGATACTCCCCGTAGGCCACAACGCCTCAAGTCAAGGAGAAGGAGCTATAGATAATTGCTGCACCTTGAACATAATGGACCACCCACTATCCACTGATCCACTACTCACTCACCAACTATCGCCATGTCTCTGCTATTTAGCTACTTGCACGCCACTACTCCACCATCCCCTATGCAAGTCCTGGAAACCCTTCAGGAACCCAGATGTACCAAGTATACTGTTTTCGTTCGTGCGTTTCCAATCTTTGTGACGATCTCGAGGAGTAGTTACCGAGGCACGCGGAGAATCAGAAAGGGGGCGGGGCGGACTGGGTGAGTACACGGTAGACGCAGAGGTCAGATTAAGGTAAAGTGATAGCGTCTATAAGCAAGGGCTCTTTGGCTCAAATATATTTATCTCATGTCTGATGCAATACCTAGATCTTTCTAAACACCGGGTAGAGGTCGCCAACTTCCATGGGCACAATGCCAAAGCTAACATACGAATCAATATTCTCCGGCTCCAAGGTCACAAACGCCAACCCCGCATTCTTCTGCGCACTACTGACGAAAAAGCTGCCCGCGGGCAACGTTACTTCCCTTTTCAGCGTCTCCGTAGTCACCTCGTTCAGGACGGCGCCCTCGTAGTATACACGTGCTAGGCTGGAGGAGGTGATATTGTACACCTCCACCTCACCAGTGAAAACACCGGGCAAAGTTTCAACGTCGAGCCCCGAGACGCGGAGACGCTCAGCGAGATCGGACCACGCGCGAGGAATCACGTAGCCTTCGGGTCTGGCGCGCGTGAGATTCGCAGTTGCAGGCGTAGTGCTGGCGAACTCAACGGGGACCTGGACTACTTTGCCGGAGCGGCGATCGACCATTGTCCAAGTGCGGTTTGTATACGTGGTATAGTCTGTGACTACGATGGCGTCTTTGCTCTTCACTCCTTCTTCAATCGCACCTTCGATCTTTGCGTGTATTTCAGAAGCGCCATCACGCGCTGTTTCTATGACGCCGAGAATCATTTGTAGTCCCGCTAGTGTGCGGCGCTTGAAGGATTGATTCGCAATTCCTATGCCTCGCGTTTCGAAGAGGAATGTCACAGCTTGTGTTAGACCCATGGCGTTGCGACCGATCTTCGCATCGGTACCGGCTTCGTCGAATTTGGGCGGATTAGCACGCGATGCAGTCATGTATTGCTCCCCGCGCAGGCCCTTTGAAATAAGCGAGGCGTTAATAGCGGGCGCAAAGACTGTCTCGGAGAGACTGCGGATCGTAGGATGGATGTTCAAGTTCTTTGCGGCGCTGTACATGGCGTCTGCTGCATTGGAGTAGTTTCCTGCGAACCGCGAACTGGCGCCGTACTCATGCATGTCAATGGCAATGTGGGGCGCGAAGATGTTGAACCATTGTTTTATGTCACGGGTTTGCTGGCGCGCGAGCTTGGTGTGGTCGCGGTTTGGGTCGAAATTGGTAGCCAGCGTGCGTTGGAAGTAGGCGTTTCCATCTGGGTTGTACCGCGGGAGCACGATGATGTCCAGTTTCTCCAGGAAGCCGGCTGCCCATTGAGGATCAGCATCCATTGCTCCCAGTAGTGCAAGTGTTGCTTCGTCGCCTGCAGGCTCGTTTCCGTGAACGCTTCCCTGGATCCATACTCTTAATTTGTTGGACTTGCTAAAACCCGCTGACGCGCTTGGGGAGTTGGAGAGGTGGACATAGGGAAATTGCTTTCCCTCCTCGCTAAGAAAGTTCGTAACATTGTAAGACATCCATGATGGATTCTTGGCTGCGAGGAGGCGTAGGAAAGAGTCTAAGCGTAGTTAGATTAGTCCGTTCATGGGAATGTATTGTTCGTGTTCTCCTAGCTTCGTACCTAGTTTATCCTGTGTGGTGGCGCCCTCGGTCCCTTTCGTCCACCCAGCTTCGAACGAAGCATTTGGCAAAAAGGCAGGACTGTACAAAGTCACATTTGGCTCTGGAAAAGCCGTATGTTCCACCAGCTGCGAGTCCAAGTTCACTTTAACCTGGTTCTCTCCATACTGCTGTCCCTGTGCCAATGCCGAGGCAGCAAACAGCGGAAGGAGTGTAGATGTTAGGAGTATACCCATTCTCGCTCAAAAACACAAGTCGTTCGCGCAGCGCGTGTAGCCCCATGGCCTGCACGCGCCGCCTTCTTATCCTTTCGGCCTTTCCCCCATTCCTGCACGATAGCTTCGCATCGGCGGTACGTCAGTCAAGACCTCTTCGCCAAGGGCCCCTCCCTTGGCAACAGCCGCTCCTTCCTCTTCTGCCCATGGTGGTAAAGGATAAGAGCATCCGATAGCGGTTTATCGTGAATCATGAAGAAGTTAGCGGCGAGCCGATGCCGAAGAGCTGCGTTTCGCGGAGGATAGCCGTGGGGAGGCGACGATAGGGTAAGGGAAGGCGTTATGTAAGCGCATGGCCAACCTCCTTCACGATATACCTAGTTCTACATTCCATCATCTCACGGGGCCAATTCTATCAATCCTTCGCTCCGAGTGGTTTCACTTCAAACAAATGACTCTACTAAGTGAGGGGCGTGCTAGTCTGGCGGCCTTTGACGATCTCGGAGAAATGGTGTCGCGAATGCCGCACCGCGTCTTTTTGATCCTAGAATGAAACTTGAGGCTTCAGACCACGGTATGTAGCTAGAACTGACTGAGTAAGTCTCTTAACATCTTGAACATTACCTTATTATCTAATAGTAGCTAACATCTCTGCAAAAATCGTTGCATATCTTTAGCATCAGTTGACAACCTTCCCCAAGACACTCTTCTTCCGTCTATATATGAAGAGACGCTACACTAGAAAAGCTTCAGGACAAACTCTGCATATGCGCTCCCTCATCTCAGCGGACCAACTTCGTACATACGGATGTCACTCTGGGGTAGTTCCCAGCTTCTCCGCACCGCACTATTGATCTCCCGAAATCCCGACGCAGGTCCGGTACAGGGATCGACGACCATGTAATATATGCATAGTATGAACAAATAGAGCGACAATTCCTAGGTTAGGAAGTGCATGCGCTTGCTACGCGAACTTCATATCGATCAACATGGGAAATTACCGTTAGCATGTCTAGTCCGGTACACCATATATATGACATGGGCTGTGTTGCGGGATATATATACACTGGTAGTGTAACCCGGATAGAGTCCCTACCTAGCACTTTTCATTAATTATGCAGCTTCTGTCACGGTTCGCCGTCTGCTTGACGCTGATATCCTCACTCACCGCCGCCATTTCCGTCACTTCAACCAACTCCTGGAACATTACCAATGATATCGAAGGATCGGTTCGTCTCAACGGCCTCGCCTTCCAGCAACATGCCTTGACCACCTTTGGCGACTACCAGTATGTCGCCTTCTATAAGACGGCCACGGGATATGGCAAACACTACGTCAACCTTGGTCGACGTCGCGTCGCGCCTTCGCTAGGCGAGTGGCAGTATCTTGCATTCACTGACTACGTACAAACGACGCTGGATGAGCACAACACCATAAGTATGGGCATTAGTGGGGATGGTAGGATCCATTTAAGCTTCGACCACCACGATGTACCGCTAAATTACCGCGTGAGCAACGGAGGCATTGCAAAGACCATACCTTCCGAATGGACTGCAAGTGCATTTGGGTCCGTTCAGCACAGTCTACCGGGAAGTACAGGGCCGTGGACACCGCTAACATATCCTCGGTTCGAGAGCATCGACAACGGCGACTTGCTCATGGAGTTTCGCATTGGACAATCCGGCGCGGGGGATTCCTGGATCCATCGCTACTCTTCCACGAGCGGACAATGGAGCAATGTTGGTAAATATCTCCAGGGCCAGGACAACAATGCCTATATCAATGGTTTCACCAACCAAGATGGGAAGTTATTTGTCTCCTGGACGGTTCGAGAGACGCCGGACGCGAGCACGAATCATGATTTCTACTTCGCGCTCTCCGACGATGCAGGACGAACATGGAAACAGACTAACGGCCAAAGCGTCACCAAGCCGATAACCCCGTCAACACCCGGAATCAAAGTGTTTACTATCCCGCAGAAGAGTGAAATAATCAACCAGGAGGCACAATGTGCCGACCAAAAGGGACGCTTCCATGCTCTTATGCGGGATAAATCATCCGGTACACCTCGCTTCTACCACTACCTCCGCACTGCTGATGGCAAGTTCACCAAAACCGCCATCAATGCCCCTGGACTCTCCACGCCACCATACCTTGCGTACCGTGGAAAAATTGCGGCGACTGGAGACAATGTTGTTGCTATTTTGCCCGATCAACCCAAGCAGACGGTCCAAATATGGGCTGCGACTGCTGGCGGAGGATACACTGATTGGAAAAAGCTTGCAGAGATTACCAATATGGCGGGTGAGCCATTGGTGGACGAGCAGAGGCTGGATAAGTTTGGTGTGTTGAGTCTGTTTGTGCGCCAAGGGGGGGCTTTCGGGACGAGGAAGGTGCAGGTTTGGGACTTTGGCCTCGCGTTGTGACTGCTTTTCCTGGTTTAAAACAGTCTTCCCTATGCCCACGTCCTATATGCTAGTTCGTGAGTCGCAATGGCAATGCCTAGGTGGGTTGTGCAGACTTAGTGCATGGGATAATTCCCGGGAAGATGTGATTCGCTAACACTAAGTCGCGACATCATCGTACGTCTCCGCATATGTACCCCAGTTCAACAGATCATCTACCTGCACCTCACGCCCATTTCATCATCTACTTGCGAACTAATTTCAGCCACTTTGCGGGGAAGATACACTACTTGTCCTCGACAACCCTGATGAACTCGTACCATTCCCCGATCCTAGATCAAACTAGTGTATCGCACATCCACAACAGCCGCATGGCTAGAAATCCGACCATATGAGCCACGCTGAGCGGATCCTGGGTTCGTATGCGCATGCTGTCACTAGGTGATGCAGGATTTGCAAATGTGGGTATCTTTTAGGGTCCTTCCCGAGGCCGCGTCGGTACCGCTGAAGTATAAGGACAGCTGGGCACCCCCCTCAACCACCCTAAAGGAAGTCTATTTGAAAAGTCTCCACAATGCCTTCCTATCTATCCCTAGTGACGGCTCTCAGCTTCTTGCTCGTATTTGGAAACGCTCAAGATCCAGCTTTACAAGCCACTCCAATAGCAACAAATACTGCTATATCAACAACTTACTCACAGTCCAATGTGCCAACAGGCACACCATTGCCGGGCAACTATGATGATCCGCTTCGTCCACAGGTGCACTTTAGTCCACCTCGAGGATTCATGAACGATCCCAATGGCATGTTTGTGGATGGCAACGGAACATATCATCTCTATTATCAGTGTCCGTAACTCCAATCAATCACTGATGATACTCAGGCTGACATTAGTTACAGATAATCCCACGGCAAACGTAGCTGGTAACCAACACTGGTAAGTAATGCTCTCGGTTACGAAATTCATATGGGATAAATATTGACCTTGTATCTTTACCTTTAGGGGACATGCTACTAGTGATGACTTGTACACTTGGACCAATCAACCCATTGCTATCTTCCCCGGTGGTCCCACCGAGGGGGTCTTTTCCGGATCCGCCGTGGTAGACGTCAACAATACTTCAGGCTTCTTTCCCAACCAAACAGACGGAGTAGTTGCAATCTACACGATCAACGTTCCAGAGAACCAAACACAGCATATTGCATATTCGTACGACAACGGCTTCTCATTCATCAAGTACGAGAAAAACCCCGTCATCTCACCCGGCGGTACAAACCCTACTCAATTTCGGGATCCCAAGGTAATTTATTATGCGCCCACCAAAAGCTGGATCATGGTCGTTGCCTACCCTATTGATTTCCAAGTCGGCATCTTCTCTTCCCCCAACCTCATCGACTGGACACCTGAGAGCAACTTCACACACCACGGCTTGACGGGCCTACAGTACGAGTGTCCTAACCTGGCCGAGATGCCGGTTGAGGGTGGCTCTGGACAAATCAATGAGTCACTCTATGTCTTGCTCATTTCCGTAAATCCTGGCGCGCCGCTGGGTGGATCGATAACGGAGTACTTTGTTGGCCAGTTTAATGGAACGTACTTTGAGACACTAGACTCTACGACCAGACTGACGGACTTTGCAAAGGACCACTACGCCGGCCAATTCTTTTACGGTATTCCCGGCAGTGAAGACCAGATCACTATCAACTGGGCAAGCAACTGGCAGTACACCAATGTCGTACCCACCGCGGGTGACGTATTGGGCGATGGTTTCCGAAGCGTCATGACCGTACCTCGCGGTCACTATCTCAAAGACCTTCCCCGATTCGGCATGAGCTTGATTTCCTACCCACGGGACATCATGAGCATCGTAGAGTCTGAGCTTGCAATGAATCACTCTCTCGGAAACGGAACTGTATTTTTGGACTACTCCAACGTACAATCAGGGGCACTGTACTTTGAAGCCAACATCACAGGCCTCACGGGGCCAGAGTCGCTTGATGGTACGCTTAACTTCACATTCTCATCCTCGGTTTCTGGCGAGTCAATATCTGGTGGAACCTTCCTCTCATCTGGAGACGTGTGGTTGGACCGCGGGCATACAGATGGCTTTTCCAACCCATACTTCACGGACAAATTCTCGGCTACGGGTCTATATAATGAGGCTGTTGGTGCGTGGAAGGTCTCCGGCATTGTCGATAGAAGCGTTATTGAGCTCTTCTTGAACGGTGGGGAGAAAAGTGCGACGAGTGTATTCTTCCCCACGCAGCCCTTGAATATAATGATGTTGAAAGTATCGGGTCTCAACGCAACAGCAACGGCGAGTGTGGGCGTTTGGGCACTAAAGGCCGCATGGCTTGATCAAGCGGATGTTAATGGAACTGTCGTGGGAAATGTCACGGGAGGAAATGGGACGACGAACGCGCCCACCTTGGGGGCGGTAAGACTCTTTTGAGGATTGAGCCAGTACATGAAGAAGACATGATTAAGGTGAGGCACTCGCGGATATTCTTTAGTTGATACGTGCTCGTTAAATGAAAGATATTACTATGGACGGTCGAACGAATCTCAGAGCGTCTTCCATTCCCATGTACTTCCTCTTGGCGCTGCTGTAGGTCGTTTCTACACGAGAATGTGTTGCCGCGAAAGGTAGCCACACATCTGGGTACGCCACATAAGAAAGGAGTTAAGGGCGGTTGTGGAATCGGGGCGAATGGAGGTTCAGCCTCATCTCTAGCAAACTTGGTGTCGACATCATATTCGACATCTGAATCAGAATCCGCAACTTCGCAGATAGCTTTGCAGATAGCTTCGATGTGGTCCTCACCGCGTAGTGTCAGTGGATGCCCATCTTCCAGAGTTTCGATCGCGTCGGTCGCTGTAAGAATTGCCGTGGGCATTATGTGGGGCAAGTACGAAGACGGAGAGGCACACTTGTTGTAGTTGGGTGGAGATGAGTGAAGCTGGGTTGAATGGATAACCGGTTCTATTCAGAAAAGCTTGTTGACTTCTTAGGTTCCTAGGCGCAATAATATAACTTACCAGGCTAACGAGGCCTCGTCTTTCGCGGCGCAGGCACTGAGGCGCGAGAGTGCATTCGGTCGGGTGTTACTCTATGCGAGAAGACCGAACTACCAGCTATGGTATCAAGACCTCTCTCAATGATCTGTTCAGCTAACCTGGCATTGTATAAACTTTACTGCCTTGATACTGTGTTAAGGTGCTAGGTATAGCACCTGAACTGTGATTTTATACTGATTTCTCCTACTGCGTTGTATGATCCGCTCTAGCGTTGACTTTACTTTCAAAGAAAGAAATGGTAAAGCCGTTGGGGCCTCTGCTCAAGTTTGGCAATACAATCACGCTTAAAGTTGCCATGCTGAACTGGCGCCTTTAAGAGCCTTAGGTTTCGCGAAACTTGAGGTGGCTAATTGAAGGATGCTTGTGGGACTTCGCAAGGGCTACTGCGGTGTGGAGTTAAGTTGGAACTGGCCAGGTGCCCGTGCTCAATAACGGACTTGGCTTACGCGCTAACCAACCTAGGGTTGGCCCCGGGTGGCAGCGACGATCAAGCGAGCGGAACATTATGCTGCCGAGTCCCGCACAAATATCGCGAAAACTCCCAAGAAACTACCCCAATCACCCTACACGTCCAAGTCCAGCACCATGGATTCTGAAAAGAGCCACCGTCGTAAGATCTTCTCGAATCAAATTTATTTGCGATAGCGACCTAACCTCTGCAGTATACGTGAAAGGCCGCCACCTGGGGTACCAACGCGGCAAACGCAATACGAACCCCAATGTCAGCCTCCTTGCGCTGGAGGGTGTCAGCAGCACCGAGGCAGCACGGTATGCACATTCACTGAATGATGTGATGCATAGAAACTGACCAGTGCTAGTTACTACTTGGGCAAGAAGGTCGCGTTCGTGTATCGCGCAACCTCTTCAGTGCGCGGATCCAAGTGCCGCGTAATCTGGGGCAAGATCCGGCGGACACATGGTGAGCTAGGCGCCTAAGGTCTCTGCGTCATATCTGACATGAATCAGGAAATTCCGGCGCCGTACGAGCTTCCTTCAAACACAATCTTCCCCCGAAATCCTTTGGCGCATCGGTCCGTGTGATGCTGTATCCTAGCTCGACGTAAGCGTTATGGATGTGGCACACTGTCATCGTGGGATACCCAGCTCAAATATATTACGAAGGCATATTGCATTGGAGGAATGGGCGGCATTTTCATGAACAGGTCCGAGTCGTTAGTGTCTAGGCGCGGGGTGACGATTTCATGAACAGGTCCAGCACGTTAGTGTTTAGGTGCGGAAATGACGCATCTGCGTAGTGATATTTCAGAGCAGTCACAACGTAGCACGAAACTCCAATATCAAATGCTCAATTCATATTGCACACAACCTCTATTTTATTGATAAGAGGCTCACATTATAGGCAGACGGCAGCAATCGACCTTGGTCGCTGTAGATGCGCTGCTATCATGCAGGCCGCGCGGATTCAACGAAAGGTCTGGCGAGGTCAAGTGTGCTGTGAAACCCTTTAAATCATCTCACGGCATCTACGAGATCCAACAGAAGAGAGGTTAACACGAGGACGCTAATGGAGAAAAGTAACGTCATTTGGTGCCGGGTAGTGCCTGCTTTAGGTATAAACGGACACACAACCCTGGAGAGGTTACATCTCCTCGCTGTTTTGATTTTCTAACGTAGACTTACTATCTTATGTTTCAATCTCCCCAGCCATGCACGCAGCGCGTCGCGGCCGCCGCACATGTGTCGCTTCGAGCTCTTGAGTCTGTTCGTCTGATTTCCTTTTCGGCCCCGCCAATGTCAATCCTCATCAATCCTTTTTCTCGTACGAGTCGCGCAGGCGACGCCTGGTTTTGTGCCGGCCCAGCTTCTTCATATCCCAACGTTGATGACGATTCCCGTGTGGGCGAACAACGCGCATGCAACGGAAAATACATTCCAGGATGCCGGGTATTCCACGTACCGCGTGAAGATAGTTCAGAGGCTATTGAAATAGCAATTGATGATTGGAAAGATCCCGAACTCGGTACTGGCAAGAACCAAGTGATGGTATTCCAGTACAAAGAGAAGTTCATTGCGGTTGATCATGTAAGTGTGTTGTTCAAGTCCCGGTTACGATATCCCGTTCACTTTGCACGTACCCAGTACTGTGAGTACCTTTTTCATTACTACCAGTTCTAACGGCCAAGCAGGAGTGCCCACACTCATCCTATCCTCTGTCTAATGGCACACCTTTTGACATCGAGGATTTCGGCGTAGTGCTAAGCTCTGGAATTTCATGCCCAAAACATTCGTGGTCTTTCGACCTTCATACTGGAAGGGCGGATCGTGGCAGCTACAGGTTGCATGTTTGGGAAGTCCAGCGGAAACCCGGAGAAGCAGGAAGTGAGGAATTGATATGGGTCAGGAGAAAGCAGAAGATTGGATGATTTATGAAAGCCTCGATACCTCTTAATTACGAGCTCATTCCTGCTAACGACTGTGATCGCTTTCCCTAACTGCATTTCCTATTCTATAACTTGAATTTCAATGAAGGCGATTATCTGTAAATTCAAACGTATAGTCTTGTTACTTCCGAGGCTGAACAGAATCAGAACAGTGCCGCTAAGCAAGGCGCAGTCGTACACCATACACGGCTCAGTGGGGCTGCTAGGTCGCACTCAGGCATACCTTGTTACTGATATACACCCTAGCATGGCTGAATGAGTTGCACCCGTCCAGAGCAGTTTCAGCTTAACCCTAACGAGGCCTGATGGACTTCATAAGGTTCGATAAATATGGGTGGCAGAGGCCTAAACGAAATTAGCAGACGTTGTTCTGAGATGTCCGTCAACGACAACCGCATTGCAGGATCGGTACCTGATGACTTGGAAACATCAGTGTGTCTGCTACAACTACGTTGTCCCTCCTTCCGGCCGCAAATACAATCACTTCGGCGACATCATCTGGAGACAAAGGATCGCAGCCACTATCACTTATCAATTAAGTGTAATAATTCAATCTTTGAAGACTTACGCGTAGACTTTATTTGCTTGCTCTTGGTCGAAACGGTAGCGAATGTTGTTGAACTCCTACATGGACAACATCAGTAAGAGACTCGATATGAAATAGACGAAGGCATACTGTCAGCACTTGTCCTGGGTCCACAGACATGATCCGGATCCGCGTATTGATCAACTCCTTTCTGAGAGCATCCGTGAATGCGCGAACCGCCGCTTTACTTGAGCAGTATATCTACACTCAATCAACACATACTTAGTCGTAACGGGAATTGTCCAGTCACTCACCGACCCACCAGCATACGCCTCCCTCCCAGCGATACTCCCTAACATAATCACATCGCCTCGACCGCCATTTGGCCGCTTTTTGAAGACCTTGAGAACAGCTTGCGTCATGTTGATCGTCCCGGTGACATTCGTGGCCCAGACATCGCGGATCACGTCTTGTGGGATATCGGGTGCCTGTTCGAAACCAGACATGAAGCCCCTAAGGTGACTTATTTAGACTTGAGAGGGTAGGCAGGGAACCATAGAACACCCACGCATTGTTTACGAGTATATCGACATCCCTAAACTCTTCTGGCAGCCCTGCTATTAGAGCTTCAACCTCATCCGGGTTCGATACATCGAGCTGCTGAATACATACTCGTACGTCATTTCCAACTTCTTCTCGAATCTGGTAGGCGATATCGTGCAGCCGATCAACCCGCCGCGCTGTCAAGATAAGCTTTAGCGAAGAGGGGGATGTGCGAGCGAATTCGAAAGCGGTGCTGCGACCGATGCCGGAAGATGCACCTGTGATCAATACAATCTTCCCAGCGAGATTCTTAGCCATGGACGTAAGCGGCGGTAGCCTGCATTGCCCGGTGCTCATAATGGATCATTGCCAGGCGGTGGGAGACGTTGCAGTAATAGCTTGATGAAGGCACGAGGTGCTAAAAAGCGAATGGGGCTATTTATGCAAGTGCGGGAGTGGGAGCTAGACGGAGATCAAGAACCGAATGTCATGGATAGGGAGTGGGCCTTCTGTGCGCTTGAGGACTACCTAAGTATTGCCGTGCATATCCGATGCAGGTCGGAGGGCGCGGAAAGAACTCCGATGCATTTCACGACATCAGTCGAAAGGAGGGGAATGCGTTTGATAACTGAATTTGAAAATAATGTTATAAGATGCGAAGTAACCAACGATGGAAGCCAAAAGGCCTATATGGCCCATGGGTAACAGGAGTCTTGTTGGCCTATCCGAATGCACCATACCTTCATTATTGCCCGATTCCGCCCCTGATCCATCTGGCCAGAGTTGTACGTTCCTGCGATCTTTACGGATCTACGAAGCTCATGTTTCCGCCAATTCGTCCTTTCTAGAGAACCGCACATCGATCTTGAGCACCCACCCCAGCGCAGCTTCCAGCCTATTTAGTCTAGCAAGAAACACCATGAAGTCGGCATTGGTTCGAGTAGGAATGTCGAATACTAGCTTGTTGAGCTGTAGGGGTAGGTACTGCGTCTCCAACGCCACACAATGGCAGGTCGTCAACAAGCCTGCACCAATGGAGGAGACGTCGAATCGATTCTTGGTTGTGTCGTATGTGAGGGAGCCAGTAGGAGATGTAAGCGCATGGTCCCAAATCATCTGGCGAAGTTCGGCGGGGAGGTTGAGAAGCGAAGACTCTGTCATTTTGTAGTTTCGAACGTTCTCAGGAAGCGTCATGGGTCCCAAGATTTTGGGATGGGTTTTGCGAGGCTTCTTGTACGGTGTAAAGGGGGCCCGTTTCGGCTTAGAGGATTTACTGCGTAGCTTGTGTACCTTGAGTGGATTTGGTGATGGTGCATGCGTGAGTGATATTGAGGTATTGTTGCCTCGCATGGGTAGCGAGGTCATAATGGGCGGCCTCTTGGTAGCCTTCGAAGAATATGTGGGGCTAGGAAGTCGTGCTACACGAGCGCCTGCGTGATGATGGAGCTTCAGTGCGCTCTGAATGGGTTCTGCCTGCGGGAAGAATATATGTGGTGTTGGTAGAGATGTATGGTTTCTGAGATGTTGGTAAGTATTGGGCTGGCTGTTAGAGAGCCGCAGAAAAAGCTGTACAATCACCACGATTACGGGAAATCCTCATCTCTATTGTAGGGTATTGTGATTTAGCTTTGGGGTTTGCAGCTCGCTACCAGAAGGTGAAGGTCGCCCTGCTCAAGTTAGTCAGGGCCAGACAAGCGCCCGGCAACAATAGCACTTGCTTTTAGAACGCAGGCTTCGCCATTCGCCAGCCACAACTTGGAGAGCCATGGAAGCGTTTCCAGTGTCATGTTATTACAAGGTAACATTACTCATTTGATACGTGCTCTCTTCGAACTCAATCTTCTTGATGTGCTGTCCAGGCACCACGATGAGCCCGACATAGCGGCTGTTCCAAGGTACAGGTGTAGAGGGATTGCCCGACTCTTCAATAGCCTTCCGGATGGTCTCAATAGGCGGCGCACGATACTCGTGGGCCATAGCAAGAATTATATTGCGGTCCTAGAGTGTGTCAATCTACTGACTCGACAGCAAGCACTCCAGGGCAACATAGACCGCTGCGTGTGGAGCTTCTCACCTTGTCCGTACACTTCATCTGGCCACCAAAGACACGCCCATCAGTCGCATGGATGCGTAGATTCTTCCCAATAAACTGCGAGAGCCAGAAGGTAGCCTGTTCATGATCCATCTTCGTGTCAGTCTGCGTCCATGGGAAGAGCCAACTAAGGCGATTTGTTCTTTTGGAGCTTGCCATTAGCGCAGTGGCTGTGTACAACTTGAGGCTTGACCTGAGGCTTGATACCATCCCCGTCCCGTCCAGGTCGGAGTGCCCAGGTGGTGGAAGTCCGACGCTTGGCGCGTTTGACGCGTTTGTCTGGAATTTTTGAACCCTGGAGCTTTCAACATGAAGATACACCAAGTGATACTATACCTCACACAATGCATTCAATACGACAGAGCTGCCAATCGGCACTCCGGAGCTCAAGCTCTGTCTGTACATACGCCAACGGCTCGAGGCGTGCCTTCTCCCGCAGCTGCGCGCGGTCCCGAGGTATGCATACTCGATATCGCATCGGAATAGCTCTATTGACACTATCCAGGTGCCCTTCCCGTATTCCTCGAGCCGTCCTCCCCCGAACTCACCTCCCTCCTGTCCAATTTCAACTCGAAGGTGCTCCTGCCCTACCACCTCACAAAAGAGCAGCAGAAGCTCGTCTACAAAGCCGACAACAAGGCGAAACTGGAGGCCGAACCCGTAGAAATCACTCTCGGCGATGTAACTTTACCGCTTGAACACCTTGATCGCAACCACCTACCCAACCGCTGGAAACACCTCAAGGGAATCGTGCAGAAGAGCGAGACAAGAGAGGACTACGAAAATGTGGTCCGCATACTGGAAGGCTTCGAGAATGCGAAAATCCGCGTAAAACCCCAATGGCGCGAATTCATCGTCCGACACCTTAACCTCTCTGGAAATCAGCACCTTGTTCTCAAGGCGCTACAACGGGCCAAAGCCACAGGCCTGCGGCTCAGCGATCATGGTGTGCTAGTGCAGGTGATAAAGGGCGTGCACGATAAAGCCGCCCTGGCGGATTGGGAGCAAGAAGAGACCACCAAGGCGCTGCGGCTGGCGAAACAGCTTGTAGAGTTGATGGACGACGAGGAGCATTGTGGGGGACAAGGGAGGGGCGAGATGGTGAGCGAGAGGGATTGGAGGAGTAAGCCCAGCGTTATTGCGCTGCCGACCGAAATGGCTGCGCGCCTGGCCGAAAGACACGGTGGAGATGTCGAAGAAGTGAAGAAGTTGGCGAATCGGTTGGCGACTGCGTTGAAGCAGGATCAATTCACTGTAAGCCCTCCCATGCCTATCAGTCCGCTACTCTTTACTAACTATATGACGCAGGACGAGCTCGATTCCATAGCACAGCGCTCCTCGAAAACCTCCTCCGACTTCACTAATGGGGCCCGCCAACAAGACTTTGTAACAACACAATGCTACGATCTGCTCCAGCTCATCTTCATCTGGAATGCGCTGAAAACGTCTCGCAAGGTACTCGGCAATGAAATGCCTATGGCTCAAGAAACATTGGAGGTGGAGTCTAGCGTACAGCAAGTGTTGAAGGAGGGCGTGGAGGTGGTGAATAAGTTAAGGATGAGAGATGGGAAGACGATGGTCAACGGACAAGTCAGCTATGTCACAAATGCGCTGGAAAGGTGTCAGTAAGGGATCGTGGGTTGTGAGCCAAGATGGAAGATCAGTTGTACGATTGGCAGTGTTTACGTGAATACTTATATGTAAGCTGAACGTCTGCAGCGGTATAATACCAGGTAAAGACCTCCTCAGATGGTATACCGAAAATGAATTGGTGCTATGCTAAAGACCAACCACAACCATGAGACAGACCCGAAAGGTTCGAAAGCGACTACAAAGACGGGGGATGTGAGCGACGAACAGCAGACATAACCATCAACGAATCAACCCAAAGGAGATGGTAAATTCGAAAACAAACAATTCCACGCAGTCCAAACGAAAGACGAACTGCCAAATAACAAGAAGCCGAACTCGACATGGAAGGATTTGAAAGTAATGTACGAACGGTGGCCATGCTCTCTTGCCAATTCTCACCAGGACGTCGGACGGCCCAAAGAGTGCTTGGTTGTTAGCCTACACTGTCGCGGGTTGGAGAAGGAGTACCGACAGCTCCCCTAGGGTCCCATCTTCGCGAACGGAGTGCGGGAGTCTCCAGATTGTGATCTAGTAACCGAAAATCTCCGCCTCTGTTGCCGTAGTTGCCGCCGCGGCGAGAGAACCGAGTCGTGCCGCAGCTGGTTTGTCTTGACCTGTAGCTTCTCTTTTGCTTTCTGGAACGACGCCTTCACACGCTTCCACCAGCTGGGCTTCGCCGTCGCTCCGGACATGAACTGCTGTCTTTCAACCCGCGCGGCATCATCTTCGGCTCCAACAATGATGACCGCTCCGTCGCGGGCGATCTGCTCGAGGAAATCGCTCACATGTTCGGCGATCGTGTACTGCTGTATGTAGGGTTCTGCAGACCCGGGACCGTATAATTCCTCGTGACGCTCGCATGCGACCGCGAAGACATTTACTGTGGGCGAGGTGAAGAACTGATTCAGTGTCGCGAAGAAGTCGGCTAGATTCTCAGGTGTGTTCCAGAGATTGATGTGGCTTGTGCGATTTACGTGTGCTTGTGCTGCTTCAAGTGCTAGGGCACAGAAACACCTTCTTCCCCTGGGAGAATGCAATATGAAGGCGGCTACTAACGGAACGAAGGTTTTGAAGAGAACACCACGCGGGGGCATCGTGTACCCGATCGGATGGTCCCAGGAGTTCTCGAGCCATGCAGTGATGCTCCTTGAGGGGGCGGCCACTGCGGTTGAAACATAGGCTAATTGTGCAGCACGAGGGGTCGGAGCATGGGGTCTTTCGGGCAATGGTGACGATGATGGCAATGGGGTCGATGAGGGCAATGATGACGATGAGAGCAATGATGCCGATGACCCGGCTGGAGGTGGTGCGGGTGTGATCGCATCGGGGTCCACTGGCTGAGTGGGTGAAGTGACACTTTCTCGCAAACTCAAGGGCGGTGGTAATGAACCAGGCGGACTGGATGTTCGAGAGCCGTTGAGTGTAGACATAGCGACTGATATCAATACTGATGCGTCTGAAAAAATGGAATTGAAGTGACACTGGACGGAAGATGTCACAGAGCGAGTATTTATTGTTTGGTTCGCTGGCCTCCATCGTGCATGCCTTCATTATAGCTAGGTAGGTTCAAAAGGACGGCATTGTGATTGAGCTTGCCTCATTCATGATGAGGTGGCCAGAGCCTTTCCAAGCACGGAGAGAGCAATGCTGTGTGTGAGTCGTTGGCGAGAAGGAATTTTGCAGCTGAGACGAAGAGCTATGGAGGGTGATGCAGGTGCGATAGGATCACAGGTGAGGGGCGAATCCATCCTGAAGCATGCGGCGTGGTGAGATGGTAGCATGGTTGACATTAGAGAAGGTGAGAGGAGCATGATTGATATGGAAACACCGCTGTTGGTTTCGCCTCGCTTTGATACCTATGAAGGGCAGCTACACTCGAGACTCTGGTTCCCAAGAACAACTTGAGCCTCCCATAATATAAAATTCATGCTTTGTAGGCAATCAGTGGGAATTTTCGCTGCTTCAACGGTGTGGAGTGTCATCCAGACATGTAGATGAGGTATATGGCCTAGAACGGTTGCGACTCCCATCTGGAAAGGCCAAGCACGTCAGGCCGGAGGAATTGAGACTCGATATCCTTCCAACACAGCATCTTTAGCTAGTGATACCGTTCCTAAGGCCAAGCGAATGGGCAATAGTGCCGTGTAGGGTGCTAAGGTTCGTGGTGCAATAGAAGCATCGAAAGTCGTAAATGTGGAGTTCGTATGTGAGTCGATGACCATTCAATCGAAGCCTAGCCACAAACCATCATTGTCGTCATCCCCATCGTCGTTGCTATCGATCATGTTTTCGTCCACAAGTCCACTCTCAATCGCCTTAACCTCAAAGTCAGAGTGCGTCGCCCGCTCTTTCTTCTCCGTCGGCTGCGCTAATAAATACTCAATCCTGTAGATATTCTGATCTGCTAATCGCGCAAGCTCAGCCTGGATCCTCCTAACTGCCTTCTCTACACTCCTCAGCTCTGCCTCTAACCCACTCTTGTTGTCCTTCATCCATCGACCATGCTTGCTAAGCAACGATTCAATCCAGACCAAGTTGAATTCGAGATGGGGAGATTCATCGGCTTGCAAGGCAACGAAACGGAGGAGGCGGCCGAGATAGACAGAGGGAAGACCTTTGACAACGAGGGGGATGTCGGAGACGGGGGTGGCTTCGTAGACGCGACGGACTAAGTTTCGCTCGTTGAGGCGGAAGGCCATTACTAAAGCTTTCAGATAGTCTTTCTGTGCCAGAGTGGAAAGCGTAGTGCTGGGTGTGACACTGATGTCGAGGTCAAAGGGATCGAATTGGAATGTGGTATCAAGAGAATAGATGAGGAGGCCTTCTGTGGAAGCAGCGCAGAAAGCGCGACCGGTTGGCGAAAAGGCTACGGCGGGAACACGGACTTCTGGCCGTGTTCGTCTTGCACCGATTCCCTTTTGCGCTCCGGGAAGTGTGGTGTCGCGTCGGTCTTCTGGGTCTGATGCTTCGCCTTGATCATCGATGAGGCCTTGAGGCCCAGCAGCGGTGAGGAGTTTGCTATTTAGGAATTCTTGGGTTCCGTCGAGTGACAGATTGACGGAAACGGTAAACTTCTTCAGAAGTGTGCCCGCCTGCACATCGTAGAGACAAATGTACTTGCTGTTTCCGCCTGCTAGGACGCAGGTTCCGTCTGCGCTGTACTTTACGGTTGTGAACGCCTTGGTCCCTGCTACGTTGGCAGCTGTTCGGCGGTCCGACATTTTGCGACCACCTGAGACGTCTCGTCGCGCGTCGACGCCGTTCTCTTGCGCAGCGTCAGATACGGACCAAAACGTCAACTGGCCATCAAGGGTTGTCACGGCTATTTGCTTTGAATCAGGTCGGAAGGCAACGCAAAGAACATCGGCCATGAGCTGTAGCGGCTCACTAGTCTGTGTGCGAGCGAAGATATTCCAGACACGAACAGTCTTGTCCCAACTTCCGCTGACAAGGGTGCTTGCGTCTGGAGAGAATGCTAGTGATGACACCGGCCCTTCGTGACCCGACAGTCGATCGAGTAGCTGGCCAGTTTGAACGGACCAGATGTGAATGTCGAAAGAGTCGACGGAGCCTGCGCATACGACCTCGCCGCTTGGATCGACGGCCAAGGACGAGAAAGACAGCCTTGAAGGTGCTGTGAATGTGCGGAAGTTTCGATACCTGATTAGATCCCAAGCTCTTATTGAGCCGTCAAGACTGGCTGTGAACAAGACATTTCCCCTCTTCGCAAATTCGATAGCCGTAACTCCACTCATGTGCTCAGTGAATGTAACGACGCAGAAGCCAGTGTTCACATCCCAGACTTTGATCTTCCCATCATCTGCGGCTGTTATGATGCGTTGGCCTTCTGGCGAGTACACGATCGTATTCATGGAGTCGAAGTGTCCCTGCTGCTTCAGGACGTAAGATTCGGATTGCCACTCCCATACAAGCAGTTGTCCTAGCTTTGACGCACCGAAAGCGAGCCACTCCCCAGTTTTGTTAATAGCGACGTAGTCAATGTCGTTTTGCGATATGCTGAGACTTTGAACTTGAGCGAAATCCGGTAGCTCATGGATGAAGAAAAGACCATGGGAAAAACCGGTGACAAGTAGCTTCGACTCTGGGTGGAAACCAGCGCAGGTAACATGCGCATTGTTCTGCATGAAGAAGTGGCGCTCCGCGATACCCCACTGCAAATTCTCGTCGTCATTCTCATCTGCGTCTTCGGGCGCATTGTAGCGCAGCATGTACTTCCACACAAAGAGGGCCCCGTCTTTGCTCACTGTGTATATTGTTTCCTGGTCTTTTGAAAACCACGCGCCCACAATAGCCTGCCTATGTCCGCTCAAAGTGGTCTGCGCATGGCCTTCCTCTTGGTCTATACTCCAGACCCGTGCGGTCAAATCTTTAGATGCGCTCAGGAAGAATCGAGAATCGCTCGACCACTCTATGCTTTGCACCGCGTCATAGTGTCCTGTGTATATCCGATGTCGCACGAAGGGCGCAAATTCGAGATGTCCTTCTGCGACGTCAGGTGTAGACGGTGTGTGCCAGACTTCAATTTGTCGTCCTATGCCGACCGCGAAATGCCGCCCAGATGGCGCAAAGGCGAGAGCCGTCACCTCTCCACGGAGGGAGAAATGGTAGAGCACAATTCGGCGGGGCACGTTTGTGAGGATTGCACGGCCATCTTCATCTACTGACAGCAGGAGATTTCCGCGGGGGTTTAATGCGAGCCGGGCGATGTTTCTTCGATGTGCGAATGGTAGGGTGTACGACTTGGAACTTGTCAAGCAGTTAGCGCTTGTCGCATAATATACATGCTATCTTGACATACTTTACCAGGTCAAAGACTGTGACGCGGTTACCAACTGGTGAAAGCAGACAGGTTCCGTCGGGAGTGAATAGCAGGTTGCCTCTACTGTAGACGGTGCCCAGCAGATTGGAGAACTGCGCGCGCTGTTAGCCGGATAATAGAGTGACGTGTCGTGCGCAATCATTTCTCACCTGGAAATCCGTCTTCATCTTGCAGTTTGGAAGCTCGAGACAAATGGCATCGTAGCGCGGCCTCTAGCATCTCCAACTTTTTTTCGAGGTTCGGAACTTTCAATTGGCGCTAGTGAGGACGTGCATTAGCGCGACTTCCCCGATTCAGGGTCAGTGCTTGCCGAATGGGCAGGGTGCAGAAAGGGGAGCCAAATTGTCCACCTGCAACAACACGACACTTCGCCCTCATCTCCCCATACACCACCAGCAGTACTCGCAGTTGACTGACAGCTGGACCGCCCCCGCATCTCCGAACACATCATCTGTCAGTCACCCACCGTTTCCAGGAAGACGCGTCGAACCTACTGTAGCTAACAACCACGTAGACCCCCATAGACAGCCCGCAGCTGCACCCCAACACCACACAATGGCCGAGTCAGCGTCCCCAATTGGCATTGCCAATGTATGTAACAGCCGCTCATTCTGAAAGTTCTGCGTCCATGATGCTAACCTGCTGTGTAGTTGCCCAACCAGAGGTATGCCCCTTGGAGCCAACACACGTTGGTGGAGCGGAGTCTAACGTAGGACAGGCACAAGATTGTCGCGAAGCGCGGTGCTGCCTTCACGATTATGGTACTATCCCCATCAGCTCCGTTTCTGGATTACACGTACTAATTAGTATAGGTTGCTGGCGAGTCTGGCCTCGGAAAGACGACTTTCATCAACACGCTCTTCTCCACTACCATTAAGAACTATGCCGACCACAAGCGACGACACCACAAGCAGATGGACAAGACAGTCGAGATCGAAATCACAAAGGCTGAGCTCGAGGAGAAGTTCTTCAAGGGTACACACCTCCCATGGCCCTAAGCTGTCTCAGTAACTAATGCCCGCCAGTACGCCTCACCGTCATCGACACTCCTGGCTTCGGCGACTACGTCAACAACCGCGACTCGTGGCAGCCCATTATCGAGTTTCTCGACGACCAGCACGAGTCGTACATGTTGCAGGAGCAGCAGCCGCGCCGCACCGATAAGATCGATCTTCGTGTCCACGCCTGCCTGTACTTCATCCGACCTACCGGCCATACCCTTAAGCCGCTCGACATTGAGGTCATGAAGAAGCTGTGCACCCGCGTCAACTTGATCCCCGTCGTCGCCAAGGCCGATACGCTGAGCCCCCAAGATCTTGCCAAGTTCAAGCTGAGGGTACGTTCATATTCTCAAGTTAACATGCCAAATGCTGACTATTTCCAGGTACGCCAGGTCATTGACGCCCAGGGCATCAAGATTTACACGCCCCCACTCGAAGACGACGATGCAGCCGCTATGCAGCACGCCCATGGCCTCATCGACGCTATGCCCTTCTCTGTCATTGGCTCCGAGAAGGACGTTCAGACCAATGACGGCCGCACTGTCAAGGGCCGCCAATACGCTTGGGGTGTTGCGGAGGTCGAGAACGAGGAGCACTGCGACTTCAAGAAGCTGCGTGCCATTCTCATCCGCACCCACATGCTGGATCTGATCCACACGACCGAGGAAAATCACTACGAGGCCTACCGCGCACAGCAGATGGAGACTCGCAAATTTGGCGAGGCACGTCCCAGGAAGCTGGACAACCCCAAGTTCAAGGAGGAGGAGGAGGCGCTGCGCAAGCGCTTTACCGAGCAGGTCAAGGTGGAGGAGCAGAGGTTTAGGCAGTGGGAGCAGAAGCTTATTGCTGAACGTGATAGGCTTAACAAGGACCTCGAAGGTAGCCATGCTGAGATCAAGAGGCTTGAGACCGAGGTCGATTCGCTCCAGGGCAGCATCAACCGCTCGCATGGCCGCCGCTAAGCACTACACCGAGCGTAAATCGTGTGATGCGTATGGTTACGGTCCGCTAGTAGCGAGGAGTTAACATTCTTCCTTCAAAGATTCCCCTTCTTTTCAACTTTCCGTATGTTTGTAATGCCGCTTCGCGAGGTCTGTGGTTGTGGGTACTGTGAGCTTGGGTTGGACAGGATACTATAGCTTATAGTTCTGTTACTTGGTAGATTAATCTAGTTTGATCGCGGCTGGTCGCAAAGTCTTCGTCTAGCACAACGTTATGCTATGCCGTGATCCCCCAGAAGCATCAAGCTCTGCGCCAAATATAACACCTGAACTCCAAAAACATGCAAACTGGGAAAGATATTAGCAAGGCCCCATGCTAGACCTTCAGCCCCCCAAACACGCGGTCTAACTCTTCACCCTGCTGATCCTCCTTCCTCTCCACCGGTGGTCTTGTATCCATCAGGTCTGGCTGTGATTGCGCTGCAGCTCCCGCCTCCTCCGTATTATCCGGCCGTATAATGTGAACATCATTGTCCAACCACCCAGGTGCAAGCCGCCTCTTTTCCGCCAAATCCTCAGCGCGTCTCCTATCCTGCCAATCCTTCAACTCCTTACGCGCATCATTCTCCAGCTTCTGCAGGTGTTGTTGTAACGCTACGCAGGAGGAGAGTATCTGGTCAGGCGTCGCGGATGTGCCGGTCGAGGAGACGACGTACGCTGGCTGAGAGGGTGGTGGTGGCTGTTGAGCGGCAGAAGAGTCGTTGCGGTTTTGGTCTGAAGTCGAGGGTTGTTGGACGTGTTGGGCGGAGAGGATGGAAGGTGGGAGGGTCGAGGGGAGGGACTTGTACGAGTAGGGGAGTGGGACGGAGGTTGGGAGGGAAAGGAATGGGGAGAGGGTTAGGGGAACTTGGGCGAGGAGAGGGTGCGGGTCTGTTGAATGGTTGTTAGCTGAAGGTTGCTTGAGCGGTGCGATGCGACACGATGCTACGCTCGAGCTCCTATCCACGACTCGAAAGACATGAAGCTCATGCTAGAGAGTCTATGAATTGTACAGAAAACTCATTGGAACACGTAGCTCTTGCGAACCCAAGTCTGGCTCCTCGGATGCTCACGCGCAGTGCGGGGGGTAGTTCGTAGTTGGCAGGGATGAGGCTGGTAATCTGGGGAACTCACGTTCGTCGTGCATATTGCTTTACAGGTCTTTGAGTCGCCGATCTTGGAAATTGGTTTCGGTTTTCTTAAAGCGCTGGGACCGGGCGTAGTACCGTTGTTGCAAAGGTCCGAATATGGAGGAGAGTGATGATGCAGGTCCCAACGCCGGCGCATTGGTGCAGGGTGCCGTTGCGGGGTGCATACACACTCTGAACTTAAATCGACATGTGAATCTAGATCGTTCTTGAACAAACTTATTCATCCATAATATGTATAATTGAAGATTATTTCTTGGTACAAGCTATTTGCTATTGCCACGGGAGCAACGATGGGGACGGGACGCCTAGCTACACACTGCCTGCACTGCATCATTCGGAGTTTTGATATTATCCCCCAACGAGAGAAGGCCATGCCCGACGAAGCCACCCAGCCCTTACTTGAGCTTCGCAGAGCATGTGAAAGGCCGTGGCCCAGGGATTGTGTACGATGTAGGCTTTGGCCAGTACATCTGGAACTTGATGCCAGGGTCGGTTCCCTTGCTATATGTGGGTGTTCCAAGTCAGTGTCTGTCCATATGCAATTGGTACGTAGGGTTTCATACTATGCTCCTGGGAAGCTGACTGTAGCTGGACTCGCGTTACCTCCACCAGTGACATTAATCTGGGCACATTCCATGTAGAGCTGCGCACCCGGGTAATTGCCAGCTCCGTGAAGAGCGATGATCTCGGCTCGCAGCAGATATCTAGAACGAATATCAGGCAACCTGCGTCGATAGTGTTATGAAGTCATCCTAAACTCACTGTCCGCTAGGAATGCAGGACGGAAGAACAAAGTCTACCAGGCCTTTTTTGTTGTACAGTCGTGTGACTGCCCATTCACCGTTGGCGTCCATGCCATCCTCGTAGATCTTGAACCATTTGAGACCAGCCACTGCGGTAGTCAGGGCATTGTCAACCTTGGCCAGATACACCATGACCGGACCCAAGTGACCGGGGTCAATAGGGTCCGCCTTATCAGTCTCTGGCTTCGAATCAAGTGTGTGGTGCCACTCGGCAGTGAGCTTATCCCCAGCTTTCACCTAACGACAAGTAAGCCTCATCCGTGTGGCGCTTTTTAGAATGAGTTAGTAATTGCGGAGCTGGCATACGTTGATAATGTCTTTAGGAAGAGGCGTCCTCAGCGGATTTGGGCTAAATGCACGTCAATCTGGCAGTGTTTACAAGGGCCAAGGCCGTGCTCACCCTCCGTTGCAGATTACATCGTTGGACGTGACGTCGGTAATTGGTCTGCTCGACGTACCACTATCAGTCCAGATGCAAAGGGATGTTGGTATCGTACTTAGAAATGCGGAGTGCATACCCGTCGTATGTCTATGCTAGATGTAAGCGAATGGATCCATGGACGTGTCGGAGTTGTGCTCAAAGTCTGTACGTACTGGGACCCGTATTCCCTTGGTCTGTCCCTGTGCCACACCATTGACATGTAGTTGCGTGAAGATGGTGTGCGCTGAAGCACTGGCCAGTAGCGAGCATGTAACGATGGTAAGTTTCATGGTGGAGGCAGCGGGTTGCAAGTGCACTGTGACTGTTGACCTGATGGCGAATGTCCCTATATGAAGCCCATTCTGGTACTTGAACTTCACATTGTCCAAATAGGGAACGGAGCAGTTGCAACATCCGAGATGATTTCAGGGCACTTGTGATGCATGCGACTGGGCGCCAGAGCCGCCTGACCAGATGTTGATTGCTCTATCAATATAAGTATGCTTGCACTGGTCAAGCACGTGCCAAGGTAGAACTAGTTTGGCCGGCGAAACCGCAGATCGAACTGGTCGGCCATGGACTAGGAAAAGGAAGAGCCGTGAAGGCAAACAGCCTAAGGGTTGCGCACGGACAAAGAAATGCCGGTGGTTGGACGGAACTTCTTTGCATTGATTGCAGGATAGAGAGAGGACCGAGGCCAGGAGGCCTTGAAAGCATACAAGGCCTCAATATAATAGATTGGCAGTCGTTGGTACGTCGAGTGTTTCAATCGTCGAAACGTACTTTTCGCAGAACGGCACCCTTCATTTGAGGCGCGGAGATGGATCCGAGGGCGTGTAAGGGTTGTGCAAGATCGAGACACGCGGTCCTGAGATATTCTAGAAGCATGTCGGGGTGCAGGTGGTGTGTTTGGGATCTCGTCTGAAAGGCGGCGTGTGGAGATTCGGCCGTCCATTCCCGTCTGAGGCGGCTGCAAGGGCTAAGCGATAGGCTGAAGGCAGAGAACGGCCTGTACCCCATCCTTCATCAATCTACTTCAATCAAGAAACCATGTCATCAGTGTTTCTGCAGATTAACCACTAGCCACAAAGCTCAGCCAGAGTGGTTCGTTTTGCAGCACCCAATAGCGAGTTTGCTTATGCTCATCAGACCCTTCGGCTTGGTCCATCCTTGTAAAGCAAGGATGCATATTCCGTACCTGGTACCGCCGACAGATGGAAATGCTCCATGGGTCTCATGGTGAAGTTTCCAACGAAGTCTAGGGCCATCTGGAGGCCTATATAACGCGCCTGCTACGCTGGCACGGATCCAGAGGTCGTGGACGTTGTTTGCTTCGCTGGTCCTAGGTCCATTTGTCTCGTTCTCGACTTGCTGGTAAGTTGTCTTCAAGATGAAGTCATCGTCTGTTATCAAGGCGGCTTCGCTGCTGTCCTCTCTTTGTAAGTCTTCTCATCAATTTGGAGCTGATGGACCTCTAATAAGTCTAGTCTCTCCCATCGCTCTTGCGCAAAACAAATTCACCCATGCTGGAACCGGCATTGAGTTCTTGTACGATATTCACTCCATCTTGAGTAATGTGATCTAACTGTTTAGGCGACAAGTAGTCAGCGAAGACCAGACAGCTGGTGGCTATGAGTGGGGCTATGCACTCCCTGGACAGCCCACTGGAAGCAACGACGAGTACATCGGATATATTGTAAATATGATCAATGGTGTAGATTCATAGAGAAGTATGCTGACTCTTTGCAGAAAGGTTCGCTGGAAGCAGGCAGGCAGGGATGGTCCGGCGTCAGCCACGGAGGTGGCATGCCTAACTCTCTCCTCCTCGTGACATGGCCAGAGGCTGATGCTGTCAAGACGAAATTTGTCTACGCTGGGTAAGCCCGCTGGCTCTGCTATGGGGACTAAGCCACTAACTCAGATTCAGTGGCTACACCGCTCCAGAAGACTATACTGGGAATGCCACCCTGAGCCAAATCTCACACTCTATTAACGACACCCACTTCGAGCTCGTGTATCGATGCCAGTGGTGTTGGATATGGAACCACAAGGGTGCAGAAGGCTCTCAAGTCCCAACTTCCGAAGTGCAGGTCATCGGCTGGGCCCAGCATAACAAGATCTTTTCAGGTACCTGGGTATTCCACAACAAGGGTCAATCTCAATTTGGTGCGCCAGTAGCAGATGCACGGAACGCAAAGTACTCCGACTGGGTTAAACTAGTACCAGGCGGGCCCCCTACCACTCCTACTGCTACGCCATCCGGCGGCGTTACTCCTACACCCACGCCAACTGGTCCCGTAGCTTGCGCTGGCAAGCCCGCACCTACTGGATCATACGACTACATTGTTGTTGGCGGAGGCGCAGGTGGCATCCCTGTAGCCGACAAGCTCTCTGAGTCTGGCAAGAGTGTGCTCCTCCTCGAGAAGGGCCCTCCATCATTGGCTAGATTTGGCGGAACTATGGGCCCGGCTTGGGTCACCAGCAACAACTTGACTCGCTTTGACGTTCCAGGTCTTTGCAACGAGATTTGGGTCAACTCTGCCGGGGTTGCTTGCACTGACATCGACCAAATGGCTGGATGTGTTCTTGGTGGAGGCGCTGCCGTCAATGCTGCACTTTGGTGGAAACCTGTCGACGTTGACTTTGACTACAACTTCCCCAGCGGTTGGAAGTCATCCGATGTCAAGGGTGCAATTGATCGCGTCTTTAAACGCATCCCCGGCACGGACACCCCTTCGATGGATGGCAAGCGCTACAAGCAAGAAGGCTTTGACGTTCTGTCCGGCGCGCTTGGTGCAGACGGCTGGAAGTCGGTAGTAGCAAACAACCAACAGAACGAGAAGAACCGAACGTACTCCCACTCTCCATTCATGTACGATAACGGTCAGAGGCAGGGCCCCCTAGGCACCTATATGGTCTCTGCTCTCGGAAGGAAAAACTTCGCACTCTGGACGAACACTATGGCCCGACGTGTTGTCCGCACAGGGGGGAAGGCTACTGGCGTTGAGCTTGAAAGTGGTGTAGAAGGCACCGGATACTGTGGTACAGTGAACCTGAACCCTGGCGGCCGTGTTATCCTGTCTGGAGGTGCCTTTGGATCATCTAAAGTGCTCTTCCGCAGTGGCATCGGACCAAAGGACCAGCTCACAATCGTCAAAAACAGCGCTCAGGATGGCCCAAGCTTCATCAATGAGTCTGACTGGATCAACCTTCCTGTCGGTCAGAACCTGAATGATCACGTCAACACCGATCTCGTCATCAAGCACCCCAACATCTCCTTCTACGACTTCTACGAGGCCTGGGATACTCCCAACGAGGCCGACAAGCAGGCATATCTCAGCAAGCGCTCTGGTATCCTAGCCCAATCCGCTCCAAACATTGGCCCTCTCGCCTGGGAGGTCATCAAGGGCTCAGACGGCATCGATCGATCGCTTCAATGGACTGCTCGCGTTGAAGGCCCAGGTGCTAACGACACTCACCATCTCACAATCAGCCAGTACCTCGGTCACGGATCCACTTCGAGAGGTGCTCTTTCTATCAACGGTGCTCTCGGCATCTACGTCAGCAAAGCGCCTTACCTCCAGAACCAAGCAGATACTGATGTAGTTATTGCTGGCATCAAGAGCATGATGAAGGCTATACAAAAGAACCCGGCCATCCAGTTTCAAGTCCCGCCCGCCAACACTACCGTGGAGCAGTACGTCGCCAGTGTAAGTAAACTCCAAGCTACTCCAGATGAATGTGTACTGACAAAAGCCTAGCTTCCAAAGACCCCAGCCGCACGTCGTGCCAATCACTGGATCGGCACAGCGAAGATTGGAACCGATAGCGGTCTTAACGGTGGATCTGCGGTCGTCGACCTGAACACGAAAGTATATGGCACAGACAACATCCACGTTGTCGATGCCTCCATCTTCCCTGGGTAAGACTTCACTATCCCATTCTTTGTCAACTCCACTGATGTGATTCAGCCATATCTTCACCAACCCAACATCCTACATTGTCGTTCTGGCCGAACACGCCGCAGCCAAGATCCTCGCTCTCGGCGGCTCGGGCAGTGGAGGAGGAACCAAATCGTCGTCGGCTACGAGCAAGCCAACACCTTCGAAGGTAACTAAAAGCTCGGTGAAGCCATCACCAACTCCCGTGAAACCTTCCTCTGTTAAATCATCTGCTCGACCAACGCCCGTCAAGTCGTCAGTCAAGCCTGCCCCTCCTAAACCGACCAAGACTTAGGTCTTATGAGCAACGATCGTTTCAGAAAATGTACTAGGCAGGCGGTTTGGGGCTGGGGATGTTGTAAAAAAGGATACACCCACCAAGAGGTTTCTTCTGTATATACTTTACTTAGTGCATATCTTATCACTCGTTCACTATACAACTTCCATATAACAATCGTGAAGTAACTAAATATTACGCCTGGAAGAAGTCCAATAGCCACACCTGGGCAGGCACGCAGGACGAATACGAGGCAGCGATCTATACTGAATCCATCTTAGTGGCAGCCTTATCTATGAACCCCTCACACCTCACATCTCACGTCCCATCGCCCCTCATCGCACGTAACCATTTAAACGACCGCTATTCTATTCTTGTTTCCTGGGAACTATACGTAGCAGTATTTTCATAATGCATTCCCAGTATCCTTCCATGCCTAGCGGTGATGGGGCTCTGATCAATATAACCGAGGTACTCCACGAACGGTATCAGGATAGCCCTAAAGAAGACGGTGAAAGACTAAAGAAGTGCTGGGGATATAATGATTGTGGTGATTGCCATCGGAGTGAGGGCTTTTGTGGATGGTGCGCTATCGTACGTTCGTCTGTTTATTTGTTGCATCCTGTCTCTCGTTGGTGCATGTAATGTTCTAAGTCGATTTTCCCTTCAGGAGTCAATCTTTATTGGTGTAATCAAATCTGGTGTCTTGACTTGCTGCAGAATATTTGCAAGGGTTTTATGCACGTCTACTCAGTAAGAGGGCTGAACAACGACGATAGTCTCAAACATGCCTACCTCTGCCAACAGACCCCTTGTCCAGAGCCTTCCCTCTACTCTCCCCCATACGATACAAATTCATCTGCGCCCTAGGGCCAGAGCGCTTTGAACTTCGCACTTCAGGCTTGGGGTGTCAAGTTTCTACCATCACCTTCCTCACCTCTATCGTCACCATCGGTTGCACACTTTTTGGCGTGCTTGTACTCTATGGTCTCTTCAGAGTTTCCACGTGGGTCAAACTGGGTCTCAGCGCTCGAAGAGGTGGCTACGTCATATACGACGATGGTAGCGAGGAGGTCTGGGTAAGAAAGGGTGAAGGTTGGGGAGCGTGGTGGAAGAGAGTAAGAGGCGAGCAGAAGGAGTTTGAAGTCGAAGAGGTGCACGAGGGGACTTCGAAGAGAGGGTGGATTTGGTGGGGTAGTGGGAAGGGAAGAAATGTTGGGGTTCGTGGGGCAGAGAGGCGGCCGTTGCTTGCACAGTGATATGTGTCGGTGACTTCGTCAAGTCTGGGGCCGCAATGCTGCGGTTCGGAAATATTTACTGACATAGGTCTTGAAACATAACCCTCAACTGCGTCATTCCTGCTCCCATAAGTCTGTCGACCCTATCCGGAGACGGTTGCAAAACCGCACTCACCTTCACTCGCAACGCCGCCGACTTACGTCATCACAAACGAAGTTTTCGCTCACCTTTACTTACTGCCCTCTACCGCCTATCTACGGTCGCTCATGCGCACTGACTGTATATAACCACCCCTCTCCCTCCGTCTTTGAACGTCTTCTCCTCTCCACCACACTGCATCTCCAACGGCCTCCGACTTTGATTCTGTCAACGCACTCACAGGCTGGTAGCAAGCATGCCACCTTCGATCATCTCCATAAGTTCCGTCGACTCAGATACTGTGGTCTCTGAGTGTGTCCGTACTCCGCCTTCTTCCAATGAGCTTGCATCTCCCGACCACAACCACCGCGCTACTGTCGACGGCAATAGCACGCACGTCAAGACTAGAACTGCAGATGGTACTGCAGCCTGGATTACAAGCGACTTTCCCTTAGTTCAGGTTTCTAGAGATCTCGCCGAGCAGTATGTGCGCAAAGCCATGCCTCAGATCGCGAATTTCGAGGCGCTGAGGGAGGGCGTGGAAACCGTGCAGTGTACTCAACCGGAGACTGGCAAGAAACAGAAATTGTTGAACGAGGTTGAGCAAGTCTTGGACGGATTGTATGCTTGCGTACATGCGGCGAAGGACCAATGCCATATTCCACGCGAGTTTGCATATTATGATCGATCTAAGATAACGGGTCACCACAGCCACGAACATACCGAAGGACATGCGAAGACCAAGTGGACGAAGGACAACGTCATTAACCAGTCCCGTCAAATCTTACCTGAGTGTCACACTCAACCTCAATCCACTGTCCCCCCAGTGCAGAAGCCGGAGCATGCAACAGAGGAGATCGCTACTGTCAACTTCTCTTCACTAACCAAGGAGGAGAAAGCCCACCGTCTCCTGCCACTGTTGCATCGCAAAGGTTTGAAGGTTCCGAAGGCCGGAGCTGAACTCCAGAAGAAGTCTGCGCCTTTCGCGTCTGCTAATGTCAAGAGCAAAGCCTTGTCAGTCGCAAGTGGACAAAAGGCCTATGAAGAGAAGCAGTTCAAGAGCAAGAAGCGGAGCGCAGTCGGTCTCCAGACCGCCAACCGGAATCCCGATACCAGAACAACCAGTCCCGAAATCTGCCCAGGGGATCCGAGCAGTCAGTTCAGCTCGCTAGCCAAGAATTTTGCTACGCTTGAAGGTGCCCCAATTTGGCGAGACAGGTTCTCTCCCAAGCTCAAGACACTCGAGCATGCTCAAAGGCAGACCTGCAGCATGGAACAGTTGCATGACATCGTCTCCCGGAACATTCAGTCTATCGCCATTCCCGACACTCATCGCGGGGACGTGTGTATGAATGCCACGCCTCGAAAGTGGATCACAAAGCCTCCAGTAGTCATTACCGATGCTTCTCGGTATGCAGATGCTTTCAGCGATTACATGGACTACACCCACCATGACTTTCTAGAATCTGAGGCTAGCCAGATTCTGGCCTTGTATGATGGCGATTTCGATTATGCAAAGTCGTTATATCGAGATCTCGGATACAGGGGATTACTATCTCTCCTTCGTGCAAACCGTTTGAAGATGGCAACTGCAGAGGCGGAAGAGACCGCTGATAGTGACTACGGGGATGGTCTGTCACAGGAGGATGGCAACGCTGTCATCGAACTGTGCCGCGGCTGTCTAACCGGCTGTGATTCATGCTGTCCGGTTCAGGAGGAAGAAATCAACATCCGGAGCTGCAACTGTGATATCGAATACGGAACACATTCTACTGACCACTGTGTCGATTGTAGCGAACCTGGACTTCAAACAAAGCCCTTCAACAAGATCGACAAGTCAACCTTCACTAATGCCGCACACAACATGGAATCACATAGCAATGTTGAACACCTAGTCCTCTTGGAATGTCGCCATTGCGGCACTATCTTCTGCCCTGACGCTGCGGATATGTGTACTGGGTGCGGTGATGCCTCAGGGCTACAGAGCTATCAGACCGCTGCTGAATCCATACCTGACATTGGCTCTGACCCTGGAAAGCATGTAGGGGTTATACCGACCCATGATAATAGTACACGCAAAGACTATTCTGGAGACCTACGTCACTTTGGGCTTAGCAACAAAGGCGTTGCAAATCGTTCCCGTGGTGGTACCGGCACAGGTAACAGCCAGAGTGGAAATGACAACAAGTGCACCCGCTGCGAAGAGAAAGTGTGCCACTGTACTGTCTGGGAAGCTGGTGACAATCTCAATCGCCATGAGGAGACCACCCCAGACAACGACAGTTGGTGGGGCGTTTCACGTCCAAGTTCTTTCGCTGGGTGGGTCCACGATCCACCACGAGAGCCTTCAGGCTCCGATTGGGGTACCCAGGAAGCCAGCGCTCCCAAGCCAGGGATCTCAATCCCAACTAGCTATACCGTCACATATTGGGCTACCATCGAGTCCAGCAACCAGACCATTCACGTCCCGATCGACAGCACCAATGTCTGTGGCTCCGAAAAGACTATTATTGATGGTGAATCATGCGGCATGAAGAAAATCTGGAAGTGGGTGCAAGAGAAAGGTCTTGGCGACAAAATTGGTTTGCAGGATGCATTCGATCTAGCCAAGGATATGTACGGAGAGGTTGAGAAGACCATCAACCCGCAAGATGAGAAGCATGCTCAGCATACTTCACGGGCTGAACATGATGGTTGGAACATGGGTTCATTACCCCCATATGTTTGGGGTACGTAAAATCGTTCCTGTGAGTCGAAGGAGAAAGAGAGAGACAAGATCCTGAAAGGAGTCTTCTATCAACATCGAAAGCAGATCTGATTCTGTCAATTTGCACATCATACACCACGGCTTGATTTTGAGCACATACATGACCACTGGAAACCGGAGAGTGATCTGGATACAGGAGTAGGCTTACGGGAAAAGCTTAACGATCTTCAAAATTGCATACGATTTGCAGTATGCGGGCACCTTTTAAAATGAATGGAAGGGATTGACTATCGGACAGATTTGCAAGTCTATAGCTCTTTCTTCTTGATAGCAAGCAAGGTGGCAATGAGCCATATTAACAGAAAATAAACTCCTTGGACTTTCTATATTTCCCGTATGGAACTAATGCTCAGGTCCCGTAAGGTAGATGCGGGGTGCAGGCGTAAAGTAGTGGGATTATAGTTGACGTTGCCCCACACTGTACGAGTAGATTAATACCATGCAGGTCCATCCGCCAGATTCCCATGTTCGCGCAGGCATTGTAGATTATCTCCGACGGCAGTTCTAACTCCAGAAATTAATGGAACAGTATAGTTCCTGATATATGATAGCAGAGAAGCCTATGCGCACTTCAAAGATCCACTAAAAGGACATTTGCACTATGCGTCAGCCACTCCTTCTCTCCAGTGTATTCATCGCAACCGCCTTCGCGGCATCATGTGACCGAACCTTCCTCAATGACTTCACGGCGCTCTACATCTCCGCCCAAACCCGCGGCGACGCATCTCTCCTCACCACCACGCTCCTTCAAAACTTTACCTACACCGAGCAATTCCAACCAGCCAACATATCAGCCCCCACCTCCATCCTCCAAAAGCCCCTCAACATTACGACATACCGCAGATTTTTCGACACCGACCTCTGCACAGCATTCACGGAAATCATTGTGACGGATCCGAAGCACCCGTACGTCCTTGGCGTAAGAGTCGAAGGCGACGGGGACGTAGTGAGGAAGATGGAGACGCTGGTTACCGACGAGGGGGACTGGTTGTTCAATGCGACGGGGACGGCGTATTACAACTCCCTTGAGAAATGGGAGCCTATCCCCGTCATCGAACAGCTCAGCCGCACGGCGATTCAAGCAGCCGGCGACGCGTATTTTGACCGCTTCGGCAACGTCAATGTCACCGTACCATTTGGCACGCCTTGCGCGCGTCTTGAAGGAGGCGCTTACACGGATGCGAAGTTGACTAATACATCGACCTGCCATCTTGGGTTGCCGTCTACTGTTAAGCTTGTCGATAGGCGTTATGTTGTGGATGTTGAGATGGGGACTGTTAATATTTACGTTGGCTTTCCTGGGCTTGATAGAGCAAGCAAGCTCCCTGCGCCTGATAGCCATACGTTTCGCGTTGAGAAGGGGAAGATTAGGTATGTTCATACTATTTCGACATGTGAGGGACACCCGGGGTGCGGCTTGAATGGGACGTATGTGCCACTCAAAGGGTGAGCGACGCTGGGTATGAAACGTGTTGCCTTGAAAGGAATCTGTCAAAAAGTACGCATATATCTCATTGATTGGAGAACGCGCTTGCCTCATCCATCTCTGTCTCTCAGGCTCGTACTTTGAACTTCCACCCCGTTATACTACACCGTCCAATGACCAGTATCACACTTCCCAAAAACACTGCAGTGCCCGCAAACATCTGCGCAACTAGATATCCACCACCATAGTTCTGTATCAGTGCACCCGCGATCGGCGGCCCAATAAAGGTTCCCAATCCCACGACCGCGAACCCTTGCCCATTCCTCGTCCCCACTTTGCTCATGTCCTTGGTTAGAGTAGTCAATGCAGAAGGGAAAATGCCCTGAAAGCCAGCGACAAAGAAGCCGAAAGTAATGCACCATCCGAAGAGACCCGCTTCGCCCTTGACGAAAGGCCAAAAGAACAACGCGATAGCGGAGATGAAACAAAAGGGAATGAGAATATTATACGGACCCGTGAATTTGTCCGCGAAATACGATGGAACTAGACGACCCAAAACACCGATGCCGTTGAGTACGAGAAGAACGTTGATGGATGTGCCGTAGGGCAGGTGCAAGATGTCAACGGCAAAGGACGATATGTAGTAGAAAGCAAAATACTGTCCCAAGCAGATGAGGAAGATGGCGATGCAGAATAGAGCGTAAGGTAACTCCCTGAACGCGCTGAACTCAAACATAGGGCCTGATTTCCGCGGGGGAAGGCGCGGTTTGAGCAGTGAGCAGTACAGTGCTCCAACGGCTAACATGATGAAGCCCATGGCTCTTACAGTCCACGGAAAGCCGATCCTAGGGAGTAACTGTCTCGCGATAGTAGGATACACGAGGCCACCGGTAGCCGATCCCGAAGCCATTATAGCCAGTGCCACGCTCCGATTTGTCGAGAAATACGTCGTAACAAGCGACAGCGCAGGCGCAAACTGCATGCCGTTTCCCAAGCCGTTCATCACGCCCTGCGCGAGGAAAAAGTGCCAGTACTGCGTGCACAAACTCGTCATGAACATGCCCACAGCTGAAATCAGCATACCGGGGATCATGGTCCAGTAGAAATACCCTGCGTCGAAAAGGCGGCCGGTGAGTATGCCTAGGGAGAAGTGGCCTAGCATCTGCATGCTGCCCACCCACGACACGGCGGATGGCTCAAGACCTAGATCAAGCGTGTAGTGTTGCTGGAATACGCCGAATGTTGCGATCATGCCCCATGTGTTGAATACGACGAAGTGGCCCATGAAGGCTTGTGTCCAGGCTTTGGCGCCGCCGTCTGGTGGTGGTCCAGGGTCGATGACGGAGGCACATGATCGCGCGGTGATTGTTTTCGCTAGTCCCAATACTGACTTTTTGGGTCGTGAGGCTTGAGAGCTGTGTGTTGGTATTCTTGTGATTTCTTCTTCCTCATCTTCTTCATGTCTGGGTGGTGGTGGTTGTGACGACTTGTTGCTGAAAGTGTAGTTGGGGTCATGGTGACCCAGGGTTTCTTGATCGTCAACGTTGCGGGCGGGAAATGCCTTCTCAATATCGGCTGTCACCGACATCTCTTTGATTATATGTCGGTATACTACTATCTATGAGAAGATGGCGAACGAACGATTGATCGCGCGTGGATCTGGGGGAGACTAAAGTCTCGGCATTCTGCCCGACGGACAAGTATTTCCACTGTGGAGTTCCAAGAGCGCCGGCCGCGGAGGCTAGCTCGATGCGATGCGATGCAACCTTAGACCCTAGATATAGACATCGAGATTTCTATCTGTAAGGGATTCGGAGTGACCAATTGTTTGTAGGAGAAATACACTTGCCTTCCCGGCGTTCACACCGCATTTGTCAGCTCAAAGGTACCCTGTTTAGTGGGACAATGATGAGGGAATCTTCCATTTCTGCATGTCGCTATCAATTTCAGGGCTGCGATCAAGTCGAAATACCGTATTTAGTAGCATGTTGCGATGCGCAGAACGGCCGCGGATTCTGTGGATTGCTGTGCTGATAAATCCTGTTAGCTGCATGGAGAATGATCTGCACGCCCTATGACGCCGAGTGAACGAGGAACTTGGACAGACTTTAAAAATATGAAATCACCATGGCGTCGCTGTATAGTATGAATTATGTTTGTCACATTATTTTGTCGGGAAGGAAGCACAGAATCTTTTCGCTTCGTGATAGTATTCGGTATGCTTTGGTCTCGGTGATTAAATTCTGCATGGTCGCTATAAAGTATGAGTATGGTCAGCTGTTACTTGCTTCTCTTGTAAATCTTCTTCAAGAAGGCTTCAAACACTTCCTTCTTCAGTCCCTCGCTCTCATCCACCTTCTCAATCTTCGCCTTAATATCCGTCACGCGCTCCTCTTCCCACTGCTCATAGAACTCCTGCAACTTCAACTCATGGTACAGCTCCTTGACCTTGGCCTCCGTCTGCGAGTTCTTCTGTCCATAGTTGTCTTCAAGGACTTTTCGCTGTTCAGGGTTGACCTTCTTCAGTGCCTGGTTGATAAGCCATGAGCACTTGTTGTCCTGGATATCTGTGCCGATTTTGCCGAGAACCTTGGGGTCGGCAAATGCATCAAGATAGTCGTCTTGGGCTTGGAAGTACTCGCCCATGGGGATGAGGATATCGTGTGCAGTTTGCAGGTTCTTCGGGGAGGCTGCGCCGATGTAATGCAGAGCTAGCGCAACGGGAAGATAGAAAGAGTAGTAGGCAGTCTTGTAGATGACGATGAAGGTGAACTTGTCCAGGCTGAAGTTGTCGAGGTTGACATCGTCCTCGGGGGCGGTGAGAAGGTCGCATAACTGTCCGCACTCGGTCTGGAGAGTGACCTCGTGGAATAACTCGACCATGTCAATGTAGCTCTTCTCTTGGCGGAAGTGCTTCTTCAAAAGCAGGTAAATGGCCGACTCGAGCATGAAAGCGTCGTTGATGGCAATCATGCCAACTTTGGGAACAAGGTACCAGCAAGGGCTTCCACGGCGCGTCTTTGACGAGTCCATGATGTCGTCGGAGACGAGGAAGAAGGCCTGCAGGAGCTCGATCATCCATCCTAACAGGGCTGGGCGGAAGTACTCTTCAGAAGCTGGGTCTAGGGTCTGGTTCTTGAGGATGGAAGTCGTGTCGATGACAGACATGCCTCGATTGCATTTTCCACCGACCGTGTTGTAGTCGAGTGACTGTGGGTGTGTATGAGCATACTGGACTAGACCATGGGAGCATTCACGGGGAAGGTACCTTGGAGAACCAATCAAGCGACTGCTGGGGCAGATTATATTTCTTGCAGTGGTCGAGCACATCGGCGGCGATGCGCGGCCAGACGCTCTCGAATTCTTTCAGTGTGGTCGGCATCTTGACTTGACGGTCCTAGAGAGCACTATCTCGCAAAGACGGAAATAATTGATCACGTTGAGGGGCAGCAGTGAATGCCGGGGTGGGGGGTGAAAGGGAGGTAATTTCCGCGGGGAGCGGTGGCACGTTTCGCCGCTGGCTGGTGCCCCACTATTCCCGGGTAGGGAGCCAAGCATCAACAGTCGCGTCGACACGGTGGGACGCGAAGTCAAGAGTCGATGCAATAACTCAAGACTCTACTGCAGTCTACCTGTCGCCATGGGCACGCTATCGCCGGCCGATGAGGCCCAGCTGAAGGCCCAGCTGCAGGATGCCGTCGTGGCCAGCACCGAACGCTGCCTCTTCCATTCGGCCAAATGGTGCGTATGGAGCCTTCATCTTGGTCTCTCCTATGCCCTGTACTGATATTGACAAGGGCCGCAGAACTGCTGAACGCACTCCCCTCAGCTGACGACAATGGCTCCGACACAGACGTTGACTCGCCCATGTCGGACGCCCCTCAACCGCATACGCCCAATTTCGTACCCAAGGACCCTACAGAGGCGCGGTTAGAAGCACGAGAAGCGCACAAGTTCCTCCTGGCCAAGACATATTTTGACTGCCGCGAGTTCGATCGATGCGCCGCCGTCTTCCTCCCAAGTGCCTTGCCCAAAGGCCCCGCTCACGCTGCATCCACGCCTACCTCCAAAGCTAAACAAGCAACGAAGGGAAAGGCCAAGATCGGCACACCAACTAAACCCAAGTTCTCGTCAGACTCGATATCAGGTCTAAGCCAGAAATCCCTGTTCATTGCCCTCTATGCAAAGTACGTTGCAGGCGAGAAGCGCATGAACGAGGACAGCGAAATGATACTCGGGCCCCAGGATGGAGGTGTCACAATGAACAAGGAACTGCCTGGGGTGTCGGCAGTGCTAGAAGAGTGGTTCAGGGACCTCCCTAGCAGCGGACGACAGCCGCAGGGGTGGCTCGAGTATTTGTACGGCATTGTCCTTGCTAAAGGCAAAAATGAGAAACTAGCTATGGATTATCTCATAAAGAGCGTACACCAGTACACATACAATTGGGGCGCCTGGCAAGAGCTACAGGGGCTGTTGAGCACCATCGAAGAGGTAGGTGGGCGAAACTACGCGCATACCAGTGTCAGGCTAACAGCGTATAGCTCAACCAACTCGTTACTCGATTACCGCAAAATCTTATGACATTCATTTTTCACGTCACTGCCTCGCAGGAACTTTACTCGGTCAATGATCAGATCCACACCTCGCTATCGCAGATCCTTTCCATCTTCCCTACCTCGGCCTTCTTGAAAACACAGCGCGCCCTACTACACTACCACAATAAAGACTTCGATGATGCCGAGCAAATATTCTCCGACCTCCTCATATCAGATCCACACCGGGTTGACCATCTGGACAACTACTCCAACATCCTGTACGTCATGGGGATGAGGCCCAAACTTGCCTTTCTAGCGCAACTCGCGACGGCAACAGACAAGTTCCGGCCTGAGACATGTTGCGTCGTGGGCAACTACTACTCGCTGAAATCCGAGCACGAGAAGGCTGTCATGTACTTTCGAAGAGCCTTGACGTTAGACCGAACTTTCCTCTCTGCGTGGACCCTCATGGGCCACGAGTTCGTCGAGATGAAGAACACACACGCCGCCATCGAATCATATCGCCGCGCTGTCGATGTCAACCGCAAAGACTATCGAGCATGGTACGGTCTAGGTCAGACATACGAGGTGCTAGAGATGCATTCGTATGCTCTCTTCTATCACCAACGCGCGGCAGCTTTGCGACCGTACGATCCAAAACTCTGGATGGCAGTAGGCCAATGTTTCGGCAAAGTGGGCAAAATAATGAATGGCATCCGAGCTTACAAACGTGCCCTAGTAGCAGGTTCCTACTACGATGCCGGCGTGGGCTCTTCATTCGGAAGCGGCGAGGCCTCAGGCTTAGGAGGCGGCATCCTCGATCCCGAGGTCCTCTACCAAATCGCGCTCCTATACGAGCGCATACACAACATGAACGAATGCTCTGCATATATGGAGCTTGTCCTTGCGCAAGAAGAAGGTCCGGATTACGACGAAGTGGGCCCTGATGGAGCGGGTGGTGTCGGTGTCACAGCAACGACCAGCAAAGCCAGACTATGGCTTGCGAGATGGGAGTACATGCGCGGTATGTATCAGCGGGCTATGGAACTCGCAAATGAGCTTTGCCAGGATGGTGTAGAGGTTGAAGATGCCAAGGCGCTTGTCAGGGACATCAGGGCGAGGATGGAGAGGGATAGAGGTGACACTGGAAATTGAAAAAAAAGTGTCGGATTATTGATGGAACCATTTATTGGCGTACCGGTATGATACCCAGTTTTCACTTTGGTATGAGCCATTTCCGAGATATGAAAAGTACAAGACCAGCGCGCTGCCCCTAACTCAAAGGTCATTCCCGAGTGGCTAGGTGTTCTCGAGACTATTTCTTCTTCTCAAATTCACTCCTCGTCTCTGGCGGTCACATTAGCCTCAGCTAAGAATCCTCTCCGCCCTAGCTTGTTATTATTACTTCCTATAATTGTACTAGACCCTTCCTTCGACCTACCTCGCATTAACATCCAACTCCTCAACTTCTCCCACATCTCTCGCATCTATCTTCCCACATAACCATATAACTCTGGTTTCTATCCTCAATACTAAGCGCGATTCAGAGGAATGGAGAAGAGCCTGGGACATAGTCATAGTAGGAGTGGAAGTATCGGCATGGTGGTTAAGAGAGTGAAGTGTTGTGTAGGTTGTTAATAGAGCGGAACGATAGGGACGCCTCAGAGTAGTAACTATTTGACTCTGATCAGCAATTCATACGACGTCAAACTTCACGGAGCATGGACGATTCTCGTTTAGTTAATCATAGTTAATTATATGGAACCGGTGGCCTGCCTAAGAAATATAGGAGGCATGACTATTGTATTCAGAGTTTCAAGCCCCGAGCGCAACCTATCTATTTTCTACTCTAATGTGAGCGAGAGGGTCGGTGGATTTAGTTAATTGCTATGTGACAGAATACCAAGCAACCGCATGCAGGAGCCAAAGTCGGGAGCTAGGTAAGGCGAGCGCTAGTGGAGGGTCCAACCCGATATCTCGATTCCCACGTGATAGCGGGGTAGAGGGGCAGCCGGGTGTAGAACCGTAACAGAAGTGTCTCAGAAGCTATAACCTACCTAGCTACGCAGACCTCATCAAGATACATGTCTACCGAGTAAATCCTCCACCGCCCGTCATTTATCATACAACTATCTACAAAGACAGCTAGGGGGCGTTCAAACTCTCGTACCCCGCCCCTTGTGCTCTTCTTTTCTAGTTCCTTCACCGCAACCAGAATCAGTCCCGCTATTGGAATGTTGAACATGGAAACCGATCATATATCATGTGACCCCCAACTGAGTATACATAGACTCCGGTCCTTCCGTAGATTTGCTCATCCCATCAATCCCCATTAATCTTTTAGCCTCTATTGAAGACAGGAGCGTTTATATAGCCGCGTAACGACTTCATTATCCCATCCCGTTATGAGCTCTACCTCAGTAACTTCATCGACTCGGACTGCATGTTCCAGCTGCCATCGTCAGCCGAGCCCTGACGAGGGTGCGTTCCAAATTTGCAGTGGCTGCAAATCGCAGTCCTACTGTTCGAGCCAATGCCAACGGAAAAGCTGGAGAAGCGGACACAAACAGGAGTGCAAAGTCATCGCGCTCTCAACTAAAGCTCAAGCGATTGCCGCGACACATACTGGCGACAGTGTGGAAGCCGTCAAACTACGGTGCGAGAAAGAAGGTGGAGGATTTCGGAAAATCTCTCTCGAACCGAACCACATCGTCTTTGATGGCCCGCTTCTTCAGGTCCCTGCCATCATGGGCATACCGCTCGTCATCCATCGGGTTGGTACGAAATCCAATAACCGCGCTGACTTGGACTGCCGAATTGCGACGTTTCTCAACGTCAAATACGAAGACGGCTTTGCACCACCGCAATGGCAGAGCCATGTTGGAACATGCATCGTCGCGCGGAAAGACAAAAAGCCGCTGAGTGCGGAACATGTAGAAGCTGTGTGGATGTACATTGATAAGTTGATGGACACGTTTGGAGAGGAAGGACCCCAGGCCGCGCAAAAGGAGATATCGAGGGAGCACTATGAAGAGTGGTTTGAACGCTACAGAGACAGCGAGGCTGAGAACGGGCGTGACGAGTGGCGCAATGTTGGCAGCATATATAATGTTTGAGAAGAAGAGGTCTACGTCGGCACTGTGCGAGGTTAAAAATCGCTTTTCAATTTCCTAACGTCATGCCTGGAAGGGTGCACTTGTCCTCGTCTATCATTTGCTCATCAAAGACTCTCCTTGGCATCAGTGATTCTTCGTCCCTCCGCCCACACTGTAATTTCATCATAGTTCCGACAGATATGGACTGCTCCAGTACCGTCCGTTCCCGACACATTCTTGAACATGGGCGCCTGCGATTGACCCTCAAGCGTCGTGTCACCACAGCACATCAAGGCGTTGCGCAGGTAGTTGAAACAGTGGTCGTTGTGTCCTATTTCACCTTCGTCCAGCGTGAAGTCTTTGTTACGGATCTTCATGACAAGCTTGTCAATGTAACCTGACATGTGCATTAGGCAGTGTAGTTCGTGGAATACCGCTATCGCATAAACGTCCTTGTCTGGAGTTTGAAGGAAATGCATAGGTGGTGGGAGGGTGTGAGAGGAGTAGTCTGGAACGTTTAAAAAGCCACCGCCCTCTGTGTATGTATTAGAGGATCGTCTTCTAGACCATGCGCAAAGAAGGAACAACTTACTGGGCATGAGATCTCGCCAATGCTGCTTTGTTGCATTTATGGACGTGATGGTCTTGTGATCCGACGCATATCTTTGATCTGAGTGGAAGATTCTCTGCTCCGTGGCGACTTATCATTGTCAATATAACTCGTACTCGCCATCAGGGTGGCCATGAGGCTTACAGCGAGGCACGAGCCTGTTGAGTTCCTCTCCAAGCTGCAATGAGCTAGGTTGCTTGTGGAGGATCGATAGCTCGCAGATGAGGATGACGAGTAAGAGGAATAACGTGAGCGGCCACCGGAGGAATTGGAACTTCTCGACCGTCTTCAGCCATATTGCTAGTCGATCTAGCCCTCGGTAGGTCTGCTGTTGCTCGAGTGACTCGTCGTGATCATTTTCGCTGTTGACTTTCGCATAATTGAAAGGCGACATTGCGCTGCTAAATCTTTTACATGCAAGATGAAACCAATGAATCGCCTGGGTGAGAGTTTCGTCGCGTTGTAGTGGTCACAATTTTGCGATTGGCTGTTGGATAGAGCATGTGAATAGCGAATGAAGATGTGCCAGATGTGTTGATGGAACTGCTGCCCACGCCAAGCCCTCTTTCACCGTCGACGCTATTCAGACCCCAATCGGGCAATTTCAACGTCACCCTTGTTCAAAGACAGAAACTCCGGATAAACCCGACCACTTGGATTCTCTATATATCGATATGATTATTATCCTGGAGAAGACCCTTGTAAGTGTGTATCAGGTCCGGGTGCGGCATCCGTGTCTGAGTAGAGGCGCGCTCGATGGACAATCCGTGTTCACCGCACTTCAACTAGATATTGCACGGCGGATAACCATGATTTAATCACCATCCGGTATCAGTATGCTTCCATATGTTGCGCGTGATTAAAACATCGGCATTCTGATCGCGCTAGGCTGAGCATCTTTCGAACTGTCCCTACGGTAGACTCTCCGCACAGCCTTCACGCATGTCGTCCGTATCTGCCTGTAAAGCTTTTTGATTCTCCTGTGGCGTACCTTGGGTATTCTCTCGCTTCTTTCTTGCGCCTACAGCTTTCCGGTGAGCGCGACTCTTGGTGTGTAAGGTCCAGTCATTTTCGGTGACTGCGACCGTACCACAAGTCTCACATACTCTCTTCTGCCAGAGATCTGGTCGCTTTGCGAGATCGTATGCCCGCTTTGGTGTGAGCATCTCTGCTGCAAACGAAGAGAGCGTTGAGGGTTCAGGAAGGGTTTGACCAGAGAGAAAACGCTCGGTGACGGTGGCTGCAGTTTGTGTAACTTCATCTTCCCACTTAGACAGGTTAGAGCCGTCGAGTAGAAAAATATTGCTCTTCTGCCCTGCGCTCAAAAGCGCGTTCAGCAGCTTGATGCGGATCCATTTGATTTGGCGGTTGGCGTATTGCCTCGTAGCTGCCTGTGTCTTCTCGACAGAAGCAGTCATCAGCTTCGCAAGCTCCGACGGAACCTGCGGTACCTGAGCAAGCGCATCCTGATAGTCCCGAAACTCTTTGTAGCCTATTGACACCCAGATTCCGCGAGATTGGTCTATCTTGGTATCTGTACGCGACTCGTAGCTCTTCTGGAAATCGCAAAGTTCTTGTACCTCTGACAACAGGCCTTTGTTCAACATTTTTTCTACGCGTCCATCGAGACGTGGATGCAGCACATCTTTGTTAGCATGAACCCAAAACACTAGAGTCGGAAATCGAAGTCCGGGATGAGTGCTGGCTGGTCCATCCTGTGCTAAACGAGGTGAACCATCTTGCCGTATGCGTTGCTCGTCGTACACTTGCGAAGCAGGTTTTCCCGTCCTTAGATAGATTTCGAGCGAGCGCTGAATCTTTCGTCGTTCGTTCGGATGCCAGCGGTCCGCCATGACGGGATCCACCTCCCTCAACCTAGCCAAAATGACGTCCGTAGGGGCTTCTAGGATAGGCAAAGGCTCAGAGTTCTCATTCAAGTTCAAAGTAGGCTCGTCTGCTAACGCATCTTGGAACAAAAGTGACTGCGTATAATAGTGAGTTCCGCCAACTAGGATTGGCAACTTGCCGCGCCTTTGGATATCGCCAATCTTCTCAGGTCAGCCTCTTGAATGACTTCTAAGATATTTCTAGCCATACCACATCCAGTGCCTCACCCACAAACTTCCCAACAGTCCACGTCGCTTCCTCAAGTCCAACACAGCCTAGGAGGTGATGTGGAACGCCCCTCATCTCCTCTTGAGTGAGTTTGTTCGTAATTATGGGCAGGCCGCGATAGAGCTGCATCGCGTCGCCATTGATAATCTCTCCATTAAACTTGCGTGCTATGTCAACTGCCAACTATCTACTGTGATTAGCTTTGTTCCGCATAGTCCCATCTTTCTGGCTTTACATCTGATTTACCAGTCCCTGTCGCGCCCACAATCGCGACCAAGGGCTTTGCTGGCGCCTGCGCCATTTTGATCGTACCGAAAGATCGGATGAGTCGAAGCATGCATCTGATTATCTGCAAAGGAGTGGGATGACTGGGTTGTGTTGCCGAAAATGCTGGCTAGTTAGTGTTACGTGGGTCCTTCCGCAACCATACTAGCACTTTAGGCCCGTGCGTTATACTTCAGTTCTTGCCTTCACGTCCTCTTCCTCTCTTCCGAACGTATCTAATTAGGAGTAATTCTAGCGTTACGAACTATACGCGCCAGCCAAGAGTTATAGTTCAATATGGCTTCCAGTCAAATTTACCTTGACTATCAGCTTCGCCATCACATCGATAGGGACTGGCCAAACGCTGCGTGCGAGTGCAGTTGTTACTGTTAATGAGCTCGATGAAGCAGTCACGGCGTTGAGGAACTTCAGCACGAGATGAGCGTGAATGTGCCGAAAAGGCACGGTAAGGGACCCAGCTTGAGTACGAGAAAGTGTGGCTAATGATATCAAGCATTCGAAGCAAGGGGATAGTGGTATTGGTATGGTCGTGTATGACCATCGAAATCACTCTATCGTGAGGAGCACCACGTCCAAAGTTTTTCTAGGCCATCGACGTAATTTGAAGTGCAGTTGCTCATTCACGACCGATTATCTGTAAAGCCCAGATGAGGTCTCGGCTACTTCGAAACGTAAATAAGGAGATACCACTTGATGGTACTTCTTGAGAACGGTCCAGCATATTCCTAAAGCATATACCATGGCAAACTATGCACCTAAAATATGCGTGGCAAGACTTGCTTTAAACAAGTGTCCACCCAAGCATTCTTCCGTCCCGGTTACGACATTCTATAAACGTCCCTCATAATCTGCAACCAGTTTGCTGCTACATGGATCTTCCCATCGAAGCTGCAAATAACGTGTTTAAGCTTGAAGATTGGAACATGCGGCTATTCACCCTTTTAACCACCCCTTTCCAAGTGTCTTTGTCGACATGCGCAATTATCGTGAGTGTTGTAAATACCTATCTTCGCAAGCAGTCTCATGCTAATATACACAGATCTATCAAGATTTTACACAATCTCCAGCCAGCAACGACCCAACTGCCACCCTAGCTCATCTTCACCACGAACATGGCTTAGGCTTGAATAACTCCCCGCGTACCTCAAGCTCTAAGCTCGATAAAAGTCGTCGCAAGAAATGGGATGAGTCGTATGACTGGCCTCCCGCTCCTCGCCCAGGAAGGGTCAGTGATTCGGATGTTGGCAATCATCTGCCACGCTCAATTGACTGGAGAGAACCATTCGGGTTCAATTGGATCACTGCAGTTCAAAACTCCATGCTCTCTTCTCTATATTCGGTTGTGCTGCGCGTATTCCGCTAGAGCAAGGATTCTGCGGGAGGTGCTTGCATCTTCGACAACGGCTTAGATTAGATCAATGAACCGTATTCAGCACAGTCTTTGGAGTAAGTGCAGCAATGTGGATATCTTCGATACCGCTTCAGCGACGTGTGCAGCTAGACCCTAGCAGACGGGGTAGTGATAACTTTGTGCTCGAAGCGTGCAAGACCTCTATGGCGACCCTTGGGCAATGATCATTATCACTATACCAACAAGCCATAGAAATTATAGATGATACGATCGGACCGGCTTAATTGATCACTAGATATTGATAACCGATGGTGTTGCTGTTGAAGACGCCGCTAAATGCATCTACCCGTGTTGAAATACGAAATGGGGTATCATCGTTGAGAACCTCCCAAACGCCTGTTGAAGCGAGTCGCCACCTGCTTCTCTTTGAAAACCCATCTGTCTCCTTGCTTATGCCTTCTTCTCGGCTCCGTACCCACCCTTACCCTCATGGCTTTCGTACGTTTTCCCCTCTGATCGAAGTGGATTCCTCGGACCCCTCTCACTGAGATCTTCCTGTAGCCACTTGAGCACCAGCTCACCAAGCTGACTATTACCCGTATACAGCCTTGAGCTCTGCTCAACGTGCACGTTCATTTCCTCCACACTACCCCACTTCTTCACCTTGCCGAGACTCATATGCACTAGATGCGTCGGCCACGTAGCTAGATTGTCCAGAATATGCGTCGCATACACGATAGTGCAAGGCCTGATCTCCGTCTCCTTCTTCAGGAAATTCAAGAAGTTGCTACGCGAGAGCAAGTCCAGGTCTACGGTAATCTCATCCAGCAGCAGGATAGTCCATGGCCTCAGTAATCCCATGGCCAGTTGTACCCTTCTTCTTTCGCCATCGGATACGGCGTGCATGCGCCAGCTAAGATCAATGTCCAAAATGCGCACCAGCTCGTCGCGACGCTCGTGGTAGTAGTCGCCGCCGACGGAGGCGAGAAGAGTGGGCACGTCGATGTCGGTGCGTACGATGGGATTGAGGACCCATTCGAGGCCGAGGTAGGTCACGCCTTCGAGGCCCATTTTGAAAGGGTCAACGCCCGCGATGTGAACGGTGCCGGCTGGGGCCATGCGCTTGCCAGAGAGAAGGCGGAGGAGCGTTGTTTTGCCAGCGCCATTAGCTGTGTCGTATTAGTTCAATTCACCATGCGCTTTGCCAGGGTAACGGACCTCCAATGAGTAGAGTTCGGCTGCCTGGTGGCAGATCCAGGAAGACATCTTTTAGTCCACTCGAGCCATCTGGGAAGGCATAATTGAGCTTCTTCACGTCGATGGAGGGCGCGAGACTCTTGTCAACGACTTGTTCTGACATTCTGAAATTTTACACTGTGAAAACAATATGCGAGAGTGCCTGCGGCGAGGCATTTGTAGGAAGGCTACATTTAGTAGCTGGAACATTGTGGAGTCATTTGGGTGGGTCAAGACCTCGGGAATGTCTGACGACATCATTCAAAGCTAGCCGAAGCAGGAAGGCAATACGACAAACGTCGGCACTTCATCTCGACCACAATTACTTTTACACTATTTCCGGAGTTACAACATTTTATATAATATAGTCTTGGTACTCATGTTGAACATAGTGTATCGTTTATTCTTGTTTGTTTAGATGGCGTTGTCGAGTCTTCTCGCAACTCGCTAGGAAAGCATCAAATACTTACAAAGTCTCTGTCTTATCTTTCCTTGTGGGCCATTCTGTATTCTTGTCTTATCCAAGCCCATGACTCCTATTCTTTTCCCCTGCCAAAAATGCAGCGCGTCACTTGATAGTTCCCTAGTCAGTGAAAAGTAGACACATTCCTACGTTAGGCATTCGTCACATCATTGCAAACAGCAATCGCAGTTCAGTAGAGGTTGGAGATACCTTCACGTAATCTCGAATCTTTAATTGAGACGTACTAGGCTACAATGATCACTCACGTCCTCCTATCACCAGCCCAGCCGCTCACAGTGAGAGCGGGATTCTCTACTCTTTCCTAGCGTTTGCTATCCTCGAAACGTGCTTTCCAATCACCAAGCTCTCTAAACTCTATACATGACAACGCCCAACAGCCTCGAAAAGCAAACATGTCCGGCTTTCCTAGCCCACCCCAAGCTCTCACCCTCCTTACTAGCAGTCGTCTGCAAATCCTCCTATCCGCCTCCCTCATCCTCGCCATACTCGTCATCCTTCTAAGCATAATACACACCAACTACACCAAGCGCCAGCAGTACGTAGAGACTGAACAAGATGTAGTGTCCCGTATCAAGCGTTCGTCTCCGTCCACTGCACCCATTACCTTCAAAAAAATCCACCTCACAACCCGCTGACTGATATCTTAATATAGGCAACGCGCAAACCCTCCACCCAAAACTCTTCAACATCGCTGTTTTGCTGAAGCACGGGCCTAGCGAATTGGGAGGCAGCGATACATGGTGGGCTGCAGCTGTATGTGGATTTGAAGTGCCTTTTACGCAGCGTTTGGTGGGTGAGACGGGACCCGTGCGGCTTGAATCGAAGACGGCCGCGCTGCGGAATTTGGATGAGTTACTTCAGGTTCAATGCGACCGTGTGGAGAGGTAGACCAGGCTGGGTGATGGGCTGGAAGACGTTCGTTAAGCGCAGGCAGGCAAGCAGCCTTCAATAGCTACAAGCTTCGTGACTATGGTAGCTTGAGTTGAGCCATAATGCTATGACATGTGATGTGTAAATGTAAATACATTCGATATATGATATGGTATCTTGCGAATGTCTAAATGCTATCGCTCCCAGACCTGGATAGAAAAATTCTCCAGGGGCCGTAAGAATGCGTATATACAAGTGAGTGAGTAGTTTCTAGCTCCGCTTAGAGCTATATACGGTAGCGCTATTTCTGCTGGTCCAACATGTGTTTAAATTTCTCGATCTGCAATTGTGTCAGCTTCTCATCCTGGAATGTTTCGTTCGTCGGGGGCGAACTTACCTTCGTACTTAGATACTTTTCTACCTCGTCGCTCTTGATGCCCCTCTCACCCCCCGTCTTCCACGCAAGCGGCACCATAGCCACCCGCTCTCTCACTACGACCTCTCTCCCCGGCCCCTCTACAGCTCTTACTTTATCCGGGTTATTCGTCAATAGTCTGATCCCGCGTTCTCCATCCAGGCCCAAGTCCATCAGCATAGCCGTTGCAAGCCCGTAACTTCGCGCGTCGGCGGGATGTCTTAACAGGATGTTCGCTTCGTACGTGTCATTGCCCAGATCCTGTAAATTGTACGCTTTGAGTTTCTCGCCGAGGCCAATGCCGCGTCCTTCTTGGCGGAGGTATATGATTGCCCCGCCTGATGGGGATAAGAAAGGATCTGCCATCAATCGAGCTGCCTCGTCTAGTTGTTCGCCGCAGTCGCAGCGCGCGGACCACACGGTTTCGCCAGTGTAGCATTCCGAGTGTATACGAACGAGGGGCAGCTCGGAGGAGGAGATTGTTTGTACCTCTCCGTTTTCCGAGGACGCCGAGGATGCTGAGGATGGAGACAAAAGCCCATTGCTCTTGTCCATATGTGAAGATTCGCTATCCGGCTTTCGTTTGGACGGAATGCCTTCTGCTCGCTTGAGTTGCTCGACCCGCGAGCTGGTTCGCCCTGGGTATAAGCGTCCTACGTATGCGCCCCTCGTCATACGGTCTAGTTCTGTTTCCCCTGGTCTTTCCGCATCTAGAGAAGTTGACCGTATTTGATGTCCGAAGACAATGGCCAGATGTTCTTTCGTGTCTACATTGTTCCGGTAGACGTGCAACCACATCTCATGCCCGGTGGTTGTGGGTATCCGCGCGCGCACCTCGCATTCTACTTGTGGCAGCTTTTGCAGCAGTTCGGGTCGCGGCGAGTCGGCGTGTAGTGAGGTGTCAACTGGTATCGAGCGCGGCGGTCGCGGATGTGAGGGTGTGGAGACGCCCGGAGTCGCGGGGGGTGTAAAGGCAGGCGAGATTATGGAGTTGGGTGGATTGTGGGTCGCAGGTCTTGCAGCTTGGTCATGCCTCTCCAATTCCTGCGCTGTCGTCTGGAAATCAAAACTGTCTCGTCCTGGACTCGTAGGGTGTGGTGAGTAAAGTGGCGGAAGGTCTGGTGAAGCGTGCGCCGGAAGGTCTGGCATAGCGGTCGGAAACTCGAGTAGGGATATGGAGCGGCGCAAAAGGACAAGGACGTGAACAGAAAATGCTTAGGAAACTATGCGCATCATGTAGAGGGAATGGGAGTTCTCATGTCGTGCTTACTGGCCGGTCACCGAAGTGGGGTTGCCCAATTCAATGTCCCGAAGCCGACGCCGCAGCCGCAGCTTTCATTGTCATGATTTCGAACCCTGCGGAACCGAGCCGACGTTGGACCGCGTTATAAACTAAGCAATGTATATCAGTCAGCAAGACAGATGCAATCTAGGAGGCACATGTATGATAAATGGGACTGTGATTGTCGTGCGCATTATCGATAATCTTGTACAGCAGTACGCTTTACACCCCACAGGCATCTCGGGCAAGTGATGCGACACAATCTCGTCGAATTGCGTATCCAGAGCGAAATGTAGTGCAACCATCGATCAGGATATGGCCCCGACCTTTAACATCCTATCCTATCAATCCACTCTGCGTTCTCTGCCCCAGACCTCATCGGCATTCTTCTTGCCTTTTGTCTCTGGTACAAACCAGGAAATGAAGGCAAAGAAGAAAGCGGACAACGCGGCGAAAATGAAGTAAACCTTCCCGTGTAGCTTTGCGCTTGCTAGAGGGAAGAACTGCGCAACGACAAAGGTCGCGATCCAATTGGCACCAAGGGCAATGCTCTGCGTCGCGTCTACTGCGTCCGGACCCACGAGCTCGCTCGCCAGTATGAAGGGCACCGGACCGAGACCAACGGCAAAGCTCGATACGAAGAGCAAAACTGCAATGGCAGAGAGGACAGGAATTGACTTGATGATACCGATGGCAAGCAGGAGCGAGCTGGTGCCCATGCCCGCAAGAGAGCTGAGGAGGCACGTCTTGCGGCCCAACTTGTCAGCCAGAGGTGCACACCCTGCCGTCACGACGATGTTGAGCGCAGAAACGGCGAGATTGAGCAAAGCAGAGTTGGACTCGAGCAGACCTGCCAAGAGAGATACACCGTACATGACGATGCTGTTGATCCCGCTAAACTGTTGGGCAAGCATGACCATGATGACAGCGATAGCAGCTTTCTGGTAGTCGGAGTGGCGCAATACCTGCATGATGCTCAGCGTCTCGTCTTTGCTAGACTGTTTTGGTCGCGCTTCAGACGAGTCGTCTTCGTTGTGCAAGAGTGTCTGTTCTTCTTCGTTGATGTTTCCTGACCCTGTCACTCCCCAATTATCCATCTCATCATCAATGTCGGCGTATTCGCCTCTGATCTTGCGTAAAGTCTTTTTCGCAAGCGATATGTTGCCCTGCTCGGCGAGGTATTTTGGGCTTTCGACCGACAGTAGCAGCCCCGTCGCCTGCACAATGCCAATGAGACCACCAATAGCCAAGATGATCCTCCAGTACGAGTCGTGGCTGAGAAAGTACCCCAGCAGCTGTGCAATCAAGATGCCAACATTGCACATGATCTGCGTAAAGGCGCCAAAGAAGCCCTTTTCAGCTGGCGGTGCGATCTCTGAGATGTAGAGGGGCACAATAACCACTGACGCGCCTGCACCTACTCCCGACAGCAGCCTTCCAAATGCCATGACTCCAATGCCTGGACTGAGAGCTTCGAAGACAGGACCGATTGCGAAGAAGATGGTCGTGATTTGCATGGTCCTGAGTCTTCCGTATCTTCCTGCCAGCGGTCCTGCTGAGAGCGCTCCTATCAGACCGCCCAGTGTGTACATGGAGCCAACGACGCCCCATTCGGTGGGGCTCATCTCGATGCATTGTGGGAGGTTCGGGCCGGCCGTTGTCGACTTGATCGACTTCTTCTTGCAGCGGATGACATCTTCGGGTGCGTTGAGCTCAGACTGTTCCTGTTAGCTAGGCTTTCGCGTATGCCAGATGGAAGCCTGCATGCATGCATACCAAGTGGAAGCCGAACAGCAGCGGGCCCAGGGTTGCGACGAGCAGGATGTAGACGAAGTAGCCGGTGAGATGGCGGGTCCACGATCGAGGGTCCATGGTGCAGGGCTGCCGTGTTCAAGACGTCGTGTTCGCTGTCTTCTAACAAGCAGTCTAGCGGCACTGCATCCCGCTGCGTCAGCCAAGTGACATGCTCCAGGCGCACCACCACGACAATGTGGCGTCAAGGCGTGGATTTACCAGATTCCAGAGCTGCGGCGGGCACACGGCTACGCGAGGGATAATGTTTGCTGTCTTCTCATAGGACGCGAGATCGGGCAGGTGGCAGGGCTCACTGTTGTGTGATGGTTGAATGAAGCTCCTGCGGTGGTTGGTCCAAGAAGAAGATGAGGCTCTGCGGGGAAAACCACAGCTGGACTCGTCCATGACCAGACTTGGTAGCCTAGACTGACTACTACTATCCATACACCTTCCTTCGTCTCCCTATCCAACTTGACGCGAATTCCTCTAGTCGTGTCCCAACTGGCCCGCAGCCCGGTCGGAACCATAGTCGCTCTCCAGCTTCGCGCCCGCATATCGGCATTACGCGCCCATCTGCGTCGTCTTGCCGTCACCGGAGGCGCCATCTGCCGACTGTGGAGAAGAGCTAAACGAGAGGCAGACAATGGGCCTAAATTCTAATTAGACATGAGCCAGCCCTCTAATCCCCCATCTTCGGGTGGTCCGCCGTCAGCTGCTGCATCCGCCCGTGCCGCTCTACGAAATAGCGTGGTCGCCGCGTTCAACGGTCCGTCTTCCTTTTGCTAGCATCACGTTCCCCATGTCTCCTCGACGTGATGTTGTGTCAAGCCCCCTTTTCTAGCCACCACATCCTCTTGCTCTAATAATAAAACTATTGCCTCGGTCTCGCGTCTACATCGGCTGATCAATCATGACTGCTTGTTCTGCTTGATCGTTGTTCCGTCAGCCTTGCTAGACGTCGCGGCCCTGAGCACCGCACGCCTGCCCTGGTCCCTTTGTGCGTCTGATAGTACCAACATTATCACTCCACTCTCGCGTCTTTCTCCACTATACTACGTCTTGGTGCGAGTACTAAAGCTGTATTGGGCAGATCCGGCCGACAGCACCAAGGCCATGTTCACCGGCTACAACTCGAAGAAACGTGTCAACGAGCGCTACAAGATTGTTGGCTTCATCAGCAGCGGTACCTATGGCCGTGTCTACAAGGCAGAAGGCAAAAATGGCTTCACCGGAGAGTTTGCAATCAAGAAGTAAGTGGGTCTACATTTTGCCATCATCATGCTGACAGAGTCAGATTCAAGCCAGACAAGGAGGGTGAATTACAGTACTCGGGCATCTCACAATCGGCTATCCGCGAGATGGCTCTCTGCACGGAGCTCGCACACCCAAATGTCGTGCATACGGTAGAAATCATCCTAGAGGACAAATGCATCTACATCGTGTTCGAATATGCTGAGCATGACCTGCTTCAGATCATTCACCATCACAATCAGCCGCAGCGACAGGCAATACCTGCGCGGACAATCAAGTCCATTCTCTACCAGCTTCTGCAAGGACTCGTCTACCTCCACAGGAACTGGGTCATGCACCGTGACTTGAAGCCAGCCAACATTATGGTCACCAGCGCGGGAAAAGTGAAGATTGGCGATTTGGGTCTCGCTCGACTATTTTACAAGCCACTTCAGTCATTATTTTCTGGAGACAAGGTTGTGGTGACCATCTGGTATCGAGCGCCTGAACTCCTGTTGGGCAGTCGCCATTACACACCAGCGGTCGATCTGTGGGCCGTTGGATGCATCTTCGCCGAGCTGCTATCGCTACGGCCTATCTTTAAGGGAGAAGAAGCAAAGATGGACAGCAAGAAGACGGTGCCGTTTCAACGCAACCAGATGCAGAAGATCGTCGAGATCATGGGCATGCCAAGCAAGGATCGTTGGCAGCTGCTGACCGCCATGCCAGAGTACCCTCAGCTGACGTCGCTCATTGCAGGAAATGCTGCAAGATTTCCGCGTCCACAAGGCGGGGATGGACTGGAGCGGTGGTATCACCAGACACTCAACAATAACCAGTATCCCATTGGCAACGGGCCAGATACCCCCGGCCCTGAGGGACTCTCTTTGCTCAAGCAGCTGCTCGAGTACGATCCGCAGAAGCGACTTACGGCAGAAAAGGCGCTCCTGCATCCCTACTTTACCATTCACGGCAAGCCATCGGAGAATTGCTTTGAGGATTCAAAGATCAAATACCCCGTGCGAAGAGTCAGCCAGGAGGACAATGACATTCGCACGTCTAGTCTGCCAGGCACCAAGAGGAGTGGGCTGCCAGACGACTCGATTATTGGACGGCCTGCGAAGCGTTTGAAGGAGGGGTGAACAGAATATACGCAACGCTGTTGTGTATCTTCTGGAGCCTAGAACCGGCGGATGGTACGGTCACATGAATGCACATGCCCGTTTGTACACGGTTCACATATCTCGCGGCATAAGAATGCTTAGTCTTCCAGCGTGGCGGTACTTGAAGCAACCCCACATATTGCAGCCTTGGCAGGTGGAGTGGCCCTGTGCGAGATTGCGACTCGCACGAGCGTGGCTCAGAGCATCGCTATGTTACTCGTGCCTTGCAACGCCGCGTGCACAAACAACGATTGGCCCATGTCAACATGTCAACGCAGGGTTGAGCAAGGATAGAACTTGGAGGACCACAATGGAGAGTAACCTTTGCGCTATGAGCATTATATGTATAGGTGTCTATGGGGCAGTATATGATATCGAGTCAAAGAGGGGCTCGAATAGAGAGACTGTCGTAACTTGGCTCACTGCCTGCACGTGGTCAGCTGTGTATATCAGAACCAAAACAGAATCAGGTACGAATCTTTTTCTAGTTATCGTCATGTCCCTCCATATTCGTTGAGCATTTCTGATTGTCCAAGTTGTGACCACTTTGAACAGTTACATGTTTTTTGTTGGCAGACTCGACGTTCATTTCAGATCTGTAACGGGGATGCGCTCGTGTCGCTTGGATGCTTCACATGCTTCTTTTGTGTGACTGGAGCATATACCCGGGCCGTTAGGGAGAGCAGCATTATGTGAACCAAGCTCAAGCATAATGGCTAGTAGCAATCTAAGTCGAGGTAAGTGCTTGGTGACACCCTCGAGGGACTTTGCATACGGGAAGCAGCAAGGCAAGAAGCAGGCTGACCACGAGCAGCAGTGGTGAGTAACCATCCAGCAGATGGAGCACACCAGTCGTCCTACCGCTCATTGATGCAATTGACCATGTGCAAAACGACTGTGGAAGTCTGCTACCATCTACCCCTCTTCAATATGCATGTCACTGTCGACTGCACCGCTCCTGTTCCGTTTACTGCTGCCGTAATTGGACTGTATCAATTTCCGTGTTTGTTTGCGGGGGGGCCAGATCGGTGAAAGGAAGGCACTCCCACAACACCACGCCATAGCCATGCCAGCACACGGGCCTTCACATATAAACACCCCGCTTCCCGTTTCCTCCTCCTCTCTGCCCTCGTTTCCTTATACTGTCGCTCTTTATCTACTTGTCACTCATTTATTTCGTCCTCGTGCACGGCATCAAGCTCCACTGCACCAGCTCACCTACATCCTCAGCTCAAATACACGATACCTCATATTCTACACTGGGTCGCCAATAGTCTTAATTTGCAAGCATGAAGTTGTTGGCTTCCCTCGTCGCTCTCACAGCTGCCGCCGCGGTTGCTGCGCCAGCTCACCATGTCAAGCCTCGCAGCCTCGTCGACGATGCTGCTCCTCACCAAGACGACCCCAACTTCATTAGCGCCGTCATGAGAGCCCATTGGTACTGGCGCCGTCTCCACTGCGCCCAGGACCTGATCTGGGATGTGGATCTTGCGAACGCTGCTCGCTCGGACATCGAAGAGTGCACCCACGAACCCAAGCACGTAAGTTGGCTTCTGCTTCGTACAAGAACCTCTGCTGACCAACTCAGCATCGCTCTGGTAGCAACCTCTCCTCTGTGAAGCCGGCTCCCGCAAATTACGATGAGTGGGTTGAGTTCGCCCGCACGGCATCGCACGGCTGGCACGAGGAGGAGACCAAGTACCCATACGACAATCCTCACTTTGACGCTGCCTGGGGTCACTTCTCCCAGATGGTATGGCGCAACACTACCCGCGTAGGCTGCGCTGTTGGTCACTGCAGTGACGAAGTCCTGTACCCGGGCCGCTTCTACTGCTGTACGTGGTATTGAACACATGGGCACTGTAACATGCTAACGTACATAGACTACGAGTTCTTCGGCAATAACATTGCTGCCGGACAATTCGCTGCGCAGGTCTGGGCTCCAGTCTGTAGAGACCCTAGCATGGGCGAGGCTACGGCGCGCGAGGATGTCAACTTCAACTGGGCTCTCGCTACGTAGACTTGCACTACACGGTCGCACGAAACCTCACGAGGCGTCCAAGAGTAATACGATACTATACCAGCTGTTAGACGGCAGAAAAGGGACTTGTCGTCGATACGGCACGACGATAGACTATTCGCTGTTTGGACCCGGCATCCGCGGCACATCTATCTTGTCTTCTTCCTATGGCTAGTCAAAGTTGGGACCCCAACTTGGTTGACTCGGCCAGCTACTTCAGCTACTTGTAGTATTGCCTCTTGCGTTCCTCTAACTAGCTATAGTGGAGGACATCGATTGTATGCTTGACGGTTATAGATGTACGAGAGAAGCTAGAACTCATGGATAAGCCAAACATGTTCCTAACAAATTCATCCATTCTTCAGCCTCCCATCTAATGGACATCCATCTCTCAATGCTCAGGTGAAGTTGTCCTTGAATCATCAACTTTCCTGGCTACTTCTAGCGTGGCTTGCAACGGTAAAGTGACAGTTTTTGAAGAGAGCAGGAGGGAGCGTAAGGTAGGCAGGTTGTCGCTATAGCTCAGAAGGTAGTGACTGATGTGAGCAAGGAAGATCATTACGCAGCCGAAAAGAAGTAAGCGAATTGAACTAATTGTCCCTGATATTCATTGAATCTCTGTGGTTGCTATTACTCTGCCAGCCTAATGTAACCTGGGTTGCTAAAAACCTCTTCTCCTAGGTGCAATAACGACCTCTCACCGCATCTGGTACTCATCCAACGCCATGCCCTTTGCAATCTTCTTAATCAGGGCCTTCTTCAAAAACTGTTCTCTCGCAAGACTCCTGGTTTGCTAGAAATAGCCAAGTTAGCACCAAAGTCTACCTATATTGCTTGGCTCGGATAGAACAACTTACCTTTACAAATACATCCGCACTAACCCGCCCTTTGTCCAGTGCTCTCCCCAAGACAAACAGCGTATCCTCAATCCCCCTCTCCTCAGCAGCGAGCGTGTACAACTGCCCACCCACCACGGTTGGCGCGACGAGCACATCGTCCACGTCCGGCGCTTGTCGTCTCCGCGCATCTTCCATGACTCGATCGGCGTCGGCCATTGCGCCTTTCAAGATCTGCTCGTTAGAGGCAAGCGTGGCATCCAGCTGTTGCAATTCTCCCAGCTCGGCTTGCAGCCGTGAGTATGCGGTTTGCAGAGCTGCTTGCTGTGCGCGGAGAGGTGCCACTGCAGCCGTGTTGGAGGAGACTGTTTGCCGTATTTGCGAAACGAGGGTTTGGCTGAGTGCTCTTAGGAGGGCGTCCTTTTCGGGATTCGGTGGAACGGGTGGAACGGGTATCGGGGCTTGATTCCCCGTTTGTGAAGGTAAGGTGACTTCAAGAGAGTCGTCGAGCAGATCAATTGGTGGTTTGGGAGCCGGCGGAGCTTGTTGTGGCGGCGGTTGCTGTTGCTGTTGGTACTGAGGATGTTGCGCCTGCGCTGGGTAGAATTGAGGAGGTGGCTGTTGATACTGCTGTTGAGCGGGCGGTGGGCGGCCGTATTGCTGTTGTGGAGGCCCTGGCGGCCCTTGATACTGCTGGGTCGGGACATTACCTGGTGGCTGAGGAGGCAGCGCTGTCCGTGAATAGTGAGATGCGCTGCGTTGGCCATCAGGAGTAATAGGACTGACGGGACTTCCCAGCTCATACGCGTTGGGCTGATACCCTTGCGCTTGAAACTGTGCCCGAGGCGGTCTCGACACAGGAGTTGCCGGGCTCATGTCGTAGCTCGATTGTCGTTGTTGAGTACCAGGGTTCTGTTGCTGCCAACTTGGTGGAGCTCCATAGCTGTTTCTCTGGGGTTGCTGAGGCGGATGGGGTGGTAACGGAGGTGGTTGCGCGTATCGGTTGTGCTGCGACTGTGATGCTGGGCTGTTCTGCTCGTACGGCTTCGGTGGCTTCGGAGGGGGAGCGGGAGGTTGGTTGGAAGGACCTGGTGCAGGCGATGCACCTGGAGTTCCGTGCAATGTCCGTCGCCATTCTACTGGGGTGGGAGGTACTGGCGGAGGTGCTTGCTGCACAGGCGCGCTATACTGCGCCTGTTGCTGCTGCTTGGAGCGCACAGGCGGTTCCTTTGCGAAGACGCCTTGGAGTACCGCCAGGAAGTCGAACAGTGTAGACTTCTACGCGCAAGTAAGCCAATATGTCCTTTACGTGTCTTGCGAAGAGTGCGCGCGCCACTCACGTCCCAGTACTTCCCCCATTGTGCCAGATATGGGTGGTATATCCTGCCGTCACCGCTAACGTGCTGTCCAGGTCTCACGATCATGTCCTGCGAGGGCGTAACGTAAACGATCGGCGGCTCTCGTGGGTAGGCGTAAGGCACCCATAGTGCTACGGGAAAGCCGTATGTCTGACCACGGAAAGTTACTGGCAGCGTCCCAGTAAGCAGTAGTAGAAGCGCCGAAGCTCCATTTTCGTACGCTAAAACGGTGAGTATATGTGTGCAAAGCGTCGAGGCATGAATTGCAGCTTGACGCACTGTAGACTTCCGTTCGAGTCGTGAGCGAAGGATAGTTGGACAGGGCCTCGGCGGCGTCGTGGTACGTGCGATTCACATCCGAGTATTCCTATAGCTGGGTCAGAAGAAACAGGCTGCGTTGATCAAGGCAGGTAATTACGCTGGTGAGAACGCTGTACAGCCAGTTGAGTACTTTCTCAGGCACGCCGGCCATGCTGCACGTCGAGGTCGAGGTTGGCGGGGAAGCTCCGAACACGATTCGATGGCACCAGATCCCCTCCACACCTTGGCAACTTGCGCCTCAGTCTTCGTAGGCTTACAAAGTACCATTGGAAATACTACGAGCTTGTAGTACTCGTATCTTCACATACAATTGGCAGCCGTGGTTGTCTCATCATCGACTAACCGTCATGAACTGAGAGCAGGCATCAACAGTTGGCATGTTCATATCATTACATTAACTATTCAATATAAGTCTGGCGAAGAGCTATAGAATATGGTACATTGAAAGCTGGTCGTATCGTTCGTGATGCCTCAGGCCACAAGTGTGAACCTAATCGTGCTGCCGTGGCAAAAGTGCACTGCGGTATTATACAAGCTCCTACTGGGTATTTCCTCTGCCAAAACGCTTAGTGCTGGCTCCATTCAATCGTGTTCAAGTCAACGCCCTCCTGCACCAGTTCCCAGAGCGGGCTGAGCTCTCGAAGGAATGTAACTCGCTCCTTGACAGCTTTGAGCACGTAGTCGATTTCCGCATCTGTGGTAAATCGACCAATACCAAATCTGATACTGCTGTGCGCACTCTCGTCGCTGCTACCAAGTGCTCGAAGGACGTAGCTGGGTTCGAGGGATGCCGAAGTACAGGCACTGCCGGAAGAGAGAGCAATGTCCTTCAAGGCCATAAGGAGTGATTCTCCCTCGACGTAGGCGAAAGACACGTTCACACACCCTGGATAATGTCGTTCCCGATCACCGTTTAGTGTGGTGTGCTCCAGGGATAAAAGTCCTTCAAGAAGACGATTCGAAAGCGCGCCAATGCGCTTCGAGTCATACTGCATCTGGTCAGCTGGGTTCCAACAGATGATTCTCAACAACAAAGTGACAAAGACAAGAACTCATACGTATGTGCATTATCAACAAGGCGCGTCGACGGCCAGAGGCCGCCTAACACTCTGAAAGCCATGCATGTGTAAAGCAAATAATCATAGTGGATGCGGATGGGAAAGAATAGGGTACTCACGCTCATCTCCTCCTTGCAGATCCGTGCGGCTTCACCCATTCCGATGGCGAGAGGAGGTGCTAGAGTACCACTCCGCAAGCCTCGCTCTTGACCGCCACCACTGATGATGGGGTCGAGCCTGACCCTAGGCCTTCGTCGCACATAGCACGCTCCGATGCCCTTGGGTCCGTAGATTTTATGGCCAGAGATGGACATTAAATCCACGTTCATCTTGTTGACATCAATGGGAATCTTGCCGACTGCCTGCGCCGCGTCAGTGTGGAAGAAGACCTTCTTCGATCGACAAAGCCTTCCGATCTCCTCTACTGGCTGTACGACACCAATCTCGTTGTTGACAGTCATAATACTGACGATGGCGGTGTCTGGCCGGATGGCAGCCTCAAGCTGGGCCATGTCGATGAGACCATTGGTTTGTACGGGAAGATACGTGACGGAAAAGCCTTCGTCTTGTAAATGCCTGCAGCTGTCGAGGACACACTTGTGCTCTGTCTGGCAGGTGATGATGTGCTTCTTCTTGCCGGATCGGCCAAAGAAGCGGGCTACACCTTTGATGCTCATATTGTTACTCTCAGTCGCACCGCTGGTGAAGATGATCTCTTTTGGGTCTGCGCCAATGAGGTCGGCAATGTGCGCTCGCGCGTCCTCTATTCCCTTATCCGTCTCCCAGCCATAGGCGTGGGTGCGTGAATGTGGGTTGCCATACAGGCCAGTCATGAAGGGCATCATGACATCTACTACTCGCGGGTCCATTGGTGTGGTGGCCTGCATGTCCAGATAGATGGGCCGTGAGCCTTGGTCCATGACGGTGGCTTGCTTCAGAATACCTAGATGGAATATCAGCATCATTCATGGGAGGTGGCGGGCAGTGAGGGGGGCGTACCAGCACTTGGACTCATCATGGCATCGGCGCTCATGCCCGTGGTTGGCATCGTGGCATCCTGTGCGCGGTCTCCTGTCTGTTTCAGGAATGCCTTGTGCTCTGCCTTGATGGTAGTATCTACGTTAATGGTAGCCTGCGAAGGCTTCGACTCTGAGACATAATTCCTCTGTGCCTGGCCTCTCCCCGCAGCGACGCGGGGCGAGAAGCGCGAGACTGTGGATGATGTATAGCGGCGGGATGCAATGCGGAGGGCCTGCCTCGCAGCGGTGGGTGCAATATTCGCCATGATGGAGGTGAAGATAGGTCGTGGTGCAGAGACAGCAGAAGTCGCCTCTTGCCTGGGCTCAAAGCTTTCGACGGCGCCTTGGTCTGACTAAGCACGCCCGCCTCGGCACCACAAGGGCCTTTGTCCGCAAGCAGCCCCGTCCAGCGACGACCATGGTTCGGGTTGCTCGGACTTGGTAGCGTTTAACTTGTACTCTGCTGCCTTCACGTCTGGCTGCCTCTTCACTTTACTGCTTTACTGAATCTCGCGGTGCGCACCATTTCAAGGCACCGGAGCCGAGCCGGGGATACTTCGTAGTCTCTGCCACAAGCGCACGAGGCGTCTAAGCCACTCGTTGCACGTCATAGGGCAGGAGCGACAAGACACCAAAAACCCCAAGCCACGCCGCCAAACCAAGCGCAGCCCGCGGTCCCCATACGGCCATTCTACTCTCTACTGTCTTCTTCTTTGCAAGCAGACCTGCGCGACGCGCTTCCTGGATCCCTCCCGTGCATCAATTTCTTAACAGAGCTACCACCACGACCCCGCAATGAGTTGGAAAGGCCTGACCAAGAGCGTCACTCGGGTACGGACGAGCATCCCCATGCGCTCGCTACTTTGCCCTTTGACTCTGGGCTAACTCGAGTTCATAGGCGCCGCAAACCATTAAGCAAAAGTTCAACATTGTATGTGCCATCAGTCACTACCCACGACTTTCCATGCTACGCGCCTCCTCCCGGACCTGCTCCGGCCTTTGCTAACATATGCGATGCCTAGGGCGAGATTACAAAAGATCCCATCTACCTTGATGCCGAGCGCCGCTTCGACGAGCTGGAAAAGGAGACGAAGAAGCTCCATGAGGAATCCAAAAAGTATGCGCCTGTTCCGAGTGTCCTTGTACGTGACAGTCCAACTTACATGTGACAGGTACTTCGACGCCGTAAATGGTGCGTATACCCTGGGTATCCCTCTGCGCATTCGGGCCTAACGCATCCTCCTAGGCATGCTCTCTCATCAGATAGAGTTCTCCAAAGCCATCGCCGAGGTCTATAAACCCATTTCCGGACGAATGTCGGACCCAGACTCGTTTCTCGACGAAGGCAACACCGCTGGCATAGAAGCCTGCGACCAGTACGAGACCGTGGTTCGCGAGTTACAAGAAACCCTCAAGCCGGAACTCGAGATGATAGAGTCGCGCGTCATTCGCCCAGCAGACGAGCTACTGGCCATCATCAAAGCGGTGCGCAAAATTGCCGCCAAGCGCGATCACAAGCAGCTCGATTACGACCGGCATCGCACTGCGCTCAAGAAGCTACAAGACAAGAAGGACAAGACTCTCAAGGATGAAAAGGCCATATATCGTGCCGAGAGTGATGTAGAACAGGCGACCCAGGATTTCAATTACTTCAACGACCTACTCAAGGAGGAGCTACCAAAACTATTCTCTCTGGAAAGAGAGTTCATCAAGCCCCTCTTCCAGTCCTTCTACTACATGCAGCTGAACGTATTCTACACACTCCACGAGCGCATGCAGAGACTCGACATAGGCTACTTTGACCTAACCCTAGACATTGAGGCAGCATACGAGAAGAAGCGCGGAGATACCCAGGAGCAAGCAGAGAAGATATCCATTGTCAAGTTCAAGACCACAGGCGGTCGCGTGGCTGGTGCGCGCCCCGGGCAGTCCAAATATGCGACCAAAGCACTAGAAGCCAAGGCAGGCCGGAGCTCCATATCAGAGGAAACGGACACGCCCCCGCCACCCTACAGTCCCGGACCCGCCGGAGCCATAGGAGATGTCAAGTCACCGGCCTTATCACAAGGCTCTTGGGGCTCTGTTGCAAAGTCGAAAGGTGCCGCACCTCCCCCGCCAAAACCGAAGCCATCACGATTGAGTGGTGTGCCCACTACGGAGACAGTCACGGCGCTGTACGATTACGAGGCGCAAGCGGAGGGTGATCTTAGTTTCCTAACTGGCGATGTTATTGAGATTGTTTCACGGACGCAGAACGATAACGAATGGTGGATTGGAAAGGTCAGAGGGAAGCAAGGCCAGTTCCCAGGTATGTACGCACTCAACTTACAGTTTTACATTCCGCTTACCCTTTTTTTCCACAGGAAATTACGTCAAGCTGAGCCATTAGTCGAGGCTCAGCCGACCGTCACTTACGCGACCGCGAGGAATTACTTACTGATGCATGTTGTGTTGTCATAATTGCTATTATTGCATGAAGGGAGTGGGAATTAAGTTTTAGAGTTTTGCCTTAGATCAGGGTGGCAACGCTTTTGTAGCCACTCATCTTGCACATATTGGGTAGCTCTTCAAATTCTACCTATTATACTTTTGCTACGCTTAGCCACGTCCTTAACCAAGCCACACTTCGTATCACTGCTAGCGTGGACCCCCGCATGAAGCTCGCTGATCTGAGACATGGATCCCTTGGTCACTTCATTGAAGTCATCTTCATCACATTTCCTACAACAAACTTCTGCTATAGTCTTGTTTCTTTACACCGCTGGCCCAATCACTCCGTTTTTCAATCAATCGTCGGTACATGAATCCTGAAAACATTGCAAAATCAACGGGTATCAAACTATTTGCATCTACTAATGACACAGTCCATGAATAAAACCAACAAAGCGACCATTTCTAAGCGTACAGCGGGCCCTGACCCTTCTCATTACTTGGTCCGACAGCGGGGCCTGGAGCAGCAGGAGACGCAGCACGGTATTGTCCAGGCGCCATCTGTTCATGCTGACCCGGTATTCTTTGCGGATACATTGTCGCCAGAGGGTATGCCTGTTGGGGTGGCAGCTGGTAGTACATGCCCTGTCCGCCAGCCGGCTGTGTATAGGCTTGTCCTGGAGGAGGAAGAATGGCTCCTCTGTCGATCATAGTCTGCACGATTCCGGCGGCGAGCTTCTCAGCGTCTTTGCTCACTTTGTTGCGGTTGTAATGGTTCGTGTCGACGCATGCCCAGACGAACAGGGCGAAGTGGAGCACCAGGCCAAAGAACTGGCAGACTACTGCCGTGAGCAGGACGTTGGCACGGTGAGGCTTCTCCCGCCAGAGTTTGTTCATATATGCGTCTTGCTCTGCACAGTTTGTGAAGATGTTGCGGGAGTAGGTGTTGTTGTTGTCGCACCCTCGTACACTGGAGACGTCACTGTCATCACTACTACGACTGTGATACGGCTCCCACACCCACGTTCCATTGTTCGCCAACTCATAGTTCCCTCGATCATAAGGCGCATAGGTTATGTCGCTACGACTATGCCATTCTGTTGCTGAACGCCAGAGCAATAGGACGAAGAGCGCGGTCGCAACGAATCCGAGCCACAAAAGAAGTTCCAAGGCCACGCGCGTTCCAGGGTGGACGGGTTTCTTGCGGAGGACGAATACAAGGATGCAAACTGCACACCATACGATTGATATGCAGAAGGTGAGCAACTCGGGCCACATCGCCAAAGTCGAAGGCCAGTCCAAGCTGTCGCTCATGAGCGAGGTAGTCGACATACTCCACCCTATGCAGCCGACGCCAATGAAGCCCGTTATGATCAGGATGGTCTGGAGGGCAGATTTGAATTTCCAATATCGATCGCCTGTATTGAGCTTTTCGTTGAAGCTGACTGGTCTTTCCGAGGTAGGGATCTGGGTTCGTGGGTACGAGGTCCGAGCTGCAGCTGTGTTCATGGTATCTTGAGTCGCAACGTTCGCGGGAAGATGTCTCGAGGTGGAGCTTGGATCCTCTACTGTTGGTGCCTGAGGCGGGACGGTCGCATGTGGCGCATGAGTCGCGTGGTGAAATTGCGGTTCAGACATTATGTATTCAAGATAAAGAACGAGTGTAATGGGCAAGCGAGCGGCTGCGCGTTTAAACGCGCGGGTAGGAACTGAACCGTCAGGCGCAGAGGAAAGACAGAAGGGAAAAGACTAAAGAAGGTGGGGGTTTAGGCAAGTATTATTGACTCCTATGATGTGCTGGATGCCTGGACCCTTTCTCGTATTCATAATTTAGATTGATGTTGCATCGGGTGATCGACCGGGTTGTGGGTTAGCTCCAATGTCTAGACGCCTCCAAAACGACGAAATCGTAATCTTAATCCGACGCCACACCACTTCTGAGATTTTTTAGGCAGCTAGCGTACTGTGCCTCTTTTCATGTTGACAAACGCTTTACTCTTTAACAACATGGAGACGGTTGCGCAGCTTGTTACGTCTTTCAGCGGAAGGATATTCCCCACGCGCTGCCTAAGAGTCCTGCGCATCCCAACGCCAGCTAGAGCAACATCTCTAGCCTTCAAAATGGTCCTTACATCTGCTAGACTTTCCAATTCCTAACAATTAACTCACATTCCCTACAAGGATATTTGCGGGAAGCTTTACAACGTTTTCTTATCACAGCCTACAAAAGAGACATGAACAAAAGGCTGTATGTATTTTCTCTCCACGTCCTAATTCAGTTGAATACTTACCCGACGTATTCGATGTTGGGATTTCTAGTTCCGATGTCTATAAGCCAGTCTATAAACCCGAAACTCCCAAGGCGTCAGGGAAGAGGTTTAGGTCTAAGTGTTCACTCTCGTGTCAATCTTGTATACACACACGTGCTTCTTCCACTTCGAGAGAGAGAGCAGAAAAATCTGTAAAGCTCGTAAAGCTCTCTTCAAAAATGGTAGGAATGATGTTTTCATAATGAATAATACAGTACTACAATGCAAGACTTTACTAAAGTTTACTAAATTTTTGAAGTAAAAAGGGTATTGAGATAAGTAAGAAGTGTTGCCAAGGGTAGTCTCTAAAAGCTTGTTGACTCTTAATGTAGACCATCATTGAGCTACATCAACGCCATAGGAGGACGTGTGATTAACATCTTCGGCAGTAAGTCCGGATAGCACCTACAAGCCTTGGGCGACTGGTACTTAGCTCAACACTTAATGCCAGATACACTTACACCCACTGAATGCACCCGTGCATCTCGCTGTGCCATCTGTAGTTAGTTGCCCGTTGCAGCCGTTCTCGTTACACGGACCCGACTGCACTCCGCAATGGCCCTGCGTATTGCCCGTCGCGAAGCAAGGACATCCCTTGAATACATCACCCTTGCACTGACCGTCATTTCCGCCAAATGCGCCAGTCGCTACGCTCGGTGAACAACCGTCCAAGCTACACAAGGGACGAGGCTCACTACAATCTGGCCTCAGATTCGGGCAATTGTCGACATAGAGAGGTAGGTTGTGTTTAGCATCCCATTTACAAGATTCCATGTATGTCTGAGTGCGTTGTCGTATCGTTTCCATCGACAACTCGAGATCTTTCTTATCTTGCGGAAGCTCCCTTCCATGATTTGGCCGAAGGGGTTTACCTAGGTAGGTGATCCAGACGAAAATACGAGCACCCAATTTTGCGTGGTAATCCGCCATAGTTCCCACCGAACCCTGCATGTGTGTGGTAACCCCTCTCTTTATAAGCTTAGCAGCCATATGTTCCCAAAGCTTCTGGAGGAGATCCAACTCTATCGTGGCGCCGAAAATTTCCTCCCGCACGATCTCCACGGTAAAATCCTCGATTTCAGAAAACCCATATCGATAGCCACTTCCCACAAAGACCGCAGCGGCTTGGGTCGCAGCATTGAGGAGAATCGATGCCTCTCTCATTGGTTTTCTGTAGCTGCAAGTGGCGTAGTTGAAGCAGAATCCTTCGAACTGCAAAGTCGACATTTTCTCCTGTTGACGAGGCTCTAAAACGTTTCGGTTGGGAAGGACTGTACTTGTCACGACCTGGAGCACTGTCGCAGTCCAAATAATGACGGTAGCGAATCGGAGTTGCATTTTAATAGTGGGGATGCTTAAGAGGATTTCCAAAGCGCCTACGCCCTAGTTGAGCTATCGTTGGTTCTGTGAAAGTACTTTGAGTGCGGAGATAATGGGGGTGCTATCGTAAATAGAAGTAAGTTCTGATTTAGGTAGCATGATATGAAAATATGGGATTTACTTGCATTTATAGATAGTTAGGTAAGGAAGCACACGCAACGTAGCACTAGGTTGGAGTAACTATTTAGTTACTGTGACACTGTCTCACACTGTTTTTAATGGTCGATAACCAATTAGGAGGTGGTGGGCCCCACTAGCGATTACCAAGATTCCTGCATATGCCAGATGCCACCCTACTTCTTACAGGCATACAACGCAGCCATGTGACCCTATTCAGCTCGCTGACGTTGAGATTTTAGCCAGGTTCAGGGATTACGGTTTCTTCACCGTACATACAGCCTCACCCACCAACAAACTGGGAGAAGTGTCCTCCCACCTAAAGGGCTCGTTGATGCTCGTAATCCAAACCCCGTCAACGAGCAACGTCCCAACGCGTTGAAACTCACCTATCAGCGAAGAACTCGCTTTTGCGAGCTCTACGGTAGACGCTGGCTGGCGGGGCATCCTAACTTCAATTCTTGCCTGAAACTCTCGCAGGCCACGGTGTACAGCCAACCGCTCGAGTTGGGACAAATCGAATACATACCGGATGGGGTGTTGCAACATACCTCGATAATTTATAAGTCCAGCGATGTCCTTTAGTATCACGACTGTGACCTTGATCTCCCGAACCACCTCGTTCATTTCCATCGAGGCCATCATGCAGTTGACAAGAGTGATCACGTCCTTCTTGAGCCAGAAATATCGCTCGATTGCGACACTCTTACTCGGGTCAAAGGGCGTCTGACTATCTACGTTGGTTCGCTGGGCAAAGTCTCCACTGGACGGCCATCCAATGTGAAGATGGTGCGTCCGCACTAATCCCGGAGTGATTAGCGGAAAGGTATACTCCGACGGCTTTAAGACAGCGTGGGACTCTGTCTTGAAGTGCCAAAAGGACTGCTGGTGGAATTCTGCGAGGCCCTCAAGAAGCATTTGCTTGTTGGTGAGGAGCCAAGGGGCACTCCAATGCTCCCAATCTTTATCATCGCATCGGAGATCTTGGTCACCATAGGATACGAAGTATTCCTTGCGCCTGTAGCGCTGAAGAATAGTTGGAGTACTAGTCCATACATATCCATAGATTGTATCTCGGATTTCGCGAGGCAAGCTCTCGAAGAACGATGATGCCCCTCGGGAGGAATTTATTGCGTTAATGGCGATAGTGGGACGTTTGTAGACTCGGTGGCGTAGCGCGGACTTATAGGCTAGGAGCTTCATGCGAAGGAGGTCGGCCTTGTCAGCCGGGCTTGGGACGTTTTCGATCTCGTTGATGTCTTCGATCTCCTCATCTGCCTTGCGCTTGTTCAAATTTCGCGCCATCGTGATGAATAGGTGCGGAGTATTGTCGATACTCGTCGGTCAGGGGCTTCCAGTCGAAATTACAAGATTGTTGGTGGCCGTGTATAGCGGTTGAGAAGAAAGGTACTTGAGTGGGAGTTTGAGTGTTGTGGAGACTGGAACCTTATGAGTACTCGAGGAGGCATTCTCGTTGTCAAGTCCCCTCGACCTGACCTTTCCACTTATTGTTTCACTAACCATTCACACAATGAAGCCTCCGTCTATAACAACGTTGCTTGGGAGCCAGTCTTTCGTGAGAGTTCAGTTATTTTCTATGTTGCTCTGTACATTCTAATGATGAAGCGTCGTCGCAGCACAATGTTCATCGTAGTTGCTATGTAAGTGCGTAATTAGCGTACTAGAACTACACCCCTATACGCTAGATACGTTTGGAGGTGGACTAACTAGATATACAAGTCAAAATGTCGTGTTAAATAGGCCTATAATCTAGAACATATAGTTGATGCCAAGAATATCAAGGCATGGCTAGTTTATTATATACAAAAGTAAGTGGATGTTTGCCCATGTTTGTGATAAGACAGTCTCACATGCTGTTTCAGTGTTCTTAAGTTGGTGTAGTTCGCGGCTCTTTCGAATTATTCTATTCATTACGAAATATAGGCGTCATCAAGGCGCGCAATACACGATCTTGTGTCATAATGCCGGATTTTCAATGTTGAAAATCCGCAACGATGTGTCGTCGCTCGCTACGGCAATCTGCTGTTGACCCCCAACTTCCCTAGGCCTCCAAGCAATCTGGTTGATTGTCTTTGCCGATGACAATTCCGACTGGATGATGGCAACATCTGCTTTGTTTAATGCATCTACCGGCGCGCTTCCAATGCTAATATCTCCATTTTCTGTCCCAAAGGCAAACATGATTTTGTTGTTGAACAGTTTGCTATTGCATGCTGCTGCCGTGACAGCCGCACTGGCCGTCACCGTAGCTTTGAGCTGAACATCGTTGTCTTCAATCTGCCATAACCTGACCGACTTGTCTCGACCGGCTGTAATGAAGGTTGGCTGTTCAAGAGGCGTCCATGTAGCACTCAAAATCATTCGCGTATGGCCTTTCGGATTCGCGAATTTGAGGGTGTACATCGAAGGTTCGGTGCTTCGCTCCCAAACAACCCATTGCCTATCTCTTCCGACGCTAAGCAAGTACTTGTCGTCCTGTGAGAACTGTAGAGATGTAACGGTAAGGGAATGTGCTTTCAGTGGCGGCTTGACTTCAAGCCACTCTTTTGTGTCATACAGACGGATAACAGCGTGGTCGATGGAGCTTGCTCGACATGCTGTAGCTACAAGTGTACCATCCCTATTTACAGCGACTGCAGAGATTTCGTAGCCGTGGCCGTACAGCTTCTCTGTTTCTGGCCAGAGTAGGTGACGCGCAAGATGGTCTTCAAAAGGCGGGTGATTGAAGTCGAGTGCGGATTTGCGGATCACAGTGGAAGGATCGACGGCTTCGCGTTCGTCTTCGGCGCCGTTTTCAACTGGCTCGTCATCGCCTATGGCTTGGATGGCTTTGTTGGAGAGGCCGAGGACTGGGATGTTGGCGGCATCTGGGAGATTGGCGGAGGTCGAGGCTTGTATATCGCATAACTTGTTAAGCATACCGGCCACGCCCTTGGGCTCATCAAAAACGCGCAGAAGCTTCTCGTCGGCACCAGAGATAAACTGAGAGTTGGTGACTGCATCAATGCAGTTGAGGTCGTAACCATGGATCTGTGGCCTCGAAAACTCGTGCCATGAGGCCGTTGACCCTTCACGTTTCCATTCCGAGTACAACCGCGTCGTCTGATCTGATCCAGTGGTAAGTAGATACGACCCGTCTCTTGACCAACAGACGCCTTTGACCTCACGCACATGCCCTGTAATTGCAACTTGCTGCGCCCACATGTCTTCCGCGGCCGAGTACGTCCATTTCCGCCAGCTTCCAGTGCGGCCTAAAGCTACTAGCGAGTTTCCGTTTGGAGACCACAGCCCTATCCAAAGACCTCCAGCGCTACCCGTGGCGCTTGTTGAACCTTTCTGCGCACTGATCTCGCCTAATCTCGTGATGCACACCCACACACCCGATGAGGGGTCAGACTCCCAGATCGCAAGCGAGTTGTCTTCCGATGTGGAAAGTAGCTGTAGTTTGCCATCTCGGTGCCTCCAGGAAGCTTGGTATATCCAATCTTCGTGTCCAAGCAGCAGCGCCTCGAATGTGACAGAGTGCTTTGCTGCGGCCGACACAATCCAATGAGCCTTGTTAGACAAAGATTTACCCAAGACTCCTAAAGCGGGATCGCTGAGTGCAGTGCTTGCGACAGGGAGTTGATCTCCACGATTGATCCTCCATAGCCGAATGTACTTGTCTTGACTTGCCGATGCTAGTAGAAGGTCGCTGTCGGCATTTGATGTCTCTCGAGTAAACGCAAGCGCACGAATCCATCCTTCGTGTCCCGTTAGAGTAGCTGCCAGGTTGAATTGGGTTTCATGAGAGATAAAGAGCTGAATGGTACTGCGAGTGCCTGCGACCGCTAGAACGGTGGATGATTCGTCTAGGGATGCTAGTGCGAGGTTCAGTGGGAAGTACTTCGGAGATAGGGTGATGCTCTGTGTTAGCTCGACATCAATCGTCGAGAAGTCGGCGTTGTGGACGAGCTTCCAGATCTTGACTTTGCCGTCTGATGCTCCTGTGGCGAACACGTCTGTTCCCGGAAGAGTGGCTATCCCTGTGATAGGGCTCGTATGCTCTGAGATAATCTTGACGCATTCGAACTTGGGACGATCATCTCGTCGACCGCGCCATATGCGGATATTGTTATCAGCTGCTCCACTGATGAGAACAGATACGTCTGGCAATTCCGTGGTAAAGAATTTGACAGCGTTGACAGCCTTAGTGTGACCATTCAAATTTGCTTGAACTCCGTGAAGGTCTTCGTCCTTCTTATGTTAGTACGTGTACGTCATTGATCAAGAAGACATACTTGGGGATCCCACAAGGCAATGCAGTTGTCGGCGCCAAACGCTAGTAGCTGCAAGCCACCCTCATCCCAATCAGCGGCGGCAGGATTCCGATTGCCGCCTATCGAGATGAATTCTGAAGAGACGTTCATCTTCACCCTGTACGTTGCGGATATGTGAGCCCTACACGTAGTTGTCACATCAAGGAATTCTTTTGCGCTAGTCTCGCTTAGCATACCAGAATAGGTTCAGCGTTAAGATTGATCCCGTTGAATGTTCTTCTGCAGGCAGGTGCAACCGACTTGCATCAACGACCGGCGACAGCAGTGTCTCTTTTCTTACTCAAATCAAACACTAGCTATGCAGAACGATGAGGCAGTCCCGATAACAGTCGAGTTCAGGTACAACATCCTCGCACGTCGGCAGGGTCAAATCACTAACTCCCAGAAGTGGCGGGCTTGAGATCCTCTTCTCAAATCAGAAGAAGTATTCCCTCTCACTGCCGAGCCAAGATGAGTCTGGTGCGCCGGCAAACGTTGCGTTCCTCGTGCGACACCTTTGCGAGAATGTCATGAAAGATCCGCGAAAGGAGTTATTCATATTGGACGGGACAGTGTAAGTGGCATAGGGGCGAAGCAAACCTATATATGCTAACCAAAATAAGGCGACCTGGGATCTTGGTTCTCATCAATGAAGCAGACTGGGAACTGGAGGGGGAAGATCAATACGAGGTGCAGAAGGGTGATCACATCATGTTCGTTTCTACGCTTCACGGAGGGTAGGAGGCATAAATCTCCGATATTGAAGTTATGAGCAGCATCACCAGCAAAGGTTTCTGTCTTTCCGCGTGCGTGACATAGACCTTGCTGTTAATTCAAGAGTTCCCTGTTCTAATGAGGTGGAATAGCTTACGTAAGCGCGCGAGAAGCTTCGGACGAGACGCACCATCCTGGACAACGGGACATGCAATGTGATCTCATCGATTGACTGACGCCAGGATCGATAGCCGACAATGACAAGAGACCCCACCCCGTATACCCCGGAAAGATGCGTACCCCTCTTAGGGTCTTGCTTTCTCCGCTCCCCAAGTATCCGCTCTCGCTGGGTATGAGCAGACTCGTACGGTTTTGCTGTCTCTTACAAACGGAACGATACGGAGGGTATTGTTTTCATCTGTTCTACGTAGTTATCAACTATTGATGCTTAGAAATTGGTTCGGCTCTTGCGATGAGATGCCAAGCCCAATGCACGTGCCGACGTGACAACGCGTAGTAGTTCGTGTAATGCCACCGCTTCAACATCTCACCATCGACCACAAAGCCTCCCCCCAAAAGAAAACATTGTCCTTGTTTGGATACGACAATGTCGTCTGACGACGAAGATGAAGATTTCAAGCTGGCAGTGGCTTTGTCATTGCAGGAGAACTCAAGTGCTGCGCCGCCCGTTTCAGTCGCAAGACACGAGACTGTGGATCTCACTTCTGATACTGAAGACGAGGATGAGGATGACGATCTTAGACGAGCGGTCGCACTGTCTCTCCAGGAAAGTGAGCCAGTTGTCCGCACAGACAATGTTGTGAGAGAAGTCTCGTTGCCCTCACAGCACGACACTACCGCGGGCGATGCGAGGAAAGACTCGACAAAGCCACCCGCAGCTATCTCAGAGTCAAAAGCTTCAACCAGCACAACAGGTCCTGTAGGCATCATGGGACTTGATCGTAAAGCCATGGAGCAAGAACGCCTTGCAAGGCTTGGTAAGCGGAAGCGCGAGCCATCGCCGGACCGGCCTTCGAAGCAGATCGGGAGGACTCCATCTTCAGAAACCTCATCAAGCTTCGATAATTTGCAGTATTCCAGAGGAACCGTCAAACGTACATTCGCGACAAAGTACCCGCGGACTGACGATATCACCATCGACGAAGTCCTGCAGGCATCTAGTGTCAATATCGCGGTTATTAGCTCATTCATGTGGGATACAGAATGGGTTTACAAGAAGCTCGATCCCACAAAAGTCAAGCAAATTTGGATCATGAACGCCAAGGACCAGGATGTCCAGGAAAGATGGGTACGGGAGATGAAGGAGACAGGCGTTCCTAATCTGAAAATCCATTTCCCGCCCATGGACGGTATGATCCACAGCATGCATAGCAAGTTCATGTTGCTGTTCGGGAAAGCCAAGCTGCGGTTTGTTGTGCCGACTGCGAACATGACGCAGATTGACTGGGGAGAGGTTGCGAATGACTGGCAACCCGGAGTTATGGAGAACTCGGTGTTCTTGATAGACCTTCCGCGAAGATCTGATGAGGCAATAGGGAGTAGGATGGAGCTGCCACGCTTTGGACAAGAGCTTGTTTACTTTTTGGAGCAGCAGAAGGTTGGGCAGAACGTCATTGAAGGCGTGCTGAAATTTGACTTCTCGCAAACCGGTCATCTTGCGTTTGTCCACGCTATGTAAGTCTTCCACAGCGAGTCGTCTAAAGTGATCTAACATTGTGCAGTGGCAGCGCACACAATATCGATTCCCATCCTACAGGCCTTCCAGGTCTCACGCAAGCTATACAAGACCTGCAACTCGATAATGTCAAAGACATCGAACTTGACTATGCAGCCTCCTCGCTCGGTGCCATCAACGACACGTTCCTTCAGCGCATCTACCTTGCAGCGTGTGGGGAGCCCTTTACTACGGATTCCAACTCCTCGCACGTGCGGGATCACATCCGAATCTACTTCCCAACCAACGATACGGTTGAGAAGAGTATCGGGGGCCGTGATTGTGGTGGCATCATCTCACTCACTAGACAGCACTACAACGCAACTACCTTTCCCAAAGAGTGTTTGCGCGACTATGACTCGACCCGTCGAGGCATGCTCTCGCATAACAAGCTGCTCTTTGCGCGTGGCCGCAAGAAAGATGGCAAGCCATTTGCTTGGGTGTACATTGGGTCTGCCAACGTCTCGGAGTCGGCTTGGGGAGGTCAGAAGGTGCTCAAGAGCGGCAGAATGGGGAGCTTGAACGTTAGGAATTGGGAGTGTGGCGTCGTGGTGGCGGTGCCAGACAGCAGGATGAAGGGGGTGGTGCCGAGCAAGGACACTACGATACCCCCTATGAGCGTTTTCGAAGGAACTGTCGAGGTTCCGTTTGTGTGTCCAGGCCAGTCTTATCAAGGACGAGAGCCGTGGTTCTTCAGAACTGGATGACGCAAGTGAACACGTTGTTCGTAGTTCCGGTAGCCGAAAGTTCAGGGTAGGGGGGGAAGTGTCCGGGACATGGCTTGGCATGTGATCAATCGGAGGGTGCATTTTTGTCTCCGCGAGCTTGGACAATAGCTAGCCTGGAGGGTTGTCAATGTCATGGTGCTGAAATTGGTTTAGCTTGCTGAGATGCTTGACGTTAATCATGTCTTTGCCGGACCAATGCGGCGGACCCGGACGTGGCGGAGGCTTGCGGAGTTTCGTGATTCCATGCACCGACGCTGAGAACAAAAAAGATTGGAGCCATGACGGGGGAATGGGCGGCAGCCCCACGATGAATCGACGTCTTCCTCTGTGCTAATATAGTCCTGCTCGCCGGTTGCTCTTGTGTCTTGCTGCTTGCCATGGCAGAAACGCCTGGTGCCCGCCGCCCGCCAACTTCCGTAGACGCAACCCTCAGAGCACGAGGCTCTGTCTTACAGATGGGCCGCGCACCCATCACGGCTCCCATACATTCATGGCTCACGTCTCCCGCACGATCGCACCCTAATGCGGCGCAGGCCAAAGAGCTGCCCCTTCATCTAATCCAGCTCATCCTCTCCCACGTAAGTGTCGTCGCGCCCTCTCTTGCCCGTCTCGCATGCCTGCTTATGACCTCATTCGGACGCTGACAGCCATCATCACAGCTCGACAATGTTGGCGATCTTGCGCGCGTTACGCGTACTTCGCGCCTCTTCTACTACATGACCCTCCCGCGTCTCTACGAGCACGTCACACTGTGCTCCTACTCGGAAATCCGCTATCAGGATGGCCGACCCGAGGGCTACGGCGGAGGCAGCCCGTTTGTCATGGGCCTCAACACGCTGGTGTCGCGCTCCTTTACCGACTACATCCAGAAATTCAGAGTCATAGGCGACTGGCGAGAACATGATGTGGACGATTACAAGCAAGGCCGCGTGCCGGACAACAGTATGGTGCTGCAGGTGGTCATGCGCGCTGCGCTAGACAAGATGAAGAACCTCACAGCCTTTGCGTAGGTATCGGACCATTGCTTAAAGGAACAGTACTGATGCGCGCAGCTGGGAATTGAACACACCGCCACTGCACACGGTGTACCAAGGTCTAGTAAACAAGCAGCCCGGGCTGACTTCGCTCACAATCCGCTGTCAAACGAGACGAATACCGCGGCCTACCACCATCATACCACCCCTGCCGAATCTAGTAACCTTGGTCGTCTATGACATCGACCCCCTATGCTACCCGGATGACATATCATTGCTGGTCGTAGGATCCAAGAAGCTGGAGAATCTGAAGTTGCACTGGAATCCGCGCATGCGAGGCAGTGGCGAGGAGTCTGTCAATTTGATGTCAGTATTTGGCCGCTGCGTTGCTACCAAGCATGCCGTACGGCTAAAGCGAATGGCCTTCTACAATCTCTACACGCGCTTCGCTGATGACGGCATTGCGGACGCTGTGGACGTCACTACCCAAACCGAGCTCACCATCATGAACTCGATGAATTCGTCCAATCCCATGACCATCTTCGTTGATGATGGCTGGAGGCATCGAAAAATACAACCGATACCACAGAACCTCAAGATGTTATGCACAGACCATGTGGACAAGAAAGGCGCCGCCCTACTGGCTAACTTCAAGGGGCTGGAACGTTTCTACATTGTAAGCGATAGGTCAGGGAAAGAGGCCTCGAAGACTAGTAGCAATGCTGCAACGCCTACAACGCCCTCCACAGCAACACCCGGAATGACCAACGGAACTACAAGCGGTGTTGGCACACCTATCATTACTGAACACGAGTGTCGCAGCGTTGGGAGCGATTATATCGCCGTCCTCCAATCGAACCATCGCACGATGCGACACCTATTACTTTCAGACAGGTGGCAACTCTCTGACGACGCCCTCTTCAAAGTCTGCCAGTCTTGTCCGGACCTGGAACAACTTGGCTTCTCTTGCTTAGTCCCACCCCTCGAGTCGGTGCGCCAGGTCATCTCCATGGTACCTAAACTTTTCGCTATTCGCATGCTCATCCGCCCGCACTCTGATTTTGCGGACAAGATCGAGTCCATGGATGATGACATGCATGCTTTCGCCATCGCAACGGAGTTCTGGAGGCCAGAATACAAGAATTTAAAATACGTAGGGTTAGGCGATAGGCTTGTGTATAAGCTAGGGGGCGTATGGTTTCCGCCCAAGGGGAAAGATAAGATACACGAGGGACATGAGAACAGCATGAATGCGAGAAGAGCAGGACCAATACGGAAATTGGAGAAAGTGAGCCGCGAGAGCGTAAAGCATATTGAGATTTGGGGCATGGACAGTATGGAGTTTGATCCCAGTTTTCCTTGAGCAAGATACCCTGCTGTCTTTTTAGACGGTGTGTTTCAAGACAATGGCGCGAACTAGGTGATTTTATAAAGGTGGGGGGCTATTTCCAACAACATAGCCATGGAATGGGAGTACGGATATATCGATCGAATAGATGTGGAAGAGTATTCTGTACAACTTATACACATACATCAGTCGGCGTTATCTACTACTATAATATATTGCAGTTAGATCATCTCGTGCTAAAACGATCCATCGGGTTGCTAATTCAATATTAACTGTAGGTTGTAGGCGTGCCGGTGCCCGATCGAATCTATCAGATCAGCTTTGTCACAGTTATTAACCAGGGAGTGTTGTGTAAAGCAATGGTTTTATGTTTTATTACGCGAAGTTACATCCTTCGCATACCCTAAACGCCATAACGCCCGTTACCATGTCCCTGAATTCACTACCCACATTCCTTCACCATCGAATCCCACCATCTCCCCCATTACTATCCTCAGAAACCTCCATTGTACCCTGTAGGACTGCCCGAGGGTGGTAGCGAAGCGTCCATATAACCCTGCTGAACATCCGGTTGTTGAGCCTGCTGTCCATTCACACCATAACCGCCCATCGATCCGTCGACGTCCGCAGTAACAGATGGCTGCTGCGTTCCGTTCATGGGTGCGGGATCCCCCTGACTAAGACGCATCATAGCCTCCATGAACCAAGCGTCGTCTTGTAAGTTGTTTAGCATCGCGTGGTCCTCGGCACGAAAGTCGCTGGGTGAATCCTGGTCCGCTTCTTGGAAGGCTGGGAAGGGCTCGACGTGGTTGCTGTCGCTGCCTGGGTCGTCTTCCTGACTGGATGCCTGTGGTTGGCTGACGGCCTGTTGCGTGGGGTTGGGAGGCATCTGCCATTCCTGGGACTGGTTTGTCGGCGTGGACACGTTGTGCATCTGCGAGCTGCCTGTCATCGGTGATGGCTGCTGCATGTGCTGCGTCTGGGTATTCGTAGGCGTCTGCGGCATATTGCTCATGGTATTCCGCATGTCAGGGATGCCGTTGGCGGACATTGTCGGCTGCATGGCCGGTTGTGCGTGCATCTGGGGCATATTTTGCTGAAAATGACCGTTATGGGCTACTCTTGAGCGAGGAGAGGAATGAAGCTCGTGCTCCATAGGCGATCGCTGACCTGGTATAGTTGATTGGGGTATTTGAAACCCATGGATCGTGGGTACATCGTTCGATCGAGCCGCCTGTGGGTCAAAATTCGCCGTAGCTTGTTGAAATGCATGATGTACAGGAATATTATAGGGCTGTGAGTTCTGCAAGCCATTGTTCGGGGTCATGTATTGCGCGCCCTGGATCCCATTGTGATACCTGGACTGTAGTTGAGCGGGGGAGTGCTGCCAATTAGGGTGCCCAGGAATGCACTGAGCGTCTTGTATTCCGTTTTGTCGATTTTCAAAGAGCTGGTGTTGGGACGCTGGCGGCGTTGGGAATCCAGCTTGCTGATGCAGAGGCATAGTGAAGCCTGCGGCGAAGCCTTGTCCGGGCGGCCAAGAAGGCATCATTGGACTAGCGGAAGTGTTCAACTGAGGATTTCCCTCTCGCATTTGAAGTCTATTCAAAGCCATTATATCCTGTGGAGGTATATGCTGCTGGCGGTATGCAAGTCTTGGCTGCATGGCGTCCTGTAAGAGAACCCCATTTGCCACGAGACCATGTATATGTCGTCCGGCCATCGTGGTCTCGGCGTTTCGGGTGGAACTGAGGTCCTCGGCTAGGTCCGGTGTTACAGCAGCGCTGTTAGACGGAAGGGGAGCGGGGCGGCCATGTTTGACATCTGGCGTTGTGATCCTAAGGTTACTGCTATCATTAGTCAGACCTCAAGTGAATGTATGCAACCAAGACTTACCCGCCAGAATTCAATCGTGTACGCGTTGTTTTAACGTCACCTGTATGGGCTAGGCTCTGCTGCGGCGTCGTTGATATGCCACGTTGCTTAGCGACGCGCTTCCTTGTGCGTTTTTGCTCCTTTCCAGGCTGCAGGTTATGCTGCTTCAACCACTGGATTTGGGTTTTCGATTCCTCGAGTTGCTTGTCCATATCCTCGATTTGCCTTCTCAAAGAGGCAGTCACCCGCTTCTCGTACTCGAATTGCTGTGTGACCTGTTCCAATCTAGCCGTCAATTGGGTCTGGACTTGCTGATGACGCTGGTTCATTTCTTCCACCCTTTCACAGTATACATTCTGTAGCCTCTCCCTCATTTCGCTAACATTGGGGGTAGCCACGGTAGGTAGACAGTGCCTTTGTGATGTGGCCGTTGCTGAAGTTGCCATGGGAATTTGCAGATGAGGTGAGATATGAATGAGTGGGAGCTGATAAGCTCGGAAACTATGCCATTCTAAGACTTTAACGGAGAGGTGAGTGTATTGAAGAGGTGAGCGGAGTGAAGAGGTGAGCGGAGTGGAGAGGTGAGCGAAGAGTCGAGTGTAGTGGAAAGCGCGCAGCGGGCGCTGGCACTTGCCATTAGTTTCTCCGGGTCGGTGGTGAAGTTTTTGTTTTGGAGAACTTCAACTCCCCAGAACTACCTGTGGGTGGAGAGAGCGGTGGTTTTTGAACACGCCTGAAGGTTTTCGGATGCGTGAACTATGGTTGAGGTTGAGTCAGCAGCGACTGCGAGGTTTAAGCAGCGCCTACGCCCCGGGACTACGTGAACTTTGGAAGCGGGAATAGTTGTGATTACTTTAGATGTTCCAGATAGGTGCACTTCTCTCGGCTCGATACGCAACTATGGTTTCGATTTTTAACCTGTTGAGCCTGATATGGTTCCGTGGTTGGGCCAACGATGGAATGACCATCCACGCAAGGGGCTACTTGCTATTCAGCACCACGAGCTCTGGACTTCTTTGACCACAGTATTAAAATGTATGCGCTGGTAGCTTCGAAGTGATCTCCAGCGCGATGAATATCTTCGCGTATCCTCGAGAGGTGTACGGAGTCTCGAGTCATGATGCTATTCAGCAGTTGGGAGAACCCAAATGCAGTTCTACCGGAACTTGTAGGCAGTAGTTGAGGATGCAAGATCTCAGATACCATAGGTTGTGAAGAGAGCGACCAGGGTTTAGTAGGATTTGGAGAATTTGGCGCCTGTTTTACTCCACGAGATGAAACAGCCGCGTCAACTGTCATTGCGCGGATTCCAGGATCTAGACAGGCGATGGAGGAAACTACACCCTGCCTGTCTTAACCTTGAACACTGCTCACTTCACACACATATTTGCCACCGAACGTCCATCTCTTCCTCGTCTCGACCTGTGTGAGGGTCGGTTCGGTCCAACAAGACGCCTGTGCCCATCCTGACCTGCAAATGAGCTTCGACATCGCCCTATTGCCGCTGCAAACACACGAAAAGTTGCTCACAGCTGTGCATCCGCTGTCACGTAATGGTCCTCGGCAAGTGCTTATAGCACCTAGGGTACCATCCCATCTAGCGTGACGTCCTTAGCATTAGAATACGAGAGGGGTCCATCCACGTCATTCCTGATCAGTGACATCCGCTGATGCATCGCTACATTGACGGCCTCTGTCAGCTTTCTACCAACATCAGTCGCGCACGATTCCACATAAACACGGAGACACTAACCAACCTCGGCATCATGTATCGCAGGCATAGAAGCGAGGAGCGGGGAAACAGACGCAGCACCTACAACGAACAACGCCACATTCAGACGAAGCTTGAAAGCCTAGCTACGAAGGATGAGCAAACACCTTCGCCGGTACTACCACGAAGGACATCCGAAGATGTGCCGCTTTCCCCCAGACTATCCCCGCACATGGTCGCATCAACCCCAGATTTCGCCGTCAGCAGATGCTCAACCCTTGTCCCATACCAAACCCGTCCTGGTGTAGATATCCGTCGCTTGATCATATCAGTCGTATCTCTTGCTACCCGTGCATAATGTTGGTTTTCTACCGTCGAAAGCTCCGCGTTCGCTATTGACGACCTTGCGCCTGCCCCGCCCGCCATGGCTCTTAATTCGCAGCTTAAGAGTGGAAGACAACTACCGGTGGCGCCACAAAGTCCAAGTACAAGGGAGCCATGCCGCTTGTACATCTGTAGCCTTCAGTCAATGACACCCCTGGTTTCTGCCTACCATCTCATGCCGAGTTGGTTCGCATGCTCCATTTTCACAATGTGGAGAGGCCTTGAAAAGCAGCGAATGGAGTGTATTGCGCGGTTAAAAGCGAGTGGTGCACTGGCAAGAGTCAATGTATAAAACCCGCATGTAGTTCGACTACGTCTATGTTGCCACTGTAAGCTCCTTGAAAACTTGCCTTTCCGAGCATCATCAATCATGCTGCGCTCAATAGTATGGCTAGGATATGCTACAGCTGCCTTTGCGCAATTCAACTTCACTCATTCTCAGTACGAGACAAGCCCACCTATCTACCCCTCCCGTAAGTCCATTAACATTCCTTCTAGTACTGAAGAAGAAACAAGCCGAGCTGATAAAACATGCAGCGAACATCACCGGAGCAGGTGGCTGGGAGAAAGCACTGTCGAGGGCTCGCGCATTCGTTGCAGAGTTGACGCTCGAGGAAAAGGCTGGTATGGTCACAGGTATGTGAACAGCTTGTTGTACAACTAAGAGTTCAGGAACCTTCAAGTCCAATCGCCCCCTTGGTATCCTCGTAACTAACACACCTTGGAGGGACTCCTGGACCATGTGTTGGCAACATAGCACCAATTGAACGCCTTAAATTCAGTGCACTTTGCCTACAGGATGGACCACTAGCTATTCGTCAAGCCATCTATGCCTCTGTCTTCTCTGCCCAGCTATCAGCGGCAGCTTCATGGGACCGGTCACTTGCTCGCCAGCGTGGGGTGTTTATGGGCAACGAATTTCGAGGAAAGGGTGCACAAATCGCCCTAGGTCCAGTTGTTGGACCCCTGGGAAGATCACCATTTGGCGGCCGAAACTGGGAAGGGTTCAGCCCTGACACCTACCTCTCGGGCGAGCTAGTTTCAGAGACAGTTCAAGGCATTCAAAGTGCTGGTGTACAGGCCACAACCAAGCATTACATCCTTAATGAGCAAGAGACACAGCGGAACCCATCAAAGAATGAAAATGGAACTACAATTGAAGCAATCAGTTCGAATATTGATGACAAGGCAAGAGGTCCCTTATATACTGTCCATGTGTTATTGTACACTAACTTCGAACCTCTAGACAATGCACGAAACCTATCTCTGGCCTTTCGCGAATGCGGTGAATATCCCCAGTTCACATAGATATGTGCGATACAGACACTGACTTCGTACCTCTACTTGTAGGTACACGCAGGTACCGCCTCTATCATGTGCTCTTACAATCGCATAAACGGCAGCTATGGGTAAGACTCACTTGTAAAATAAGTATGCGAAACACCCATTGATTGTGTACCTTCACTTCTGCAGTTGCGCGAATAGTAAGACTCTCAATGGCCTACTCAAAGAAGAGTTGGGCTTTCAGGGATATGTAATGTCTGACTGGGGTGGTGTCCACTCCGGTGTGGCATCTATCGAGGCTGGTCTGGTGAGTTTCGCCCTTTATACAATTTGAGAAATGTAGCTTGAGCTGACTAGATATCACATTAGGATATGGTAAGTCCAGAACAAAGTGCTTAGTTTCATTCTTCTGGGGCATCGAACTACTTGAGTATGTACGTTAGGAGCCCACACTAATTTGTACCGCGTGGTTTGGTAGAATATGCCTGGAGGTATCGGCTTCGTGAAGGCCAGGCCATCGTTCTTTGGCGAGAATGTCACAGCTGCTGTGTAAGTCAACCCCGTCATCTAATCGTTGAAAGTACACAATCTAACCACTTATCAGCAATAACGGAACATTGTCCATCGAACGAGTTAATGACATGGTTCTTCGGATCATGACGCCTTATTACTTCCTAAACCAGGATGTCGGTTTTCCACTTGTAGACGGCTACACCCCAAAGCTTGGATTCTACCCTCCGGAGAACTATGTATACAACTTTACTCTAGGCCCCATCGTTGATGTCCGTAAGCAAGAACATGCCAAGCTGATCCGGACCCTCGGTGCTGCAGGTACGGTCCTACTGAAGAACGTCAACGCCTCTCTTCCGTTGAAGCAACCAAAGAACATTGGAGTGTTTGGTAATGACGCAGCAGACTTCACGCAAGGCTTCGCTAATGACAATTACGATATTGGTACTCTAGCAGTTGGAGGTGGTAGTGGGACCGGGCGATTCACTTACGTTGTTTCGCCACTAGACGCTATCAAATCCCGCGCGCAGTCGTACGGTGCTCTTGTGCAGTACATCACAGACAATAAGGCTATCGCCAACAAGGGCCTTTCTTCCCTCGCCCCTACCCCTTTGGACGTATGTATCGTTTTCCTCAAATCGTGGGCAAGCGAGGGAGATGACCGTACAACGCTGATCGCGGAATGGAACTCCACCGTCGTCGTTGAAACAACTGCTGCAAGCTGCCCGAACACAATCGTTGTGCTACACGGCGCAGCACCCAACGTCCTGCCTTGGGCGAACAACCCGAATGTTACCGCTATTCTTGCAGGACACATGCCTGGTCAGGAGACTGGAAATTCAATTGTCGACATTTTGTGGGGTGATGTCGATCCCTCCGGCAGGCTGCCATACACGATTGCCAATAACGAGACCCAATATGCGAGGAATCTCGTCAACAGCACCGAACTGCAGACGACGACAGATCCCAATGCGTGGCAAGCTGACTTTGTCGAGGGGAATCTGATTGACTACAAGGAGTTCGATGCCCAGAATGCGAGCGTTGCTTACGAGTTCGGGTTCGGATTGAGCTACGCGACCTTCGAGATTTCAGACCTCCAGATCAAGGCGGCAGTGAACAATGCTCCACGCACGCCAGATCCTCAAGCGCAGATCATTCCAGGTGGCAACATCGAGCTTTGGACAACCCTGGCTACGGTCGGCGTGACTGTCAAAAACACGGGTGAGGTCGCGGGTTCGACCGTGCCGCAATTGTACCTGTCTTACCCAGACGAAGCGAAACTCCCTGTGAGGAGCCTGCGGGGCTTTGAAAAGGTTTCCCTCGATTCTGGTGCCTCTATCACTGTACAATTCCCTTTGTTGAGACGCGATTTGAGCTATTGGGATACGTCAGCACAGACTTGGAGGCTACCTACTGGAGACATTATGGCGAGCGTAGGGTTCAGCTCCAGGAATTTACCACTCAAGGGGACCTTGACTGTCTAGTTTGTGGGTATTGGCATTTTACATCTGACAACATGTGTAATCTTGTCGACGAAGATTTGTAGTAGCGAAGCCATATTGGAGATAATACCAGACCATTCGTTTCTTGGATATTGATAACTTTTCTCTACAGTCTGACCTTTATCCTCTGCCCAGCATTTGGAACACCAGCTTCGCTATTCTCGCTTTTTGGTTCCCAGTATCTCACAGAAATCTCTTGTCTTCGCACTCCAGGTCCTAAAATATTGGAAGGAGAGTGGATGTGGCAACGTGGGGCGAACCCTGACTACACTTTACGCCTTAAACATAAACCAGCACGGAATTCCGCGTATCACAAACCAATATAGAAGAATGCCTGATTAGGTACCTATGCGTAGTAGCCTCATTCGTCTATGTCTGACATCGCAGCACTAGTTCGTGGCGCTGCTGACGGGCGCCTTATCATTACTGAAATTCCTTCCAAAGGCAATCATCAGATACCATTGAGGGCTGGGCCTAAGCCTCTGACACGTAGCCTTAGAGTTAGCGGCGAGTAAGCACTCCACCATGGGTATAAAATCGAGTGCTGACGCTCATCTCAAGACGACTCTTCGTCATCGCCCAGTTACTATATCACCGCCGGCCTCTCCAAATTCACAAGTTAAGACATATTATGGCTCCTAGACGTCTGATCAACGAAAAGAATATCGCAGAACTACGACAACTGCTAAAGGATACGGATGCGCAACTGGTGACCCCGGACGAACAGGAACCATACAACACTTCCATTCGCCGCTGGTCCCGCGCCGCGGAAAAGCCTGCAGGAGCGTGTCTAATACCCAAATCTAATGAAGCAATTTCAATCACTGTCAAGTATGCGACGCAGCATAATCTAGACATCGCCGTCAAAGGAGGCGGGCATTCCACTGCTGGCGCTTCCTCTACGGACGGCGGTCTGCTTATTGATCTAAACACGCATATGCGCACCACGGAGGTCGATGTCGAGAAAAAGACTATCAGAGTTGGTGGAGGTGCCGTATGGGGCGAGGTTGACGCAGCGCTCGCTCCACATGGTCTCGCAGCTGTAGGCGGTACGGTAGCTGACACGGGCGTTGGAGGCCTCACCCTCGGCGGCGGCTTCGGATTTTTGACCGTCAAGCACGGTCTAGTAGCCGACAATCTGCTAGAATGCACTGTGGTGCTGGCCGATGGCCGCATTGTGAAGAGCTCAGCATCCGAAAACACAGACCTGTTCTGGGCCCTTCGCGGCGCAGGCCAAAACTTTGGCGTTGTAACGGAGTTTCTGTTCCGCGCCCATGAGCAAGGCGATATGTGGGCTGGCTTCATGATGTTTCCACCCACCCCTGAAATTATCAGTAAGGCGGTCGAAGCGTGCAACTCCATCTTCAAGCCTGACGCGACCGGAAATTCGAAAGCAACAGGCAAATTGGTAAGTCTTATTGGCATAGTCAAACCACCCCCAAGCGGTCAAACCGTGCTTCTCGTCGCCGCTGCCTTCCATGGCACAGAAGACGAAGGCAAAGAGCTATTCAAAGATGTCCTTGCCCTCGAACCAGTCATAAACACCATGGCTATGATAAGCTACGAGAAAGCAAACAAACTCATGGCACCTCCCATCGGCGCGCGCGTCAGCCTCAAGGGATCGAGTTTCGAGCTACCCATCCGACCCGACTTCGTCGTCTCGATTCTCGAAGCATACACGAAATTCACGGACGAGGTGTCTGACGCCTTGGGCTCACAGGTCATGTGGGAGTTACTTGATCCGACTAAAATCATTGAAGTGTCCAACTCGAGCATGGCATTTGCCAATCGAGGGCGGCATTTCAATGCCGCGATTGCGCCATTGTGGTGGGATGCGGCGAATGACGAAGTGTGTCGGCAGTGGAGTAGGGATGTTGCGCTGTTGTTCAAGACGGAGCTTGAGCGTGATGGTGCCGAGACAGGTGGGAGCGGAGACGGATGGATTGGGAAGAGGGGTGAGCATGGAGCGACTATGGTGTATGGAAATTATGACCGTAAGTGGAACCCATTCTGTCGTCCCTTCGAAATGCGATGCAGATAATCGAAACTGACGTTGACTGTGACTAGAGTACGAAGAGCGGTCGAAAGATGTATTCGGGGCCAACCACGAGCGTCTGCAGGAGTTGAAGGCAAAATACGACCCGGAAAACCTGTTCAACAAGCTGTTTGCTATTACACCGAAAGCGCAGGGTACTCCTTAGGGGTGGGGATGGCAGAGAGGCGAGATAGTCATTTTCAACTTTCCATGACACGAATCATCAAGTCTGACGTCAGCTTCCTCTTTCCTGAGCTTCCCGTGCCCAACTGTGTGAATCAATACGCACCGCCCTCGTCTGTTGCATACATTTCCATGTCATCATCAGCATCATCTTTCTTTTTGCTGGCCCCTTGCTTACCTGCGAGCGACCCATGACTTTGATAGTCATAGTGCTAAGAAGAGACGTAAGCAACCGAAATCAATAGTCTTCCACTGATACTTCACTACCTACATTTTGTACGCGATACTGTTAGTGTTTACAGAACATTGCAGGTGTGTAGACGATGTCAGTCTATACGACGCCAAGCCGCTAGCCCAAGCCGCGGCATCGCGGTCATGTTGAAGCGCAACTTGAATGCTTCCAACACTCTCCTCTCTCCCCCTCTCGCTATGCCGCCTCCGAAATCCAAAAAACTCACCGCGCAACCGGTGCGCACGCGCCAATTTGCTGGAAAGCCCACCGCCGTCGAGGCAGAGGAGCGCTCCAGCTCGGAAGATTCCGAATCAGACGACGAGCAGTCCAAGCAGAAGCCCTTCGCGAAGCCTAAGCCCGCGCCTGTCGCCTCGTCCTTCCCCAAGTCTGCTCTCAAATCAAAACTCGCGTCGCGGCAGAAGTCTGACGCCGAACGAAAAGCTCTCGAAGACGAGTTCGAGACGGAGAGTGACGAGGATGGCCATGACAGCGCGGGTGGCAGCGAGAGCGAGAGCGGGAGTGGGAGCGGCAGTGAGGAATCATCAGAAGAGGAATCGAGCAGCGAGGAGGAGGCGCCCAAAAAACTGTTGCGGCCTGTTTTTTTGAAGAAGAAGGACCGGAATCAGGGTGCAGCGCCAGTCAAGTCGGCAGAGGAAATAGCTGCAGAGGAAGAAGCGCGACTACAGGAGCAAAAGAGAGCCATTGTGCAGGAGCAGGTCGAGCAGCGCATAGCTGAGCGGGCAGCCGGCAAAAAGGACTGGGATGACGACGTGGAAGAGGCCGACATCAACGCTATCGACGACACAGACGGGCTCGATCCGGACGCTGAATACGCCGCGTGGAAGCTGCGCGAGCTCAAGCGCATAAAGCGCGAGCGTCTCGCCATCGAGGAAGCCGAGGCCGAACGCGCAGAGATGGACCGCCGCCGCAACCTGTCTGCCGCCGATCGCGAGGCCGAGGACCGCGCCTTCATCGAAAAGCAGCAGGAAGAACGAGGCGACCGCGGCCAGATGCAGTACATGCAGAAGTATTTCCACAAAGGCGCTTTCTTCACCGACGAGCTGAAAGAGCTGGGCGTCGACAGGAGAAATCTTATGAATGCCCGCTTCGAGGATGAGACCAATCGCGAGATACTACCGGATTACATGCAGATCAGGGACATGGCGAAGCTTGGCAAGAAGGGGAGGACGCGGTACAAGGATATGCGTAGTGAGGATACGGGCCAGTGGGGGGACTTTGGAAACGATCGGCCACGGAGAGACAAGGGCGACTTTGGCGTGGATGAAAGATTCAGGCCAGACGCGTATGGTGGAAGAGACAGGGATGATCGAGAGGGCGCGACCGGAGCGAATGCGAAGCCGCTTGGTGAAAGGAAGAGGCCGGGAGAGGAGAGCGGCCGGGACAGCAAGCGGCCGAAGATCGAAGAAAGAGCGTGAGCATACCACTTGTCATTAGCATCGGGGGCGTTCCAGGCATCTAGGAGCATTTTCAGGCGATCCATCATCATTGTCACCTTTCTGGGTTGGGCTATGGCGAGACCATCTGTCCAATACGGCTGATACATAGCATCTGTTCCCGAACAGCCTTCTTATCATCACCCCTCACGCATGCCTTGTCAAATCTGACCACGAAGACTTCTATCTACTCCTGGTTCACCCTCTCATAAGCACCACTCCCTTTTCCATCGCCCTCTGCCATCGCCCTCGCATCCTCCCTCCCCCTTTCGACATCTAGCCACCACAGTAATGGTGCAGGTAACACGACGAGCACTGCCAGAAATAGAAAAGCAGGACGGATCGTCCCCGCTCGATCAACGATCCAGCCGACCAGCGCCGGTCCAAACGCACTACTCCCCTTATCCGTCACCGCATACAATGCGAAGAAGGCCGCTTCGCTACCCTCAGGTATGAGCGGTGCATAGACAGATCGTGCATAGCTGGATATACCGCCCATTACGATGCCGTGCAACACGGCAATGGGGTAAATCTCCCAGGCACGTTGAAGGCCTATAAAGCCCAGGCTTTTGAAGAGGGGTATGTAGCCTAATAGTCCATACAAGGGGATAATCTCCATACCCGCGATGCAGCATAACAAGACGGCCTTGGGCTGCAGCGCAAAATATTGTTGAACGCGCGGCCAGGCGAAAGCACCGACGATACCGGAGCCAATCGATGTGATAGATAGGAGAGCAATGGCGATAGTACCCATGTGCAGTTCTGTGCGGGCGAAAAGTATTGCGGTTCCGGAAATGGTAGCTACGGCGTCAGAGAGGAGGAACCACGACATCAAGAAGAGGAGAGTCTGGCGGAGGCGTACCGCTTTTTGCAATGTGCTCCAGAATGAACGGAGGGAGAAAGACGTGTAGAACATGAATGTGCGGATCCTAGATGAGCTTGCGTTGCGGAATGTAGTTTGTCGAGTGGGTAGTGGAGCGCCCGGTCGTGGTCGCAGCCATAGTATTGTTGGTATTGTAAATATAGCCCACCAAATACCGACAAGGAACAGGATAACACGAATCGGCAAACTTGGACTCTTTTTCTGGATTTCTGTTTTGCTGAAGAGGTAGAGGACGAGGATGCTGAGGACTTGCACGAGGACAGCGGCTATGTAGCCGTAGCCCACGCCTTTGCTGGATATCAGGGCTGAGCGTTCAAGATCGCGGGTCAATTTGTCTGGACCAAACCCATGGGCTCCAGTATGACTATCTTGAGGGTTCAGCGTCTCGAGTTCGAGGTCCGATGAGCTATCCGATGAGAGCGGTTTGGCATGGGAGTCGTCTGGGTGGTTGGCGACTAGGAGCGGGAGGAAGGCATTCAAGAGCACAAAGGAGAAGCCTAGGCTTGTAACGCCGAGGATTACCAGCACAGGCGCGAGGTAGTAGACTGCAGGTGTAATGAAGATGAATAGGGCGCTGGCGATGGAGCCCAAGTATGCGAATGTCATGAGCATTTTCTTGCGATACGGACCTGTACTTGTGTGAGCGCCGATCAATTGGCTTCAGCCTTCTTAGTAAAAGACCAGTAAGCCGCTATGGGGATCATCTGCGGATTAGTATAAAGGAATAAAATGTGTACGTACCATGATCCGCAAAGGAACTAAAACACACAAGCATGACGGCTTGTATCAACACAGCAGCAGAGAAAGTATACATGGCAAAACTACTCGTGGACATCTCTTTTCCCAAAAACAACACCATACACTGCTCCGACTCTTTCTTCTGCTCACCGCGTATCTGCAGCGCTCTTCCGGCCTGTCCGGATCCAGGGACGTGGTCTACACATGACTTCGATCGATCCGAGAAGAAGACGCCATTTTCTCGGGCTAATTGCTCGAGAACCACTGGGAGGAAAGCGCCTGCTTCTTGTTAACAAAACAACTTTAATTAACGATTAGTGAAAGTAGAGGTGATTAGTTACCCACTGCGACAACAGCGAAGACTTCGGCTGCTATCGGATACGCGAACCAGCCGTTTAGTTCTCGCGTCGTAGTTGGACTAGAATCCTCGCCTAAGTAGCGGACGCGTGGATGTCTTGTTGACTCTTCTTCGGTGTAGTCATGCTCGCCACTGTCAAAGGACATGATTTTGCTTTGTTTTGTTTGGAAAATGCAAGGATAACATTGCGAAGTGAGATTGAGAATTATGGAGTTGCTTCGTCAGTCGTCGAGTGGAGACAATGTTAGAGCTGATCGGATTAGGGCAAGGCGTGGTGGGGTAGAGGCTGGATTATGTCAGAATCTTACATTTTGCAGCATGACATGGCTCGATTATTCATTCGTTTATTGTGCTTTTCTGTTTCCACGTAGTATAATGCAGGTACAATGTAGATTGGCTACGAAAATGAGCGGCTGAGTTAAATCCTAAAGAGCGCAAAATACCCTAGCACGATACCATCCACAACCCACAACTACCACCTATCCTGTCCGCCAAACCGTACTACCACAGTCAAAGTCCGTACACTTTCACGACCCTAGACCAGCCTAGCAATGGTTGGCTGGTGAGCTAGTCGAAGCAGCGCAGAAATTATCACCCCTTGCATAGCGTTGATATCCGACAATCAACGCCTGGCCTGGGTCACCAAACTCCGTGGCCCCAGCAATATATCTTCCGCACGACCCCGAGATTCGTCCCAAAGCATTGGCATAGTTACTGGCAACCAGAAGCCATGATCGGTTTGGGCTACGGTTACACGCGAAGGCAACAACGTCCCCGCGGATGGAGTAGAAAGATTGACCTGCGTTGACAAAAGACGGTTCTAGATTCGAAAACAGTGAGCCAAATTACCAGATATCAGTGGATTGGACTACATACTCATCTGATTCTTGAGATCTGCTACTGCTGCATCACAGTTTCCAGGGTTCATGTTGAATCCGCAGCCGCACCAGATGCGGTCGTTTTGGCGTCGTTCGAGAGCGCCCACTTTATTGAAGGGGGTTACTCCAGTCGGGTCACGCTTGATCTCGGGGGAACTAGAGATCTTGTTGTGGACTTCGGTGCCGTCCTCGCGAGTGACGACCTCGTAGACACCATCGGAAACATCAGACGGAATAACAAAGGCTCCTGCCAAAGTAAGAAGAGCACAGACGGTGGCAATATTGACGAAGCGCATAGCGAAAATGAGTATGTGATTCGTGACTAGATCTTGAATTTGTTCTAGTAGTCGATGTCGAGGATGGTTTAGAGATGTGAGCACTCATCGGTCTTTTATAGACTTCTCGCGCGAAGGCATTACTCCTGAAAGAGAAGCAAACTTGCAATGTTACTCGGGTCTTTCATTTACCCGAGTTCATACTGAAAGGAGAATATGGTACGTCTTACTATGGAGCATGCAGCCCCGGTTTATGCCTCACGAAAGCGTTAGACTGAATCCCGTGGGGGCCGCATACTGCTAGTGTCGCTCTTCCGGTATGCTGCATGGGCTCATTGCAAGAGGACTATGAGTTTGACAATTTGTAATCATGCCAACAATGATATTAGGAGGTCGTGAATAGACACTACAAACATTAATAATTACAGGCAAGAGACTCCATCTACAACATTGGTTTTCCTGCACAGTCACCTGACTGCCCATAATGAGCGTGTAGACGAGCTGGAGCAGATACGAGCCTGGAGGGTCGATGTCCTAGCGTCTACCCACTGAGGCAGTCTTCGTCCTGTTATTAATCCCGTCGACGCTAAACCCGCCTTGATTCTATCAATCTGCAATTACACGAAGATGTTTATCCTTTAACCCCTTAATGGAAAATGCTGAGACCTGGTCAATTTCCAAAAAGTTGTGTTCTCTCTACGAATAGCTTCATAATGAAACTTAAACATTGCCATCTTGGAAGTCCTGGTGCTTTTCGAAGAAGAAAATCTTCATCTTTGCAAAACTATTGGGTTTTCTCCTTTGACATTAGCAAATAGAAATAATGGAGCTCCACTGTGGGACCTTGCAGGCATACGTCCTGGTGCATGTGGCCCCCCGAGGCTAACTTGCTCAATGCAATTTTTCCCCGGGGCCGCATCATACTGGAGGATTCTGTGATCGCAGACCACCTTTAATCATGATACTGATTAATCATAGTCGGCTTTGGGTCTTCTTTGGTCACTAGGCGATATTTAGTAACGTTGTCTGCTACCTCACAGGCGTATGTTTACTAAACACCAAGCCCTGCTGCATGAGCTACGAGTTGATACCGAGACATTTTCATAGCACGTGAGTAGCATTGGACCAATGCAAGATAAATATGCATATACAAGCTCAAGGTCTCTGACGATGCTTAAGACGCACGTTTACCTTTTTTTCTTCTATTATGAATGTACAGTGACAAATGCGCCTCGGGAATACGAGGCTCACAGAGCTGAACTGGTGACCTTTGTACGATAATGGCGCATGCAAACTAGCAGACATGTTAGTTTTGGGACATTAGTGGATGGTAGATTTAGGACTATGCTCGATTGGGCTCTAGCTTAGGCGGCAGGGTAGAAATTATATTGCGAGCTGGAAAGTCAATCAGCCCATGGTGGATGCTGACTGTATTTCTGCATTACTGCAATAGTTTCCCCTTCATGGTATGCTCGTACACAGGTACCTTCATAGGCTCGATAGCCTTGCTCTGCCTGCAACTGACTTCGGCCCATCGCAGCCATCCTGCATACGTCCCATGTCCACAATCACCACCATCGTGTTTCCTCCACAGCATCCCTAGAGTATCAGCTCCGAATAGCTTTGCCGAAAACCCATGACCGAGCTTTAAACACCAACTGTCCGCTACTAGCTTCCCCACAATTTTCCTCGCTAGCACCTGGTCTTCGCTCTCCTTCTCACCCGAATTTGGTATCGCGAGCTTAAGTAGTTCGAACTGTCGCTGTCCGCTCCAACTTGTCATTTGCTCATGTGCAAAAGCCCCGTTCATCATGCTAAGCAGCCAGCACTTCTCCCTCACATACTTTGGCCCATCCCAGCTGTCATCCTCATCTAACCAGTGCTGTGCAGACCCCATGCACTGGATCTGGATCGCATAGTCGGTCATGACTGCGTCGTTGATTACCATCTTCCCTTGCTCCTCGTCATCGACCTGCACCTCTTGCGGCACTCGCATTAACGGAACATGAGAGACTAACGGATGGCTGTGCATGCCCGTGGTATTCGTCTTGCCTTCCCATAATTTGAGGAGGATATAATGCGCGCGTCGTACCAACGGGTTGTTGGGACCACACATGAGGGCGAAGTTTACAATCTGTATGTCCGGTGGGTCGCCCATCGTAAAGCCTGCGAAATCGTAGGGGGAGTCTGGATTGGCAATGTGTTCCGTCCATAGCCAGTTTAGATCGCCAAATTGCAGGATCCCGACATCGAGGTATATGCCACCGTACTTCAGAAGCAAAGGGTACCGGATCAAGTCCGAGGTATGCTGCGCTGCATAGTTTCCATTGAGCGTTTTGTCAGTGAATGCCGCAGGTACAACAGAGGGTGAGGCCGTGTCAATGAAGTTGGAAACATTTAGGGCTGAGTTAGGTACGGTGTCGAGAACATAGATGGTCCATCCTAAGGGCGAGAAGCGACGGTGCCAGGCGATCACATTGCGTAGTAGGTATGGTGGTAACGTCGCAATCCCGGAATGCCAGAACGCAAAGATGGATTTAGAGCCCGCGATTGGGGGCTGAGGCGATGTGAGAGAGATTGGAATAGCATCGTTGTGGGGTATCGGGGGAAGAATATCGTAAGGGAGGGGTGCAGTTCCAGGGATGTGGGGATAGTCCATCCTGGGATTGGTGTATTCAAGGGGGACTTGAGTAACGAATTGATTTAATTTTTTTGACAATAGGGTATACGGTTGTACAGGTGGATTTATTCAAGATATATACTTCACAATTAATTGCTCGTCAGCAGCTATCCATTTCGACTCATTTTCGACTCATCTTCGCTAAACTGCCTAGACTGACTCTGTCGACTAGCGGCATTGGGACGGATATAGAACTCCCTGGGTATGACGTCATGAATGACAACGTTGATAACAAAGCCCTCGCCAGCAGCGAGTCTCGTAAGAAGAAGCATGAGCGCCCTGATGAACACTTCCGAACCCCACGATCAGCCATCCTGCTTCACACGTACATGGAAAGCGTGAGTTAACGAAGGGAAGATTTTAAGCGGAGAATAGAGGAGATCAGATCATGTCGTCAACGTACTCGTCGTCTTGGAGCCGGCGCGCTGATATACCTCCATATGAAGAGTAGCAATGGCCGACGTAGATGATGCAAGAGGCAAGGATGGGGAGAGTGCTCGTCGCTCCGTTTGCACTTTCGTCATCAATCATTCACCGTTGAGCCCAAGAGCTGGTTAGGCAACGGCAATGAAGTGCCTCTGGGAAGAAGTAATTCCTCCACTTTCCAACCCCTAAGCCGTCGTCTTTGTTAGCACTGAAGATGCAGCACCACAGACCTGCTCTTTCCCCACTGCCAGATGTCGTGCCCGGGCGCGCGCCGTCTGCACCGCCACACCTCCCTCTACCGCCGCCGCCGCCAGCTCCTGAGTTTCTCATCATCGGACTGTTCGCGCTGCGCCTCGCAAAGCGCCTCATCCAAGGCATCGAGTACTACCCAGGGCGCGATGCTGATATCGCCTGGCTTACCAACTTCCTCGCCCCGTTCCACCCCGAGGACGCACTCGCCAAGATCTCGGGCTCTCGAAAGGACGATTACATTGCGACCTACCAGGACATTGTGTCACGAATGATCAGGCAGCCACGATATCCGATTCGCTTCATGCAGATGAACCCAGATCGTTCGCTGCAGCAAGAGCGTCGCGGAGCTGAGAGGGAACGGCCCGGGGAGATGACTGATAGTGCGTTGTGTAATGAATCAACTCGTTGTTAGCAGGATGCTGACCAAGTATAGCGGAGAGATTAGACATTATCGACTTCTGCGATGCAGCCGGCGAATGGGGCTCTATTGTCCCTATCCCAGCACGAGAGGCGGACCGAATGATTGCGCTAGCGGACCAGAGGCGGATTGCTGAACTCGAGGAGAGACTGCCTTTGCGAGATGCTAGGTCGCCGCTACAAGATGGAAGACCACTGCGGGCACACGGTAGACAGCTGTCGCGGGACGATAGGCAATACTTTGAGGTAGATTGAAATGTCTTCTTACTTCTCTTGGCACATGCTCACAAGTTATAGGAGCGAAGTCTTTGATACGGTGCCTATTTATTCACCACAATCCCGCGCCCGTTGCATCTGGTCGTTTACAATTGTTTATCCAGGGTTGAAGGACAGTTCGCAACTCTATCAGATGCACAAATATTCCCGGCCAAAGGTACAGCTTGGTCATCGGATATAATTGACTAGTTCAATGTACCATGTCCCATTACTGGGGACATGTCCTAAAATGACCAAAGGGATACAACGGACTTGGTAATACAAACTGGCTGACAAATTCCACTGATTCCATTAGCGCCCCTTCTCCACCCTTTTGAGAACAAATGCAAGGAATTATTCCGCTTCACGGGGGGATTAGAAAACGATGTACATATATGGCCTTGCTAGTGGCGCTCTGACTGTTATTCCCCGACGCTTTATTTCCGTTCTTTTTGTAGATATGGGCGATAGTGGAAGCGCGTTGCGGCAGGTGCACGCGAGGCACTTGTGAACAACCAATCATCGCGATCTTGCATTCGTTGGTAGAAATCTTCAGAGTGAGAGAAATCGTTCCAGAGTTCTTTGCTTATCATGTTTAATCTGTAAAGTCTGGAACTGACACAGGGCCGAATCCAGACATTTCTCATTGTGCTTCTGATAGATCACTAACACGCCATAGTCCTTCCCAACTCCACTATCAGAGCCAAATTCCCCTCGGGCTGGACGGCAAGGAACCCCATGTATAGCAGGTCCCCTTGGGATCGATGTGTTCCAGTCCAGTTTCTCAAACTTTGGTTGCTGGCCAGTTTGCCTAAACCAATATTTATACAATAACGCCTGTGGATGCTCATGTGTGATGCAATGAAAGCGCCAGTCAAATCAACTGACTGCCGTGATGCTCAAAAGAAAAATCTACCAAATGCAATGCACGCTCAAACGCAGCAAATAAAATGACCTGTAAACTAAAGGTGGAGTAATCCATGGTTGGAGTCCAACTCTGATTGGAACTGGTTACATCGAATGAAAAGTAAGATTTTGATTAACGGAAAATCGGTTGTTGAGGAATCGGTAGTTGGTTGAACTGGTTGTTCTCTGGCCAAGCGCTGCGATCCATGTACGGTAGATAGCCAGTCCGACATTCGGTCATGGGTCGTCCTAAAGGCTGGTACTGCATCTGATCGTATGCTATATTTCTCGCAGGGTTGTGAATCGATGTCTGTGGTGGCGGCACCAGTAGCGTATGAACCCCGCGAACTGGACGGTACGGGGATTGGCGCTGGCTGAGAAAGTATGATGGCGACAACTGCCTCGAGCTGGATGATGGGAACGAAGCGCTCACGGGCGAGGAACCAGCCGAAGGTGGGTATGGACTGATTTGACGAGATCGATCCGTGGTTGGCGTGTAGTTATTAGGGAAGAGGGGTGTATCCGTCGAAGTCGGGGTGCTGATGGGCTGCTGCCATTGGACTGGAGGCGGATACACCATGGCCATCGAACGGCCGCCGGTAATGGGCATGGGAAGGTCCGACCAGTTCTTAGCTTGCGTAGGCGGCATGTGCTGCGGTGGAGGTATTGAAAGACTCGGTAGAGGGGGGAGTCGGTTCATGGAGGGTGGTGGTTCGAACGATCTGTTTACCGGCGTCTGCAGGGTAGAGACAAGGGGAGCGTTGCTGTATGGTCCAGGGGTGAATCCATGAGACTGTCGCTTTGGTGGTGGCTCAGAGCTGTGATCGGTACTCCGCTTGCGTTGTACGATAGGACCCAGTTCTGGGAGAGCGCCAATCGGAGAGACTGTAGTAGACGTAGCCTGGGGCTGCAGGAGTGGTGTGTTTGAGAAAGCGAGATGACTGGGCGAGTACATCATGGAGGTGGGTGGGGAGGTTCGCTGCTTGGAGGGCGGCGAGGGGGCGAAGTTTGACGGGATAGCCAACGAGGGTGTGGGCTGTGCGACAGGGCTCACGGCACTGGAGGCAGGCATCTTGGACGCGCGATCGAAAAAGGTGCCGAACTTGCCCAAGACTGTGTGCCATTCATCCCACTTCTTCTTTGATGTGAATAGGCTGTACCGCATGTTGCTCAAGAACTCAACCTCCATAATGTGAACTTCTTGAACAGAGATGCCCGAGACCTCAGCCCACGTCTTGTTCGTATACGTGTTGTCGTCGAGGAACTTGTTGCCGAGCATGAGCGCTACGGTCAGCAGACGGTACTCGCTGCCGGGCTTTCCTTTGACCGTGGGGTTGGTGAGTTTCAATCTGTAGATGAAGAGCAATGCCAAGAGAATGACATTCTGGGCTACCTGAGTAGTTGTCAAGATCGTTGCTACCCATTTCCTGAATCCGGTCGTGGGGTGTGCGTCGGGGACGAGGGGCTGGATGGCCTGGCGTGGTGAGGTCATATCCACCACCTGCTTGAGAGTTGTCGAGCTCTCGAACCAAAAGAGGCATGTAACCTTGAAAAGTTAGCCAAGACAGGCGATGTTGGATTTGCGTCTACTCACCTCGGCTGCCAACTGTGGCAAGCCCTCCTGTGGTGTACTGATAGTTGCGGGTATTCGGAGATTTGGCGAGATGGAATATCTCTTCCGCGGAGTCTGCATGACGTCTTGGGAAGGCTGTGGTTGCTGACTTTGTGGGCTGGGGCTTCTTTGGGCTGTGACAGATCTCGAGTTGCCAATTGCAGGTAGCTGGTAGCCATACTGGGGTCGGGCACCCTGACTGGAGGGCAACGACACGACCCTCACCGCTGAGCCTGGGGGCCCGGGCGAGGTGAGCGGCGTTGCTCTGGGAGCTGTCCTCAGCGGATCGAGGTCATGGCTGTTTGTGATTCTGGGGTAGGGAAGCTGCATGGTAGCGTCGAGCTTTGGCATGGAGCGAGCGGCCGAGGCGTAGAAGTCGAAGGGAGGCTCCCGTGGGAGGGCGTGAGGCATTGGACGTGGAAGCTGTAGCTCGAGCATGGGGACGGCGAGGTGGAGGTGGAGGTGGAGGTGAAGTAGAGTAGCGTGATGGGGGGGAAACGGCGACGTCAACGAGTGCCGGCAAGCATGGGCGAGACGTCTCTTTGGTCCTTTTGGTGGGTGCGGCAGTGTATTGTGCTATTGTGGAGTGGTGTTGTTTGCACGCTACGGGCCTTGACTGTATTGGCAATGAGGTGAGTCGTGGTGGTGGTGCGTGGTGAAGGCAAGCAAGGAGATATTATTGTTGACAACAGCGTGCTGCAAATATGTGCTGAGCCAGTGAATGCAACCCTGTTTTCCGGGAAACAGCAACGATGCCAGCGAAGAGCGGCCTTTTTGGGGAGGGTGAGGTGAGGCAAAGGAAGGGTGTGTGGTGTGGAGGACACAATAAAGGAACGCAGACGAGTGCTATGCCCTGTGCGGCTTGGGTCAGGGTGGTTTGTGAGGGAGCGGGTGAGGGATTGCTTGTAGGAGTAGTAGGTGGTTATGGGCAGGAGGGAGGCGGATTGTCCGAGGCCCGCACGCGTCTACTGCTACTGCTATTACTACTGCCACTAGGCGGTGGGCAGACATGGCTTGGGGCGGTTGGATTGGAATAAAACACATAGGTAATTTTCACACACACGGAGTCGTGAAGGGCTCGCTCGGAAGGTGCAGCGCCTTGGGGCTGATCCAGACAGAAGGAGAAGCCGCGCTCTGACATGAACCGCGCCTGCTGCTCCACTAGCCTGGGCGCGCACGGACGCCAGTCACAAAGCAGCCGCGACCAGGGCGGCGCTCGCCAAGGAGCGGGTCAATTGGGTACATGGATGAACAGGGAGGAGGCACTTGATGAACATGGATGGACTTGGATTGAACATGGATAGTAGTAGCACATTTGGATGGACTTGGACTTGGAGGACGTGGACGTGGACATGGCCCAAGCAAGCCCCACGCTGCTCTACTGGTTGCCGGTTGCTGGTTGCTGCTGCTGCTTGGTGGTCACGACACAACAAGACAGGCGGATTCCAGGCGTTGCAAGCGTCCAAAGCAGGTGTCAGTATTCAGTTACCAGCCAGTACCAGTACCAGGTATGAGCCACCACCACCACCAAGTCAAGTCAAGACTCTCAATCAAGACCATGGAGAGATGGATGAATGCATGGAGTGAGCAAGCGGCCGGGCGCGGCGTCTTGTTGCGGAGCTGCAGTGTGCTGAGTGGACGGCCCTCAGCAAACCACAAAGATGGTCTTGGAACGCGGCCTCTCTGCGCTTTCTTTGCTGCTAGTGCACCACCAGAGTCATGCTCTATACGACGCCCACGGCCAACGGGCGGGTCAGATGGCGTCAAGCATCAAATCATGCCCGCCAAAAGGTACAGCCTCAGGGAAACCCGCCCGAGCTGATTGGCCCGCAGTCGTGTGCGCGTCCCAGAGAGGGGGGGCTTCAGCCATGATTGTCCCACACACGAACAAGAACAAGAACAAGTGCCCTGCCGGACTTACTGCTGCTGCTGCGACCGACCGTGGGACACACCACATCCAGGCAGGCAGAAAACGGTAGCGCTGGTGGTGGTAGTGGTGGTGGTGGTGGGCCTCGTCCAATTCCTGCACCCTCCTACATGGTTGGCCTGCTTGCTTGCCCGCCCTCTTAGCAGCAACACATGAGAGATTGTGAGATCCCTTGCGCGTCACGGCCAGCTGCTGCGCGGACACATGAAGGATGAGCACACCTCCCTACAACCAACGCACAACCCTAGACGCAACGCAATAGCTTTCCCAGCTTTACAACTTGTTTTATTCTCTCTACTGTACTTGGTCTCGCCCCAGCTCCAGCCGTCGCCGTAAGCGGCTGAGGTTAGCCATGCGCGCGTCGTGCAGACACGGTGCAAAGGATGGATGCTCCATCCGTCAATAATCATCAGACAGAGCCATCATCTTGCGCCCATGCCGTGTTTGACCTTGCGCCCTGTGACTGGCCATTTGACCGGCGCTTTGTTGCATCGCTCTCTCTGCTGCAGTCCGCTCCCAGGCATCCAAGCAGCGCAAACAGAGACGCTGATGCACGTCCAAAGCAGCCAGCCCAGCCCCATGCACCAGCCCAGCCCGCCGCCCCCTAACAGAGAGAGAGAGAGAGAGTCATCGTCTTACTTTACTTTACCCTAAGCATGCCCTCCTTCCGAGCCCCGAACCCTGTCCAATGTCCAATCCAATGCTACGAGGTTCGAGCGAGCTGGCTGCTGATCATTTGCATTGCAAATGGTTTTTTTGCATCGTGTGCCTCCCAATCAGGTGGACCCATTGGCTGCTTGCATCCCCTGGGCCCCGACCCTTTCGCCCAATCACATCGTGGTAATCACCCCGAGGCTAGAGCTTTTTTAATATTATTGATAGCCAGAGTTGCCTTCGTTCCAAGTTGAGGCAATCTGCACTTCAGGACCGCCTTCTCATCAGCACCCCCTGGCGAAACACGTATCGACGGATCGTGCACCACGCCTCGGACTAGCACCACCACCAGCGTCGGGGAAGCCTGTTTGCTTTTCGAGTCGTCACCTTGGCTTATGGCAAAACCTTGAAATAGCCCGGCATGATAGTCGACGCTGCTGCTGCTGCTGCTGAGGCCAGCAACGCTAAACCGTGGAACCGTGACGGAAACATTGCGTTCAAATCCCGCGACGCAAGGGAGACGCACCATCCCAGTAGTCAAAGATTGTCCTGAAGGAATCCATAGCTGTGCCGCCCGTCATCAGCCAATTCAAGACTCGTCGTTGGATGACTAGTGGACCAGGGAGGCAATAAAGGCTCCGTCATACGGTCCTCACTCACGTAATAACCTCTGCTACTAATTACACCCTGAACGTGAACATCTGAAAATATCCTTTCCCATTGCCGCTTAGCGCTCATCGGCCGGACGAGGCGGAACCTTACTCTGATTAGATGCCAGGCCAGCGTGGAACCGCTCGGATACAGCTCGGTCACGCTTTCTGTACCCTTCTCGGGGGGCGTATCTCAACCATGCACCCCTCAAGCACGCCTGCACACTTCGTTAGCGAGTCGTCCGTCTTCGGTGATACACTATCGTCCAAGTGCTACAATCGAGATGATGGCTCTATCAGAAGACATGCGCGCAGCACGGTATTGATTTGGCACACCATCCTGCCGCCCTGCAGCAGAGTTTTCAAACCATCATATCCCGTCAGTCCGAGGAATAGAGTGGAGATTGACGATGCTTATTTCGGCATAGAAGAGGGCCATAGTAGCTCCATTTCATGGATGGCGGAGGCGCAATACGGTCCTCTCCTCACTGCTGCTCTCGCGTTCGCGATTACACGATTACGAGCGCGAGTCGTTGCCCTGTCTGTCCCCATGTGCCGCCCCGGAGAACGCGTTGGCTACTACGTCCATGCTCCGCTGAAACGTACCACGCTTCCACGACGCGTAGGAGCCAAAATCCACTATCATCTTTTGTAATCCGTCCTCGCCGAGCACGTAACCCTGTAGCAAGGCACGCGTTAGGTGGCAGACGATTTCCTCTTTTCGTCGCCTAGACGATCTACTTGGTTGCTGCCGCCAAAACTCACCGATCACGCTGACAGCAGGGAGCGGCTTGACTTGATTGTTTCGTCTCCAATGTGCGTCTTTCGCTTTCTTCGGGTGGGTACACCGCCATACATGCATCGGCTACGAGGACAAGCCTCACAACAACGCCCCTCGGAGTAGAAAGTGTAATGCATACTTGCCACACGACAGGCCCCTCGATGGAGTTTAGCCTCTTTACACAACGATTTCCGGCTCTGCTAGAATAAGTAAGACGACTTTGGTCGAATGAGCGTCTCCGAGCCCCACGCTCTAGACGAATCACGCCTTTCATCTACTAAGAGGCACCCCAACTCCAAGGCACCCATCACCGGTCTGATGGATTCCCTGCTCTATGCCGCCTCAGGTGCGCTGACTTCTCACAGGATCCCGTGTACCGCCTTTGTGTCATGCTATCTTCAAGTGCAGCCGCTTGGGCCGACCAGCCTCGCACACCTGACAGCTTTCTGGCACCATGGCCAGCTATTCCATGCCGAGATAAATACCTAATATGCATTCCACGGCCAAGAGCCGTCGATACTTGACTACATCTACGATGAATAAATCCTACCCAAGTGAAACTCTACCCACGATCCAAATGCCAGTCGGTCGCTAGCCCTGGCCTACGGCTGACCCTGTAGTCTGTATCCCGATGCTGGTCCTGTCACGGAGGACAACGGCTTGCAGTGCAGATATGCGGGATGCATACGTAGCGCCACAGGCTGAGTCTGAATTAGCGAGCGTCTCAGCGGATACGTGACTTGTTTAGTCGACCAACCTCCGGTGTGTGGCCAACTATCGTACCCCATGTTTCAAGAACTATGCATGATGCTCCTTCCGTTTGCACCAACGACACTCTCTTGGTCAGAACTCACAGTCCACAAATATATCACACAACGATCTTGAACTAGCTCTAGGTTCTGCCTTGCCTTGTTGCCGGCAGTTGGGCGAGACGCTTCCACAAGATACACGACCCGCGTTTCGCTGGGTTGCCCAGACCTGGAATTGGCAACGATATTCGTATGCCTTGACATCAGGCGGAGATAGCACCGTCTAACCAAGAGTCCAGCGCCGGGCAAAGGTTTACCCCCTCATATCATGCAAGGTCAACAGACCAGACCATGTTCGACAACCACACCTTTTCTTATTCTTATTAATGCACAGCATCTATGCCTCATCAATCATGTCGACCGACGACCAAGGCACAGATTGCGACTAAATTCTCGCAGCCGACACGTACGCCTTGTCAGATATGATCCATGAGCGTCGCACACCCCAGTATCGAATTGTTGGTCACCGCCTGCCTGCCCCATCCATGGGCCGCAATACATCACTCAGCACACACTCCTCTCAGCTCTTTACTTAGATTCGCAAGCGACGGATGCATCTCCCGCCTCAACACGAGACAGCCTCTGCGCCACCTGCACCTTGTCGACACAATCGGGATGCCTAAATTACTGCTGCGCACTATGTGCATAGCGGCTTTTGTACCAAGTTTTCCCCCCACCCCGCCATGGATCGGCTTGACTCAATACTCGGTACACGCTGCTGCTCCGTCTGTGCAGCGCGACAGGAAAGGATTGTTTCCCAAGCAAGATTACCGCAACCGGCTGCCGACTCAAAGTTGTAAGACGCGCATATTGTCTCACCGGCGAGCACAGAGAGGTAGGCAGCGCCGGCCTATCAGGACACACCCCCATTGGACCACCAACGCCGCTCGATGGTTCACCTTGAGTAAAGTGCACCGCGAACGTATTGTCGTCGACACGTAGCACTTCTCGTTTGCTTTGTTCATGCATCCTCCTTCTTCCGCAAATTCTGAGAGAGACTCTATCGAGACAGCATCCCTAGCCCTGCCTTTGCTTACCTCTGCTCCGTCTGGTCCCACATGGCGAATCTGCTTTTCTTTCCTGTCCTTTGCTTGTTAAACACATTGCAACACCCCGCCGATCAGGCATGTCCTCCTTCTAGGCTCGGCCGGAATCGTGCAGGACCCCCAGCTGGCCTTTATTTACACACACACGAAAGTACGAGGCCCTCCCAGCTGCAACGCGTTTCACTCAGAAGGACATGCGTCGTGGATGACCATGTACTCGTGTATATTGATGCCGATGCAAGAGGCAGGTGCCAAGTTACATGTTTGAAGCGCCCAGGTGTCCCTCGTGTATCTAATTATACAGTACTAACCGCCCATCCGCCCACCCAGTCCTCCAGAGCACTAGTCTGGCCTCGCACGGAGTTGGCCTACGCCGGGAAATGCAACATTGCAGTAATCTGAGATATTCGGGGGCGACACGTCAACGCTCTTTACTTGGCGTCATCCCAATTTCATCTTCAGTCGCCTATTGATTGCACACTTCAAGGTTCAAGAGCAAATTGCAGTTCTGCGACGCGACGTTGTGTTGCGTGGGGGTTCCGCTATCACGCTGAGCAACTGCCTATCAGCAATATGTCGGACTTGGTTCCAACACTATCGCCTCGCTACCAAAAGCCAGACACCTCATGACTATCACACTCTATCCGCTCTGGTCAAGATATACACACCCGTTACGCATGTAGCATGTCCCGAGGCCGATGGCCAACCAGATGCAGAATGAGCAGGCCCTAGGACTAAAGTTAGTGACCAAGTTTGACTAATACTATACATCGCCCATGGTGTGATTCGACAATGTGGCTCACGAGCAAACTGCAGAAACAGTTGACATGGGATCGTGACTATAATAAGGATTTGACAATGCTTCGTAGTGACACTGTCCACGTAATCATCACTGCAAAACTTTTTCTACACGTATCTGAATAAACGACAGAGTGCCAGATTCTCAAAATCCTATTGATACAGGTATACTACTCCAACACCCGGAGACAATGCTTGTATATATCCCCACTGTATGATACACGCTCCTCACAACGGACCGTCTAAAACAGCCTGTTATCCGCACTAGCCTTCGCCGCATCCCGCCTTGCGCTCTGCTTCTTCCGGTCCTTGGCCTCACCCGGCGGCTTGAAGAACAAACTCGGGCTCTCTCCCTCTTTGACCAAGTACGACAAGTATCCCCTGTGCGCAGGATCGCGATAGTACTCGATATCCTTTCTCGCCGTCGCGTCGGGCAGTCTGTACTTGTACTTTTGCCCGACTTGCTTCATGACTGCAATCATAGCTTCCTTGTTCACATCTTTGGTGGCGGATTGGAGGGATGAGAGGATGGGCGAGGAGACAATGGCGGGGTTTGTTGCCGCGAGGGAGATGAGGTCTGACGAGGCTTGCAGCGAGATGACGGGGTGCGTGTCGCCGCGTAGGACGCGCTTGATAGCCGTGGGAGAGTAGAAGCGCGTGGTTACGCTGCCGCCGAGGGCTTCGATACGCGAGATAGCATCGTTGGAGGCGCGAGAGACAATTATGTGGATGGGCGAGGTCAATTGCTCGGCATTCTGTAATCAGATATTAGCATTGGCACACAGCAGTGCAACTGCACGAAATGGAACCATCGTACCCGTGCCAGCAGCTTCACGCCATTTCGCTTGACCCCATGCAGACACCTGCTCTTTGCCAACTCCTTCATCGTAATAGGCTTCTTCGGATCCAACCGCCCCTGGTCAATCCACGACTGTATCCGGTCTAGATTGATAGGACTCATCTCAACCTTGAAGGGGTTGTACTTCCCCCGACCTCTGTCCGGGTTAGTGATCGACTGTGGCGTCTGGCCACCTTCGAAGCCCGCGGGCACTTTGCCGTGCGCATGTTGACCCTTTTGACCGCGTCCTCCTGTCTTTCCCTTGCCAGACGCAGGACCACGACCACGGCGGATCTTCTTATTGTAGGCGCCCTTGTTGTCCGAGAGCGAGGAGAGAATGGATGCACATCGTTGCTGTGCCGGGGCGAGGAAGGGAGCGGCAATCCGGTGGGGTGCTGTTCTTTGCGATATGGGGAGGAGCGACGAGGCCAATCGTATGGTTCTGAGCCGTGGTGGCATGGCTGTCAATGGTGATTCCGAGTCTGGAGATGGGCTGTAGGTGGTGAGCTGCGAAACAGAAATCATGGATGACTAAGCGCATGCACTTCCGCGGCCTTTCCGTTTTGGGATAGCAACTTCACGACGCGGAATTATTGCATGTATCTACAAGTACTCCTCAATCCGTTTTCTATAAGCTAGGGATTGCTGTATATACTTTAACTCTTTACCGCTACACTCTTCTCGGCGATTGTCAAAGGTTGACTGATCCCTATGACTATACAGACGCCTGGACCACGACAACAGAATTCCGCCACGTAAATGTTGATCCAGAACAGCCTTTGCAGACACATACTATTGACATTCTTCTTTCTAGTAAGCCAGGAACTGAGGGTCATTTCTGAGGTGACATAGTAGCCGGGCCGCCGAAGTAAGTAGCAGCGTTATTAGACGCCGAGAGGTGGCCTTACCCGTAATCGTAAGGGTTGAAGTGGCCCTCGCGATCTTAAGAGGTACGTTGCCGAGCGAACGCTGGGTCGAAGTTGACCACATTTCGACACCCAACCTTTTCGAATGTCAAAGGCAGTTTTTGCCGCTGAGCCGACAATTATACCACAGCCATGGTTTCCCCCATTTTCTCATCAATACAGATCCTGATTTCAGGTGGTAGTGGTTGGTTCTCTATTCAAGGGCAGATGTATTGGCTCCTTTCGACGCAGCCTCAAAAACTCGAGTAAATAATTCCGCCAACCACGAATAGAGAGCACCGCCTTTCAAATGACCCTGCAACCGATATCTCAACCGGGGCTGAACTAGATTGAAAATCCTGAAAAAAAATTGATAACAAGAACATTAGCAAAACTTAAAAAATTGAGAAACGCTTCCACAGGATTACCAGTTGAGATTTGTTACCACAGTTGAGCGTCGACTCAGAAAGCGGCGCACCTATCTTACACACCGCAGAGTAATCACAAATAAATCTACTTTTAACATACACACCAGCGATAGTTTTAGTATATTACCTAGGGTAGGTACTGCTGACACTATAATCCAAGTCCCACCACAATCTTCATAACTCTACAGCTTGCAGCAAGTCACTCGGCCTACACATACCACCCATCAAAACACCACGTCAAACACGAAAGTAGCAATCCTCAAATCATCACACACTACAACCATGTCTCTACAGAACGCTGAAGCAATGAAGAGCGGTAGATCGATTCTCTCGTGCCCTGCCGAAATTATCGACGCGATCATTCTGCCGCTCGCTCGGAAGGAACTGCAAAGCCTGCGACGCGCCTGTCGCGTCCTCCAAGATCACTCATTCGACCACTTCCAGAAGGCCCATTTCACACGAAAAGTCGTCTATATCAACCCCGAAGGCCTGCAAAATCTCCTGGATATCGCTAGGAATAAGCATTTCAATGAAAATGTCCAAAACCTGGTCATCCGGTTCCACGGTCAGGCGATGCGAGCAACATGTCGCCTCGCTCTTCCTACCTTCTCTCGCCGTGTATTCGCGGACAAAGACGAGCACGCGCAATTACTCGATTTACACAAGACGCGACTATTTGAAACGCCTTACTTCCAAAACGCGAACAAGAACCACAGTCCAGGCGATCTGTTTGGTTCTCCCAAAGAATACCGAGTAGGAGAAGTTATTACTGCCAACATGGCAGATCGAATCAACCAGTGGAACGATCTCATCAAAAACCATTCCTGGATTCCTATGCTAGAAGAGGCAATACAGAACTTGCCAAATCTACATACAGTCATGATCCATGACGAGCGAGACCCAAAGGCAGGGCCCTTCTACGGGAGGAAAGATATTGGCCCCTTCCAACACCCACATTGTATACTTTCGAAGATATTGGCCGAGAATGCGATTGCCATTCAGAACTACTGTCTAGACTTTGAGCTCGGTTCTGCCGCAGAGTGGTATCGCGCACAGAAATCTCTTCAGGCACTTTCGCTAGCAAATCCTGTGACACTTCGCAAGCTATCCGTTTGCATGGACGTATTCACGGAGCATTGGACGAACCCAGGGCATTATTCCGACTCATTCTCGCCTGTCTTTCCAGCTGTCGAAGAGCTCCACCTATACCATCGAAATCTATCCACCACGCCGGTCGTGGTCCTTAACAAGTTCAAGCGCATTATTGAGGCCGATGGTATACCAGGACTAAAGGTCTTACGTCTAGAAAACGTGCGTATGCCCCATTTGGATGCCACACAGGTTTGCTTCCTCAGGTCTTGTGAAACTATCATACTCAACGAGATCGCTTTCTCCACCGTCGTTGACCTTCGCGGGTGTCTCCAGCTGCTATCTGATTCGGCCTCCGTAAAACATATCTGGCTTGATCACTTGTACGCTTTCACCCCCTGGGTCCCATTCTTCAAGAACCGCGAATCGGTAGAAGAAGGCCAATTTCACAGCAATTCTCGCCATCCTTTCGACTTCAGCGGGGTAGAAGACGAAATCAAGAGACGAACCATGCGCGCTGGCAAGATCCTACGCTGGGGAAAGCCACCTAGTCGTGTCAGCTCGACTTGGGAAGGGGGGGTGTCAAAAGATTTTATCCAAGATCATTCTTGCTTGCTCTTTGGTTCGAGCAGACCGGTTGAGATGTGAGGGACTACGCTTAAATATTGAAGCTTTTCTACAATCGCTAGCGCACATGAGGCCTTATAGCAAGTTATAGGTCTTCGAGTTTTGGGGGATGTTTCTTAGTTGTGTTGTTTCGTCCTGTCTTTATAAACCGATATGTGTAGTTAAACCAAATACAATCTTGACCTACACGCTTTGATTGCTCCTGTCTACATTTATTGACTGCTTCTCATGCTGCGATACTTCGCCTTCTTGGTGACATGCCATGCTTGCACTTTTTTTTGAGCGGCGCTCATTAATTTCGTGAGTCCACATAACTCCGTGACTTGCATGTGGCAGCTCGACGGGTCGAAGTGATCTCTCACTAGAAAACCCAGTTTGAACATGTCATGATGAACGCTCAACAAAACATTCGACTTACTTTAGCAACGTAGTATAAAACGACACTTGGGATATGATAAACTGGATGATGGGCTGAAAGGAATGTATTAAATTATTATTAAGGCTATACGAATAGTTGTTCTCTGCTGATCAATCGCGTTTTGCTCATGGACCGTTACCCCACGGGGCACCATCAAGCTTGAAGTAGCCCGGTTGAAGCCTCTCAAACACGTTTGTAGGATCATACTTCTCAGAAATAGCCTTTAGCCTTGCCTGGTTTTCTGGGCCATAACCAGCAACGACGTTCTGGTATGGGCTGCCGTAATTCATGTAGAGATAAGGGCTCGCCTTGCCTTGTGCCGTCGCCGCAGCCAAGGCACGATCTTTTACCCTTGCGGCGAATCTGTTAATCCTGTCGTCGTCCGCACTGTTTGACCACTTGATGGCAACGAGAGCCAGCAGAAGGGGACCGTCTTTCGCATCGAGACCGAGCGTGTTGCCTCCCTTTGTTGCTGTCTTCTCTAGGAGCGGTTCAGTAAGAACTTGAAGTGAGACAGCGGGAATAAGGTTTGTCGCATTGACGATAGATGGGAGCTCCTCGAAGAAGATATCTTTTGCGAGTGTAGCCATCTCCTTATCAAGCTTGACTGTCCAGGTCCAGAAGGCTTGTCGAAGTCCAGGACCGCTGGCGGGGCCTGCGAGAGCCGTGGTGAGCTGTGCAAGGCTCCTCACAGCCGTTTGATCTGCGACTGCGCCCGGTACTGCGTTGTACTCTGCCAAAATAGGAGCATCTGGAATGGGGTCGGCGTATTCTAGTTCGAGTTGGGCTACTTGTAGGCCGGCCCAGGCAAACGATAAGATCTGATGGGCCTTACCATCAATTTTCGCGTTTACACCTAGGTTGTAGACTATATATTGATCAGTATGTCTCACATGCATTTCGCAAACTAATTTTGCTTACATGCATTGATTAGAGCGGGGAACGAAGGGGCAAGGTATGACCGCATACCACCCCACATGGTTGGAGCCCTGGGAATAGTTGCGACGTTGAATTGTGTTACGATGCCGAAGTTGTTTCCACCACCACGAAGTGCCCAGTAGAGGTCCGGGAATTCGGTTTCGCTCACTGTGATGATGGGTCCAGACGCCGTGACTAGTTCGTACGACTCTACATTATCGCATGCGAGTCCGTAAACGCTGGAGAAGTATGAGATACCTGGTGAGTTGCCTAGTTAGTGTACGTTTTAATAGTTTAGGTCAGGAAGTAATCATACCTCCCCCTAAAGTCAAGCCACCGACCCCGACACTGGATACCTGACTACGCATTAGAATAGGAACGCTGAACAGTGCATCTATGCTGACTTACTCGGCCTCCGACGACAGCAAGGTTTTCTGCCTCGAGAGCAGTGTAGATGTCGAACCAAGTGTGACCAGGCTGAAACGACGCAATCTTCTTGTCAGCAGACAATGCAATCTTGCTCATCTTCTCGAAGCTAATAGTGATTCCGCCATCCACGTTGGATCCTCCAGGCACTGCAGAATGACCCCCGCTCTTCGCTGCAAATGGACATTGCGTTAGGCGCGATATGAGTACAGTTGTAGAAACGTCTAATGCCTTCTCCGGTTTGAAGATGCACTGGGGGGTAATTTCACGCTGCTGAGCAGACCAAAACGAATTGACGAAGGCATTGTAAGTTGGCTCCGTTTGGGTCTCGACTAGGTCATCACCGAAGATGAACTTCAATGAGCGGCACTATAAAAGGATTAGTTTATACATTTTGAGTGACCTGTTAACCTACAGCTAGTGAGCATCCACTAATGAGTGACCGTTCCACCAATGGAGCTAGCTCGGGAATCGCCGAGATGTTGACTCCATTATCAAGGAGCGCTTCTGTAATGTTGAAGTCGGAGGGCTCGAACGTGCTTTGGGACAAGACCCCAGCCACAAAGGCAGCGATTGATACAAATACTTTCATGATCTTTCGTCGAGGATAGGCCACACACAAAAGTGATATAACAAGAAGGAGCGACGTATAAACGAGGCAGGAAATGCCGTGCAAGATGCAAGAGATAACTGCAAAAGATGGGTGGCACCCTGGTTATGGGGTATTATATCCTTTTAAATAATCGTTTGATTAGGAGTCAAAGACACTATCCGAAGGAGCCGAGACAGTTGCGTCTTTGAACATGCATTTAAACGGCCCGTAGTAACCTTTTTGCCCACAATATCACTAACCGTTAATGGCTAGCATACTGCATGCTCAATCCTTGAGAAATACATCCCTGCATATGGACCTATCGCATGCCATTGGTACGGAGAGATCTCGCCGCAGGGGCATCCAGCATTTTGAAGATTCCAGCGCAATTTTCGGAGTCATTTCCTGGGGCGAGATCCACGTAAAAAGAATCAGTAGAATTGGTAGTGTTTGGATGTTGGTGAGGAAGTAGTATACATTTGCGAGGCAGGCAAGAGCGCGACAAAGTCGCTGTCTAGCAGTGAGAAGACTCGTCATCTAGACTTTCTCGATACCGGTCGGGCAGCTAGATGATGGATACGCGCGGAAATTGGCTCAGATCTGCCAAAGGAGCCGGCACCTGCAATGGGAAGATGTACTGCCGATGTTATCGCATGTTGGTCCGTGGATTCGGCAGCTCCGGGTAGCGGCTCTTGATTTCGGTGTTATTAATTTTGGGACTGATTCGAAGGCGTTGAAATTCTTCCGAGCTTCCGTATGTGTTTATTTCAAAAAGTGTGTATAAGGGACATTGTCGTAGAGGTGTTGATTGAGGTGAAGTTATTTCTGGCGTAGCAACCGCTTCCGCCACAGCGTCAAGCCCCACGCGAGTCCCACGGAGATGGCACACTAGTTCCCCGCCACTTCATCAACCAACACCGCAAACATCCTAATCCAGCTCCTCAGCCTTCTTTATAGATCGATTCTAGACCGGGCCCATCGTTGCGTCCATTTAATAGCATCGGGGGCTATATTGGTTAGGGCCTTCGGGGGTTTTCACGAACTACCGTGGTGACACAACACCACGTGTGGTCCCTCTACATATAATTCGACGACAATTGTATAGGTGGAACATCACGAATAGCTTCTAGTACCACCGCTCTGGCATCCATCTTCATGGTCAAGTAGAGAATGCCACGCGTCTACTTGAAACGGCAGATCTATGTCCTATCATCCCGTTCCTGACACCTCTGCTGCTCGTGGCGGCGATGTGGCTTAGGCGTTTGGAATCTCATCTCTAGCCTAAAGAGCACTAGATAAAGCGAGGGCATTCAAGAATGAGAGAATTACAAGTCATGTAAGCGGATCTGTAGCATCGCCGATAAGCGAATGCAGTTGGTATCCTCCGCTATCTACTTCATGTACATCACCACTCTGCTTGATATCCGTGTTTATATTTTGTAACTTCCCTCCCCTTCGGCATCGATCCATGATCCTCAGGAACAACAGTCATGACGTCCCCGGCCGCGTCTACCTACGCAGAACTTGTCTCATAGCATCGATTTGTTGAAGTCGCTTACACAATGATCGTTTTGGCTTCGATCTTCGTCTTCGCACGCGTTGGCATCCAGGCCTGGCAGCGCAAGGCAATGGAGGCGCAGGACTACCTCATCTATTTTGCCTTTATCTTCTTCGTCGGCATGACGATCTGCTACCTTGCCATCATACCGAAGATATATATGATTGGCAAGGTCACTGAGGGCTTAAGGGCTCCCTGGGAAACGATGCAGGCAGATGTCGTTCTATACATTCGGATGATGTTCGTCACATCGACTCTGTTCTGGTTTTCACTGTGGTCTGTAAAGCTGTCTTTGTTGGCACTCTACAGAAAGTTGATGGAAGGCTTGCCCAGGGTGTACCTCAGGCTTTGGTGGGCAGTGTTCATCTTTTGTCTAGTGGTTCGTACTCACGTCTATTCCTGGGTGCTCTAACTAACGTGAGAAAGTCTCTAGTTGGCTGTGTCGTCTCCTATGTTGTATCTTGCCCGGACTTTAGCGCTACTCTATCGCGAGGAGAGTGCTCAGGTCCCAGAAGCTTTCGTGGGCAGCAGGCTAGTCTGTACATGTCCTACGGTGTGGACACCCTGTCCGACTTCATGAGTACGTCAGAAATATCAATTCCACTATAGTCGACTAATTTCACTAGTAATGTTCCTTCCGATACGACTCGTTTGGAACCTACAAATGCCGCGCGGGCAGAAGATGGCTGTTGTCGCACTATTCGCGTCGGGCTTTGTATGCATCGCCTTTGCCACCCTCCGCGTCGTTCAAATCGGCATGAGAACGGGAAAGCACTCCGCCCCAAGCCCTACCTGGCTCGCTTTATGGTCGATAATTGAGACTGCCATTGCCATTGGCATTGGATGTTGTCCTGCGTTAGCTGTCCTATATCGCATATCGCACACGCAACACGTCCCGTACGATTCTCATGGCTACGTCCGACATAATCAAAGTCAACCAGGATCGAATCGAAAGGGTGGGGATGCAATAAACATGAACACTTTGACTGTGGGGACTGCGCGATCCAAAGCATCGAGGAACGATCCGTACTGGGATGACGCGGCAGGCAGTCAAGAAGAACTTGCGGTGGATACTAAGCGCATCAGAGTGACCACAATAGTGCAGCAAGATACCAGACAGTCGAGTATCTCACCCTCTAAAATTTCCAGAGACGAAGCCCGATCACATATTATCTAGATATGTTCCTAGTAGCCCAATAGAATAGGTCAACTTGGTTAACGAGTTCATTTCGGTCCTGGATTTTAGTAGTACTTCTGCCTTTCGCCACGCTTCTAGATCCTCGAGCTTACACAATAATAACACAAGATAGTTACCAAGAGTAGTAATGGTGAAGGCGAAGTTTTGTTTGAACTCGGATTGAATATTATAATCTTCGTCGATATTCGTTTAGCTCACATCGCGTACCTCGACATCATCCGCCGCCATCTCGTTATTACTGGCCCTGCCCTTCCTCCACGGCCTCAACAAGCGCATCGAACACCTGCTTCATATACTTCTCTTCCGCCAGCGTCGTCGCGCTTACTACTCGAATGATGTACTGGCCGCAAACCACGGAGCTCGTAAGAAAGAATTCGCCCTTGGAGTTGATTTTTTCATATACATCCTTCGTCTTCTGATTCGCATCTTCCTGATACTGCGCTTCAGCGGTAGGCGTGAAGTCATTCAAATACGCCTCGTGACCAGGATTCGGTTGGTTGGCATTGGCGACAGCCGAGTGGGGCGGTGTAGGCTTAACGCAGAAAGTTACCAACCCGAAAGCTGACTTGGTGACGACGCTGAAGATGTCTGACCGAGATTCGAGCAGCTCGTTGAAATACTCGCCTAGCTTCACATGTTTCCGGATAAAAGCGCGCAGACCGCTGACGCCATAGCTTCTCAATACGAACCAGACTTTTAAACTCCGGAATCGCCTGCCCAGCGGTATCTGCCAGTCGCGGTAATCAGTCACCATTCCACTTTCTGAATGGGGGTTTCGCAGGTAACTCGGTGTGATGCTGTACGTGTCCATCAAGTCTTTCCTCTTCTTGACGAAGAAGGCCGAACAGTCAAAGTTCACAAGCAACCACTTGTGCAAGTTGAAGTTGAACGAGTCGAATGCCGCTAGCGGTGGGCATAAGTGCTGATACTCTGGGCAGACGAGTGTAGACCCGGCATACGCGGCGTCGACGTGGATCCATAAATCAGGGTAGTCCTTTGTGAGCTCAGCAATGCCAGCGAGGTCGTCAACCGCGCACGTTCCTGTACTACCGAGCGTAGCAGTGAAGTAAAACGGCTCAAGGCCTTTAGCGCGACATTCTTCGATAGTCTTTCGTAATGCAGCTGCTGTGACAGAGAAGTTTGTGTCTTTGGGAGCGGACACGGAGCGGAACCGTGTACCAGCGATGATGGCTGCCTTTTGAGTAGACGAATGTGCGTGTTCGGACCCAAGAGCTACTAGTTTTCCTCTTATATCTGCGGCTTTGTCTAGCTTTTCTTCGCCTTCTGGCATGTCTCTCAGTCGGCGGCGTACGACTCGCTCTCGCGCTGCGACGAGTGCTGTGACGATGACTTCACTTGCTGTCCCTTGGATGATGCCGCCTCCTTCTCCATCGCTCAGGAAAACGTCTGGTAATGCTAGCAGCTTGGCCACCCAGTCCATGACCACAGTTTCCAGCTCCGTGACGGCAGGTGAACATATCCAGTTGAAAGCTGCTGAATTGAAGGCGCCACTATACATATCACCCAACATGGCCGGAAAGGAAGAGTTACAGGGGTAGAAAGCCATGAATTTGGGAGACTGCCAGTGCGTCAGACCTGGCATGATGACGCGGTCGATGTCGGACTGGATTTTGTCCCATGATTCGCCTTCTTCGGGGGCAGATGCTGGGATGAGGGGACGCAAGTAGCCAGGCGCGACCGAGGGAAGAACTGGTCTTTCTGCCAATGTATCATAGTAATCCGCAACTGACCATAGTTAGCTAGCTGTTTATATGGATTTCCTCATAACATACTCTCATCAATGGCTCCCTTACCCGCCTCGCGGAATTGTGAAGAGTCCATAGCGGGGTCGAAAAACTTTGCAAAAGCTGCCTAGAACAAGATAGTGGAGGAAATTATAATATGACCCAAATATAATTGGCCTGAAAAGCTTCAACTGAAGTAGACTGAACGAGAGGCCAGACTTGTAAAAAGAAAGAAGAACTTATGTAACGTTGGAGTAGAAACTGTGATGCGCGCTAATTCTGTACTATGGCCATTTTCGGCAGCATTTGGCGGAATTACCGGAAAGAGCTTCTACTTCGTAAGGCGCTCATCTCTAACGCGTCCGCTCAGCCTAGGGCTTTAGTAACTTGTGAATGACTAATAACGATTGTTTTGGAGGCGTTGCGAGGCGCAGGGCGTGAGGCGTACCGTCGAGACTGGACGTCATGTAGGCTAGCAGACGACAGTCAGGACAATTGATAATGTGAGATATTTGATTAAAGACTCAGAAGAACTCGTTTCTCTAGAGGGTCATCATATAGCATGCTCACTCGCTGATAGATCATCTGATGAATTATGGGTATACGCAAGTGCCTAGTTAAAACTAACTGTGACACGTAAACAGAATGGGACGCATCCAGATCAATACCGCCTGCCCACCTCGACGCCCAAATTCTCATCCGGATTAGCAAAGCCGCGCGCCCTAGGCGTGGACTTGCCTGCCACATCCTGCAGAGCCTCTCCCTTGTACTCCCAGCCGCCGTCTTGGGTGAAGAAGTCGACCTCGTCGATGATGTCCCAGACCACGTCCTCTGCGATCTGCTCCTTGTACCGGTCACCAATCGCCCGCAGTTTGCGCCCCTCCGGAACTTCCTTCTCGATCGTATCACTACCGACCATTTCGGTGTCCCTCTCGCGCTGCTTGAGGATCTCCTCTGGCGGACACCAGAAGTCCGGCCCGAAGTTGACCTGCGCAACACCACCGTTGAAGGCGGAGATGGCTGGTAGGTAGCCTACCATGCCGTCATCGAAGCCAGTTCTCGCACCGGCTTTGACAGCCTCCACTGAGGGTACGCTAGCCGGAGGAAGAAAGGCTAGCAGGCTTTCGAAAGCAATTCCAATTTCTTGGCCATTTTTGTAGACTTTGATGTGCGAATGTGGCAGTGATCTAATGCTGACATCCTCATGATTTGGCGAAGGGTGGATCTTGGGCACCGGGCCACGATCATGATATGCTTCCACCATCTTAGTGACTTGGTAGTCGAGCTGTTCAAAGTAGAAGTTGCCCTTGTATGGGACAGGTATGCGGTCGCGAATAATGTCGACAGGCTTATCGAATGGATCTGCATTACTGACGGTATCAAATCCATCTCCCAGGTCGACAGCTGGGTTATAGATGCCTTCGACGACCTTGCGATGCAATGACAGTGATGGCAGCTGGATCTCGAGGCCGATAACATCACCTTCCTGCACGTGCTGGTCTGTGACGTACTCGACAGGCACGGGCTTACCGTGCGGTGGCCGTGGCTTCATATGCTTGCTCTTAGCACCTTTCGGGAGGGGTTTGTAGATTTTGGAGGCGCGCGAGCGATGTTGTGCCTCAAAGCGTGCGTCTGTGATGCCATAGCTGTAGCCGTCGAAGCCCACGGGACCGTCAAGTGGTGCCTCCCTTCTTGCCCATCCCATGCGAATGTGGGGTCCAGGTCTAGTCTCGCCTGTTTTGGGGTCTACAGGGTCTTTGGGGCCATCGACAGGTATTCCTCGCAGTATCTTGACCTCGTAATAGATTCTCCCTTCTCTAGCAACCACATTGCCTCGGCCCATGCGCCAGCCCTTCTCTTGGGTAACAACGGTGGCGCTGTCGTCGAAGTAAAACCACTTGTCTGAGTCCTCGTGGCTCATCCTAGGTCCATGTGGCCTGGAGTCGCTCTGGCGGTAGAACTGTTTGTGTCGAAACAGCGGATCTGCGACGCAATGCGTGTACTTGTAGCCCTTTTTGTTCCAGGCGATGTCATGGGGTTTCTTGAGCTCGCGCGTATCATTCTCCGCGTAGATGGGGCTCGGCTCGTGTGACAGCAAGATGCTGTCCTTGGGCGGCTCGTAGTCTGAAGCTCTAGGCTCGGGGATCGAGTATCGCATAGGGGAGTCTGCGGACGCGAGCTCTTTCTTTCCCTTTGGATTCGGCGTACTCTGGCGCGTGTGTGCAGAGGCCTCGCGCTTCTTCAGCGTCTCGCGCTTTTCCCTCTGCTCGCGCGGCGGTCCTCTCGGGCGGGCGCGCGCTGCAGCCGATTCGGGGTTGGGGTTGAGTGGAGAGGAGACGGCTGGCACATGGTCCTCGTCGAGTGGTCGCCGCATTGGGGGCGCCAGAGTGGGCGTGTTGGAGCGCGAGTTGGGCTGTGCTTCGGCCATTGTGAGGGTTGGTGCTGGTGCTGGTCTTGGTGTTGGAAGCTGTGTTGATGGCAGGCGCGACCGAGCATCCATCTGCAAGCGCTAGCGCAAAAGCCCCACCAACTTTTTTGTCTCCGCCATTGCATTCTTCAATTTTTGACAACTTCGCTACACAGCGTAACCCCCACCAAACCCACGCTCAAATCGTACCAGAAAGACTCCAGAGACGCCTTCGGTACCCTCGAGTACATTTTGATCCGTCCAACGCTCCCACCTCCACACAGCACCATCCCCGCTCAGTACCGCAGAGCAATACCAATACCAATACCAATCACCATGCCAAAAGCACACAAATCGCCTGGCGGCGTGCGCGACCAGCGACACAACCCTCTTGCCGAAGAATATGCCCCGACGGACCCATGGAAGAACAAGCCCGCAAAGCGCCAAAAGCGCAACAGGGACGACAAGGACGAGGATCAAGCCTTTGTAGACTCCAAGAGCTCGCGCAAGATATTGGAGATTGGCCGCGAACTCGAAGAGGAAGACGAGAAAGAGAGCCAGGCACGGCGACCGCGCGAAGCCAACCCCGCCTTCGACTTCGACACGCGGTTGGGCGAGGACGACGTAGCGGTAGAAGAGGTGGCACAGTTAGACGACGACGATGAGGCATGGGGCGAGGATGAAGACGAGGTCGAGGAGCTGGAGATTGATGCAAATGACCTAGCGGCGTGGAACAAGTTCATACCCACAGACGACAATCCCATTGTGTGGCCAGGCGAAGAAGCACAGCCGTCGGGACCGGGTACAGATCTCGCAGCCCTAATCCTTGAGAAGATTGCTGCACATGAAGCTGGAGGAGGCCAGGTACAGCCAGATATCATGGGCGGTGGTGCTCCGGAAGACGCCATCGAGCTGCCCGCCAAGGTCGTCGAAGGTACGTTGCACCCCCAACTTTCCCCTGATCTAAAGCTAAGCTTGCACAGTATACTCAAAGATTGGCCTGATCATGTCACGCTACAAGTCCGGCAAGCTCCCCAAACCTTTCAAGATACTCCCCACAATGCCCCCCTGGGAAACGCTGCTCGCCATAACACGGCCCGAGAACTGGACGCCAAACGCCATGTTCGCTGCCACACGCATTTTCATCTCTGGCAAACCACAAACCGCACAAATCTTTCTCAACACTGTCCTGTTACCCTGTGTACAAGAGAACATCCGGGAAACACACAAATTGAACGTACACTTGTATAATGCACTCAAGAAGGCACTGTACAAACCGAGTGCCTTCTTCAAGGGCGTCGTGTTCCCGATGCTTGCCGATGGCTATGCTACACAGCGAGAGGCAGTCATTATTGCTTCGGTCGTAGCCAAAGTCTCGGTACCTGTTCTGCACTCAGCCGCGGCGTTGCATCGCCTATGTGAAATTGCCGCCGAGCAAATGTCGTCGGATCCTGATGCCGCAGGGCCTGTCAATATCTTTATCAAGACCCTTCTAGAGAAGAAATACGCGCTCCCATACAAAGTCGTCGACGCGGTGGTGTTCCACTTTCTGCGATTCCGAGCCGTTGGCGGAAGTGCGGATGCGATGGATACTGAGAGTGTAGCCGGGGACCTGGGTGGAATGGGCAAGTTGCCGGTTATCTGGCATCAGTGTCTCCTGGCGTTTGCACAGAGGTATCGAAATGATATTACGGAGGATCAGCGAGAAGCGCTGCTGGATTTGCTGCTGACGCGAGGCCACAAGAGCATTAGCTCGGAGGTGAGGCGGGAACTGCTCGAGGGAAGGGGACGGGGCGTGATGCTAGAGCCCCCTACTGTGGGCATGGATGGGGACGACACGATGGTCATGGGTTAGAGGGGTAACGGATGACGTGGACTGTTGATGAGTTATGAGCATTTGCACGGCGTTTTTAGATGAGGGGAAAAGATGCATATTTGAGGGCCTTCTTCTGATAGATAGTGAATATACCCTCAACTCCTTCCATTTCTGTACCGTCTCCCTATTTTCAAGAGGTCCTCACATCAGCCACCCCCTTGTAAAATGCCACATACCCCCTGATCTTGTTCATGCTTGGAAGCGGATCGGCATAGTACCACGCGGCGTCTCTGATTTCCATCTTGTTGGTCGTGACGCTGTAGTAGTTTGCGTTGCCTTTGTACGGGCAGTGCGTCTGCGTTGACGTGGGTGTGAAGTGAGATTTGGTAATGGTGTGGGGTGGGAACTAGTTCTGATCAGACGTGTTCTGGTGGTGATGGTGGTGGTGGTGGTCGAGTCCATGGTAGATGTACATAGATGTTCCCATCGACTACTTCGTACGAGTCTGTTTCGGCGACTACGATGCCGTTCACACTGGCTGTTGCGCGGGGCATGATGTGGATTACTCTTGTTGATAATAGTTCAATGATGGGTGTAATGGAGTCCTAGCGCAGATATTATCATATTCACGGCTTTGCGCGGAATACGATTCAGCTTTAATAAAGTCATGGAGCGGGGTGAAGCTGGAGATGGCATCATCTTACAGCTTCTGGTTCGCTTGCTACGCCAATCCGAGGAGGTGCAGTTGCATCGTGTCTGTCTGGACTACGTGCAAGTCCCGGAGTGGTCGAGGCTGCGAAAGATACTGGGGGTGAGTTGATGGAGATGTTCTTCTTCCACGCAATGCTTTGAAATGGACTTGCATTGCCGAGGGCAGCGTGCTTGATAGAGAGGGGCGTTATATGTACGATAAGAAAGTTTTTGGATTTATAATTGCGGTTGGCGAGGAGAAAGAGGAGATTCTGACTGGAAACATAGAGAGGAAAAGGATACTTTAACGCCTGGCCAAGTACTGCGTGTACAATATTCATGTTAGTTGTTAGCTGAAGTACGCGGCTTTGAATCAAGCTTTCCCGCGGAGAGCAATGTTAACGATTGACAAACGTATTCATCTGTCGCAAACACATTGGTCACGTTCTAGAGTCCAGCCTCCCTTTTTCTCACCGCTTACTCGCACATACGATGTGGGATGTGGGATGTGGCGCGCCATGCATCGAGGGCGTGCCGTCTCGAGGCACACTGGGTGGCTAGCGAACTACACGTGAACAGTATTCCTAGATGCACAAGATAACGAACCCAATTATCCACGGAGCTATGCAATCGGTTGATGAGCCTCAAGCCTCAAGCAGCTGACTGCGCGGTTGAAAGGATGCACGAGAAGTCAGCCCTTCCTTCCGACGAGCGTCGTGTCCGCATGAGGCTCTGCGTGGCGCTCGACCGGTGCCGGAGCCGGTGCCGAGTGTTGCATGGGGGCTGTCTTGGTAAGGCGAGTAAGGTAATCACGATAGGCGCAGGAAAAACGAATCGAGGGAGTTGAGGGATATATCGTAGAGACGTGTGACATGTGGGTTGTGGTGTGAAGATGTGTGAGATGTCGGCCGGAACAAGTCTGGCCATGAGATAGATGGACAATGAGCTACATACAGCCAAGAGGCCTATGTACTACTAGCAAGCAGCACACCAAGTCGCCAGGAAATTTTGTTCGCGTGCGCGGCAGTAGTTTAATTGGGAATGGCTTATCGCTGCACGGGCAAAGCCGTCTCTCGGCCAAGCTGCTGTTCGTCATGGCAGAGAAAAAGTTCATCAGATCCGGCCTCCGACGCGCGACTACTACTACGACTCCTCCTCAACACCCTTCGCCCGCCCTCTCCCGTGTCCCTAGTTATCTGCCATTGAGCCCGTGAAGCCTCCCGGCAGCTCTCCCTCCCACAATGGCTCCCAACATGCGGCCTCTTGCCGCCGCCAATCTCGTGTCGCAGGTCCAGCTGGCCGCACGTCGTACCTACACTACTACACAGCGTCCATCTCTTATCGCAAACAGAGCGCGTTGGACCCCGCGGCCAACACAGCACCAGATTGCCCTGCGCCAGTCAGTCCGACAGCAGTCGACGGGAGCGCCAACCCCCAAGCCCAAGAGGAGATTCCGCTTCCTGCGCTGGACATGGCGACTCACCTACCTTTCGGCCCTCGGCGGCCTGGGCTACGTCGGATACGGCATCTACGAGATGCGCAATCCCGCTGACCAGCCGCCGCCTGACCCAAGCAAGAAGACGCTCGTCGTCCTGGGTGAGTAGCTGGCCACTGCACTGACGCAGCTGCCCGTATGGCGCCCGCAGAGGCTAACATGGCACAGGTACTGGCTGGGGCTCCGTCTCGCTGCTGAAGAAGCTCGACACTGAAAACTACAATGTCATCGTCGTCTCCCCGCGCAACTACTTCCTCTTCACCCCGCTCCTTCCCTCCTGTACCGTGGGCACCATTGAGCACCGTTCCATCATGGAGCCTATCCGCAACTTCCTGCGCCACAAGAAGGCCTCGGTCAAGTACTACGAAGCCGATGCGACCAAGATCGATTACGAGAAGAAGGTCGTCTACATCAACGATGACTCGCCCATCAAGGGCGACATCACCCAGACCGAGGTGCCCTTCGACATGTTGGTCGTGGGCGTTGGCGCAGAGAATGCCACTTTTGGTGCGTGCACATTATGCAACCGTCGATCGGTAACACCGCAGCTAACATGACGCAGGCATCCCCGGTGTAAAGGAAAACGGCCTCTTCCTCAAGGAGGTCGGCGACGCCCAGCGCATCCGAAACCGCATCATGGACTGCTGCGAAACCGCTACCTTCAAGGACCAGTCTGACGAGGAAAAGAAGCGCTTGCTACACATGGTCGTGGTCGGTGGTGGCCCAACGGGTGTCGAGTTTGCTGGCGAGCTCCAGGACTTCTTCCACTCCGATCTGAAGAAGTGGCTCCCGGAGATTCAGGACAACTTCAAAGTCACCCTGGTCGAAGCTCTGCCCAACGTCCTGCCCATGTTCTCCAAGCAATTGATCGACTACACCGAGAAGACGTTCAAGGAGGAGACCATCACCATCCGGACCAAGACCATGGTCAAGAACGTGGCGGAAAAGTACATTGAGGCCGAGTCGGCTGGCCCAGATGGCAAGAGGGTGGTGGAGAAGATTCCGTACGGCCTCCTTGTCTGGGCCACTGGCAACGCTCTTCGACCCCTGGTCAAGGACCTGATCAACCAGATCCCCGCACAGAAGGATTCCCGCCGTGGACTTGCCGTGAACGAGTACCTCGTTGTCAAGGGCACCGAGAATGTCTGGGCTGTCGGTGACTGCGCCGTGGCCAACTATGCCCCCACCGCCCAAGTCGCAGCCCAGGAGGGTGCTTTCCTAGCCCGCATGTTTAACCAAATGGCCAAGACGCAAGATATCGAAAGCGAGCTAGCCGAGCTGTCCGTCGCCCAGGAGAAGGCCCCAGGCAAGGAAGCCCGCGATCAAGTGTTCAGCGAGATCAAGGCGCTGCAGGCGAGGCTACGGAGAGTCAAACAGATTGGTCCCTTCGAGTACTCTCATCAGGGATCGCTCGCCTACATCGGCTCTGACAAGGCCGTGGCCGATATCTCGTGGTTCGCCGGCAACATTGCCAGCGGCGGTACCGTAACGTACTTTTTCTGGCGAAGTGCCTACCTCAGCATGTGCTTCAGCACGCGCAACAGGATCCTAGTGTGCATGGACTGGGTCAAGGCCAAGGCTTTCGGTCGCGATGTGTCGCGTGTCTAGATCAGGTCCTTTCCCTGCTCAAAAATCTTCCCCCTCTCTAAAAAGTTCGTTTTTCTCCAGCGGTGAGCGCTTGGGGCTTTATCCATATACTACACGACTACACTGGGCCTTTTTTCTGTGCGATTACTAGTACGATATCTAGCCACCTGCTGTACAACTGTAATCTCTGGGCGGTTCTCTAGGGTTCGGGTCTGAGACCCATGTACCTTCTTTTCTAGTTCGAGCTCGGCGTTCAGCGGGCCCTCGTGCTTTGGATAGATTTTTATTTTTCTCCCCTTTTTTTTTCTTTCACATGTGCACTATTAGTCAAGAACCTATAGAAACAAATGGAATGAGGGCGGATGTGCAATATATTTACTTTATCTGTTCACTTTAGGCTACTTTTCATGCCAGGTTATAGTGTGTTATATCAATGTCGATGCTCATGCTCATTTGTCTCGTAGATTCGTCGAATCTGGTAACTACTTAGATCGTGACGCCTGTACAGATGCTACAAACTATGCGAAAATTACGTCTCCTATAATGATAACGCCCCAAGATACATGCCCCAATGCAAATGACTGCAAAGCGCAGCCCATCTTTCATATACATATGCACCGCATACGCCCATAAAACGTCTCAAGCACTTAAAATGCAGCAGGCGATCTCGGGGATCCCACAGCCCCGTAACTCCTCGGACTCGCATGCCTACTCGTCCCCAAAAGCGCCCTCGCTTCATCCAAGGCATTGCTCTTCGCCTTGATTGGTATGCTCTGGCTCGAGCTCCCCACACTGGCAGGACTCAAATCTCTCGGCGTATCGACCGGCGTAGCAGCACGACTGACACTAGGCGTAGCAGCGACACTAACAGCGGGCGCCCATCCACGCATCCACCCGCTCACACGCCGCCAATGTAGTCTTCTTCGTACAGGTCTGCCGTGGTCGTCAATGGTGATGATGACTTCGTCGTCTCGCGGCAGCAGAGAACGACCGCGTGGCTCATTGTCGCCAAAATACACAAACTGCAAACCGACAGCCGCGTCCATGAATAGCACACCTGCCGCTCCCAGAAAAAACGGCGCAGCACGCAGTACCCAATCTTTCTGCACACTTCCTTCGGGCCCGACCCAGCCTGATCCTTGGCCAGGTGCGTAGTCAAACCACGCACACGGGTTCGTGAGGAGCGAGCTGGAGTAGAAGAGATTGCCGAAGAAAGCAGCTGCGAAGAGGGAAGGAGAGAGCCCCGCGGTCGATTTGCGTACTTGGTTTTTGTAGAGCTGGGGAATGCGGGAGCCAAGGTAGAGGAATGTGCTCATCCAGGAGAATATCTTGCCGGCAAACTCAGCGGCGGAGAGAGATGGTTCAGAGGACGCAGAACGTGCGGAAATCCTGTAAGCACCTGGGGCGAGCGGGCTGACGGGCGTTGCGACTGAGGTATGGGACAGTACAGCCAGGACGAGAGAAATGTACAAGACTGTTTTCGGAGATGGCATGGGCGAGCTTGATGCTGCCACTCGACGCACATGTGGATTAGGCGATGTTTCCGACGGTGAATCTTGCCACGACTCTTTCCCGGGATTTGGCGATCGCGCGAAATTGGGTATCCGGAATGTGTCCATGGGATTTGAATGCGGCACGTTCTTTCCCGGACTGCTTGGAGTAGCATCCTTTTTATCTGTAGAGCTGTTGGGGTCTTCTGGCGGATGCGTCACTTTCGCAGCACTACCCATACCATTCCAAACTTGGTGCATCCCAGACGCCCCCGCCCCCGCATTGCCATTCTCAGAAGCGTTCCAACGTCCCCAGATAGGGCGTAATGGTCTTCCGTGATGCAGCATCTCGTACCACACCCACTGAGCGCATAGGCAGCAGTCTACGAAAACGTAGTACCCAGCAATGATGACCTGCCACGACGCCTGGCCTGTGAAGAGACATCCCAGCAAGTTCGTTATGTCACCCAACAGCCATTCTGCCAGGAAGAATGCGCTGAGGCCTGATGTTGACTTGAGCTTGTGGTTCTTGTATATCTGTGGTAACTGTGCGAATAGCCAGGATATGATACTGCATGTTCCAAGTAGCGTGGAGATAAGGGCGAGATTTGTAGGGACGCAGGTGTGGAAGGTTGCTGATAGGTGGTATAGGAATGCATTCGCAGGCTCGCAGTTCGCGGGTACCGAGGGTTGGACTATGTGTAGCGGCGATAGGTAGGGTGGCATACTGCTATCGAGTGAGGACGGTGTATTGGTGCGAGTGGAAAAGAGCGGCGAGAGCGTTCGTTATGGCCTTTACGGCTACCGCTGCCTTGAGGAGCCCCGAGTATGACCTTCTCTTTCTGCCGCTCCTTCACTGCTCGTGGAACGTCGTTCGGTGCTACTAGGTACTCGAACGGAGGATAGGATCAAGAATAGCAAGGTGAAGCAGGTGAAGAAAGAGAGATGCGACTGCTCAGCCGTCCAGAGTCCTCAACGCCAACGTCAGTCGCCCGGCGGACGTGGATGACCCATATTAGCGCCGCAAGCTGCGGTTAGACGAGCCATGGCGGGACTAATTGGAGCAGGTGTGACATTTGGGGGCGTCGTGTGGGTGATAGATACGGAGTAGATAAGACCTTATCTCGCCCGCCGCTGCGCCTTCTCCACCGTAGCACCGCCCGCTGCCGCACCTCGCAGGCCTTGGCGATGCATCTCACCTGCCTCGGGACCGGTTGGTCGCCGCAGCTCACACGACATGGAAAAATGACCAACCACGTCTTACGCGACAGACATACGACGTGACATCTGTACAAAGTCCTTCACTACCATGCCCATCTATCCTTTAGCGGCTCCGGCTCCAATACATGGATCCTCCACTGCATGTGCGCCCCTCCTCCGCCATCGGATCCTTCGAGAGCCGCCGCGGCACGTGCACGTCCACACGACACCCAACAGCAACCACTAACTCGCCCTGGAAACGTAACAGAAACCCTCTCTTTCCCCAGACCTGCCTGCAATCGACACGGGAACCGATTGTCTACTGCAATTGCCCTGACATCACTTTTCGTAGAATCAGATTGGCCGTGAATGATACACTGCAGTATTCACGTCAGACATGTGTGCAGACGTCATACTCCACCACCAGTAGTGTCCAAATTGTCCATTTTAAAAAGAAATATTACAAATATATAGCTGTGCGCTTATATACTGTATCAAGAAGCAATAAGCGACATGGCCAAGGGCCTGTTCGGTGACCTAGGCTGACCTAACCAAATTGGCCGGATTTGGCAGGTAGAGTGAAATAGAATTAAAAATAGCGTTTTATTTAGTATTTTATTAGTTTTAATAAGCACAAATAAAAGTAAAAATTTGCTAATAATATTATATAATTTTATATTTTTACTAGTATTTATAAAACTTATTTTCTGTTTTTTTAGGCTTTTTTAAAAGTTTTTTTTTTAATATTCTGCTTTTAACTATTAAATTTAAGTTACTATTATTAAATTTTACGTAATTATAATAATAATTATTATTAATAATATTATTATTATTATTTTTACTAGTATAGTTATTACTATTATTATAGTTATTACTTTTTATAATAAGGATTACTATTAACTATTTAATACTAATTTTTAATTTTTTAATTACTATTATAGTAATTAATAAGTTACTAACTATTTAAGTAATCTACTATAATTATATACTAAAAATTAATTGCATTAATAAATATTTAATAATTTTATTTATAACCTGCATAAACTATAGTTAGTATATAATAGTAATATATTAATTAAAAAAAAACTTTTTATTTTTTTTTATATTTGCAGCTATAGAATTAAATAGTAAAATATTAAATATAAGTATAAATAATTGCTTAATACTATATTAAAGTAAGCTATTTATTAATTTTACTATATAGTATAATTTTATTTATAATAAGCAAAAAATTTTATAAAATTTTTTAAATATTACTTAAATTATATTTTAAGCTTATATTACTAGCATTAAGTAAAATTTTAACTATAATATATAATAATTTAAGGCGTTAGCTAGCCTTTAAAAATTATATTAAAGCTTTAAATAGTATTTATTTTTATTTATATATTTTAGTAATAAAGTAGTAGTACTTTTATAATTATTATAGTAATTTAACTTAAAACATGCTTGCTATTATTAACTTTAATATAAATTTTATTTACTTATTAGTAAAATAAAAAAACTTTATAATGTATCACACGGGCAAGTTAGTTGCCCAGTTAAATTAGTTATAATACTAAAACTTTACCAAAATTAGTACTATGCACAATAGTATAGTACTATAAAAGACTATAATAGTAAATTATAATAAATTAATTTATTTAAAAATTATTTTTATTTTTTGCTTGTATATTTGCGCATTATGCCTAGCTTTATTATAGTATTTATAGCGCTTTTAAAAAGGCTTATTTGCTTTAATATGCGCCTGCTTTTTTGCTTTTTTTTTATTACTATACGCCCTAAATTCTTTTAAAATTATTAATTAAAAACTATTTTTTACTATAAAAATTTTTTTTTTTTATATTTTTTTTTTTTTATATAATTTTTATTGCATAGCGGCCTTATTAGCTGCTTAAAGCTTAATAATTTTTTTTTATACTAATATAAGCTTGTGCGCAATTATAGCTACATTTTTTAAAAATTTTTTAAAAATTTTAATTATTAAAGTAAAAAAACTATTTAAGTGCCTTTAAATCTTTATTTTAACTAGCATTAATTAAAATTTAAATTTTAAAATATTGCTTAGTATTTTTAACTTTTAAAAATTATTTTTAATAGTAAGTAGTAGTAGAATACGCAACTAAATATTAAGCTTTAATATTATAGCTTTAAAATTAAAAAAAACTAAACTAGCGCTTTTAAAGCTATTTAAAATATTATTTTTTATAATAGTAGTATTAAAAGCTAATTTAAAGCATAGTAAAAACTTAATTTTAGTAATATAATTAATGCTATTGCACATTAGCTTTTTAGCTTAGTACTTATATGCCTTTTTTAAAAGTACAAAATAATTTATATTAAGTAGCTATAGCAAGTGCAATAAATGCAGGGGTATATAAAAAATAATAATTTTTTATTTTTTGTAGTACTGCTAGAATTAGACTAATATATAGCTTTTATAACTATTAATAATAAATAAATAATAAGTACTAATAACTTTCTTTTTAGTATGCTTATTAAAGTGCTTTAACTATTTAAAAATAAGCTTATTTATTATTTAGCTATTTTTAGAAACTGCAATAACTTAATTATAAAGCAGGCTATTTTTTTTATACTAAGCTAAAAAGTAATTCTTGCCCGCAAAAATAATAAAAAGTAAAATAATTTATTTTATTGCATTAATGCTTTAAATTACTATTATTTATTTTTAATTATTCTGCTGTACTATCTTCGGCTGTCTTTAATAGTTAGTACTTAAAATAATAGTTTTATATAATATCTAGCTTATTATAAAGCCTATTTTATTAAAATTATATATATTTTTATTTTAAATACTATACTTAGCTTTTATATTTTTTATAAATTAGAACTAGCCTTGTACAAGCTTAAAATTTTTATATAAAATTTTTTAGTAGTTATATTTTTAAAAAGTTTTAGTACTAAGCTATAAATATTATTTAATAAATATACTAGCCTAGTTTTTGCTAATAAATAATTACCTATATTTAGCTAGCAAAGTATCAGCTATATTATTTATAGTAGCTAGTTAGGGCAGAAATCTTCGGTTTTTAAAATAGAATATATACTAAATAATTATTTTTTTTTTTATTAAAAAAAGCTTTATTTTATTAAGCCTAGTATTATATTGTAAAAACTTTTTTTTTAGTTAATTATTAAGTATTATTTAAAAGACGCTGTAAATCTGCGTAGCTTTTTATTAAAAAAAATTTATATTGCGTTTTAAAGCTTAAACTGCAAGCTATATTTAATTTTTTTTTTAAAAAAATTGTATATTATTGTATTAAAGCATCGCGTTTAATAGTAAAAAATTACTAATTTTAGTAGGGTCTTGGCATTGTAACTAACTTAACTGGGCAACCAACTCGCCCGTATAATACATTATATAATAGTAAAATTTTTTAAAATATAAAGTTTTAAAAATTTAAAATACTAAAAAAATAATATTTTTTAGTAAATATAAATTATACTAATAGCAATTTAATGCTTTTGCTATATTGCAGAATTTGCTATTATTTATAAAAAATTAAAAAAATTAATTACTAGCTTAAAACTAAGTTTAAGTTATTTAATTATTATTATTTAAGCTTTTAAAATATAGTAAAAAAAATTTTTAATATTTTTAAATATTATTAGCGTATTTTTAATTATTTATATAAATTTTTTATTAAAATACAAGTTAAGCTTATATATAATTTTACTACTATTTATAATTTTATTAATAAGTATTACTTAATTAATAAAGACTTTAAGCAGCTAGAATAGTATATATATAAAAATATTAATTTAAAGCAGCATAAAGTAAAAAATTACTTTAATATAAATATTATTAATAATAGCGCAAGTAGCTAAAAAAAAAAAATTATAAATTTATTATAAAAAAAATATTGCAAAGTAATAGGGCGCAATTTATAAAGTTAAATATAATATTATAATAAAAAAAATATAATATTTAAAAAAGTTAAAGTTTAAAATATTAAAGTTAAAATATTATATATTACTTATTTAGGCCTAGTACTATACTTAAATATACAGTTTTATATAGCAACTGCTTATAATTACTTACTATATTAGCTATTTTATAAAATTAACTACTATAAATTATAAATTTAGCTTATATTTATATTAAAGCTATTTTATATTTAAAATATAATTATTTTAAATAGCTACTAAATAGTATTATTATATTAGTTACGCTTTCTGCAGCTACTTATAGCTAATTATAAAGCTAACTATAGCTTAATACTTATTAATTAGTATAATTTTAGTATTATTATTTATTAAATATTTTAGTATACTTTGCACTTTAAAAAATTAATATTTTAATTAATTTTTTTATTATTAACTACTTAAATTTTTTTAACTAAATTACTGTTGCCCTCTTATATATAATGCTTTACTATAGCATTAAAATTAATTATATTACTTAATTTACTTAACTATTTAAGCAGCTACTTTTATACTTATTATTTTTTTATTTTTAGTATTTAAACTATAAATATTTTAGTAAAAAATTTATTTAAAAATATATTTATTAAAGCGTTTTGCAGCTTTATATTAAGTACTAAAAAGTACTATAAAAATATTTAAATTGCTTTTTATTAGTAATTTTATTTTATAATATTAATAAAAGCTTTAAATTAAAATGCAATTATAAAAATATAATAACTAAAATAATTAGTTAATATAAACTTTTTTACTTTTTTAATTATTTTAAATATTAATTAAGTTATAGGTCTTTTCTGCAAAGATATAAAACTATTACTTTTATTTATTATTAATAATTAAAATTTTAATTAAAAAGTTAAATTGCGCTTAATTAATAGTATTATTTTATTTTTATTTAAATTTTAAAATACTTTTTTAATTATTATAATATTTTATTTAGTAGCAAGCACTCTATTAAATAACTAGTAAAATTACTTAATATTTTTTATAAATTAGTATTTAAACTTACACGCTTTTAAATAAGCATTAAAATATACTTTTAAAATAACTAAATTACTAGTAATAATACTATTTTTATTAATACTAAAGCTAAATTAATTTGTAAGTTTAAACTAGACTTTTTAATTTTTTTTAATAGTATTATACTTTAATTTATAGCTTAAAATAGTAATAATAATAATTATTAAAGTAATATAAAATACTTTATATTTAATATATTTTTATACTTCTTTTTTATACTTAAAGTTTGTATAGTAGCTATATACAACTTTATTAATTAAAATATTTATAAAAGCTAATTTTATTACTTTTATTTAATATAATTGCAGCATTGCTAGACTATAGTATTATAATAATAATAATAATAATAACTATAGCAGCTATAGCGTTATAGAAAAAACAGGCTTATAAAAAAGTTATAAGCTTAATAATAGTAATATAAATAATATTTTTAATATAATATATTATAAAATAAAATTTAAAACAAGTATTAATAGCTTTATATTAGTAATAGTAAAGTTAATAATATATACTATAAAAAAATATAAAGTACTATAAAATAAAACTAATATTTTTAAATACTAAATAAACTTTTTAATTTTAATTTTATTTAGGCTAAATTGCTACACGTACTACTAGCTGCTTTTAGCTTAATACTACACTTAAAATAGGCCTAAACTTACTATTTGAAATAGAGGGCACCGAACAGGCCCCAAGCCAAACATGTGTAGTGACGTCATGTTCAATATTCCATCTCAGGACCCAGCGCCCGATGCTCTAGGGACTTCATCTACCATCTCGTTGGAGTGTGGTGCAATGAGTAATGCATGCGGACGTCTGCTGATCACTAACATTGCCTCATCATAATGACTTGCCTATTACCTATATTTCAATGAGCTTCAAGGCCAAATGCATAGAATTGTGCAACAGCTCAATGAGTTTGGATAATGACTATTACATGTCTAGAAGATACATATACGCTGCAAAGAGGAAACCGCCTCGCGCAAAGGAACAAGCAACGTTGCACAGTATGACAGGATTTGGATATCCATCCGCCTATCAACGCCAAACACTCCATACCAAATCCACTATGCATGTCCCACCGCAACTCATGCATCCGCTACCAGAGCGCAGCGTCCTTGTCGAACCGCACTATTTCCTTCCCACCATCTTCGACATCCTTCCTCGCCTTCATCCGCATATAGAAGATCGGACAATCTTTCGACTCACAAATGACCTCGCAATGAATACTGCCCTGACACCGCTGACATTGCGTCCACAGCCTAGCGAACCGAACCTCCAGCTCGCTGACCTTGCTCAGCGTCTTCTGGTACAGCTCACCAATGCGGGGCCGGCAGTTCTCACAAACAGCCCCATCCTTTTCATGCGCGGCCGTCAGTGGCTTCTTGCAGCCCATGCACGTTGCCGTCCTCTTTGCAAACTTCATCAGCCCGCCCATCGTAGGTGCGGCAACCGAGATGGAACGCGTGTGCTCGCCTGTGAGGAGCGAGTTTGCCTTCTTCTCCCCAAGAATCGGTTCGAAGATTCTGCCCAGCGGCTTCGCAAGCTGATTGTCTAGATAGTATCGCGTGTCGATAGGAAGGTTGTGTTCGAGCACGTAGAGTGGATCTTCGGATTTTTCAAAGTTTCGGGCTCCCGTGGCAGCCCTCACCATAACGTACGCGACACGGTCGCCGAGAGCAGGCGCAGAACCAGCGTCACGCTTCTTCATGCGGTCTGCGAGCTCTTTGTGTGCTTGCTTATTCGCGTAACCACCCGTGCCGTCCTTGCCTTCTTGTTTCGTTAGCGCCTTGGTGATGACGAGGTTGGACATGTCGATTTTATTTTGCAGCAGATCTGAAATGGTTTCCTTGACGAATCTGATCAATGTTAGTCATGGACTCCTGGATGGATTGGAACTCCTTACTCTTGCGCGCCATCCGGGTCTTGATCAATGAGCAACATGCGCAACGAAGTCTCAATGACTGTCTGCACCAGCCGGCAATTGTCACGGCGGACTGTCTCGATCCCCTTCGTGTCCATCTTGTCCCATTTGTCGGGGTTTGTCCAGTAAAGACCGGCATAACGCTTCTTGTTGATGAGCAAGTACGGGAAATAAACCTTCTCGAACTCGAGCTTGATCGGCTTGACAAACTTGGAAGATACGTATTCGGCAGCTTCCTCTCCCAACTTCATCGCTTCCGCTAGCTCCGAAGTACCGAACTTGACCATGACAGAGTCGGTGTCACCGTAGATGACTTCTGCATCATGGCTGTAGCCGTTGGCAATGGTATACTTTGCCTCAACTTCCGCCTTCGTCTTCTCAATCATTTGGCGACCAAAACTGGTTGTGCTACTAGCGATCGCAAGACAGGGTAGCTTGCCATTAGTAGCACCTGTGAGACCGTAGACAGAGTTTGCGCTGACCTTCAACGCCAGCTGACGACCGTTGAGCACGGCCTTCTTGAACGGATCCGTCTCGACTGCTAACTCTTTTCTTGCCCTCTTACGCGCGCCAAGCAACTCCTCTAGAATATTGGTCAAGAGACCCTTCCGAGTTTTGGCAGTACAAAACATGTCGCCGTTCGGAGTGACAATGTAATCTTCATCCTTCTTCATCTTAAGCTTTTCCACCGTCTGCTTATCTAACCAGGTTGTGTAGCAAAGATTGTGCGCTTGCATGATACTGGGATACAGAGAGGCGAAATCGAGGGTCGCAACAGGCTGCTTGTAGTAACCGCGTTTTGGTTCAATGACGGTTGCACCCTCATACTGATCGCCGCTGTCACCTTGGTTCGGGAGGTCCGGGACAACGAGTTGGTGGTCGAGAGCCTTACGAAACAGTTGGCTGATGAATCTGACTTGCTGTCCTCGGGAAAGCAGGTAGTTAAATGGTACACCTGTGACCCTAGCCATTTCCGTGTAGTTGACGAGGCACATGAGCTTGTCGAGCAATCGCTGTGGTAGGTAAGCATCCTTCAGGCAGTAGACAGCCAATCGTCTTCGGGAATTAGAGTCGCCATTGAAAAGTTCGGTGATCATGCTGTGATGCACGTCTTCCTTCTGCTCCTTCAAGAAGTGGGCGCAAACAGAATTGAGCGTGTAGCTCCGAAGTTGATGGTCGCGCTGAATGAGCTGAAGTAGGTCAAGTTGCAGACGGCCGTTCGTGTTGACGGTCTTTGTGTCTCGGTTGCCTAGTTGTTTACTCGAGAAGTTGGAGCTCTCAACCTTGGATTGCACCGTTTTTAGTCGCGACCAGTAAGGGAACTTCGGAAGTTTGAGATGCTTCGCCCGATCAAGCAAATATGGGAAATCGAAGTTGGACGTGTTGTAACCGATGATGACGTCTGGGTCGACTTCTTCAACAAAGTCGCGCCACTTCATGAGCATGTCTCCTTCATTCTGGAAGGAGAGTATCTGCGTCGCGACAATAGGGCTGACTGTGTCCAAGCAGAAGACGTTCCTGACAAATGGCTTCGGTTCACCGTACCTTGTTACAACGTTTGCAATCTGGATGACTGGATCCACATTCGCTTCTGGAAAGATACCCTTGCGGCCAGCGCACTCAATGTCGAAGGAAAGGATGCGGAGGGGAGCGAGCTTCGCCCACTCGCCGTCAGAGGAATGAGCGATCAATTCGCTATAAGGAACCTGCGCCTCGATTTGGCAGTTGGAGTGCCGGTCCCGAGGGTTGATCATCTTGTATTTGCCAACCGGAACTTCAACCCATGACATGCCAGAGACCTGAAAAGTAAGCAACACTCTTGTCTAGTTGTCTAAGAAGCCATACCTTTGTATCGATCATGAATCTGAGCACATAGGCGATGTTGTCAAATGTCAGAATACCATTTTCAGGGGAAGGCCAGAGTTGCTTGTAATTGGCACCTCCCTTCTGTACCATGGTCCGCACGCGGTTGATGAACTTCGGGTCGTTGACGGTTATCTTTAGGTATGGACTCTTCTGGTTTCCTTGGAAGCGCAGAATATTCTCCCTCATCGTCATTTGGACTGAGTTTATGACGGCTGAGTGCTGATTGAACTGCTTCTGGCACTCGCTCTCGAGGAAGACCTGGTAGGGATGGCAGTCCTCTTTGTGGAAGTTGATCGGTGCGGCAACGTAGAAGTAGTGAAGAAAGCCCGTAACGTGGAGGAGGACAGAGTGACCATCCTATGACACAGCGGTTAGCCTGATCTCCAGTCGTCTGTGAGAAACTGTACCTCTGTTACGCCAAATAGTTTCACGGTGGTCCGGCCTCCGCTCAGGACGCCCTCTTCAGCCTCGATTTGTTGAAAGACGAGCTTCTGTGTCATTTCATTGAAGTCATCTGATAGCGGTGGTCGCCGCCATTGCTGGTCTTTCTCTGTGTTTGTTCCCTTCAACGTCTCCATATCCTGCGTCATCTTCTCCAGCGTCTCCTCGAACTGGCTCGGCCCCACTTGACTCGAGTTGAAAGAGCCATTGACATTCTTGACTGGCGGCCTGCTGTGTCCATTGCCGTTGTCCAGCTTCAGCTTCTTCGCAGAGCGGGGCGAAGCCAGTAGGTTGGTGCGGGTGTGTGAGGCTTCGGCGAGGGCGCGTTTCGCCGGCGTCCTTGTAACGGTACCTGGCATCTTCGGATAGGCTGAATACAAGACGCAAGGTAAGAGGAAGGATGTCTTGTGTCGAATTTGATAGAGGATTGTTGATGTTCTGCGGAGCAAACGCGAAAGTACATGGAGTGAGACGCGGCCCTGGGAAAGCGCGACCGCGTCACTGGCTTGTGCCATCCCTGTACGTGATTAATGGGCCGCGCCACACGGGCCACAAGCCACAAGCCACAAGCCACGAGTCACGAGCCACCAGTTCACATGTCTGTCTTGACCTGTGTCATATCGTCGGGCTTTTGACAGGTAATTGACAAGTAATCAAATGCTGGAGGAAACTGGGAATGCTTCATTCGTCATCAAGGTCTTGAAGTTTTAGAGTCTCTTGATCTCACTGCATAATCATCCGTATCGCATTGACAGTAGCATCTCGCTAGGCGTCTCCACCTCCAACAATGTGTCAAAGATCAGCCGACCTCGGGACGAGCGAGCCATTCAGGCCTCTTACGGTAAGCGTTGGCCTAAGCATTACATATCGAGCATTTTCAATTGACTCGGGATCGCTAACCTTCAGCAACACAATCTCGACCCTAGTCACCCGTTCTCGCCGCCACTAGTTGACACAACCATTATCCAGCACGATCCCCCAATCATGGCGACGAACCAAACAGACGTGATCATCACGCCCGTCGAGGATGAGCTAGACCTGAGGCAAGCTAACCACTGTGTCTCCGAAGCTTTCGGTCGCCAGACGAATGATGCCGTCTGGATGCTGATGAACCCTGGCTGGGATACGGAAGAAGGACAGGAGAAGAACGCCTTGAACTTGATCAAGCAGTGGCGGTCCATCACAACCAACAAGGACGGACATCCCAATTCCCTATACTTGAAGGCTACCTTGCCGGACCCGAAAAATCAGGGCAAGCGGAGAGTTGTTGGCCTGGCCGTATGGAAGCAATTATCATTTGTCGAAGGCTGCGGTGATCCGTTTACCGGCGACATGACAGAAGCAGTCAAGGACCTTGATGAGCAGGATCAGCGTTTTGCAACGCAGATGTTCCGCTCACTCTGGAAACGACGCATCGAGTATATACGCGAGGTTTCATCATCCGACTCGGGCCATAGTCCACCTGCTGTCTTCACTTTGGATCTCTGCGCCGTAGACCCAGCGTTCCAGCGACGTGGCATCGCAGCCAAACTGGTCGAAGCCGGCTTGCGAGAAGCAAAGAGGAGAGGCAATTTGGAATGCACGACGGAGGGAAGTGCTATGGGCAGAGCGGTCTACCGAAGATTGGGATTCAGGGATGAAGGTGTGGGCGATATTGTGTTCGAAGTGGATGAAGGGTTCAAAGCGAGGGATAAGCCGCCGAATGTATTTTTGAGGACCGGCGTTTGATGGTACTTCGTAGATCACCCAACGCAACTCGACGTGTACCGTAGAATGAAGCGCCCCGCAATCATTGGCACATCTGTCATCTCCGATGGTGCGGCTCGATAGCTTCTTGCCGTTTGAGGAAGGTGGGATGATAGGCCTAAGAGTGGGACATTCGAGGTCGCTCCAAGCTACCCCGCCACGTCAAAAGTCCACGACGACCCCATCCTCGTCGTTCACTCTCTTTGCGTGTCAGAAGTCTCATATTTCCTTTCGACTGTTACAGATACAATAGGGCTTGGACTGACCACGAAAAGCCCCGATTTGACACGCGAAGTCGGCCCCAACCGCCGCTATGTCTATTGTCGACATTCATACCCATGTCTACCCTCCAAAGTACATGGAGCTGTTGCGGTCACGTTCGACCGTTCCATACGTTCGCACATTCCCTGATGCACCTGACTCTGCGCGCCTCATCATTCTACCTGGCGAAGATGACCCATCAACGCCATCGACCTCACGCGGTCGTCCAATAGGTACTGAATACTACGACATCAGAGAGAAGATAGCATTTATGGACCTCCACAAGATCGACAAATCCGTGATCTCGTTAGCCAACCCCTGGCTGGACTTCTTACCTGCTGAAGAAGCGGGCGAAGCAGCACAGAAGATCAACGACGATGTGAACGATCAATGCTCGCAATACCCCGGACGACTGTACTTCTTCGGTACGCTACCACTTTCTGCATCACCTGATGTTATAACCGCCGAAATCGAACGGTTAGACACATTAAAATACGCAAGGGGTGTGATAATGGGCACGTCCGGGCTTGGACAGGGGCTTGACGATACGAACCTGGACCCAGTATACGCAGCACTGGAGAAGCATCAGCAACTCATATTCTTACACCCTCACTATGGCCTTCCATCTTCCGTATATGGACCGCGCGCAAGCGAGTACGGGCACGTGCTCCCCTTAGCACTAGGCTTCCCGTTGGAGACGACTATTGCGGTAACCAGAATGCTGCTTAGTGGTGTATGGGACAAATTCACGAAACTCAACGTGTTGCTGGCACATTCAGGTGGTACACTACCCTTCCTGGCTGGTCGTATTGAGTCCTGTATATTACATGATGGACATCTGAAGAAACTTGGCAAGACGGAGAAGCGTAGGGATGTGTGGGATATCTTGAAAACGAATATCTATCTCGATGCAGTCATCTACTCTGAGGTTGGACTGAAGGCTGCTCTCGAAGCCTCAGGGTCTGATCGGTTGTTGTTCGGTATGTAAACAGGGTTGACATGACCAGCAAGATGCTAACGCGGCGCAGGTACGGATCATCCATTCTTTCCACCGCTAGAGGAAGATGCCAGTGAATGGCACAGTGTCACAGCGAACTACGGGGCTATCGCGAAAGCGCTTGCTGGGGATGAGAAGAAGGCACATGGTGTACTTGGCGGAAATGCGACCCGGATATTACGGCTTGACTAGACGTGAAGAAACCCTAGCCGTATTCATCTTACATCTTTAACTTTTGTGGATCATGTTACATGCCCCAGTACAAAGGGTACTACCAAGTACTTCGATGGACTGTATGTGCAAGAGCCTAGAGGTATCTGGGCCTCAATGAAATTGGTTTGGCTTCGTGCGAAAGGGTACGGTAGTCTGCTCAAAGTAAAAATCCACTATGACCTAGCTAGCTATTTGAGCCTTATCTAGACGGCCTCGCTGCAACGTCACGTAAGGGTTAAGCTTGATTCCCACGAAGGTTGCATTGACCGGGGTATGAGCATGCGGGGCGGAATAAATACGGCTGGTGACATCCTTGCTAGACAACCATAACTTATGAACGAGTACAAGTACTACGATCCCACCATTCTAAGCGTGTAGCCATCGAATTTACTTTTCACCTTTCCTTGGTATGGCGCTACGATTCTTTTCGATCTTAATTTGTATTGTTAGTGCTCTTCAGCCACTCCCACCTGTGCAGTGGGTCGGCAGTAACTCTACGAACTCCGGGTTCTCCTTGAGCAAAGCATCGAGGGAGATTTATATTGACAGGTCTTTCGGAAATGTCAGAGATACAGAGGGTCTGACACTAATACCACCGACCGCCCATGAATTCGCGGAAACATTCCGCAGCGACATCTCAGCGCTCTTTGGTGGAGATTGGACGCTCGTGCAAGTCGATGAACTTCCTTCGACCGGAATTCTACTAGGAAGATTTAGGGGTAGTGGGGACCAGATTATCTATGAGAACGGTCGTGTCACAGAAGAAGGGTATGAAATCGAAGTCACTGATGGGAGGGTGTATATTGGCGGGGTCGGGGCGCGAGGCTTGTTCTGGGGCACACGAACCCTTCTCCAAGAACTACTGATCTCGAATGGCTCGGTTTCACCTGGTCGAGCAGTAGATACACCTGCGTATGCAACCCGCGGGTATATGGTAGGTCTCCGCGGTACAATGTGCATTCCCTTCTTTGCAGGATTCGCTTACCTCATAATAGGTACGTTTTATTTTTGCCTTCAAAATCATCGTCAAGTTGCATTTCCTACAAGACGCCTTCAGGTACCTAATTATTCTCTTGTGAGCTTGCACTAATTTGGTACCCCCTGGTCTACCAGCTCGATGCAGGAAGGAAATGGTACGCACCTGATCTCCTAAAGGAGCTGTGCACGTACGCTTCATTCTTCAAGATTTCAGAATTTCATTACCATTCCAGCGACAACTACCCTTTGAATCGCGGTCACAATGATACCTGGTCCGAAGTCTTCTCGCATTTTTCCCTGTATCCGGAAGAGAACACAGAGTTGCAAGGACTCATTCAACGCCGAAATGAAACTTTGTCCCGCGCCGACTTCGAGGGCTTGCAGACACACTGTGCGCAGCGAGGTGTCACTATAGTGCCCGAGATTGAAGCACCTGGTCACGCCCTCGCGATCACAAAGTGGAAGCCTGAACTAGCATTGGTAAAGAAGGACTTACTAAACCTGAGCCATCCGGATGCAATTCCAACAGTCAAGGCTATCTGGGCAGAATTCTTGCCTTGGTTTCAGACCAAGGAAGTGCATATTGGTGCAGACGAGTACGACTCTGAGCTAGCGGACGACTACATCAATTTCGTGAACGAAATGGCCACGTTCATTAACACGACATCGGCGAAGCGCATCCGCATATGGGGCACACATGAGCCATCTGTGAATCTCGAAGTCTCCAAGGAGATTATTGTTCAGCACTGGTAATTCGGGCAATCAGATCCTGTCGACCTTCAGGGTACCGGGTACAGTTTGATCAACTCCGAGGACTGGTGGGCGTACATGAGCCTCAAGAATGACCACATGCCTATACTACCAGCAAGATATCCGCAGTTTTACAATGTAACGCGCACCATGAACTTTGCCAATGTTCCAGGTCTGCAGTGGGATCCGTCGCTGTTCAACCCGATTAACACAACAGAGCAGCTTCAGCCAGGTGCGAGCGGGAACAAAGGGGCTATATTAGCTGCATGGAATGACAATGGCCAGGATTCTACGACGCAGCTGGAGGCGTACTATGCCATGCGGGAAGGAATACCCGTGATGGCAGCGCGTTCCTGGGCGGGAAAACGAGGCGCGAAGATTAAAGTGGAGGAACTGGCGGAGAGTATCGCGCTTTTGGTATGTATGTCTCTCCCTCACACGGCAATACTCTACTAACCTCACCATTCATTAGGCGTCTAAGGCCCCTGGACAGAACCTTGATCGAAGACTACCCTTTTCGCAGCAGCCTTCTCAGAACTCACCACTGCTTTCATGGACACGGAAATCCCTGGATCCCACAAGTACACTCTTGAGCAAAGGCTCGTACGGACCGCCTTACACATTAACACTTAACGTGTCCTCGCCATTTACCCTCTGGGGGCCCGACACTTCATTATCCTTAGTTGCGAATATCAGTTTTAGCAGTCCTAACACCACGACGTTAATCTTCACCACCGCGGACAACTTCCCATATCCCTTACGCTCTGTCTCCAAACATGATGGCCACGACCCCGGCCATCCAGGCCGTATATGGACCAATCAGTCCACATCATCACATGAGCCCGTCACAATTTCTTTACCCGCAACACTGCGTATCGAAACGGATGTCGGCAATGGCAGTCGTGTGTGGGTGAACGAAGAGTTTGCGGGTCGTTTCGAAGTTTTCGTGTTTGGGGGTCGCAATACGTTGTTTAGCTGGAGTCAGATGGCGCTTGTCACCCCACTGGAGAAGATTGAGGGTGGTATTGATGGGCTGAAGCTTGAAGAGGGCGTGGGATCGCGACTGTCTCAGAATGGCAATGATAGTTATGTTGGGCCGCCAGTGGAGAATGCAGCAGGAAAGTTAGTGGCGTGTAGGGCGGGGTTGGTTGGTCTGCTTTTCGGTCTGGTGGCATTCATTTAATCAACATAGGGTCCAGATGGCTAAACGGGAATGTGCAAAGTAGTGGGTGACATAGCATTGCATGCTCGATGATCATCCATCCCATGCCACTTTAGTATCAGTGTACCCAGTGAGTGATGTCTGTGTATTTGGAAAGCTTTCGTTCTGTTTTCTCAGACCCTAGTACGTAGCCGTTAACCTCTTTATGATATAATCCCCGCTTGTCACATCTTCATAATTCCTTCCCGTGCTCTCAAATGTCCCTGGTATCGCCTCAATCATTCGGTCGTAGTTGGGGTTGCAGAAGTATGCTATTGAATACCTTGGCGGGTACTCATCCTTGTCTGCGTCCTCTGGCTTTGGCGGCGGCTCTATGACGCGGTGGATTGTCGACTTGATTGTGTCATTGGACCAGCGCGTTAATAGGTCGCCAGCGTTGACGACAATAGTGCCTTCGATGGGCGTCCCATTGACGAACGTACCCTTTGGCGAACGCACTTGTAGACCACCACGCGCATCTTGAAAGAGGAGGGTTATCGAGCCTGAGTCGTGTCAGCTAGCTAGCTTCAGTGCTCAGCGTACACATCCCTACCGTAATCGCTGTGCTCGCCTGCCCGGACCTGTACGTGTCCATCATCTCTCTTGAAGATGGACTTGGGCACGCTAGGATAGTGCAGCAGTCTCAGCGTGTTGTCACCCGCATCCGTGAATTTGTCGAACCAACTCTCCTCGATACCCATACCCAGTGCAATCGCTCGCATGACTTGTATGTTAAGGCCCTTACACAATTCAAAAAAGCGCAACATCTCCTTCTTGAATTCTACCGCTTGCTCATCCCCGCTGGGCCACATGTTTGGCGTCTCAGGCTGATCATCCCGTCCAATCTCCAGGCTCTCCTTCAGATCTGGCACGGTTTTTCGCAGTTCCGCCTCCGTTCCTGTCTCCTCCAACACAACGAGCTTCTCGCGGCCCTGCGCAGTGTAGCCACGATTCGCTGCGGCCGAGTACCATGCTAATGCGTCCTTCTGCTCCTTGGGGCGGGCGAAGAATTTTGCCGAATGCGAGAAGACGGTGGATACGGCAGAGGGCGATATACCGTGGTTTTTGAGGTAGATGAAGCCCGAGTTCTGGAAACCATGGAGGACAGCGTCGGCGGTCTGTTTTCTTGCGATGTGGCTGCCAGAAAGGAAGGCGGAGAAATCTATGAGCTGGACATTGTTAAAGGAATCAAAGGCTGCGAGGGGCCAAAATGGATGCGTACTGGAATGACTAGGTCATCCTGCGAGACTGCGGAATCCACCGTGATCTCTGCCATTGTCACGTAGGCTTATTAGAGGTTGCGGCGCGTCGTGAATAAGTGTACGAGGCCGACGACAGGCATCAGGCGATAAACGCAATTCACGCTTCAGCGGCCATCTCCGCCATGGCGCGAGCATGGGAAGATGCCCAGGTATCTTGTCACGAGGGGTCATGCCGTAGGCGGAAGGTGCACACGAGGAGGGATGTGGTTGCATGAGCGATAAGGCTAATGGTGGGGTAGAGCTCAACACCAAGGCGACATCGTGACAAGTTCGCCCGACAGCCCGACAGTCGATTTCAACTTTTAAGATTCTGATGGTTTAGTCTACATATTTGTGTTTTCTACTTTATCGTGTAGTTAGTTCCTGTTTGATCTTTGCGATTCCCGTCTACATCAACACAACAAAGAGGTAACAAAGGGTCACAATACTACACGAAGAGGCATGTATATGCAGCAGTCTATTATGAAGTCGCTTTACCGAGATTACCAAACCATCGAGCTAGAGTAGAGGAGAGTGTAGGTAAAACGCCCGCATCTTCCGACGAAGAGACCAAGCCGACACTAGTGCGAGGGAAGGTTAGCGCATCGGAGAAAACTCGACTCCTGTCGACTACACACCAACCAATCCATCTCTGAGCCATCTCCAGCAGCATTGTAGCATCATCATGTCTTGTTAGCATTTCTGCATTTTATCGGCGTTCTTCCCTTTCAGCAAAGCAGCAGAGAGACTGTTCATGGATCGGCATCAGCGTATCGTAGGCCAAGTTGCCTCTAAAGTCAAGGAATATTTCACGCGCAAAGAGCCCTTCCGCATCTCACACGGCTCAACCAACAGCACACGCCCGAATCTCAAAAGGCGCGTTGTCGACATCAGCTCTCTCCGCAATGTTGTTAGCATTGACGAGAAAAATAAAACTGCGCTTGTAGAACCAAATGTCCCCATGGATCGGCTCGTAGAGGCCACGCTTCCTCATGGCCTCGTGCCGCCTGTTGTCATGGAGTTTCCTGGCATTACTGTAGGAGGAGGGTATGCAGGCACCGCGGGCGAGAGCAGTAGTTTCAAATATGGTTTCTTCGATCGCACAATCAACGAAGTGGAGATGGTACTAGCGGATGGCGCGGTGGTAAAGGCAAGTGAGAAGGAGAATAAAGATTTATTTCGAGGAGCTGCGGGTGCGGTAGGAACACTGGGTGTTACGACCTTGGTCAATCTGAAACTTATTCGGGCCAAAAAGTATGTGAAAACGACGTACTATCCCACGCGTAGCGTTGCTCAGGCGGTCAAGGAAGTCAGAGAGCAGACGCAAGGTGGGAAGGGCGATAAAAATCACTACGTGGATGGCGTATTGTTCAGCAAAGAGCATGGCGCAATTATTACGGGCGAGATGACCGACGAGCTTCCAGTGAACACGAAGCCGCAAACATTCAGCAGCCCTTGGGACCCATGGTTCTATCTGCATGTCGAAGCAGCAACCCGCGCCTCCACAGCGCCAGTAGTTGAGTACATCCCGCTCGCCGAGTATATGTTTCGTTACGATCGCGGGGGCTTTTGGGTTGGTCGCTCGGCATTCGGCTACATGCGCTTTCCCTTCAACAAGTACACTCGGTGGTTCTTAGACGACTTTTTGCACACACGAATGCTGTATCGCGCTCTGCATGCCTCGGGTATTGCAACACGCTATATCGTGCAAGACATGGCCCTACCGTATTTAAAGGCCGAGAAGTTTATCGACTATACCGACAAGACGTTCAACATCTGGCCAATCTGGTTATGTCCTCTGAAACAAAGCGAGCAGCCTACAATGCACCCTCACACCAAAGGCGAGCTGAAAGATGACCAGATGCTAAACATTGGGCTGTGGGGCTTTGGGCCGAAAGATCCGAAGGAGTACCTTCGCAAGAATCGCGCGCTCGAGAACACTCTAGGTGAAATGGGTGGTATGAAGTGGTTGTATGCACATACATACTACAACAAGGACGAATTCTGGGCACAATTCGATCGCAAATGGCATGAAGGGCTACGGAAGAAGTACAATGCGGAGACGTTCCCTGGTGTATATGATAAGGTGCATGTTGACATTGAGAAATATACGGCCATGGCGAAGAAGGACTGGGGCTTGCGATTGAGGGGTATCTGGCCGCTTAGTGGATTCTGGGGGATTTGGAAGGCGATACAAAGTAAAGACTACATGGCCCATCGCAATTCGACGTGGAGATGGAGAGAGTGATGTATGTACACTCTAGCAGTGTATAGAAGACACAGTTGTGTGAGTATGTAACATTAAGAGTTAATAAGACACGAGAGGATTGCGATATTCTAGATGTTTACGAATTGCTCGTGCAGTTGCGTGGCAACCCTGGTAAAAGGTGATCTCTATTGTCATGTAAGGAGCCAATTTGACTTGCGGTAAACAGGAATGATAGCTCTGTCAAATTCCCTGGACAACAAGTGGTAACGGTGTTAAAATACTCCAAGCAGCTGTTCCTCGCATAATGCAACATCCTGCTGCTCATTATCGAAAAAAATGGCGTAATTTCAGTACATTGTACAATGGCAGGCAGTTAAACTCGCCCAAAATTGGTAGCTCAGGTTTACTCGAATCATGATTTCACTAACTAAAATAGTCATTGCTGGGGCTCATTTAGTTGAGAGTGAATGGGAAAGGACCTACATAGTGCAGCTCAAGACTTGCAACCACAGCAACGCGCCCCGTGATCTAGCCTCATCAAAACCTAGACTCCCACCCATCATATCAATCATACTGAACTCAATTAGTCCTCCCTATAATTCCACACTTCGACTCAACCACCGCGACGGATCAGCCTCAACTATCTTCCACGACCACCTAGGTCAACTGACACGATCTTCACATTCCCCAAGGGCTGGTGCAGTATCAACACCAGGACACCGTTCGACATGTCGTGTCCGGCTAGTAACGCCGATGACCATGGTGTCTATCCAGATGGTCACGACGAGACTTATGATCCCAACACCGCCATCAGTTCACACCAGCTTGAATTCCCCACCATCACCGAGGAACTGCACCCCACCGAGTCACTCCATCCCGCCGAGTCATTCAATCCTCCCTCGTCATTTCATTTCCGATACTCGGCAAGCGCTCAACAACCAAACCCCCAGTCACGCGACAAGCAGCAAACTAATTGCAAAAGCATTACAAACGATATGGCATGTCGCTTTGACCCGCCCCTTGATGTTCCAGAGACCAATCCAGCCTTCATCAAGGGGCTCTGGGTTGCAGTGCGAGATATCTCCAACAACATCGTTCCAGTTTCTGAAGGACTTCCCTCTAGCTTGCGTCGAGCCCTCGAGCAGCGCTGTATCACCATGGAGTTGCATAACTTGGGGAAAATCGGTCTCCGAATGGTCTCTCCCAATGTGAACCGGACGGATATCACAAAAGAAGAGAGCAAGGTCTTCAAAGAAGCCTACCCCTGGCTCGATGTATGCGTACCCGATGGAGAAGCGGACTTGATCCACCGCGACATCGAACAACTACGGAAGTCGCTGCAGGCAACGCGAGAGCTGCAGATACTCCTCTTTAGCAGGCTTTTCCGTCCTTATGACCTGCGAGAGGACCCACCTACTGGTGCAAACCTACATCCCCCAGTCCGAGTGTTCGATCAATCACTTCTGCAGCTCCCTGCAGTTGAAGAACTACCGGGACTCGAGCAGCCTCCTATCAAACAGAGCAGCACACCAAACCCCATATCAGGAATAATTACGTCTCCACAAGAAGTCAAATGGCCCAAGGCACTCACATGTGTGTACGGCTTGGATTTAGACAAATTCGTAGACGAGATCGCCTATCTGATTCCAACTGGATTCAATCTCGCCGGATTTCCAGAGCGGCTCTTGTTCCCTTATCTGAGCATCGACATGGAAATGGACATGGCTTCTCGAGTTGACACTTTGACACAGCTTGACAGGAGACAGAAAATCGTCTTCGCAACAGGACTTATTGCGTATCAGTATTGGAAGATTATGCAGAAGAAGAAACTCACCCTCGAGAAGAAAGGTCAGTACTACAAGAAGTTTCAGCACTGGAGCGTGCTCTTTCCCGAACCGCATGCTGCAGCACCGAAGTGGGAACTATTCGTCACTGTTATCAAGGACAAGGAGAGGGACCAGTGGGCTGGAACGGAGACGCAGATGGTTGCTACTGGAACGCTGTCAGCGACCGGCCTTGCGAAATTGATCCGACATCTCAATTACGTTCATATCTGGGCTATAACGGAATACTCGGCGGCCTGCAAATCACTTATAGAGGATTTGGGTGTGTTCTAAATTAGCGTACTGGTTTCATTGCAGTATAGAGGAACCGAAGAAGCGGGGTTTCAAGAGTAAGAACACTGCATGAAGTAAATTACCGCTGGCATGGGAACGACGAATCACGCTTCTTATTAGTAGCCCCGGAGATAGCTCAATCAATGTCTGCTTCATTCACAGCATCTTCACCATTTTGCAGCGTTACAATGTCACCAATCCTTATTTGATTCATACACACTCTTCATGAGCCTCATGTCAGCTCCATCTAATAGCTCGTCTGGCACAGAAGCTTAGACCACTTTCCCGTAAATGGCACTCAACATAGTGAAACCAATTGATAGAGAAACTAGTGAGATCACTATAGGTAATGCTGGCTTGGCCCTCACACTTGAAAACAATACACTAGCAGCACCTACCTACGCCCAAGAATTCCTGATGAGCTATCGCTGATTTCCGTGGAGGTACTTTGAGTACGGAGATTAACATAGTTGATGCTAAAATTAAGACCATGTTTTCCTTTCCGTGAAGGCCGTTTTCCCTCCTTAGTCGCATATGTAAGTACTTGGACAAGAGTCGTTGACTATACGGCCTTCCAATTTTGTTGATATTCATGCTTGCCATCTTCTCTTGAGATGCCAATCTCCCTCTTGATGGTGATGCCTCTTGCTAGCTTGTAATCGCTCTGGTCACTAGTCGGGCTTGGTGGATTTTGAACAAACCCAATCTTTTGGCCATTTCCAACGATCTCCTCCTCGCTTTCGTTCGCTTTGGTACGGAGAACACTCACGTCATACTGATCTTTCACTGGCCGTAGGCGTAGCCACGAAGCCTTTGAGCTAGGATTGCCTGAACGAGATAGCTCATGCGACTCATTTCCATTTGATGGCTGATTTGATGCGTAGGCGGAGGAGCCCGTCGGTTTGTTGGTCCAGAATCGGCGAGTAAAAAGGGGGCGGATCATGGTAGCCTGGCCAATGATGACCGCGACGACATCTTCTCGACATGACCAGATGGCAGCTGTCTCTCCTTGTTTAAGCTTGAATATATGTCAGTAAAGCAGGGGCGGCATCAGGTAAGTAGGGCTCACCTTGAGAACAAAACAGACTCGTAAGATAGCAGCGGTCATGATGAAAATACCCGCACAGAAAAGAATCACGAGTCCAAGCTTGCGAGGCCATGATATTCTCAGAGGAAGTATAATAGGAATCGGAATAAGGATGATGCAAGTATCCGTCAGGAGGTTCAGTGTGAGGACCGTAATTAAAAACGCTGGGCTTTGCGGCGTGCAATATGCTACGGGCTGTCAGCTAAAAACACCTGCCAGGGTAACGTTGGGGCACTTACGTCCTGGATGAGGGTAAACCTGCCATAGCTTATCGAATGGGCGACATCCTAATGCGAACAGGATCCAGATGGAGACACCACTCCCACCCACAAATACCATTGTTGGAACGAGGAACTTGTTTACCCATACGACGCTGACGACACGCCGATAGAAAAACAGCATGTTCAGTTTCAACGTCCAAATGAGACCGACGTATGTGTACCATCCGACCATGAACCACTTGGTTCCGTTCTGGCGCAACACTACTTGCTCTGGTGTCATGGATCGAAGCTGCTCTGGTGTCAGGTACGAGGTGTCGCCGGTTCCCGCTACGATATGTGCTGCTACCGTCATTACAGCATAGCATGCCTGTAAGCGTCAGTTTGTTCTATATAATTTCATCCCAGTCACCAAGCAACGTACCCATGCGAAAAAGACCATATAGTCATCAGCGCAAAACCCAGAAATTCCCACCATACGCAGCCGCGAGAAAACTCTCAGCATGATGAAAATACTTCCCACGGCGAACAGGGACCATGTCTCTATAAGAGCGGCCTCTAAAGGGCTGACTGCCATGGGTGCGTAAGACAGGGGAGAAAGAAAAGTGAAGTTGTAAAGTGCACCCAGAGCTCTCTGTGAGCTGTAGAAGCGGTATTTACAATAACAAATAATAGTAGTTATTTACACAACGCATCGATGGAACCGGAACTACTGCGTAACAATGCGATGCTGCTGAACAAGGGCGGATAACATATGGCAAACAAGTATAGTGCGACATTAGAAACTTTTAATTCTCCGAGCGTTAGAGGGTAGCACAGGAAGGATTCTCAACCTGGAATCCTGACTCCTGAATACTCGCACGGGTCTATCATGGTGATGTGGCCAGGACAACAACAGTGGTGAGCCGCTGGGTTAGGTTTGCGCAGATCTTTATCGTAGCAAACACAAAACGGTACTTTCAGAGGTTGATCTCTAGGCACTGCCTCTTAATTTCATTGAGCGGCGAAGTCTATGTCAGTTGAAATGTCTCGAATCAGTGCCATGCCCGGTGCCTCGGAAATAATACTGAGTCTCAGTCATGGGCAAGCACGTGCGATAACTCCTACTATACGATAAGCACTAGACCCGGTACGGGGCTACGCGTGTTCCCGCAGCCCCATCCCGTGTGGGACTCGGCAAAACCGCGGGCATTCCAAGCGACGTTCCTTCGAATTTGACCGCAACTTCTTTTGCCGCTACTACCGCAGCTATCTCCCTTGGTAGGCTACGATCTTGAACAACTCTGAAAAGTACGAAGATAACTCTTAAGAAATAACCCTATAAGCACCTACTATCAGGGCATATATTCGTACCAAAAGGTCGCGTAAAGAACGACAGGTTATGCATTGTTCTTACTGTGTTCCCCAATAGTAAGCGGGCGGGATTATGTGCGCTCAACCACGCGCTTCCCATGATCGGCTTTTGGGAAACATGGGGACAGAGCCGAGCCGAAAGGGTCGGCAGTTGCCTATGTCTACATAAGCAGCATAATTGACAGAAGCGATTCAGTGCCTAGCCCTTTTCCCCCACTTGGCAATTTCAAGATTAGCCGCATAAAATCCTCAAGGTATTTGATCCATGGCTCTGGCCGTGCAGTGATATTCCAACAACTAACCACATTCTCTGGTTATGACCTGGCCATCAGCTCACTTTTCACGGAGGGCCTACTCGTTGAAAACGGCTTACCTAGTCCGAAGGCCAAGGTTGCTACCCGGCCAGTCCTCCTTCAAGCAATCTCTGCATTGCCACCCATCGGAAGATTTCCAAACTCTGTAACATTCTGCCACCAGCGCACTGGGAACCTACAGTCTTCGATCAGCATGGATCACACTGTTGAACTGAAGTTTTCTTCCTTGAATCTGAACGCTAATGACGCGAACGGCAATCAAGTCCAGGAGCTCGATGCTCTAGTTGTCGGTGCTGGCTTTGGCGGCGTCTACCAGTTGAAGGTAATTCGCGATGCGGGATACAAGGTGAAGCTGGTCGAGCATGGTGACGACTATGGAGGCGTGTGGTACTGGAATCGTTATCCGGGTGCTCGGGTGGACAGTTCTATTCCGCATTATGAATTCTCCGACCCCAAGCTATGGAAGGATTGGACATGGAAGCAGAGATTTCCCGGTGGTCCGGAGCTACGTGCTTACTTTGCGCATGTAGCCGACCTATGGGATCTAAGGAAAGATACGCAGTTCAACACCTTCGTGTCGTCAGCAACCTGGAACGACTCCGAGGCTAGATGGACGGTGAAGACGAAGGCCGCCGAGGTTTACAAAGTGAAATATCTTCTGCTAAACACTGGGTTTGCCGCGAAGAGGTATATTCCGGATTGGAAAGGCATCGACTCTTTCAAAGGTTTGTCAGCATTTTTCGTCATAACGGTCGGTGCTAAAAACTACAGGAACATTCCTCCACCCCTCATACTGGCCTCATGAAGAGCCTGATCTCAAAGGAAAAAGAGTGGCCGTCATTGGCACTGGCTCTACTGGCATCCAGATTGCCCAAGAGCTTAGCAAAGTAGCCAGCCAGCTTACCGTTTTCCAACGTACCCCCAACATGTCTTTGCCAATGGCACAAGTCGAGTACGACCTTCCCAAGCAAGCTCTTCCAAAGTCCGAATATCCAAACCTCTTCGCCGGCCGTAACGACAGTTTCTCTGGCTTCTCTTTCAACTTCCTTCCTCGATCTACCTTCGAAGACACCCCCGAAGAACGCCAGAAGACATACGAGGGGTTGTGGAGCAAAGGCGACTTCGAGTTCTGGCTTGCTACATATTATGATATGCTCTTCGACCCAAAGGCTAACGGCGAAGCCTACAAGTTCTGGCGCGACAAAACCCGGGCAAGGATCAACGAGTCCAAGGTTGCAGACATTCTGGCACCCATTGAACAGCCGTATGCTTTCGGCTGCAAACGTATCTCACTAGAGGACGAGTACTTTGAGATTTACAACAAGCCCAACGTCTCGCTCGTCGATATCAGCAACAAAGGAACACCAATTCAAGGGTTGACTGAGAAGGGCATCAAGACCACGGACAAAGAATACGAGTTTGACTTCATTGTCTGCGCGACAGGATACGATGCTATAACGGGTGGCCTCCGTCAGATCGACATCCGGGGCCCATCTGGTGAGAGCCTGAGTGACTACTGGAAAGCCGGTGCGAAGACTTACCTTGGTCTCACCGTCTCTGGTTTCCCCAACATGTTCTTTACATATGGACCACAAGCTCCTACCGCCTTATGTAATGGACCGACATGTGCCGAGCTGCAGGGCAACTGGATCTTGAACATGATGAATCACATGAAGGAAAATTCTCTCAAGAAGATCGACGCTCAGAAGGAAAGCGAAGCCCAATACAAGGAACTCATCTGGAAGCTTGCAAATGTTTCGCTCCTGCCAACTGTGGACTCAGTAAGTTGCCGCACCAAAAACGCTTCTCAAGGTTGATATGCTGACATATTTATAGTGGTACATGGGCACCAACATTCCTGGAAAGCCAAGAGAGCCTTTGATTTACCTCGGAGGAGTGCCAACTTACTATAAAACTATCAACGAGGCTGCCGCCAATGGCTATACTGGGTTTAGTTTATCGTAGGGATTTGTAAGCTATTAGTTATGTCTATGCAGGAAGGGTCGATTTTTATCAGCGTAACCGGAAGCAGAAAAGATGAGTTTGCTAGTTCGCGCGTATCTGAGCAGCAGGATGATTACGCAGATCTAAGACGTCATAGTCTGCAAGCGTATCAGAATCGCACTCCAGAAGGCTTGTCGTTATAATCACTACTTCCGTCTTGGCCTGCTCCTCCGAGATGCGAATTTCACCTTTGTTCTATTCCCAGGTGTTATCTTCGATCTTCACACCACGCTGCTCTGGCTCTGATCCGTGACCGAGATGCGCGATTTATCATCCTGATCCTCAGGCTCGAAACCGGCTTTGACCTTCTCAAAGTTGGCGTAGCTAATTCCCAGACCCCACAGTGCAGTGGTCTGCCACTGCATGGCCTGTAGTGACCTATGATTTGATTTGCATATGAGCATGGAAATGCCTGGGTGATGTTCTAAAGTTGGCACATACCTCTAAGTCCTGTAGGAACAGGGGAGAGAAGAAAAGAGCCTAACGCTTGAATAGCTCTCCGCAAATTATAAAAGCAGTATTATAATATAATTTCTCTGTTTGCAAATAACGTCAACGCTAGCGAGAGCGGATCATACAACGCAACAGGAGAAATATTAATACTGTATATATAGGCTATAGTAGTAATGATAGACATAAATTTAGATCGCCAGCGACAAGTCCAGCTAGCAGAGTATAGACTTGTGATTCTTTGTACAGCACTAGAAGTCGTGAACTCCATCCACGACGTATATATAGAGACAATCAGTCAGAGACTTCACACGCTACTCCTATGCATGTGAAAAATTAAGATGTTATTAGTGGAAAGATATGATAGGCCCCATTTGCTCTTGAAAAGCCCTAACTAAGTAAAGTAACAGAATATCAATCTTCAAGCTTCGGCATTCCATTACAGTGTCTATAAAGTTGTGAGCAGATCTTTTCCCTCCGTTGGCACCTTCTATTAAACACGAAGATTCATTCTAGCAAAGCGAGCTTCGTTCTGCAAGATAAAACTAAACTCAAAGCACCGAGCATAATTCTCCATCAGGATGTTTGGCCCTGACATGCACTCACATACTCACCCCTGGATGCTTAGCCAGATTTCCCGTTACTCAGTACCAGAACTTATCGCCGTCTACAAAGATATATCGACGACCATGGCCTTCGCATATGTTCCATACTACATGATGATAAGATATCGCCAGACCGCAAATCTTATTGAGGAATATGTTGAGAGAATAGGCGGATCGCTCACTGGAGTTCTACTAGAGAGATCCCCGATGGCACTAGCTCAAGATGCGGTGCCAGATATTATAGTCCAGGCACCTCAACAGCAGGTAGTTCGAGTACAGGCTCCGCCTCCGGCTCCGCGGGTTATCCATGTGCCATCACCTCAACCACAAGTCATCATTGAAACTGTTGATCATCTTGGTCGCGTCATCTCGAGGGCTCCGGCGCCGGAAACCCCTGGTTCTACTACAGCTATACCTTCACTGCCTATGATAGAGAACGGGTCCGCAAACGAGGTGCGTGCTAGTGAGTCGGAGAATGACAGGAAGTATCGAGAGTGGAAGGAACGACAGGGGAAGTTGTGAGTTCTAAGGTTACTTAGTTGCTGTCAGTCTGTAAGGGACTAAGTAGACGCTTGTGGTTAGGTCTTCAAATCTTGTAGCATTTCGAGGAATGATCAATCGATTCTTAAAAGTAAAAATGTGTACAAGATACCTTAAACGGTTCCAAAGCCTTGCTAACTATATAAATCTATACTTCCCATGTATTCTGTTAGCTTACCTTAAATTATGTAGATGCTATATTATAAGGTATGTTCTTTACTTTGTTTGAATTATTCCTTTATACATTGCAACTTAATCTGAGCACCTAAATCTAGGCCCTATTCGGCTCTGTCTGCTTTTAGAATAGTTCCGTGAATTTATACTGCATTTGATACATTCTAATGAAATCTCGGCTACAGTTAGGAATGTGGTGACAGTGGTAGAGGTACAGTAGTGCCACAATGCTTTCAATTTGCGCTCCCTAAGATTCAAACGCAGAATATAGTTCTGTTCTCCGTGATTCATAATTGCAGTCACATTCAGTATATTGATATATCCAGCTTAAGAAACGGCGTTGTACGATTGAATACGCATTAGCCGTAGTCGAAGTCGCGAAAAGAATATTCAATGGCTTATCATATTTAAAGTCCCGTCTTACAAGATATACGTTCTTCTATAGTCTTTTCTAACAACCTTGAGTATCCAATCTCTATAAATTATCACCCAGACCTCTTCCACCAACTTATAACGCGCACCATGGCCTATCGAAACGAGGAGTCGATAATTTACCGGTCCCGCCACCCGATTCCCACATGGGACATTGAAAGGAAGGATTCTGACTACTTGAAATGGAGTGTCGGGGCCATCATCGACTACATACAAGAGAACAGAAATTTTTCGTTGATGTTTGAGGACATAATCCTGGACGATATGACGACTACAGTAAATCGTATGCTGGTAGTACTTGTACGTCGATATGGGAGTCTAGATTTAGTTGGACTTGAAGCGGAATATCTGGCCTTCATTCAGCGTATGCAGCAGCCACAGCAAGATATTATCCTCAACCAGAATCCGCAGCAACTTTTCGTACGACAAAGACAGCCGAACATAGTGGTACGACAGCAGGAGGCACAGAAAATGCCACTGCAACAAGGAGAAATCATTGTCCAGAAGCAAGAGAGATTGCAGATGTTTGGGGCACACACCAATGCTCAGGGTGTTGCAAACCCGCCCAAGGCTTTTAAGCACGATATCTCATACAAAGACAAGTATGCAGCGGCGACAAAGGAGCGAGAGGAACAGCACTATAAGCGCAAATACGAAGAAGAGTTGAGAAAGACCGAGGAGAAGGAGTTCAACCGCCGCTACGAGGAAGAGAAGCGGAAGGATCGGGAGCAGGACGAATCCTTCCGGCGTAGATTCGAGCAGGAACAGTCCAAAGAACAGGAGGAGGACGAGTACAAGCGGAAATACGAAGAGGAGCTGATGAAAACCGAGGACGACGAGTTCGAACACCGCCACGAACAGGAAAGAAGAGAACTAGGGGACCTAGACGAGGTTTTTAGGCGTAGATATGAGGATGAGCAACGGAGGGAGCGAGAAGAGGCTGACCGTTTGCAGAAGCAAAGTGAGGAAGGAAGCTTCAAGCGAAAGTATGAAGAGATAATGATGAAGAAATTGAGGCACGAAGAGGAGACCAGCCGCACAGAACGACCGGTAGAACCTACCAGACCTGTCATTACAGAAATTAAAAATGATAGCAGCAGCGACAGTGACGGTGAAAAACGATTCGACCCATACGAAGCCCTTGGATTACATGAGCGGGACCGAACACCAGAGAATGTGATCAAAAGTACTTATAGTAGGCTAGCGTTGATTCTCCACCCCGATAGGCAGATGGCCAAAACTGAGACGCAGAAAAGGAAGGCAGCCACACGAATGTGCGACATCAACCGCGCAAAGGAAATCCTTCTTGATGTAGAGCGAAGAAGAGCTTTCGATGAGGCGGGTGCGGTATACTCGCATGAATTTCAGGAGTGGAAGAAGAGCAGTAAGTGTCTCAGTCTTTGCAATAAAGGAGCTGCTGACATCCTCACAGATGTACATTTTGGCGGTTCACGGCCACCTGGCCCTGGAGGTGTTGGAGGCAGAGGGTATAACAAGTATATTCCACTCTAAGCTTGGTCTGAAAGGAATAGATGCTGCACTTTGCATGTTATTTTCTCAGCATTGAGTATGTCAATTGAACGTTGGGGATTTTCCTGACTCAAGCGCTCAAAACCATTCTTAACTAGTTATTTGAAGACTTCAGCTTGAAGTCACCGCAGAAATCGACTATATATTTTCAGTAACAAACACTGATTTGATTGTAATCTATGCGAAAACCGCATTAACATGCAAACCAGCCATAATAATGCGTTACTGTTGTACCCCCATCAAGAGCAGTTTGATTTCTACGAAAGCGCACTATTTCATGAAGTTGAATGATACCAACGGAAAAGATACGGCCAATTACTATAAAGCTTCTCCTGCGACAAACTTGCGTTTTCACAGGCTGGCGATAGTGTAGTAGTCGGACCTGGGACGTAGGTGCGTTTTGAACGATTTCTTGTGAAGATGTGATCAACGACTCATCATTACCAGTCCCGTTTCGCGTTGAAGGGTCAGTCGGCGCAGCTTTGTCAATGCAGATTGATACAAAACTGTCTGCGTGGCCGAAAACGCTGCTTACGTATGGATAGGTCACTAATCCACTTAGTCAACTACGCGTTAACTTCGAACGAGACTTTTTCCTTCAAACAAAAATACAGGTGTAATATTCTGCTTCTTGCATTCAAAGGGTAGGTAGACTAGATCAAAAAAGCGTTCATTCAATATTTCTCTGTTTGTCTACTCTGCCGCCTTGATAGCGTTGATTGATCAGCTCTCAATCGACGCCACTAGAAGCTGTCAAACATCGAAAAACAGCATAAAAGCTCTACCTAAATACTTCATATTCAAGTGTTGACTCTTCAGAGCTTCTGTATCAACCTTTTATTCAATGCGCTTTCCTGAAGCGAATCGCTCCCTGCACCACGTCACCCTCCAAACACTATATCATTGAAAAAGCATGTAAAGCCTCTCTGTTCAATTCTTGTATAAATACTGACCACAATCTTTTAGCGCAACTTGCTCTAAGCTTCCTCATACAAAGTCCCCAATCGGCTGCTATTTCGCCATCCCCAAAAAGCAGCTTACAATATGCCATTTTTTGTCCGTCCGAGTAAAACTATCTGCCGCAATTTTATGCGACGTCCGGCTGCGCAGGTCTGCCGCTTCCCTTCAGGTCATGACTTCTACTTCTCGTTACCAATTGAAGTGAACTGTCTTCACCTCTTCAACCCCTTCGAACTTGAATTCTTCTTTGGCTTCCTATCGAATATACTTCCGAGCATTGCGAAAAGAAAGGGGAGGACCGGTGTCGATAATGCTCTACATATCCAACACACCATCTTGCGCCGCCTTCAGAAAAGCAAAAACCTCAGTTCATCTCAAATGAAAGCATGGGTAGCTGGGTACGGCCTCCCTATATTTGATGATGCTCAAGAGCTGGTGGATTTCATTGTAGATTGGGACTCGATCGAATTTGAGGGAAATTTGGGGTCGACTGAGAGGAAAGCCAGGAAGAGGGCGGAGGAAAATGGGTTGGATCCTTGCGGACCCGTTCCAGTGTGCCCTAAAGATATTGACAATGACGTTGTCCTAGTGTTTGATTGGGGAAAGGACGGAAACGAGGCTTTTGAAGTCAGGAGAAACGGAGAAACGGAATTATTCTGCATCTATGGCGGCATATTCCAAAATAAAATGCAATGGACGGCCTATGAGACGAGCCTCTCAGAACAGGTGCTAAAATTGCTTCGAGCTGGTGTACTTAGAGTCACCACCCTTCCAACTGGAGGCTGGGGTCTGATTGAAGGGCTTCACGAACAGCATTCCAACGACTCATATAGCGGCCGGATTGATGAGCAACTCAACGACCTGAGCACGTTCGAATCGTCAGCTTCCCATTCCTCTCCATGTACCAATTCTGCACTTTGCTCTGCAGGCACTCTTCGTTGTACTACTCGAGACGTACTCGACATTCATGCAAACAATTCGAAGAATATCGAGAGAAACAAGCGCTCTCCCAGTATGGCATTCCAACAATCGGTCAACGTTTTCGGAGCTACTTTCAGAAACTGGGACGACTGGATACAGTTCAAACACACACTGACTAGAGTCGATCTCGATCTGCTTTCTCATCGGGTTCTGCAGCTCAGACGTTCTAATGATGGGAGGATTACCATAACACAAGGGCCTAATGCTGGACCGCCATCCAAACCACCCAATAAAGATGCCCATGCTCCAATCTACAGCCAGGTGGTAGCCCCCAAGCAATGTGTTACGCAAAGATCACCTCAAGACATGATTGATCGGAAACAGTTCACTCGGGGTGTCAGGCAATTCTCACCACCGCAACGTGTGGGAAGGCAAGCCCCATCCCTCGAAGACGGCATACATCGCAATTCAATCTCAGAAGATAGAGCTGCCTCATGTAATCAAAGTTACCCTCAGCCGATTTTCGTGCCACTCCCGACGTTCAGTTTCCTCGCTACTCAAAAAGGAGGCCTAGACGCTGATGTCACTAAAATCCCGGCCACACAACGCTCACGTCGTCTTGCCGCTCACAAAGAGCCAGTTCGGCCAAAATTTAAGATGCCGTCTTCCAAGACCACTTATGTTCCAGACGAACATCGCGTAATCAATATAGCTTCATCTACTCTCGCTAGATCAGAATTGTCCTCTCCAGTGCAACCTCTCTCAAAGGCCACACCAGGACGCGCATCCAGCCCTTTGAGGAACAAACTCGCAGCTCCTAGAACTACTATGCACAATTGTGAGAGATATCCAGCATCAAAAGATCGGAACCATAGCAAATACCAAGCATATGCCACCTCCAGTAGCGACACTTCGCCTCAAGCATCGCCCTTCTCATGGCGTGACGTGTAGTGAGAAAGTGGCGGTGCAACACTAGTTATATTGAGGAGGAAGGGTTGGAGTTTTCGAAGCTGGCGGCCTGCAACAGTCGACGGTTGAAAGTGGGGTGCAAGTGAAGGGCTAATGGGTGATATGTTGTTTGCGCTTATGTAGCAGATATGTTACGAAAATGGTAACCTATCAAAAGAATTACTCTCTACTATGTCTCACAAGGTTCTTAGATTTTCACGTGAGTTAGGCCCCGTTTGTACTATTCCGTGTGTTTCAGCATTCACATCGACTTTGCCCCGACGATCCCTCGTTTGATTTCTCATTCACTTCCAATGTGCCAATACTACAGCGTCCAAGCGCCCCTTCAGCCCATATCCCAAACTCTTTACAGCCTCTTGCAACTACACAATCAGCCTGCTCATCTCCAACGCGCAATCACACGTTTGCAATATACTGACTACTCAACAGCAGGATGTCGTTCGTCAACAGCGCTCTTGACTACATCATGGACTTCCGCAAGAAACCCCGTTACGTCCCCGCCAAACTCAACCGCGTAGACGCTGACATGAGACTCGTCCAATATCATGAAACCGGCATAGGGCCCAAGCCACCCCCTCAAGAGACCAACTATCTCCCCGTACGCACTCGTCTCGCACTGGCTATCTTTTCCGATATGAACATGGCACAAACCCACGCATACTACGAGGAAATCGATAATGTGCCCGCTGCTTCCGTTGAAAAGAAGAGCGAGTTCAAGGCCGGACACTGGCACGTTGTTCATCCCGTATCGTCCGTGGAGATGCTCGATTTCAGCACACGGGTACTGCAAGACCTGCTGAAGTGGATCGAAGAGGATTGCCCAAGCGATATGTTCATCAGGAAGGCAGGGCAGGTGCTCGAGTTCAAGGTGGCGAGGAGTGAGACGCTAGAGAATGCAAAGAAAGAGTTGGAAAAGCGTAAAGGGAGGGGGGATGTCGGTGAAGAGGAGGGCTACACGGGGTCTTGGGAACAGGTTGGCGAGGACAAGCAAGCAGATGAAACGCAGATGGACGGGAAGACTAAGATGGAGGGAAAGGGCAAGGAGAAGGCGCAGGGGTTGTCTCGTCACACGGCTGCAGCTTTGGCCGAGGCGGAACAGGCGGGTCGCAATGCTGCAGAGGAGGCAAGGATCAAAGACGAGTATGATTTTGCATAGACATGAAAGGTATGGTGAGCACTTTATGAGCACTTTATGAGGTGGATTACGCCAGGTGTGTGAGACACTTCTGGCTCCAATATTGCATTTGAGTTAGATGATTATAAATGTGTGGAAGTTCTCTCGAGTGAAATATTCCGGATGCACAGTACCCTTGCATGCAAAATTGTATAATTCCAGATGTAGTACTAAAGTGCTCACTCAATATTCTTACGCCATGGAATAGGAGCGCAAATCTAATGCACGGTGGCCAGGGAAACTCACTGGTCGTATCGTATAAGACTGCAACATAGCCCCCCAAACTCTCCATCACCTCTACATCTCCCGTCCACAGCTAAAGAATACGTCTACTACTACAACCACCACCACCACACACACTCGAAACACAAAACACTACAAAACACCACCAAAACCACAAACCAAACCAAGCATATTAAACGTACTTTCTACGCTCAGCATGTCTCTCCTCACTGACTTTGAGCTCGACTCCCTCTTCTTTGATATAGAGGAACATGTCACCTCCTCATCGCCATCAAAGCCACCCACTACATTTCATCAGTTTACGGAGCTTCCACCGGAACTCCGTAACGAAGTCTACAAACAATACTTCATAGAATACTCTTCCACCGAGCCAGCCATCAAAATCAATGCCCAAGGCGCTTTGGTTATCCCTCCTATCAGTGGGTCATCACATCAATTCCGCACCGAAACACGAGGCTATTTCACCTCATACCTACACAACGGCATCGCGAACAGCACATTGCAATTCAAAGCACAAGTTCGCAATTATGACTACAAACCTCTTCAAGCCCGCCTCTGTGCGTTGAGCGCCGAGTTGTCGGTACCAAAGCAACATCTCGCAAACCGCACCAAGGTTTCCTTCATTGGAACCTTCAATTTCAACAACATCGTGTGCTGGGTCGATGGATATCTGGCTGATTCCATCGAGACGCCGATATTTGGCCGGGTGGAGCCGGATTTGGTGACTCTACCTGGCCTGGGTGCGGTGGAAATGTTCTCAGGTTCTATCTCATTGGTGGAAGCAATTCGACGCTATCGCTTGGAGGAAATTGAGTCACAAAATTCTCTCTTCTGGCGCAGAGAGGCGCTTACGTTCCTTGAACATGCTAGCCTGATAGGCTATTCGACTGGGATGCGCGAATGGTGCGGCCTAGGGGAGGAATTCAATATGAACAATACCAACGAGGAAATATCGACAAGGGTTTTCGAGACTATGGCGCATTGGCATCATTTGTTGGGGGTGGGGGCGAAGATGAAGCCGGGGAAGCAGAGGAGCCGGATGAACACCCATGGGGTTGATATGGCGAACGTTATGTACGCCTTTTGGTGCGGGGTGATGGGATACCGTTGAGCAGCCTCGTAAGCAGTCGTGTTTAGGGTTGAGTCGAGACATAGTCAATGCAACCTCGAATAGTCAAGTTACCACTGCTACCAAATTTCGAGAATGTGTCCAACTGGATTGATTGACTTGCATCATCATCTCCTAGTGCTCTACTGTTGCGCACAACCTCACTCATCGTGCGCCCGATCACTCCGTGCGCCACTCATACCAATCTCCAAATCTTCTCTGATCCGCGAAAGCGCACTTTCCTCTTCATCATCCTGAGCTTCTTCCTCACTATCACGACCCTCAGGCTCCCCACTTTCATTGCCGCTGCCATCTTCACCTTGCTCTTCCTCAATATCGGAGTCGTCGTCAGTGTCGTCCTCTTCAACCTTGGTCTCACGCGGGTCACGGCCCAGCTCAGGCTTCCTCTTCCGCTCGAAATCCTGAGCGTGTGCGCCGCGAACAATATCGCCAACTTGGGTGAACGCGCGTTGCAGCGGGGAAGGACGAGCCCCGTCTTGGTAGATACGACGCTGGCGTGCGGATGAGCGAGAACGGTCGAGGTCCGCGCCTGTTGCCGAAGCAGGATCGAGGCCTGAGGCCGAAGCGCGCTTTGGAGCAGGTTGTTCCTCATCGACCCGATGACGATGACCCCGCTCAACTTCAGGCTCAACTGCAGGACTCGACGGAACGTAGTATGGCAGTGGAACGTCCCGACTTGCACGGAAGCGGCCTACGTTTGTGCAGTGCTCATTCTCGACACGAAACAGCGACCACATCCCTCTCCTGCATATCTCGCTAAGAGACACACCGAAAGACGTGACCGCAGAGTGCTGGAGCTGTAGAGGGATTACGGTGTAGAGGACCCAATTGAAGCGCAGGATCGGGTCGATGACCATTGCGGTATAATACCACCAGATCTTCTTGTACCCCAATTCTTTCCGTAGGAACGGATTTTTGGCGCGTGGATCTCCAAGACTCCAGTCGTAGTATATGTCCCAAAAACTCGTATATACACTGTTGATGGTTGCAAAAGTGATAAAGGCGGCATGGGTGGCAGCGTTCTTGTCGATGCGATAGATGCTCAAGCTTATGTAGAACATGATGGTAGCCATATACTTTCCGCAGTTGAGAAGATGGGGAAATTTATTGCTCGTATCCCAGTAACGCCGAATGCATTGCAGGGCACGCCATATGCCAGGTAAAGTTGTCAAGAACCCCAGTACACGTAGGTGTGAGGAGTTGCATTGTCCGGGCTCGTTCCATCCCCGCGCGTATAGACAGAAGAATAGCGCGATATTCTGAGTTTGTTAGCTGGAGCAAAAGTTTATGAGCAACGCAACTCACGCCCATGCTGTAGGTGAGGGAGCAGAACATATCACCCAGGTAGAAGTCTCGCCACTCCACAGGGTAAATGCCAGCGAGTAGCAAACGCCACTATCTTGATGTCAGCATCGATTTGGTGGATGAATGGCTTGATACTTACTAAGGAGTACAACAGCCACATCCGCGTTCGAAAGTAGAACACTTTCATGGGATTAAAGAGGAGTGCAACCGATATGCTCAGGAGGATCACCGGATAATATAGATATATAGACTCGCCGCCAACTTGGTAGAAGTTGACCTGCATGAATAAGCCCAACATGAAGAAACACCAGCAAGGAAGCTATGTCGTGTTAACAGTTCGCTCAAGTGATCAAGTTAAAACACATACCTCAGAAAGTTGCCTCCAGTCCAGGTAGTGGCGGGTATCATATTCGAAAATGAAAACGTAGTTGATCTTAGTTTCGTGCCATACGCGGCAAGCTAAGCAAAATATAAGTAGGAGAAAGTTGACGAGAAAGTATCCAGCGTAGAGCTGTGCATTGTTAGCTAGGCAATCTAAAGCTGTACTCTACGACTGACCTGTAGGAGATAGCTCGTGTTTAACGAAAATGCATCTGGCATATCGTGCAGATTTGCTATCTCATTAGCCTTGATAACGCCTTGCACACCAAGGATGAAGCCCGCAGTGAGCAGAATGCCATTACGAAACGTGTTGTCTGTGTAGTCGCCTGCTCTCGCAATCTTTATCCGCAGTTTTCCGACAGCAACTTTGTGGTTGCCTCTTTCGAAGTATCTTGCATAGAGATCCTCCGTGGCTCTGATATGTCCTTCGATGATATCGCTGTTGACAAACCATGCTTGGTTCACCTTCTCGTTCATGTATCGACTCGAAGGTCGTGCGTTGACGGTTTTGTCGTACTTCTTGTTGATTTTGCGGAAGGCTGTCCGGTTCAATAAGGCATAAGATTTGAGTAGCTCAAGTGCCCGATAATACTCCTGAAGCGCGACCTTGAGTTTTCGTTTTGCCGTTTGGTAAGGCACACTTGGCAGCTCTGGGCGCCGAACGAAGTCACGGCGCGCATCGGGATCCTTCGGCTGGAGTGCGGCCGGTGTGGCAAGTTGCGTTATGTTCTTCGTGCTCTTTCCGTACTTGCCAGCCTTGATAGCGTCCAGGGCGGCATCAATTGGATTCAACCATGAGTCGGTCATTGCGTTTCCGTTTGTCTTTATGTCCCTGGTGTCCTCGTCACCAGAGCTGCTTGCTTGGCCATTGGACAGCAAATGCGTACCATTGTGTTTCTTGCCCAATGCGTCTTTGGCCTTGATCTTGGCTGTTTGGCGCTGAATGACATCGTCGATGCGTCGATCTCTCATGATGTGCAACTGATCGCGCAGGATTGACAATCGCTGGGTTGCCTCGTCCTCTTTCTCTTTGTAAAACGTTTCGATCTTAACCAGCTCCGAGTCCAGGAAATTGAAGAACTCAGCTTGTCGAAAGTCGAGATCGCGATATGCTTCGAGAGGGACGTCACCCGGGCTAGCTGGTGGTGATTTGCTACTCAGAGAGAATAGACGTCGTACTGATGGGCGAGTCTTGGACTGTACAATAGGACCCGGCATCGAGTTCATGCGTTTCGGGCTGAAGACAGTCTTGTACCTGGCTGGCAGTGACATGTGCTTCTTGTTGGGGGATTTGGTCTTGCCCACTTCGAACGCGTTATCGGTCTCTGATTCCGCAGCGGGTAGTGTAATGGTCTTGGTTTTGCTGAGCGATGCAGCTGAAGGGCCGACATGCGGTGAGCTATTCTCAGGGTCGAGTGCTGCGCCTGGGAGCTTCAGGGATGGAGGTGCCTTGCCTCTGTATGTAGATAATTTCCCCTGGCCACTCGGCGGACTGCCAATGATGCTGCCATAGCTCCTCCCCAGGCCTGGAAAATCACCTCGCCCGTGTGCCAATGGCTCTTCCTCTGGCGAGCGCGCTGGTTGACTCCCACTTCGTCTCTGTGGTTGGCTGGTGCGGCTATTGGTTATCGCGAGCGCCCGCAAATCCTCGGGATCCCTAGTGTTTGCCGTTTCTCCTTGCCTAGCGTGTTCGCGGTTCAGGTACGAGTATTTCGGCGCCGCGTCGAAGGGCGAGGGAAGGATGTTGGTTCCGCGTCGGCGGAGGCGCGGTGTCTGGTCGACATTCCGAAGGGCGCGATTAATGGCTTTCAGCTTCTTCTTGCCTAGCTGAGAGGAAGTCAATTGGTGTCAAAGCCTGAGCAAAGCCAGCTTGTAGCGCACCTTATAGTCAAGATACTTTAGCCGCCATTCTGGCACAAGATCGCGCTCCAGTTCCCTGATACGGTCAGCTACTCGATATCATGTCAGACGAAATGGCGACTTTACTTTGCGAACTTCATGGCGAAATCGTCGCCACGTCAAGCCAGTGTCGAGATAAGAATGCCACTTGCGGAAGAGTCTCCTGGTAGCAAGTACATCAAGCGCAGAAGGAGCGAAGTGGTGCGCCGCTAGGCCATTGAAAAGAAAAGAATGATGTTGGGCTAATACGCGGGCGTCCGTGTACTACGCTGCAACGGCTAAAGGGTTTCGCGACGCTGTCACGTCTAGTTGAAGTCTAGTATTCGCATCTCTGGTTCACGAATCATGGATTAGCTTGGCGCTGTTACCAAGCTGTCAACGTCATAGCTGATTGCTGGCAATCTGGAACCCCTCTTTTGCCCAAATCAACATGTGATGCCCGAATACATGCAATCGCCATATTATAAGAAATTCTAGTCACTAGTAGTGTGAGGGAGTATTTAGAAGAATTGTGTTTCAGTTCATGTCTCATAGCCTTCTACGACTCGGAGAGGCGCTTTGGTGCACGGGCCACTACGTCAACCCCTTCCATAGGGATCGCAGGCCCAATTGTTCCGCTTACCACCCCCGCTGTTCGAATTGTTGAGGACGGTTGTACTGGTTCGGATCGTACTGGTCGGCACCCTGGTTGTCGACGTAGTGCTCATCGTACATTTGCTCAGCATTCTTCTGGGCCGCGCGCTTCGTCTTCTCCCTGTCGAACCAATCTTCTCCTTTTGTCTCTGCAAGCTTGTCGACCTCGGCTCCAGCGAACCCAGCGAGGAGCTCTTTGGCGAACTGGTGGGATACGGGCTTGCCTGTTGTCGTGTTACTATAGGTACGGTAAGGTAAATGGGTTAACGAACCCTCTGAGCGCTGATGATCCTCGAAAGCTTTGAAGCCGGCAAAGGCAGCTCCTCCAGCGACTAATTCATGGCCAAAGCTAGACTTGTTCTCTTCGAACTGATCGTTCTCGTACACCTGCTTGTAGTTGTCTTCGTTCTTATCTGTGAGAGACAAGTCAGACAAAGACCTAAAAGCTTGAGCACATCAAGGCATCCTTACCCCAGAAACCCATGATGAATGTATGAAGAATAGACTGTGTTGCTTGGAGGAAATTGAGTAATTTGATAGAGATGAAGGAAAAAGCTGATGTTCTACAGACCCCGTGTAGAGGGACCAGCATGAAGCTTAAGTACCTGAGCTTAGCCTCGGACTCTACTTGACACCTTTCGTCATTCTCGACCCAACCCACAGCATCCACCTGCCGGTGACGAATCAATATAGACATGCCCCTCTCCTCGCAAATCGCTCGGCCCTCCAGGGCCCAGTTGTGGCACAGCAATCAAGGCAGTTGCAGGACTATTGGAATGCTACTTGCGCCTCATTACGCAGCGAGGTGGGGATTTCAGCTTGTAATTGGACACGCTCATTGTATCGGGGTGCGCGGAAGCATGAATAACATCTAAAAGAGGTCTAGATGCGTGCGTAATCTGCTAAGGTCCGGACGTCAGCTTGCGGGCGGATCGGACCAGCAGAATAAGCTTCCTTGGTAAAGCTTAGCTGTGGGTCTTCTGTGCCATCCAACGACATATGAGAGCCCCGTGCAGCTAAAGTCATTCCGTAAACAGGTTTATTGTGGCATTCAGCTCGCTCGGGCATCTTTCACCTCTCCATGGCTTTCATAGGCATGCAAGTGGCAAGATGCTCTGTTCTTGCGAAAAGCTTCTTTGCTTACCGATCGATCTTCCGCCATCGTTAGCAACCGACGTCACTCCATCACCCCAGCATCCGTCTAACCGCGCACCAACGTCTGCGACAACAATGCCCGGTCGATTGCCCACGGAGGGCGACTTTCCCTCCTCGGTGAAATTAAGCATCACGCCGCGTCCGTTGTGTTTCCGAATCCACTTTTTGTGTCCTTGAGGCAACGTGCTAACTTGCGCAGCACCTGCATCGCAACCGCCTACGAACGTGCTCATTCTCCTACACGGCCTCGGCGACACCAACGCATCGTTCACGAAGCTAGGACAGCAACTGAACCTCCCCGAGACAGCACGTATTGCCCTGCAGGCGCCCAAGCCTCTGCCGTTCGACCTCGGTGGCTTCCACTGGGGCGATGACATGATCTTCGACCAGAATACTGGTGAGATGGATGTGGATACTGGGTTCAAAGCATCGACACGGCTAGTGCTGGATCGAGTCATCCGAGAGGGTCTTGTTGGCAAGTGCGGCTACACAGCGCGCGAGATCATGATCTTTGGATTTGCGCAGGGAGGCATGGTCGCGTTGCAGGCTGCCGCTGAGCTCACTGGAGACGAAATAGGTGGAGTCATCAGTATTGGGGGATGGCTTCCGCTTTCGATCTCCTTGGCGGCTCTCAATAAGAAGAGCAAAACACCGGTGTTGGTCTGTAGAGCATCAAGAGGCTCGGCAGTGACCGATGGCGCCGTCTCGAAGCTCAAGGATGTTTTTGAGTACGTCGAGGTCAAGGAATGGAAGAAGAAAGGAGACGGCATGCCGACGAATCGTGAGGAGATGCTGCCCATCATGCAGTTCTTCGCTCGGAGGTTACGGAGTACGAGGGGTGTACCTGCAGGTAGTGTCGAGCTAACTTGACCAACCTATACCTATAGGGCGACTGCAAAGTTTCTACTCGAAAAAGTAACTGGAAGTTTGGTCCACAATACTAACTTTAGCAACAAAACGCCTGGCTGAAAACTTCATGGACTTTTACAAGCCTATGGTGGAGACGCAGAGGTGGCTGAAGTTGCACAAGCTACTTTATGCAAAGCTACTGAGATAGCTCGTGATCATACCTAGGTACTTGCTAGAGAAATCCCAGCTAGACCGGCACATAGAGAACTTTCTTCCCCACAATAGAGATAGTGACTGTCCTCATCCTTCAACATTCCTTCCAGCTCAGCGCGCACGTGCCATATGGCTCGAGCTTCTGTGCGTCATCCTGTGAGTGTGAGTGTTCCATCAACATCAACCAGTCGATGCTCGCAAAACTCACCGCTACTAACAATCATCATGCCAGCACCAACAAACTCCCTGCGTGGCTTTCTCACCCACGCTAAAGGTGCTCTTCGAGCTGCTATTGATTCGAGCCAGAGAGTCACTTTTGTCATTGGCAATGAGTCTGCTGGTAAGCACTATGAAGAAACCTCGGACGCTCTATACTGAACAGCTCAGACCTTGATTCGATGTCGTGTTCCATTCTCTATGCATATTTGCGATCCATGTCTCCGCCCAAGAATGCCTTTACTCCACTCTACGTACCAATCACAAATATTCCAGCTGCGGATATCAAGCTGAGACCAGAATATTTGGCGGTGTTCAAACACGCAAACATCGAGTCCAGACACTTGATCACGCTTGATGATCTTCCTGCCCTATCTGACATCCAATCTAAGCTCGCTCCCGAAAACACAAAGTGGATCCTGGTGGACCACAACGCTCTCCAAGGTCAGCTCGGCAAGATCTATTCTAGTCGCGTGGCAGGGGTTATCGATCACCACGATGATGAAGGCAAAGTAGCTCAAGACACGGGTGATGAGCCACGTATCATAGAAAAGACCGGTAGTTGCACTAGTTTGGTGACGAACTATTGTCGACTGATGTGGGAACTGCGCTCCGGGTCTGTGATGTCCTCGAGCACGAGCTATGCTCAAGACGGCAGTCTATCTGACGATGCTACCTTTATCAAACGGTGGGATGCAGAGGTTGCCCAGCTAGGATTGGCGAGCATTCTCATTGACACGGCCAATCTCCGCGATGAAAGCAAGACAACAGAGCACGACCGTAAGGCAGTGGAGTACCTGGTAGCCAAAGTCATGCTCTATCCTCAACTAGCTGCAGATTTCGATCGTACGACCTTCTACAAAGAGATCAATGCAGCGAAGAAGGATATTGGAGGATTGAAGCTGCAAGACATACTTCGAAAAGATTACAAGCAGTGGGACCAAGGTGGCCGGAAGCTCGGCATTAGCTCAGTGGTCAAACCCATCAACTTCCTACAAAAAAAGGCTGGTGACGAGAGCAACACGCAACCTTCTGACACAGCTTTTCTCACAGCCTTGGAAGACTTTGCGAAGGAGCGTGAGCTAGACCTGTACACGGTCATGACCACGTCGACATCCTCCGAAGGGGAGTTCCAACGAGAGCTTCTTCTCTGGGCTTTCAACCATAACGCTGTCTCAGCTGCGAAGGAATTCGCCAAGAGTTCTAGCGATGAATTAGGCCTTGGAGAATGGCAAGGTTCCAGCAGCATAGCCGGTGGGAGCCATGGCAACGGTCAGTGGAGGAAAGTCTGGCGGCAACGACAAGTACAGCACAGCCGGAAACGTGTCGCACCTTTACTCAGGGAAACCATGGCATGACTAGCGCTAAGCGAAGGTATGGGAATTGGCAAGCTTTAGGTCTATTGTATCTAGAGACGTGTGGGCGTATCGCGGGAGGTTGGAATTAGCATTGCTTGGAGTGTGACGCCGGTGAATTAGGCCGGGTTTTGGCGCGATCAACACTCTTTTACTTGTTCGCGGCATAGTAGGCGCATAGCGGCGGTTGGGCAACGTGAGCGTCAGCCCGAGGATGACCACGGGAATATCTACAACAACAGTACCGACCCAAGAAGCGGTGTCGATTCTTAGCTTTGTTTGAAGCCATGAGAGCGGGGTGAATGCACGCCGGCACATGGCAGGACGATCTCCGACGTCCAGATTGAGTAGCATCCTGGTCGAAAGTCAACACCACCTCGATGGGTCGAGGACGAAAATGAATACATGGACAATATGCACCATGCCGACTAATCGCTCAAAATACGTTCACATCTCGTAATACTAAGGCAATGGAACGGCTTGGACCAGCGCGAGCAATGGAGCGTTGCTACTGCTGATTTGCAAACGGAATCAATGGTCGGCAGACGACTGCAGCGATAGTGTCAAGCAGGAGATGCTGCAGGAGGCAAAGCTCGCTGTGCGACTGCGCGGTTGTGCGGCTTATTGGACGAAGGAGGGATACCCTTCTCGGGTCAAGTCGAGGAACTGGAGATCAACTCGCACCTAGGACCTAGACATGCACGTCGAGATGAAGTGGGAAAACAGCGGTTCACAGCAGTGGGACGCGTTATTTTGGCGTGCAGGTCTTTTTTGACAGCAAGTCGTCTGCATATGCGCGGCGATTCTTGGAGCTGCCAACACATCAAGCGCATGTGCAGGGGCGCTGCAGTCCACTGGACGACCGTCACGTCAAAGGGGCGAGAGGGTTTTGCATAGCCGACTGGACGAGGGCGGCCCTCGCCGCCTCGTCTGCAGCTGCAACAATATCAGCGTGTTTGAGATTCGACGAGGTGCGCTGCTCTGAGGCTGGTGATGATGGAGGGCGGTTGTAGAGGGGGTGGTCGCAGAAGCGGCCGGTCATGCAACCCAGCCTACCCCGTGACGGCTCGTCCCAGACGAGATGAGACGAAAGAGCGTCGCCACAACCTGACTCGAGAGCAGGAGAGGACAGCCAACAGACGGGTCGGATCGGAGAATGCGTTGTCGACGAGTCGCTGTGCAAGGCGGGGATGGCTGGTTCTAGGTTCTGTAGGCGGCGGGCGTTCGAGAGGCAGAGGCAGATGGTCGACGGGGGCCTTGGTGAGCTGAAGCAGAGGCATTCGGGCAGGCTGCAGCGTGATGCAGAGCATAGGCCGTGTTGATTCGTCCTACGGCGATGTGCTGTCTGCTCTGCATGTCTGCCAGTCTGCAAGTCATCGTCTGGCCGCATCTCTCGCGAGCAGGAGTGCGTCCGTGAACATCACAGGCCGTCTGTCCCCGCCACCCAATCTGAAGCACCTGCTGCTCGTAGCGCTCCTGTTGCTATATCGTCGCCGTTCGTCCATCACCGCATCTCATCGCATTCTGCATCTTGGACGGGCCTGTGCCGCTGCTGCAGCCGTGACTTGCTCGCCCGTGGTTGCAGGGACTCGAGACGCATCCAATCACACCTCTACCGCCTCGCTACTGTATCGATACCACCTAAAGAGTCAAGAAGCGCCAGCGCACACGTCGAGGCTGTGGAGAGTTGCGCCCAAAGCAGCTCGCTCTATCCCAATACCTGTGCTCCATCTGGCAATGCGGTAGAGGATCGCTTCTGCCCCATCTGAGGACTGCTGCCGCCGTAGGGCTTCGACCGGGCTCCCTAATGGCGACATGATGAGAAGAACCCAACACTCGGCCTCGCCTTTGGCGCAGGCCTCGTCTACGCCGCGTATGTGTCCATTTCCTCCCCTCTGTGTTCCTGCGCCTTGCCCTCGCCCAATAGCTTCGGGCCCGGATCAATGCTCTCTGTACGATGAGCTGGCACGCGAACTGACGCTGACCGTACTCGTAGCCGTGTCGCCCACTGTAACGCACGTCTCTTCCCGGAGCCACACGCCCTCGCACAATACAACTGTCGTCGATGACCCGCCTGCTGAGGCTCCGCCCCGGTTCTCCAGTCCGCCCAGGTCGCCATCACCTCGCTCCTCCAAGCAGCCGCAAACAACCACCATGGGGAGTCGACCTGGCGGATCGCAAGACAATAGCAACAATGAGAGAATGCCGTCCCACTTGCAGCGGCCCCAGCTGCCCGCTTCCATGTCCGCTCCCGCTGGTCGCTTGCCTCGCCTCCTCCCAGCCGATCTCTCATCGTACACCGACGCGTATCTGCCGACTGCGGCAATCCCCACGTCCGCGACTTCCCTCGCAGAGCTCGCCCACCTAACCCGCCTCCAGGGCTATCAGGAACAGCGCAAGGCCCACTCGCGCGTCCGTCTACACCGCTGGCTCGTTTCAAGCGCCCTCTCCGCACGTCTGGTACATTGCGGAGAGCTCGCGTACCGAACCCTGGTTGACAACTTTAGGTCCGACGACAAGAAAGGCTTTGCGTCCCTATACATTGCTCTTAACGATGTCCGGAACTCATGTGACGCCACTCGGCAGTACGCATTATTGGAGCCTGATCTGGAGTTTGGCAAGTCCAAAAGCATGAAGAGCGACAAGGCTCTTTCTTCCTCAACTTTCCTCAACGAAGTCCCCTCGAAGATTTTGGATGATCTTTTGGACTTCATTTCTGAAATTCGTACCAATCCTGAATTTCTTGCTGCTCGCATTTCCAGCCTTTCACAGCAGGAGCTCGCTTCTCTGTCCTCATTTCGTCAAGCTATGGATCCTATTGACTCAGTCATGGCCATCCAGGCACGCGGTAAGACTGCGGGTACTCATAAGCCACATCAGCAAGGTGGAAACCCCGTGGAGCGCCTTTTGTCTTTTCAGCGACACGATCCTCTTGCAGCGCTTATCTACACCATTTTCGCCAACTCATCGGGTCCGGATTCCGCTGAGGATCTTCGCCGGACCGACGTCTGGGCCACAACATGTGCTAAGCTGATCAAGGACACCAAAACCGGCTCCAACTTCATCAGGACGGTCCTTGACGTCTGGGCTGGAATGCGGGAATGGCCTGGTAAAGCCAATTTGGAGCTCTACCTAATGCAGGTCCTGCAAGACGGTCAGTTTCTACTAGAGAAAGCCGAGGAGCAGTCCGCACGCCCAGGAACACAGCCAGTTGCGCGGAGCACCAAGGATACCATTGCAGCCGACGAGTTTTTTGACAAGGCCGTCAAGCGTCTCTTTGAGGTTGTTGATGATGAGCCCAGTGCCGGTGGCATCCCAGAAGGTGTCCTCGAGATCGGGAATGCCATCCTTCGAAAGCTGGACGAAGAAAAGAACCTCCGCAAAGCATCGCAGAATTTCTTCGTTTCCCGTTGGCTGTTCTCCACTTTCCTTCTAAACGCTATCATTCACCCCGAGGCATGTCTTCTCCGTTTCCACGCAGTAATTAGGATACTAACACGGTGCAGACCCACGGTATAATGATTGGCCACCACATCAGCGAGCATGCCCGACAGAAGATACTCAAGGAAATTGCTATCCGAGCTCAGAAACTTGTTCTGGACATGACCTACAATTGGTACAACTTCCCGTTTGGCTTTCTCTATTACCACGCAGCTAACATCAGCCACAGGCGGCAACAGGTGCCCGTGCTTCCGGAAATCCGCGTTCATATCGAGAACATTTTGGCCCGGTTCAAGCACACTAAGACTCCATCTAAGCCTATTCTTCTTCCGGCAAAGGCCATCACATCTCCCAGGGAAACCGTTGAAGTTCAGCCTTTCATCGTTCTCTCTCCCTCTGATATCATCACTTTGGTCAATGCCCTCTTCCCAGAGCGACGCCCTTCCTCTAGCCACGTTGATAAGGAAAGCCAACGTCGTACTGGCCTGACCTCATCTACTTCGTCTGTATCCGGTGTTTCTATACCTTTCCGTAGCGCTGCTGCATCTGCGGGCGATGCAAGCTCCATTCTTAGCGCCAGTGCGTCATCCATGACTAGCGACCAGACTTCGCGGGAGCCACTGCTGGACAGCATCTTGACATCAACCGAGCAACATGCCGAGGCCAAGGTCGCTCCAACTGAGTTATACGGAAAACGCCTGCGAACAGCATGTTCTGAGATGACTCGAGTCCTGGGTGTTGATGCGACCTCCGGTTCATGCCATCCTTGTGCTGAACGATGGGCTGTACTTTACATTTCTGCTGATGGAAAGCAGCTGAAACCACGCATGCGTAAGGATTTTGACGATGAAGATGAGCATGACGATGACTCGCCCGAAAGTGATAGTAGCGACGATGAGGGCGCTGGAGATCGATTTGACCTCGGGAACGACTACCACCAGTTAAAAGAGGCTATCGCTAAACTAGTTGAAGAATACGAAATTCCCAAGGAGCTAGCGCCAGACAGTGAATCAAAGAGCTTCAGCAACCGAATGACTACGCGCAAGAGCAACCGAGGCAGGGGCGCAGTGCGGCATCACAGCGAAAATCTTGGGTCACGCAACCCGTACAACTCAACGCAAAGTCAGAGTCAGCTTACGAATATGATTGCGAGCCAGAGAAACGTCCCAGGTCGGCATCGCTCCCCGCAACTACCGAGAAGCAACAGCAACCCGCAGATCCAGGAGAAGCAAGAAAACAACTCGGTGCTCGTAACAATGCTCGAGACAGCCATGTATCAATGCCAGGCACGGTCCGACTTCGTAAATGCCCATATGTACTACAAGACTTTACTAAGCCTCCGGAGACTTAGTTCTCCTACTTTGGTAAGGAATGGATACGCCGCTCTTTTGAACTACTTCTCGCGCGGCCCCCGCGATCTGCTTAGCAAAGCCGCAAATGCGATTGAAGAGTTTGAAGCCTGGTTCGTCTGGCTGAAGCAGTCTCAAGAGAGGTCTGACGCCATGATCGATGACATGATGATGGATTTCAAGAACTTGCGAGACAAGATGTGGTACATTACTGATGTCCGCGCCTCCAAACCCTATGAGGAAGCGAGGGACGTCGCACTTGCACTCAAGATCATGGGCCAACAATCGAAGACGCTTGATGGTAAAGGTACCCAGGGTCCTCGATCACGGAATTACTCGAAATCCTCCGCAAACAACTTCTTACTGAAGAACGAGGCTCAACTTGTTGACATTCTGTCGGCATCGCAAGACTTCGGTGGTCCTAATAAGCTCTCAGATGAGCAGTCCGACATTACTTTGAAGTGGCTCACGCAGTATGGTGTTGAGAATTTCTGCAAAGGCGAAGAGAGGATACATCGCTTCTGTCTTGAAGTTGACAAATGTGTCAACAAGATCATTGGTGAAGGCCTCATGGACGGCCCTGTACTTTGGGCCAGTGATCTATACAAACGGGACCAACAGGTCCTCGAAAGTGGACGACAGAAAGGCGACCTCTTCCTCACTGGCGTCGGCACGCTATCGATCGCAGGTGACGAGGAGTATGAAACCCACGGTCGTCCCCTCCAGCACAACCTTGACTTCGCTCAACGACCGAGTCACAGCAGTTTACGCTCTGTTGCGAATCGCAATGACTCTCAACACAGCTTCGATCAGAGCTCTTGGGGAAGAAGCCCGATGGAATCTCTCGACTACTTCGGCGGGTCATCGCCAGTCCTGTCAATCGACTCCACGACCACATTCTGGTCTCCTTTCCAGACGCAGGCCCAGTCTCCTACCAGCGCCACTAGCATTCGTCCACGTACCGCATCATCCTCTAGGGGCACTGTTATGTTGAAGCAATCTGCAAGCGTTAACGAAGATAAGCGCCGATTCATGCTTGACTTGAAGCAAACTCTCACAGGCTTATTGTTAAGCGATCTGGGAACAATGGTTTTTGCAACTGGAAGCGAGACGGACTCTTGGTTCAGTGGAGACCTATTGGAGGATTGCATTGAGCGCAGGGATGAGGAAGAGCGCAAACGGAAAAAACTAATAGCGAAGAAGAAGAGCATGAAGAACATGCGAAAGCAAGCTCTACCCGAGCATCGTAATGCTCCCTTGGAGGCGCTTGGTCGTCCCGAGCGAAGTCAAGCCGCCCCACCGGTCGCAACCTATCAGCACGCGGCAGCGTCTGATGTTCACCACTCTGCCGGCGAGCACTCGTCGACATCGAGTGATGCCACTTCACGTCCCTCTGGCATAGCTACTGCGAAGAAGGCAGGCTTATTGGAATTCCCATACAACGTTGCTTTCCGACGTCTCCTCAGCAAGTTCGAGACACACCCCAATCCCTTCTCCAAACTGCATGCTCTATACGAGCTTGAACTTCTCATCATTGCTTCGCTCTCCTCCCGATCTGGACGCTCCTACAATAATCGACGCGATACTCTACCTCCAGTTCCCCAGTCACCGACCCTCGGCGCTATGCCGGAGCTTAGCTCGCGTGAGCCAGCTACACATACTTCACGTGCGCAGAACTTGGAGGAGGCGATTGCCAACTGTGAAGAACGTCGCTCTCATAGCATGAACGTAGAGCGTGCTAGCAATGCTTCACCCCTGCCAAACCGTAGCGGTGCACGCTCTCCTGTGGGCCCACCGAGCACCGACATGATTGTTGAAGTCATTCAAGGCCTTCTCCGAGACGCCAATATCCGACCAAAGACCCTATTCAGGGACCTACAGTACATTGCCTCATTTGTACCGGCACAGATGCTCGACAAGACGGCGCGAGGCAAAGCATTCTGGGATGTAGGCCTTGCTGCTCTAGGTCTCAAGCAAGACGTCTGCCGCATCATGGTCGAGCTTGTGGATGAAGTCATCACCCAGAACTCCAAGCGTGACGCTGTTGTCAAGCAGAGCAACGGTGGCACCGAGAAACCGGGGGTAACCTCCACTCTGCCGCCACCAACAGACGCTCCTGTATCTCGTTACAACATGGAGGATGCTGCGCGCATGCTGCTCATTACCGCCAAGGAAGGTGATGCGGTTGCCGAGCGTGAACTCGCTATCTTTTACCTCACTTCACCCGAGCTCGTCCACCGCACTGTGCTACCACTTACCAAGCCGAGCGAAGTCTTCAAGACGGAGCTTCTCAATCGTGAGAAGAGGGCTTCCTCAGACCCTGCAAGAAGTGATCCGATGACCATGTGTGTTGCACAGCACTGGATGGAGCAGTCGATGCGCGGTGGCGACCAACTTGCCGCCAAGTACCTACGCCAAAGAAGCGAGCTGGAGAACATCCCGACGCGAGCGTAGTCGCGTTTCCCGACAGTCGAGACACTTCTCCCTTATCACATCAGCACACGCGTCCAATTTCGAGATTGCTGCCTTTTTTTAGCGTCTTTGCATCTAATGTTTTCGCAATACGCATATATCATGACGAACGGCCTGCATCGTAATAGCTTGCATGCATAGCGAGGAGTTTCCCCTATTTTTATTCCCATGGGGTTTGATTTTGCCTCTCGTACTTCAGCACGCATGATTCCCCCTACTGCCTTTGTTTATCCTATACTACTTCATTTTCCATACCATTTTTCCCTTCCCGCGATACTGGTAACATTGCTACTCCGAGGTTTATATTTGTTGGTGTAGATACCTTTGGATGGATATATGGAAACGGCCGGCAAGATGTATGATTCACCGTTCGGCATACGGTGTTTGTCGGTTTTGATGCAGGAAAAGATATCCCGGTGATATTTTTAAGAGTTGGGAGTTGCGTGGAAAGACCGGTGAAAGGGCCGGGAATATAGACGATTGTGTGTTGTGGTGTTGATTGGATGAGGATGTTCAGCAACGAATTTTATTTTGGATACCAGGTGTTATTTTGGGTTGGTTATTTGCTCTTCACGTCATACCACATTTGCGTAGATTTCCCTACGGGGTTTAGGAAATGAGATGAATATAAATATAGTAAATATATGGTCTCGCTTGTCTGTTTACCTCCACCTTACTACTTTGGCGTTGGTCTTTTCGACGAAGTGGTGTTTGAAAAGCTTACGGCGGGCGCTGGTGAGTTGGGACATGTGATCAGCGCGATTGTGGGGATTTGTGTAGACATGAGGCGGCTAATACGCAGCCGGAGGTACCATACGCCTCGATAGATTGGTGATGATATACAACAAGCATATTTGTGGAACATGATATGTCAAGGGACTCTTTAAAGGTCACAAGTGTATTGATGAGTGACGTTATAAAACTTTCTTAATTGGCAATCAAGAGACGGACCATTCAAGTCCCTAGCTAAGCTTCCATTGTAGATTACATCGTCTCAAATCCCTTCAGCTCATCTGCTGCTATACTACGATTCAGGCTGCGCGGGTTCATCTACATTAACAATCCACCCCTCTATCAAACTCAGAAACCCCTCTGAACTACTGAAGTCCCCGTATAGGTAATTATTAAAGACTATGTTGTTCTCATTTAGAAGACGTGCACTCTGTTCATCCACGTCTATCAATCTCTCGAATATCTCCTGAGCAGACTGTCGGACCATGCTTATAAATTCTTTCTGTTCAATCTTGAATTCAGTGAAGCCTTCGAAGCCTTTGAATGGTGGGTGATCTTCGATCTCGTCCTTGTGGAATTGGAGAAGCTCTCTTATCTCCTTGCTGGCATACTCGATTAACTCCAGGGCACGTGGTTTGGGCTCCATAATCCTGGCGTTCGTTTCGAGATCCTCTTTCGAGGGCTGGGTCGGTCGTTTGACGATAGCTTCGAGAGCTATGTCTGCCCTCACGATCACTGTGGCGCAGATGGGGACTATGAGTTTAGAGATGACCTTTTTGTGGGTCTCAACAAGGGCCTTTAGTCGGTCGATGTCCTTCTTCGAAACCAAGGGGATTTCAGGTACCGTGGTCGACATGTTGATTTAAATGGCGCACCTTGGCTGTTTAATAGAGAGAAATGGAGTTTGTATGTGTACAAGACATCGTAGAGCGGAAACGTCCGCTCGCTTTTATACCACAACTTTGGAGTCATACAGACATGACAGAGCGTTCTATGTCATAGGATAAGTGAGTGGATGAGTTAGAAGGCAGTCAAATTCTTTCACTGAGAGTCTGTATGTGACATGGGTCACGTTGTGGCGCCACACAGAGAGAGAGTGACTGCGTTAAGAGTCGTGGTAGCAGTAGAGGTATCTCGTAATGTCATGCCAAAAGTACATGTCGTAACTACCTGCTCTGAGATGCCGCGGCACACTACTCATGCATTGAAAGCCTTTAGTCTTCTAGCGTCGTTTTGTCCCGCAACATATCAAAAACTTTGTAGATGCAGATGTTTCCATGGCCGCCATAAATAAAACTTGATCGCTCTCAAATAGTTTTGAAAGCCGCTAAGACACCACACTACTTAGACGCCATTGATATGTAGTGCGTCATACATGGCAGTTATATTAACAGTGACTCTCGTTCAACAGTTTCTATTTGTGCCTCATGTCTTACGTTACATGTTGCAAGTCTGTGGTCTGTGGTCTGTGGTCTGTGGTGACTCCTGCCCAAAACGTCGTGCAAGTGACTAAGACTACATTCATCCGTCAGAACGACTCGCCCCCTAGTACATCTACCTCCTTAGTGCTAAACAAATTAATCACATTCGCGATTCTCATGACTCCGTCCAATTTGGGCTCAGAGTACAACCGGAAAGGACTCCTAGTACTCAGTGACTTGGCTTGAACATGGTCCACTTCCCCCAACAAATGCAGCATCTCAGCCCCATACTCCCGGCACTTCTGTAGTAATTCATGTTCCTGCATCTCGACATATTGTAACGCAACAGCAAGGTTCTCGAACGCTGGGGTATTTTCCAGTCGATTGCTCTGGAATTCATCGAGCTCGGCGGCCTGCGCGTTGAATCGGTCGAGCAGCAGTAGTCCTGGGTCTCGGTGTGACATGACACGGGCGTTCGCTTCTAATCCGGGCTTTGTGGGTGGGTTGGATTCGTCGTCGAATGTCTTGACTGCTTCGGTTGCTATCTTGACCGCAAGCGTAACGTAAGGTATGATGAAATGCCCGATGAGTTTCTTGTGTGCGGAAATTAGCTGCTTGAGCGCGTGGATTCGGAGGGCGAGGGAGTCTAAGTCGGGAGTCGGGGTCGACATTGTGAGGAGATGGATTTCCAGCGAGGAATGCGGCGGGGTTTTGGTGGGTTACTGGCGTTGCGCTGATTTATATTACTATTAGCATTTGATAGCAAGCGTCTGGTACATGTCACGCGTGTAATAGCGGTAGATTGGTTGGTTGAGTATTGCAGGGTAAATACCTGTGCGTTAGCAATTGTCACAGCTGGTACGACGAATGACAATGTGGAACTGTGTTCACGCTTTGGAGGCGCACAGACGAAGCATTAAGTTTTGTATACACTTATGAATCAAGTCGTTTCTTGAGACTATGGAAGTTCATTATCCACTTTACCATGTGTCGAAATGCCTACTTTCGAAAGCCACTTGGCGGAACAGTTATACGAGGTAGCACCAAAAGAAGTAAAACAAGAGCAAAGTTAGAAGGATTGTTAATTTGATATGCTATTGGCATCGGATGAAGATGCTCACAGAAATTGAAGGACCAAATAGTATGGATTGCCGTGATTGGAGTAAACAGAAGATGGTTGAGCTGTCGCCAGTCTGTAAAGGTGTCCCTAATAAGGGTATAAAGCCCGGAAAAATGACTATGAAGATGTATGTCGCGGTGACATAACAGGGACAGATAATGCGATCTCACAACATCCAGCGAAATGTTCAACTACTCCACCTCAACCGACCGGGGCACGAAACTAGCCCACTCCTGGTCAAGCGGCCTTAAACCCCCCACGATCCAAGGCTACTAAGACACACCCTACATAGCCACACAGCTGGTATCTAAGCCCCTACTACGCGTCGAAGGCAATCGCGTTCTTTGACTACGACGATCGCTACCAACAGACCCACGCCGAGCGGCTCCAGAGCGAGTACCACAGGTGCAACGACCACTACCAGGCGCATAGTCCGCATGCCGAGGACAACGCTGACGATCATCTACCGGTGCTTCGGTGAAAGAATGTCGGCGGTCCAACGTAGAAGTACGGCGGCCTTGTTCACTAATGTTTCTCCGAGACTGCACGATCTCCGTGCAGAGCCCACGCAGCTTGTCACGAATGTATTGGACGTGAGAGTAGCCAGCAGGATGACCACGAATGGAATCAGCAGCAAACTTAGCTTCCCAGAAGCAACGATGTTGGCGAATATGATCTGGGAAGTGCCGAGTGTCGGTTGCAGAGTACGAGTCTTGAGCAGTATCGGAAAGAGACAGACCATGGCCCGCGTTTTGGTTGGCAGTCCATCCGACCCGGAGGAAGAGATATTCTGTGAAGGCAACCTCAGCGTCGAAATTGGCATCAGAGTCGGCGGCGCTGGGTTCCTGATTGTTGTTCACTTGGCTTGGGCGAGCGTCTCGAGGAGATCCTGCGTTTGGGATAGGAAAATGGGGGCGGGGGACATAGGGAGATCGACGTCGCGGCTCAAGACTCCCGTTATACGCTCTCCTATGAGAAGAATTTCGTCGTGAACTAGGCGGAGTACCAAAGCGATCGGCGAAAACGCGCGCATCATAATCACCGTACAAGAAAGGCCCACGAGGCGAGCTATGTGAGCGGCGACTGTACGGGTAGGACATGTTGATGATAGTTGAACTGAAAAATGTGCAGTCAAGCAGCTGTTGATCCTCGTGCGTTGGCGGTTGCGGTTGCGGGTAGGCGTTAGGTTCTGTGGGGTGAGGTAGTGAGCAAGCAGGAAGAAGAAGGGAAAGAACCATTTATGCATCTAGGACTTAGAATTTGACACCGAAATGATGGTGGTAAATGTTTGGGACGAGTATGAAAGTTCGTCAGATGACTGTCGCCTCGCCACGAACCGAGATACAGCGAATGACTTATACCCCGTGTAATTTGGCGTGTACATGCAATGAATAAAGCATCATCATTGCAACAGAAGTACATAAAGTCAAGTATTTACACACGCAAGCCTATTTTCGCCTCATATAGTGGGCAATAAATATTGATGCAAACACCAATCATGAACCATGAGTCTCTGGGAATCCTAAAACGCCGAACAAGATGCAACATTTTATAGTACAGAGAAAACCAAGAAATGTAACGAGGCGGCATTTATGTTATCGCAGCATGTAATTCAAATCAGGTAGCCCGTCTAGGATACTCTTAATGATATCATCTTCTTCTGCCTTTTGCCGCTGCGCAAATTTCGTAACTCCCGAGAGCGGCTGGCTAGGCGGAGGCGTCAGGTCCCGTGGTGGCGAACGTTGACCCGGGTTTGCCAAAGACATGGCACTTGCTGAACTGGGAGTAATGTCAAACACGGAGAACGGATCTGAAGGGTCGTGCTTGGTATGAGACGGAGCAAGAATTGTAGGAGGTAGAGGAGATTCAAAGAACGAAAAATCTGCATCGGCCCAGGAATCCGCGCTTAGTTGGACTGATGCAGTGGCTGGCGGAGATGGAGTGGAGGGCCTGTCAGGTTCCGGAATGGTACTGGATGCAAACGCCGAGAAATCGTCGACGACTTCGGAGTGACTAGCTACGGGCTCGTGGCTAGTAGTAGCCTTTTGTGCATGAGCGCCACTTGACCCATCGAGCTGCGAGTTTTCCTCTCCCTCCTTGTTATTGACAGTAGTGGCCGTCCCTGACCACGAGTGAACCTCCTTCTTGCTCGTCTCAGGCGATGCGGAAACAGCCCTATTGACAGGCTTCAGAATACTAGGTCCAATAGGCCCTTGCTCGACACCACGCGGGACATAGCTCTTTGCCCCGAAGAGGGCAGAAGACGGTGATATCATACTTTTAAGGCGGACTATAGGTAAAGCGTGCATCGTATCGGCTGATGTGTTCTGAGCTGGAGCGACCTTTACTGAGCTTAACGTTGATGCTGGCATAGGAAGTGTAGTGTCCTTCAATGGTAATTGCGATATTGTCTCAGTTGCAGTAGGAGTGGACGCGGTCGAGCCCGTGACCATCTCACCCCAATCGTCGTCGTCGTCAACCGCCTCGCTCACTTGATCTGCCTCTATCGAAGTGTTGTTGTCCAGACTGCTAAGGTTTCCCCATGTATCTGGCGAAATTGCAGGCATGCTAGGAATGGGCGGTGATAACAAGTTTGTAACAGTGGGTGCTTCAGCGATGGGTGTCGATGTTGGTTCCTGTATTGTGTGATTTGGGCTCTGTGATGTAGGCTCCATCGATAACGCAGGCGCCTCATTTGTTTGCCCGTTAACAGCGAAATGCTCTAGTGCTATCGGCGAAGACATCGATCCTAGCCCTGGACTATCCTGTTTCCAAGGGTCGGCAGACGCTGGGGAGCTCCAGTTGAACGCCGCAGGGGTAATTGTCGGCAAAGGCGGGAGGCTTTGCCGAACTGGCGGAGCAGCACGCGTTGGAGGCATGGATGATTTTGTGCGGGAGTGACTACTCGACGTCTTCAAATCTAGTGGTGCAGACGTATCCCAATAAAACGACGCCCTCGCACCTGGACCAGTTCCAGAAATGCGATCTTCGCGTGCCCATCTTCCTACAATCTTATTGACTTCTGCCCTGATATTGGAATTTGCCCACGTAACACGGATGTGATTGTCATCGCCAGCGCCATTGTTAAAAGCCCTCAAAGTCTGTCGACGCGTGAGTCTATACCACGCTTTTCGTCCTGTGGTGGAATAGATCGGATCATCTGGCGCCTCCTCTAGTTCCTTCGTCACCTCTGGAGATGGGAGCAGTTGGTCTAGGAGAGCTAAGTCCAGAGTAAAGTTATAGCTGCTGACGGCGCCAACGGAAGTAGTGTGCGGAGACGCCTTTATTGTTTCATCGCTTTCGATCCTGGAATCTTCCGAACTCTCGGTGGCTGTGCTGTCAATGGAGCGCGTAATTTCCACCTGGCATGGAATGTCCTCCGTCGAAGACATATCTTCCGAGAGGTTTCGAGATCCATCGTCGACGCGTTCACTATTCGTATCTATAGCCACGCTATTTATTTCCCTTGTTTCTTTCTTGATCTCTACAACACCATCAGCTTCTACGATATGCTCCACTGTAGGAACCTTGCCAGCCCCGCGATCGTCCTCAATCGATGTCCGAGGGGATTCCACCGGCACACTAACGCGGCTGGTTTCGGATGGAGACGTGGAAGGACGCGCGGAAGAGCTGTCGTCGGGCTGTAAAGATTCAGAAGCGTCGGCTTCGATCTCTGCGGGAGTATCGGGAGGTTGGATCGTAGTGGACGCGTCCGACGTCTCGGAGAGTACATTGTCTAGATCGTCTGCATCGTCTTGAGCAGCACCAGACCAATCGTCTGTACCAATTGGTGTTGGTAGCTTGCTTTGTTGATCTGTGGCCCATTGCGCATCGTCCGTGTCACTTGGATTCGTTGGCGGCGCGTTTGTCGCGTTCGTGGCAGTCTCATTGTTTCCCGATGATGATGTTGCCCATTCACCAAACCCGTCGTCCTCATTGCCCCATCCCGCGTCGTCTAAAAAGCCATTCAGAAGCACTGGCGCAGGAGCGTGCGTCGGAGGTAAGGGCGAGGTTACCTCGTCCTTTGTCGGAGACTTGCCGTCGGCATGGTTGTCGGCCCAAGGGTCGCCCCAGTGATCCATGTTTGGGGTGCTGTGTTATGCTTCATAGTGAGGAACTTCTGCTATAGAAGCATCCCTACTGCAAAGTAAGAGCAAAAGTAAAGATACAGTTTGGAAGTCGCGAGTAGTGAAAGACAGCTTGCTCGGAGAACGCGGAGGTCCCTGCCAAGTCGGGATTCGAGCTCGGACCGTCGTTTCCCCGCGGAGTTCATACCTTGGGAGTTTCAAGACAGGCTCACAGCATCTCTATACTGACAACTACGTCCTAGGTACAATCAATATCTCGTCCATTATAAAAAAACTTCCCCAGGGATCACAGTTTTGGTCAGACTTGAATATTTTGTTCACGGACAACAGTTGCGCGATATGGTTTAAAGTGATAGTCGAGAGACTGACGTACATTGCAAAAGGCCAGCCGTGATTGCTACCAGCTTTTGAACTCGCTATGCAAGAAATGCTCACATGCCCGATAGAGAAATGAAAGCCCAAACCTCAAGAGTGAGGCTGTAAGGATATAATATATCCGAACGCCGAACGACCCATGCAAAAACAAAACATCGAGGAATAGAGTACCTCTCCAGAAACATTGCCACCTATGCCACCTGGAAACCCCCTCCGTGTCAAACTATGCGCATGTGATTCGTGAGCTCTGTTATCGTACAGACTCAAAGACCGAGATATCGTCCACGGCGTCCTCGTCCGCGTCATGATGCATGACCTTCTTGAGCCCATTGTCGATCTCAACTGTGCCAATGTGGTCATTAGGAACCCAGATCAACTGGATGATACCGAATATTGACACTAGGCCGAGGAAGAAGTAGGCTGCCGCAGATCCACCGAGCGAATACACCAGTCCGATAAGAGGAGCTGAAACCGTTCGTGCCAAACAACACGCCGACATCGCCAGACCGTTGACACGACCGAGTACAAGCGGCGAGGGTATGGCGTTCTTCATGAGGATAAGAGCGCATGGGAACACGATGATACCGTAGAACGCCTGCAAAGTGAGCGAAAAGTAGATGCCGGGAGACTCGAGTCCGTGCGGGAGGGCACTGATGAAGGGAACGATAAAGTACGTCGTTGGATACAAGATGATCATCCATACGAAAGACTTCCAGACTCCAGCCCATTCCACAAAGATGGGAAAGACGAAACCTTGAACGAAGAGAGTGATGAACCCGTTGATCGCAAGGTAAGTACCAACGTCAGGCAGAGTCATTCCGAGGCCACCTTTGAAGTCCAGACCTGTCGAAGTCGGCTCATCAAGAATGTAGACTGGCAGAATAGAGACGTAAGCCATTTGGTGGAAGGCGAAGATGGCCATTGCGAAGATGACCATGACTACAGTCCTGTTCAACGTCTTCCGAGGCTTTCCGTTGGGTTGGCCACGGATAGGTAGAACGTCTTGGTGGATCCTGATCGAGTGCATAGTTCCAAAGGACGAGCGGCGAATATCGAAACGCTGATCGAACGGCATAGGCATACCTTCTTCCAAGAACGATGCTCGCTTGCGAATCTGACGCATGCTACCTTGCACGGAAATGGAAGCTAGTCGCTCACGCGTAAAACTTGCTATCGATCCGCGTGGTCGAAGAGACCCAGCCATGGAGCCGCGAACTTCGCGATCTCGAACGTGCGATGGCGGCGGAAGAAGACGGCTCCTCTCGTTGGACTCGTTGATTGTGCCAAGATGGTCGTGGTAATCGTGGTGGTCGGCCGTGCCGTTCTCTTCTTCCTTTTCCTCCTTGACAAGGGTCTCCTCCAAGAACACCATGCCTTGAATGATGGCGAGAACGATTCCAATGGCTGCTACGAGGTTGGGCAGAAGATATGGGTAGCGTCCAAAGACGCCGTCCTTCGGGAAGAGGTGGGGGTAGAGCCTAGCTGGCTGGGCGAGGAAGCCACCCAATGCTGCGCCAATGATTGAGCCCAATGTCCATACGAACGGTTGGGTTGCGTATGCGCGTGCTATTCCTGTCAGTACTCGTCTACCGAGCGCAATTCTGGATGATTTACGTACGCTCGTGGGCTGGGTTCTTGACCATTTCAGCGACCATAGTCTGCATGATTGCGACATTCCCATTCAGCGCACCACCGACAAATCGTGCAAGCAGCGCCACCCAGTATGTCTTGGACAGGCCGAATACGATACTCGACATGGCGACGCCAGCCAGACCAATGAGCGCGACTGGTTTTCGGCCATAGTGATCTGAGATCGTACCCCAGATCGGGGCGGTAATGGCCTCGGCGATAGCGTAGGCCGACACGAGCAGCCCAGCATAGAACGAGGCATCGCGTTTAGGAATGCCTTGGTCCTGGACCATCAAAAACGAGTAGGCGAGGATGGAGTTGAAGGCGAGAGGCTCGGAGAATCGGCATATTCCTGTCCGGCGGTCAGTAGCGCTCCAATCACAATGACATCACCAAGGCGCGTAGAATATATATATATACATACCGATAATGATAAGTTGCCTCGTTGGAAACGGCGCATCCTTTGGGTCGGGAGGCATAGTGGAGGTATTAAGATTAGAAGTGAGTGGCAGTTGAGGCGCTGCGCATAGTCGAAGGAGACGCGGGATCCAGGTTTTACAATGGTGAGCGCGGAGCTCAAGCTTATCATGGCGCTAAATGAGGGCACGCGGGCCGACCTTTCCCCTCCTTCACCCTGCACCACCCCCCAACCACGCCCCACTGGTGTTTCCCGCATCGCGATAAACGTACTGCAGCCTCGCCTGGGCTCCCTGTTAGACCCAGCCGCAAACTCGCTTGTCCTGCCTCGATCTTCATTGCTGGAAACCTTCGGGCTGTTTTCTTTGGATTGCCGCCACTTGCAGAATCGGCTACCCGTGGTTTGGTAGAGATTTACTCTTCACCGAGGCTTTCACGCCCGTCAAGCGGCTTGACGGAAGATTGCTACGCCCTCTGTTTGGCCCAACGCGGAACTAGCCTGTCGCTCCTCTCGACGTCATGACGAAGATGGGACTGCCAAGTTATGCTGCAGAGGCAAGCAACCCTGCTCGAGCATCGAATTGCTCACCGTACTTTCCCACACTCCGTATGTGGCGGCTTGCCTAGAACAGTCTTGCTTGTACACACACAATTGTCTATGCTGGACGACATGATGGAACCAGCGAGAGAACCCTAGGGGCTTGTCTTTGCTGTCCAACATATTCATCTCGTTGCAAAGCCTCGGGGATCAACGTTGGACAATCCTTCATCAACCCAACGTTCGCCATCAGGTTTGGGTAACATGTCAAAGCAAGCCCACTCGTTCCTAGTGGCGTCACCAAGCGTCACGAGGCGTCCCGCTTCCGTCTACCAGCCTTTGTGCAAGTAAGGGTTGCGCTCTGCTCTACTCATCCTCAAATTGTTGAGCAACCACGCCACCAATAGTGTGCCGCGAAAGTGACATGCATTCGCGACACCTGCTTTGCGTTATTACTCGCGTTATCTGCGGGGTGCCTCACGGGGTCCAATTGCAATCAATGTCGCCATACCCCGCCGCAGAGTCTCACTGAGATGCATCGACTATGGTGTGATCCAATGCTACTCATCGAGCGCAAAGGCCGATCATCGCAGTAGCGAGGGTGAAAGCCGCATCACGTGCTGTCGCGTTTTGCCAAGGCGTTGGGAATTGGCGGCGCGCTGCGAAACCACGTCTCATTTCGCGTATGTCCCGTGTCGCCTGAACATGATCCATACGATCTAACTGCGCCTGAACCAGCTCTTCTTCGGAGTAAAGTTCGAAGATTTTAAAGAGAATTCGCGCATTCGTTGTCATATGCCTTCAACTGCTTCATCTTCATCTCAACAAAGGGCTCTAAGCCCGCACGTGCCTCTTCATCCAGCAACTCAACACCGGCACTACCCTCCTTCAAGCAACCATCATAGAAGACTTCTACGTCGAACGGCTTCCGAGTCGCATAATTGAACCAGAAACGTTTCGAGGCCCACGACTCGCGCATAAGACAAGAAAGAGTCTTTTCACCATCTAAGCCCTCTCTTGCCTTCTCAGCTCGTTCCATCGCTTGCAAAAACTGCTCAAAGCGAGGTTCGTAGGCCTCAACGAATTCTTCGATGGTCCGACCTCGAAAAACATAGGAGTCGGGGCCCACTAGTAGCAACCACCAGGGCGGTTCAGAAGCGTACTGACTAGGCATGGCGTTCGTGAATTCGAGATCAAGAACAGCCTTGATACGGAGAGTAGTTGGATCTACAAGGATGTTTTGGGGTCGGAAATCGTCACAGAACAGTTTGAAAGGGCCGTGGTCGTTGATGCAATGTCTGTCTACTAATTGCGCAAATAGATGGCGGGAAATATATCGATCCTTGGCCTCTACTGGACTTCCGCAGAGGTTACGCTGGGTCCAGAGATGGGTTTTCTGTTCAGACAGCAGAGACTCGAAGTATTCGCGTGCGGATGCAAACGGTGCCGTGGGGAACTTGTCGACGGGGTAGAGTGCCGTAGTTGCAAGCTCATTCATGCTGTAAGTCAGGGGTCTCCTTGTGACAGACCACGTTCCCGTAGAGGAGTCCTTTGAAATGGCTCCGATGTGGTCGAAATCGAATCTGTAGAGTTGAAGCACGATATCAGCGATTTGAGAAAACACATTATCCAATATTTCCCCGTCACTCTGTGGGTTCAACCAGATCCGCTTCCTATCAGCAGGATCCCTGAGTATATCAGAGAGGGCAACTCCTTCCACAAAGTCTGAGATTATGAACGGTCCAAAGTGCTGTGGGCTATCCTCGGTCCGTCCCCAGCTGATCAAGCGCGGAACCGGGATGGTGGTATTCTCCTGGAGAAACTGAATGACTTGGACCTCATTCTCAATCTTCTCATCTCGGAAGGTCGTGTGTCCCGGGCCTGGGAACCGAATTAGGGCATCTGGCGTCCCGTCGTTGTACATGATCTGGAGGCAGAAGTTGAAAGAGCCCTGGAACCAATCGAGGACTTCAGCCCCATGTCCTGGGCGGCGACTGGCGACAAAGGCTGCAATCTCTTCCTTTGCATCGAGCACCCGTGCTTTCCACGCTTCCCACTGATCATCTCCGATCTTCTCGGCAAGCTCATCAAACAAAGTCATGTCGGCAGGTTGTGTGGCATTGATTCGTGTGGATTCTCGCTTGCGTATCGCGCACCTTACAAAATCAAGAACTGTGCCACAGCGGACAAGCAAGGGTAAGTAACTAGACTAGAGCTGGCCTAAGCCGAAAGTAAGCTGGACTTGGCTACAGTAGAATATAGTTACGTGAATAGTAAAAATTAGGGGCATACTTCAAATGAGTATGAGAACTCTTTTGAATTCAATTCACTATAATATATTTTTTGGCTTTCTCTCTAGCCATTTATAATCCCTGATAGAACACGGCGTTGGCGGACCCCTATTCATCCAATGAAGGTGTGCGGCATTTCCAAGATAGATTACTTTGTACGCTCTGGACATAATGACTCACTATTAACCTGTGCCACCTAAGAAAGCTTGGAAGTCACAATCCATGCGTTCAGTGAGTATGGCGAAAGCCGGCGTTGTACGCAAACAGACTTGCAACGATAGCAACAGCTGCGATGCCCGTCGATGCAGCAAAACTGTACCGAATCCCGTCATAGTACACCAAGCGGGCCTTTAGCTGAATATTCGGGGGAAGACTGCGGAGAGCGGTAACCGAATGTCGAATATCATCAATGATCTGGGAGATTAATTAGTTATGTGAGAGCACACAACGCATTAGTTGAGTATGTACCTTTTCTTGGTTTGGAACGCCAGCGAGCGCATCAGGCAATCTCCGGTTGAGCGTGTTCTGTACAATGGCTGCTGTGATAGCAACTCCCCACACACTACCAAGAGAGCGTATAAGGTAAACAGTTGATGCAGATACCGCGTGGTCTGGTGCGTATTAGCGATATTCCAATCCACTGTGATAGTGGGCTTACCTGAGTGGTCGAACGAAGCGAGTGTCGTGAAGAGCATCGCAGGATAAATAATTCCCTGACCCAGATTCGCAGGGAAGATAAAGACGATGTACTTCCAAGTACTGTCATAGAAGGATAAAGATGTGACTAGTCCATTCCCCACCGTCATTAACACTGCACCTATCTTGACCAGTGTTAGTAGCTTTCCCCATCGCGACATGACTACACCGGCGATCAAACCACCGATTGGGGTCGCAAGAGAAGGAATAGCCAGGCGAGTTCCCGCTTTAGTCGCCGAATCCATAAGGACGACCTGGAAGAACAAAGGAAGCATGAATAGGTAGGCATATGCTGCTGTGCCCGCGCAAATATTTGCTGTCTGGATCGCTACAGGGTTGCGACCGCGAAGCTGGCGTAATGGGATCACTGGGATGGCGGTGGTTCGAGCCTCGACCCAGATGAAGAGCGCCAACAAGACCAAGCTACCGAGCAATGACCCTATCACCCATCCATTGCTCCATGGCAGTTCGTTTCCACCTAAGCTAAGGCCAACGAGTTGGACAGAAATGGCCGTAACGAGCAGGAAAGCACCCGCGAAGTCAACCTTGGCTTTGATTTCCTTCCACGTGGGATGCAATTCAAGGGGGTTCTTGACCACGAGCCACCCTAGAAATAGGGCGATTAAGGATATTGGCACCTGCAGTAAGAAACACCAGCGCCTGCGAACTGTAAGTCATGAGCACTCCAGGGAGCCTGATACGCACCATCCGATAGAGTCGGCAATAGACCCTCCGAAAGAGGCACCGCATATCGCGCCAAAGCCGAGCATGCCATTCTGCAGGGCCTGATACATGCCACGCTTGCGGAAAGGTATCATATCAGAGTTCACAATGGTAGCTACATCGGTTTGTCAACAACACACGACAACGTTCAGAATCCAAAGCTAGACTCACCCATAGTCATCAAGCCACCTCCTCCAAATCCGGTCAACGCCCTCATGACGTTCACCAAAATGATGTTCCTAGCAAGTCCGCATCCCAGACAACCCGCCGCAAACGTGATTGTAGACACGAAGAAACACACGCGCCTCCCGAAGATATCGGAAAAACGGCCGTATAGCGGTTGGAACGCGGTGCTGGTGACCAGATAAGATGTCGTTAACCAACTCGCTGTATTCGCGGCATCAAACTCTGAGCTGATGACAGCGTATGTAGCTGCTGTAATGGTACCGTCGAAACCGTACAGGAAGACATTGGCGAAGATGGCTAATTCGATCCAGAGGAAGGCGCGTGGTGGGGTCCAATTCTCTTCGTCGGGAGCCTTCAGGAGAGGGGTATCCTCTCTAGGTTCTGGGTCGCTATGTTCTTCGTCATTGCTGCGAGAGGAGGCCATGATCTGCTGTTGGTTGCTTCAATTCAAGTATGCAATGTTGATCTCCGGGACTCGGAACCGTTGAAATCTCTATTGCGCCTACGCCCTTTGGCCGCCTAGAGCTTTAGATGACAGACGTCCTAGACCCACATTTTAAAATACCTATTACCTACCGCCGCTGATCGTCAATTGCTCCCGAACACAATGTCGAGGCTATGACGTGGTCTGAGACACAACCTCGTTGGGTTGACGCGCCAGGAACGCCGTTGCCCCACTTCAAACATCGCGTAATCGATAACCAGCCAATGGTATCTTGACTGGGCAGAGTTCTGCGAATTCGACCGAGACGAGAGTAAGAGCACGCAATTGGGAAAGATATTGACGTATAGAAGGGTCAATTGCGCGGGATAAAGAACAGTTACCGGCATTGACACCATCGCCATTGCCACAAGAAATTTTTGAACCGGTCTTATCATTCACAGGTTCATCATCTATCTCCCAAAGTCGACTTGAAGTGTGGAAACATTATCGAGGTCAATGTACCCTTCCTTCCATAAGATGACATCGCGGAACTCTAATGACGGCAGTGCTGCTATCTACCATGAAGCACTCCATTGTCGCCGCCGCTATAACCCTTATAAGTGCCGTAGCTGCCGACTGGCAGTTCAAGTCCCGCCCTGACTTGGCTCCACCACGACTCAACATCACTATCCCCGCCGCAAACAACGTTGAAAAGGGCTACATCTTCATCTCTCCATTCGCAGGCTACCCTGATACCGCAACTGAACAGCATGGCCCTCGCCAAGCCGGCCCTTACATCTTCCGCGACAATGGCGATCTAGTCTGGTCCGGCTATGGCTACTTTTCGATTTGGTCCACCAACTTCCAAGCTGGGAAGTGGAATGGCGAGGACGTGCTGTTCTGTTTCGAGGGTGATCATAACCCTGGATATGGGCACGGCCACGGCCACACTACTATCTTGGATCAGCATTATGAGACTATTCGTGAGCTCAGAGCTGGTAATCACAAGCTCACTGATAAGCATGAATTTCAAGTCGTAGGTGATGATACCGCGGCTATTCAAGTATATCAGCCGGTTCCACGCGATTTGACTCCATGGGGTGCGAGTGAAGACCAGCAGTGGATCGTGAATGCGATTTTCCAGGGTGCGACATCTCAGAACTGTCTCGTCTTTTGACCGTGAGCTGACTCTTGCAGAGCTTAACATAACCTCTGGGGAGCTACTCTTCGAGTGGGCCAGTCTGGACCATGTTACGCCGGACGGTAGGTCATAAACTGTTACAAAGAGAAATGATTCGAGACTGAGATCCCACTAGAGGCAATCCTACCTATAAACCCAGGCCAAGCGGGATCTGGCTACAACTCTTCAGACGCATGGGACTACTTCCACATCAACAGCGTCGACAAGAACGATGACGGCGACTACCTCATCTCTGCCCGCGATGCATGCTCCGTGCACAAGATCAACGGCACCGACGGGTCCATCATCTGGCGTCTAGACGGCAAAAACTCGACATTCACTCTCGGCGAAAATGTAACATTTTGCTTCCAGCACCACGCGCGCTTCCACCCCGAGTTAAAGTCGGTGCATGATGGAGACGACATTGAAATCATATCACTCTACGACAACTCGGCGCATGGCCCTGAAGACAGTGGTGGCAGCGGAGAAGTACATACAGCACCTACCAGCAGCGGCAAAATCCTCAAGCTCAACACCACCTCCTGGACCGCGGAACTCATACAAGCCTTTTACCCTCCCGATAATCTGCGCTCCAAATCTCAAGGCTCTACTCAGCTTCTGCCCAACGGCAACGTGGTCGTTAACTGGGGTTCATCTGGCGCCTTGACAGAGTACGACGCCAGTGGTAACGTGTTGTTTCACACCTACATGGACTCAGACTACCTCGGTCTCGGCGTAGAGAACTATCGCGGCTTCCGCTATAATTGGACTGGCCTACCCAACGAAGACCCTGCGATTATCGCTTTGGACAACGAGCACGGGACGACGATCTATGTCTCGTGGAATGGTGATACCGAGACGGAGACTTGGCGCTTTTACGCTGTTACTGGTAGGGATGACGAGAGAAGCTTTCTTGGAGAAACGAAGCGGACAAGCTTTGAAACGAGTCTGAATGTTCCGGACAAGAGTGTTTTGCGCGTGGTGGCTGATGCGGTTGATAAGAAGGGAAACGTAATAAGGTCTTCGGGTATCGCGGCTTTGGAACCGGAGATCTTGCCTGCGAAGGTTGGGAAGAAAGCTGCTCCTGCTATTGTTGTCCAGGAGAAGTCGTATATGGAGCTTTAGTTGAGATGTCGTACATCTTGATCTACACAAACCTGGTTTTGACGAATTGGTATAAGTTTGCGCAAATTCCTTGTGAACAAGGGGTTAGTTTGGCGACCAGAACAAGCGAGTTCAAGATTGTACAAGTAGCAAAGTAGACTGTGAGGTTCGCAACCCATTAGTAGCTTTGTTGATCATGCCCGGCGCTACATGCAGAGCATCTTGTTGATGTACTCAATCGCATCTTTGGCAGCTGTATCGAGCGCGTCATCTTAGACCCCTGGTGTGATTCTTGCAATAGTCCGTGCAAAATTCATTGGCCAGACTGTGCAAACACTAAAACTGAGAGAAGTGTGAGTATTATGCCTCACCACACGTTTGGCGTGCTAATCTGCACACAGCGACCCTGTCTTCATTCAAGACTCAATTCATAATCAAGATGCTGTTTTCATGCCACCAGGAAAGACCCTGCATGTAAAGAAGAACTCTGTGACGAGAATTGGTATGAAATGTGGCAGCTCTTTTAGCATTTGTTAAAGTTTCATGAGATTCTGGACGCTTCTAAGGAAAAGCTACCGTGCCTACAAAGCATTTATTTACAGCAGTACACGTACTGTTGGGAGGCCGTGTTATTAACATACATCGAGGCAACAAACAAGGATGGTGTTCTTTCGGTCAATTGGAGCGATATTCATATCGAAACTCAGCAAGACTTTTGAACAACGAATGGACCCTGGTAGAATCTGTGCCCTGAATTGATTACTGAGATCGGCTGTACAGTATTTAACAGATGTATCAACTACAACAAGATCTCTCACATGTACTCCTCTACCTATAACCTCGAATCCAACAACCTAGTAACTGTTCGGGTCGTACTCGACAAACTACCTTACTCTCTCGCAACCGTGCCCTCCCCCTTCTACCTTGTCATACAACAAACTCCTCCCCCACAATCTTGTTCCTAAACTCATAAAGCTGCGAACAACTCGCATGGCCCGGCGCATTATCAATCATCCTAAGTGTCTTCTCCCGCAACAACCTAGCAATCTCCCGCTCAAACCAATCGAAAAGATGAACAAACTTAACGCCATTCCGATCACTGAGAGAAATACGCGTCCTATTTCCCAGTGGTGTGACCAAGGTACCCCAGACCTTGTACGATAAGTGGATGGAAAGGCTGGTAATAGGCGGCGTCGTAAGGAATGCGTTGCGCAGGCAAGCGACATTGCGCGGCAGCCATAGCCCACCGCGTTTATCCTGCAGCGCGACGTATTTGAAGGAGAGGAGGTGCTCGCGCCGATTCACGTTGGGGAGACGTGCGCTGAGGTATTGCTCTATGCCCTGGACGAATGGGTTAAGCAAGACTTTCTGGTCGTCGGTGCCGCAGATTTCCAGACCTTGGCAACAGACCCTCTCTACGTGGTTGACGTAGTAGGCTCTCGCTCTCTTGGTGTCGCGGCAGTGAATGACGAAGCTGAGAGATACGCCCGGGAGATTGCGCGGCGGCGTGCGAGCGGATGGGAGGAAGAGCGTTTCTTGGAGTTGGGGAGAGTGGCCCGGGATACAGGTGTTCCAGATATGACATACGCGACGGCATGTGAATAGCGTTCGGAAGTCTAGAGAGGAGAATATGTGCTGGAGGATCTCGACTGGGAGATCGCTGACGGTTGTGCGGTGCTGCACGCTGTCTGATTGCGCTTGTGTTAGGGCTGCATCTTCGTGTGATAAAGTTGATTTGTCGAGAACCTCCTCTTTATGTCCTTCGCACTCGTGAGTTGTCTGTTGTTGGCGTGCTGGACTCCACAGGTGCAGAAGCCTTGAAATCCGCTGACGTCGCATAATCATTAAGATTCCTCGAAACCTTCTTCCGGTTTGCTCTGCTTGGAGTCGCCAAGTCAATGAAGTAGAAGCAGCTTATGGTCGCATCATGTATCTGAGGCGGAGATCTGGGTTTTGTATCTTCCAATAGCGGGATCTTTCTTGGCCTTGCGTTAAGCCAAGCCATCATTCAAATAAAACCGGTTACGACGGAGTTGGGTTGAACCTCTTATGTTGCTTCTCTTCAGTCTACGCTAGCTGCTTTGTTCGCATGTCCAGTAGCAATGTCTTAGTGCGAACATTATAACTAAGCTAGTGTAACTTATTAGAAAGCGTCACGATTCAGGTTACGCAGTAATTCTTTTGGGGGACTGTGACAGGACTTAAGGTAATTGAAATTGAGTAAATCGTTGTATGCAACGCTTAGAAGTCACTAACATAGGCACCGCTCGGTCGCAAAAGAGTAGAATCTATCTTCTCTTACTTCACGAAGCACTGGCGCCCTTCACATGCTCCTCAAATAGCTTCTTCTGCTTTTCCCACTCCTTCTTCAACTTCTTCGTTCTCCCCTTCGGTACATCTCCGCCCTCCTTATCCTTAGTCGGCAAACCCTCATCATCCCACGCACTATATTCGTCCGTCCTGAACATGTCCTTTGGATTGATCTTCGCCTGTTCCGCCAGCTTGGCCTTCTTCTCCGCTTCCTCGCGCTCACGCTTGAGTTTCGCTTCGGCCTTTTGACGAGCAATGGCCTCTTTCTGGTCGCGCGCGGCTTGTAGCTCGGCGTCGACGGGACGGACCATTGCGGGTGCGTTTTCCCGGTCTTCGAGGTAGATGCCGAGATCCCAGAGGTGCGTGTCGCGGAGCTGGTCACAGAGGGCAAGGTAGTCCTTCGAGGGTGCTTGCTTACTTGCAAGGCTTTGGAGGCTATCCTGGAAGGTGGATAGTACTTCAGCGAATGGCACTGAAGCTAAATCCTGCTTCTGCGACGGCTGGTGTTGTGCTATGATAGACTGCAGGACTTCGCCTGAGAGATCGCCTGCGATGGCGTGTTGTCGTACCTCGTCACGCTCACGCGACACGGCATAGACAAACTCCTTGGCTGCCGAGGGGATGTCGATGCCAGCCCAGGCAATTCCACCGTCATAGGGATCTGCGGAGCCATCTAGACCGAATATGCGAACCATGCGTGTGATCCATCGCGCGACGTCGAAGGAGACACCATCTGACAACCCAGCTTTGTCCGCAGAGTTGTAGTCTGTTATCAGCCCAGATATGGCACGCATGGCGGTGGGTGTGTCGAAAGAGTCAGCTAGGGCGTTATGAGTCTTCTCTTTCGCACTTTCAAACGCCTTCTGAACCTTCTCATCCTCCGCGCCGGTGGAGCTGATGTTCGGATGCACCTCGAGGTCGCGAACCTTATAGAAGAAGTTCGTAACATAGCTCTCCCATGATGAGCCTTGCTTCCGCAAATCATCTGTGATCTCGATGCCGTCATGCCAGCCACCAAGAAGGAAGATTATGCGCAGACTTCGAGCGTTCCAATCTCCGCGCCCTAATGCTTCGCGGATTGTTGTGAAGTTCTTGAGACTCTTTGACATCTTGCTACCCGATATCGAGAGATGGCCCATGTGCAGGAAGTAGTTGACCCATTGATGGCCACCCTCCTTTTGTGACCAATGCGCTTCTGACTGTGCGAGCTCGCTAGAGGATATTAGTAGATATTTGTTAAAGAAAGGGGATATCGTACTTGTCGTGGTGCGGGAAGCACAGATCAATACCACCCGAGTGAATATCCATCTGCTCTCCCAAGACATCACTCGCCATAACAGAGCACTCAATATGCCAACCCGGCCGACCAGGACCCCAAGGCGATTTCCAGGCAGGCTCGCCTGGTTTACTTGATTTCCATAGTGCAAAGTCGGCGTCGCCGCGCTTTTCAGACGTCTTTTGAGTCGATAACGCTCCTTCTCCGTCCGCCTGCAGACCCTTGTCCCCGCGGTTCCAGGGTTCCAGGCGAGCATAGTGATTGCCAGGCACTTTCTCGAAACTGTCAATGTCGAAGTAAACCGATCCGTCCGAGGTCTTGTATGCGAAACCATTGTCGACAATCTTCTCCACGAATGTTACAATTTGGTCGCCATACTCAGTGACACGAGTGACTACATTAGGATCTAAGACATTGAGACTGCGCATATCTTCGTTAAAGCGCGCCTCGTACTTTTGGGTGAGCTTAGTGAAGACGGTGTGATCGCTGGCATCTATCGACGAGCCGTACAACGAGTCAAGATATGGCAGGAGCACGTCTTCAGCGCCAGCATAGAATACCTCGACATCTTCTGGTGTTGATTTGGAGGGTGCTAGTAACGACGTTACCGCCATGCTGGCTGTGCGCAAGTGCATCTTGACCTTCGCTTCCTTGTCCCCTGGCGGCGTAACACCATCTATCGACTTGCCCTGAACGACATTGGCGTACTTGTCTGAGGACTCCTGGTTGAAGGTCCCTATGTTGACCTCAGAGCTCAGTAACGGGAGATTCTTCTTGACGTATGCATCAAAGGCCTGGATGGTGGTTGTGACTACTTCGTCTGTAACCGTCGGGTTCTCGGCTTTGAACTTGGCCAGGAGATGTTGCTGGCGTCCCCGCAGAATAATCTTGTCGTCCACATCGGTGATATTCTGCACGAATTGAAGGTTGTATCCGAAGTACCCTGCCAAGACCCTTCGTAGAATGTCGATGGTCACGTAATTCCGCGCATGGCCAAGATGCGCATCATCGTATACAGTCGGCCCGCAGCTGTACCATTTGACGACTTTGCCTTCTGGATCGATGGGGACAAAATCGTTCTTAGACCGTGTTAACGAGTTCCAGACTTTCAACTTTGCTGCACTCGATTGCTGCGGCTCCTTCCACGGGGGCTGCGTTCGGGCTGGTGTTGCCATGCTGGCCACCAAAAGCAGTTGATATGGTCGTGTGTTGAAGTTGGTCTTGGAGTGTAGGCGTGGGGGGTGGCTAGTGAGAATCCTGCGGGACAAGGTGTGGAAACCAAATACCATCAAGATGATACAGGAACGGGATGTAAAGAGAAAGAGTGACTGGAATAGAATGCAGTAAGAAAGGCTCCAGGGGACAGGTGGAGTCAACGGGCTTACGGTGAGTCAGTAGCAGGAGGACGCTGATGTCGCCGTGGTCATGTGTGTTGGTGTTTCGAGCACTGTCCCGGTTCTGTGGAATCTTGGCGCTCTCCCCACCAATGGCAATTTCGAAAGCTCCCCGCCAAAGTTTTGCTTAGGCGTCCTTTTTCCAAGTCCCATTAGTATTGAGTGGCATCCATTAGGGATTGAGTGGTTCCTCTTTCCTGTCCAAATCTCAGCCCAGGCATTCCTTCCTTTCTGCCTCGATGGCGCATGCTCCCTCGCCCTTCCTCGACCCAGGAACCCATGCATCAGCAAATAACATCGGGATCTTACAGTTGCGCCGCGACCATCTCATCCCAGCCGTCCTCTCACCCAACGCCGATTCCGACTACGCAGAAGGCAAGGTCGAAAACACTCGTTTTGGCTCCTTCCCGCATAGTACCCTCGTCGACCAGCCCTGGGGCACGCAGATACTCGCGTCCGTCGTCGATACTGGCTCTCGTGGCAAAGCAAAGAAGCGGAAGCGGGATGCGAAAGATAATGGCGCAGAGACGACAATCCCCGAGGTAGGAGAGGTGGTCAAGAAGGATCTTGTGAAAGCTTCGACAGCAAGTAGTGGGTTCGCGCATCTCATACCACCTACACCAGAGACGTGGACTTTGTCTCTACCACACCGAACCCAAGTAGTTTATACGCCGGATTACAGCTACATATTGCAGCGACTGCGCGTACGGCCGGGCGACCACATCATTGAGGCAGGCGCAGGAAGTGGCAGCTTCACGCACGCCGCAGTAAGAGCAGTCTTCAACGGCTATCCTGCGTCCGATGACATAACAAATGGGACGAACGATGAAGAGGCAAATGCCGTTGGAGTGTCCAAGAAACGCAAGCGCAAAAGTAGACGTGGGGGCGTCTACAGCTTCGAGTACCACGAGCCACGCGCACAGCAACTACAGGTTGAGATCAAGGACCACCGCCTGAATGACCTCGTCACAGTCACGCACCGCGATGTATACAACGACGGCTTCTGCTTAGACGACCCAAGCAGCCCAGACGCGGACGCCATTTTCCTCGACCTCCCCGCGCCCTGGCAAGCCCTCAAGCATCTCACGCGCTCACCACCTTCCTCTGCCGTCCTAAAGGCTGTTGCCGAGGACCCTTCAACACCCTCCGGCGAACCAGCACCCGCCACACCTCAAGTTCAACCACCCACAACACCGAAGCCCTTTCGCTCGCCGCTCAATACCAACAACGCTATCCGCATATGCACTTTCTCCCCATGCATCGAACAGGTCACAAAGACCGTCTCCGCAATGCGCTCTCTCGGTTGGCTAGAAATAGACATGGTCGAGATCCAAGCCAAGCGCCTCGAGGTCCGTCGCGACCGCGTAGGCCTCCAGGAAGAAGGTGTGCGCGGCGGCAATTCGAGTCCCGCGACCGTCCAGGAAGCCGTGCAGCGATTACGCGATGTAGAAGGACGTGCGGCGGTGTTCCATGGGTTGCAGAAGGAGAAGCAGCAGGAGGTTATGCGCAAGGCGGAGGCGAAGAAGAAGGGTCATAACGTAAAACCAGCCGAAGATGGAGAGGGGAAGAAGAAGGCGAAGATGGAGGGAGTGCCGCCCAGTAAGCAAGATAGGCTTGAGCGGACGAAGAAGGAGTTGGAGAGCAGGACGTTGTTCAAAGAGGGGCGATTAGTGCATCGTACCGAGCCAGAGCTCAAGACTCATACGAGTTATCTGGTCTTTGCTGTGCTGCCGCGCGAATGGAGTTGGGACGATGAAGAGAAGGCGAGGAAGAACTGGGCTTGAAGGATTGTGTCAATCAAAAAGATACCCAATTTATTATGAAGCATTAAATCTGACCAGTGTCTGAACCCTGCTCTGACAACTGACACCCTATGATCCTGGTATATCTCGAGGACTTCCTAACTTGTCGAAAAGAACTTTGCCTCTGTGCAAACCAAACACTCTTTCCCAAATCTACGCACTCTTTGCTTACCAACAGCCGGATAAGATGGCCTGGCTGTGGACTTTACCTTAGCTTCATACGCATAATTAGCCCCAAACAGCATCCTTCGCCCTGTGACTCCCATCTCTCGCTGGCGGCGTAGAAATGACATGTGTCCATGCTTCCTTGCCGTCAATGAACAGCCTATAGTTGAGAAGACTTTGCTCGCCATGCGGCGGATTCGTAATCTCGACCGCGCCGAACTTGCTATTTCCATCGGGTAGGTACTTGATGCAGACATCTTCGTCATCGATCTCCTTATACGTCCGGAACGGGAGGTAGAACATGCTCAGCGGGGACGTGCTGAACTCATGCACAGTCGAACTAACAGGCCATTTCGAGCCGACGGGCGGCGGAAACGAAGTAGCGGCAAATTCATGGCGATCGCCACTGAGGATCACTACACCGACGTTCTTCACGGTGGATAACTCCCACGCTGCTTCGAGGATTTCGCGACGCTCGTGCAGATATCCGCCCCACGTATCTTCGGAGCCAAATCGCCAGTTCTTGGTAAATGGTATGCCAGTTATGATAAACTTCCAGTGGACGCCATGCGGCGGGGACTTGTGAATCCAAGCCAGCAGGTCGGAAAGTTGCTGTTCACCAAGCATAGTCTTGGATGTATCGTCAGGGTCTTTGGTCGCTGGGCTGCGATATCGTCGCGTGTCGAGTAGAAAGAACTCCGCTGGTCCTTGCGTGAAGGAGAAATAAGTATGGCCTTTGCGATGTGCAGGTGGGTTTGCCGCAGCATTATAATGCGTGAATGCGTCGTAGGCCGGGACTGCGACGCCGGTCATGTTGCCGTTCCAGTCATTGTGGATCTCGTGGTCGTCGATGACATGGATCCAGGGGAGGTTGTCGCTGACTGCGGACCAAGATGGCGAGGAGTATACCTGACGGTACTCACGTCTGTAAGTCTCTGGGTCTTTTCCCTGGCGGTGGGGAACATCAACGTAGATGAAATCCCCGAGGAAGAGCATGAAATATGGCTTGAGCTCAGGTAGCCAGTGGGCGAGATGCTTCATGCCTGGGAACTCAAGAGGGTGTTGGAAAGGCGTATAAGGAACTCGGGGCTTGATACAACTCGAGTGTACGAACGTGTATTTGCTGTCCTTCAGTAGCGATATGCGCCCAGGTCGTGGAGCAGTCGTAAACGTGCCCGTCTTGTTTCCACTCGATGTCTCAACGACATACTCGTATGGCGTATCTGGTCGCAGGTGATCTAGGCTCATCACAGTTGTGAAATCGGTCTCATTCGTAAGCCACTGGTTGGGCTGGCTCGCATAATGCGTCTTATGCATCCACGATCGATTTGGCTCATCGATTGACCTGTACAAAACCCTGACATCGAACGCATATGGTTCCCTCACGAGAACATTCGCGCTATGATCTGACACGTATCCAACGCGACCGAAAGACGCGTCGTGACACTGATGCAGTAGCGGTGCGCGATATACAACGTCTAGAGCCATGGCGATCAAGGCCATATTGATGCCGAAAGTGATCCAACTCCACAGCGCAGACGATGGACTCGGGAGGCCAGTAAGCAGTGTCCTGAGTATCTTGGGTTCCCTCTCTTCATATTGGATCGTTTCCTGCACATCCAACTCCTCCAAGGGACCATCGTCGGCCCCGTCAATCAGTTCTATGTCGTCGCTAGAGTCATCGCCGCTTGCAACCGTCTCCTTAACGATGATATCGAGTTCGTCTGAGATGACCTTGTATTGCGCCGTGTCCTGAAAGCTCGTGAAGAAGGACGGTATGTAGACGAGCGTGAGCGCGGTCGCAAGTGCTGGCACAATCTACGATTTTGACAGTCAGTATGGCAGCTAAGAGCAATCGTGCGCATGACTGAGGGAGGTACTGACGGTCGTAGGGATCTATACATAAGTCAGTTAGTTCATTGCCTATAACTACTAGCTCTCAGTACACATACCCATCGCAAGAAGACCCAGATACTGAATCGCAAGGCTAGAGAGCTGACAAGCGTGAGAACATCGCTCGTAGATGCCATAGTTGCTAAGTGATTAGCATCGCTTGGTGGTTAATGTGCCGTGGTTTTAATGGAGCAGTACGCGTCTTCGATCTCCAGCATTGTGAAATTCGTGAGACCACAACATGAGGGATCACGATGACGTCGAGTTACACTAAGCCAGGAGTGGTCTAGCTCGCACAGGCGTGATGGAGTTCGATCACCACTACACCGTCTGGGTTCCAGCGATTTCAGATATATCATTCTCGTAAGGCTAATCGAATCGATGCACTCCTCCTACCTCTCGTCGCTTACCCATGTTGTGCTTCAAGACCCATGGCCTCAGGATGCGGGTTCTGTCAGACATGGTAATACTACGCGACACGCATACTCAGCCTCAGCCTGATGTCAAATATAATCCTGCTGTCAAACATGATGGGCATATGCGACTGATCAACACCAAACCGCTCGCGCTCAAATTATTATTCGCCACGACATCTCAGTATATGGGAGCTCGCACGCGTGGGACCTACCAGGAGGTAACATATCTTGAATATCTTGACAACATAGGTCAAAGCAAGAGGTCATGAAAAGATTCGCATAATCCGCGACCTATCAGATCAACAATGGATACCATTGGCATCAGTCGACACGTTGTGCAAATAATAAAACAGTGCGCCGAGTATGCTGCGTTGTAATCCTGATTTACACTTATTCCTTAGCTTTGATCCGCAATCACATTCACCTAAGTATCTATGTCAAAGCGTTCCCGAAAACAGGTTACCAGCCTTTCAGACATTTACTAAATAGTAGCATAGAAGTTTTAGCACGAAAATGGGCAGCTACCATCAAAGACAATCGCGACGAGAAAAGACAACGCACAACTTCTCGTGGGTCCGCAATGGCGGTGCCACTATCATTCCACATGCAACAATACGTACAGCTGACAGAATGTGGGGTGGTCAGGTCTTCCTTGGTGAGGCAGCCAACTGAAGAGCCAATCATTAATCTTTGTTTGCTTCTAGTTAACGATAAGCGCCGTGGAAGCCGTGAAATGAGAACGGACCTAGGTTGCCAAGATTGGAGACACAAGAAGAACGCACGCTGCGGAGACACAATAAGAACGCGCGCTGCCCCTCATTTAGCCTTCTATGTTTGTAATTGATTACATTTTTGCATTCCACCTATCCCCCAATCCTCAGCCTACCCAAAAGCAAAGCACGATGTTTGCTCCGTTCGACCGCTTTGCAGCCATACCTGGACTACTAGTCACCTCTTCGATCTGTTACACGGTTCTTGGTGCGCACATTGCTGGCTATCGAGGTTCAGAAGCTCTCGTCCAGTGGACTGAATCCAATAGAACGCTCGTCACAGTGATGGTGCAGCTCTTATCGTACATGCTTGCATTAGTACACATACACGCCATTTGTGAGTTCAATTGAAACGACAAGCCCTGCGTCCACTGTGTACTAAACATCCTGAAGGTGCACTATTCCGCTCGTATTGGTTATTATCTATATCGTCCAAACACTTTCGGCTCTACAACGCGCACTTCATACAAGCTGTGACCTCCCCAAGAATGACGTGGGATCTATCTTGGAAATTAACGCTACTTGTCATGATGGTAGTTCTCGCTTCCATGACTCCTGCACCTCTATGGGCGGCTGCCATATCTCCTCACCCGGCCCAACGAGATGTAAAAAGCTGGATTAAAATTCCGACATTCAATATTCGAAATACTTCTGCCCTCTGGGATGGAGAGCTCTCTACCACATTTGCTGGCACAACCGGTCAATGGCTAGTCGACCAGGGATTGTTCTCTTTTGACCTAAACAATTTTCGAGGGGCTTTGCAAGACTCTGCACGTGCGGCCTCCGTACTCACAGATGGAACAATTAGGCATGCGAAACTCGATAAAACCGGCTTTGTATACGAGGGTCGAAGCTATGGGTCTGGATCTGGAGCTGGCTTTACAGAAATCCCTGATGTGAAGGCTCCGGACTCCTACCAGTATTTTGAGCAAGGTCTTCGCACCGACGTTGTATGCTTCTATAACGACAGCATCATTGCGGCCTTCGTAGAGGTGACGGATAAAGATCAACCCATTAACCTGTGGCAGACAACTGGGCTTGTTGCAACTGGAGCCAGGGCCGGGTTCAACACTTTCGCAGTGTGGTTACCGGAAGACCTCTTCGCATGGAACCACGTGTACAACAAGCCAGAACGCAAGATACAGCTGCAGTTGATGACCGGCGCTAGCCCGACGAACAAGACCCAAGATCAACATACGTTCGGCCAGTTTACAAATATACAATGCGACATCACCTTTAAGGGGCATATGTTCCAGGTAAACGTAAACAACACTGGAAAAATCATCCGCTCGGAATTATTGAAGGGCTCTTTATCGGATTGGCCAACTCACGGTGATGTGGTTGCGACCAGAATCGATACGTATTTTAATGATCTTACATTTGGAGACAGTTGTAGTGGAGGATGCCAGCTTGGCATAGCTCTGGTCACCAACATCAACCAGCTATCCAATCAGATGGGACGTAAGGGTAATGCAACAATGCTTCGGGGTACGCAAGATTATTTTGCCTCGCTGGTGGATAACCTACTGGTTAACTTGCACCTCACGAGGTGGGCCTCAGGGGCACCAGAGCCGACCGAAAGTGTGCCAGCTTCCGTGACGGTACCTGCGCTTGTATTTGGAGATAAGAAGTTTATCTGGATCATTTGTGTCCTTAATCTGGTCATATTGTGCGCGTACCTTTGCGAGCTCATTCGGACGCGCGCGTGGGCAGCTACGCCGCCATTCGACATTATGAATGACAGCGAAGTCATTATAGCAGCATTTGAAGGCGGTCGAATGTTCGAAAAGAGTCTCGTGGATGCTGCTCTATATTCGTCGAGTAGACAAAGAATCTCCGACAACACCATGCTAAACTTACAATTCGAAGGACTAGCACGGAAACGACCGGTGTTGACACCTCACTCCACTGATGATGGCATCACTCCAGTCTCGGACGAAGAAGGACTGCTGGGGAACGTTTTCATACCGAGTCTGGAGAGTTTTCCATTGGCAGAAATACGCCGTAGATAAGAGACCGCGTACAGGAACCTGAACAAGGAGTCTAGACAGACTGCAATTCCGTTGTCTCCAGCCTTCTGCAGGCATGTGGGTTCTTTGATGCAGTCAGGCAAATTCGGCGAAGTGGTGGGCATGTTCTACTGCCCTTCTGCTTGTACTCGTGGACATATTCAGATGGTGCACTATAGCTTGATACTCTAGCTACCAATATACTATCAAGCTAATGCCGGTCTAACCTCGGTCAATCTTCTAGTGACGTGCATGACAACCCCTCAACCTAATGGAACCTCGCCAGTGTCTGCCAAGCTTTGTCCTCTCACAGCACAGCAGTTCAATAATCGAAATAAACATGCGGCTCATCGATACCAGCACTGGCGCTATGAAAGAGTTCCACGGACGCGATATACCACGTTACGCAATACTCACACACACATGGGCCGCCGAAGAGGTCACGTACCAAGAGTACATCAACGGCGGTTTCGAGCTCAAGAAAGGCTACGAGAAGATCTGGAAGACCTGTGCAATAGCAAAAGCGGCTGCTATAGAATACGCATGGATCGATACATGTTGTATCGACAAGAGCAGCAGTGCCGAGTTAAGCGAAGCTATTAACTCAATGTATCGATGGTATGAGCGAAGTGCCGTATGCTACGCGTTTATTGCAGACTTGTCGCCGGACGCGGAATTGGAAGATGCTCTTGGGAAATGTCGTTGGTGAGTACTGTTCATACACTACAGTCATGGCGAATTTCGCAACTTGGGATCTCATCTGCTAGCTCATACGAGCTCATGTAGCCACGTTTAGCCGTGCCTCGCTATATTCCTACTCCAAATATTGCACTTGGCGCACAGGCAGGATTGCTTCCAAAATTTCCTTTCTCTTCGTGCTGACGGAACTCTGCACCCCAGGTTTACCCGAGGCTGGACCTTACAAGAGCTTATCGCCCCCAAAGAAGTCATCTTCTTTGATTCAGATTGGAAAATGAGAACTACAAAAAATTCATCATCGGGACAGCTATCCAATATCACCAATATCGACAGTCAACTCTTAGTAGGCTGCCGAACCCTTTCAGACTTCAGTGTCGCTCAAAAGATGTCTTGGGCCGCTCGTCGAAAGACAACCCGAATCGAGGATGAAGCATACTGCTTGCTTGGGATATTTGATCTTCACATGCCGCTTCTGTACGGGGAAGCAGATAAAGCGTTCCGTCGACTGCAGGAAGAGATTATTCGATACACAGCTGACCTGAGCATATTCGGTTGGACTCTCTTCTCCCCATATCAGCTAGTCGTCCCTGAGGATAGCAGCAGTGGTATAGTACCTGTATTACGCCCGGCGCAGCCTGAGGAACGAATTCTGTGTGGTGTACTCGCTGAGTCCCCCGCAGAGTTTTCCGATTGCCATGATTATATTAACCATGAAGGAGAACTCCGCGAGTTTTCCACCTCCAACGTTGGCATCAAGACTCGAGTCCCAATGCTGATGAGCCAGATAGGATCAAATCTTGGCGTTAGTTATGTCCTTCCAATAAACTGCAGCAGGAACGGCATGGCCCTGGGTATACGTCTTCGCCACGTTCAGCGGGGACGTTACCTTCGCGAAAACCCATCCATACTGTACAGTTATAAACCTCACAGTATGCTCATGGCTCCAGCTGGTGAACGGTATCTTCTCACACAGATGCCCAAGGAGTCACAATATCGTGACTCCCGCTTTGCATCTATGAGTATAATGTTGCCGCAGATGCGCTCCTCGTTACTACAAATCACGAAAGGCCCCAGCTTGAATATCTCGCGCCCATGGCCATTGGATACCTACGATCACGAAGATCAAACTTTCTTTCTCACTTACTTTGGTAGAGACTTTGGTACCGTGAAATTAAATTTTCGCACTCATCTTCGCCACCCAGATGGCGAAGGCGTGACCTGCTCCTACAGATTCTGCTCGCTTGGCTGGTCAGCCAGAGACCCTTTACGAGCACAGTTTGGTATCATGGAAGAAGACGCTCACGGTGGGACAATGGACCATATACAGCAATTGGCTTCTAACGGGGACTGGCAAAGCGGGAGTGTACTGTTCGAGTTGCGCAACCGAAGGGTCCCCAAGTCATCCTTCGTGCGCATTGACCATACTGGCAATCAATCCGTCATTGTGTCATTCACAACTCATGTAACCCAAGATGCGAGCATTGCTAGGGCCCACATTTGGAAGATCCACTTTTCCCACAAAGTTTGCAGAACCGAAGATGCGCCGCAATTCGATGATGACCTCTGGACTCCCGATGCATATACTTGACCAACACCAGTATACATACCAAGAGAAGAGGAAAATACAGAAAGAGGCAGTAGTACTGCCAATAGCACTTTGATACAGAAAGTTTCTTTTCGAATAGTCAGATCGATAAAGAATATGCAGCATTGGGGCCACCTTTGACTTGAGACTTTGGTCAATGCGGTCGTTAGAGGGAGACACTACGTCAGTTTCCAACAACTTGGTCGTTCCATGTGGGATAAGAAATTAGGAAATGGCCAGACTTGCAGCTTCTATTGAAATTACTTTTGTTAAAATACGGAAACCTGATCAGGTTTGTACCTAAGATCTACTCGCCGCGCTACGATAGCGCATCTCTTAGCAAGAAAAGCTTGATGCGACTTCCAGCCCGAGATATGTTAAAACTGCCAAGCAATCACGCTGAGTAATCTCTGTTATACCCTTTTTGAGATCAAAAGGTTTCATGTGCGTATCGCTATTTTACATTACACCCCTTTTACACCTTGATCTTACAAACATCCCCCGCGCCCATCTCTTTGGCTTCATACGTGTCGCTCTCTAGATACTACCTGAAATGCGCTAACTCTAAGAACTATGAAATCTAGGCTCATGTATCGTCAAGATACTTCTGATAAGCAATGGTGACCCCATGTAAATATATGCAGGTAATATAGGAGAAAGGTTCACTATCCGAGTGGGGCGGTTCGTTGGGGTATCGCTAAGTGAAATATGGAAGACCTGTGCAATAGCAAAGGCGAACGTATCCATGGATCGACACATATTGAAGCTAGGAATTTAACTCTAAGAATAATGCCTTACATGAGTGGGCGTAGTTCCCGCCGGAAATGACGACCATTAAGTGATCAGTGCAGTGAGAGATCTACGACAAATTCTCTCCTAAGTACAGGAATGTTTACCCTCATAATACAATATTCGCTCGCTAGAGCTGCAATTTTGTCAGGAACTCATTAACTCCAAGAAAAATCCAACCAGCTACAGTCATACCGTTCTCGAACTTCCTCCTCGAACTTCATGAACTTATCAAACATATCAATGCTTGAAAATTCACTTCGCATCTCCATTAGCTGAACCCTCGACTTTCTTATTTCAATAATCCACATGGCAAGATCAACTAGCCCCCCCGGATCGGACCCTAAACGACACTGCGTGCTCCAATCCCTGCGTTTGGACTGCGAGGCCTTAAGGATACCATTTTCATCGGCTAAACAGGCATGGAAAATTTGCTCATCGAGTGCAAATCTCGAAGCGAGGTTCTTAACAACTCGGCTAGAGGTGAACACGAGTTGTTCTTTGTTCGTGACATAGAGACAAAGACGAAAAGAATCTCCACTGACGAGTATTCCATTATCATTCGCGCTCCAAAGTGGATTTCCAGGTTTTGGAAGAATGTTTTCTGTTGTATCGCAATGTCGTATGAACGCCTCTGTTGGTTTTCGATTTCCAATTCGATACCTCGTATAGATTGAAGACACGAGCTGACCCACTGGACCTATTGAAGACGTCAACCTTGCATCGTATCGGAATTCCATGCGAGGAGTGTGGCGAAAAAGCAGAACCTGTCGTTCTAGACACCGAATGAAGAAATCGTCCCTGTAAGCCCTGTTCTCCTGATCTACTAAAGAAACAAACTGCTCTACTGGAGCACACTTCCAGCTTTCCGGGGGATCCAGCTCCCGGTGCTTGTACAAGGATGTGAGGTCTTTAAATGCCTCTTCAGTGATGGCTAGATAGGTCAGCTCTCGCACCAGCTCCCAATCTTGTCCGACCCAAAATCTAACCTGCAAGGAAACTAGAGTCGGGCATGAGGTGCTGGAGAGTATCTCAGAGTATGTGCGGTCACCAGTCCAGATCTGTTCGACGGTGCTGAGTGCTCGTGCATTAGGTAGCATGAAGCATCTTCCTCGGGTCATAATGATTTTGACAATGCTAGACATAAACCATGTTTCGGCTCTCGAATCGCCGAAACCTTGCAGTATTGTACTCATGTTATCCACTGTAATGTATAGTCCACGTACGCGAGACTCAAGCACTGTGCCGTGCTTCACCGAGCCCACACTGTCTTTGTAGAGGGGAAGTTTCCATTGTTCCTCGGCTCCGGAATCATCTTCATCTGCGAAGTGCGCCTGGTTAGTTGTAGAATCTGTGGTTGGCACCGATGCTAGTCCACCTGAACCACTAAGCCATTGGCGCGTAGGATTCGCGACTGAGAACATATCAGGATCGTGGCTGATGGTGTAATCAGAATATACACCCCTTGCGACAACGCACTTGAGCTGCCGAAGGATACTAGGGCGATAAATATCACGTGCCCAATCTAAGATGTAATCAACGATTAGGACCAATTGGAGCGCCTCATCGAGCCCGGTGATACTGCCTTCCCAAAGGAGGACGATGTTCGAAAGAGCTGTTAGCTGCAGGTCAAGTACAAGATATTGAGGGACTCACCCAAGATGGATGTGGTTCATCTTCGCTCCACGTTACATAACATCCATACACTCTCCATGTTTCGCCGACATCAGCAAGAAACCAAGCAAGTGGTCCTCCTGGAACTTCCATCTTATTGCATTCGGCGTGTTGAAGTTCGTGCTGAAGCATGAGAAGGTTTCGTATTGGAAGCGCTGTCTGTACCTCGATCTCATCGAAGTTACTGCCACCTTTTTCACTCTTTGCTTCCATCACTAGGAAGGGGAAAAGTAAGCTTTTCCCACCGCTATCGGGATTACAGGTAGTTTGGATGATGTCTAGTAGCCTTTTTGAAGGTTCATCCTTTTGTTGTGACTGTGCGTCACAATGCCGCCGAAGTAAATTCTCCAGGTTTGCAGTACTCTGCAGTCCATGGATGCGATCTGGTTTCTTACGCACTGGATCAAAATTTGCTCCTTGATCGTGATGGAGAATATTCGACTCCTCAATCCGAGACGAGAATATGTCGCTTAAGCCCGTGTCATGACTATGACATGCGTCAGCAGGTAAATTTTATAAATCCTCGAAAGACCATACATGTCGCTCATGCTCCACTCATAACCACACTTACACGGTTCCCGCCGTGCCTGACGTTCTTTCAATGAACTTGTTCGGCTGTTACCTGCCGCTGGGTCCACTTCAATCTCAGATTTCCAAAGACGTTTGCGGCAATGTTTGCTTATTTTTGTTAGTAAGGGTCACGACTGACACATTCGAAGGATGGCCCACCAAGCAACTTCGATCTCGAAACGCTCAAATAGCCTATATTCAACCCTGGCTCGCCATCCACCTTCATTTAGTCTTTCCTCTCTGCAATTGATAGCGATCTTGTTTAGCCTTGCGGCTCTCAACTTGTTTGCAAGCTGCCACGGCTTATCGACTGTGTCGGGATTAGGCTGTAGCCCGTATGGATCGTACGCTAGACGACCTAGTGTTTGGATGTGCTCGAACTTTGCCTGATGCTCAATAGGAACGTTTCCTGGTCGGTTGATGCAAAACTTTGTCTGTTGGACGACAATGCCCAATTCTTTCGCTTTGTGCCGTAGATCTCGATACCGATCATTCACTGATTTGGTTTTGCGAGCTTTATGGGAGGCGGTGCCATTCTGACATATATTTGCATTGGTAGCCTTCGCAGCATGAACGTTCCTGAACCTATTCCATGAAGAAGCAGGGCTCGATAAACGTGTTTTCGTCGCTTCTAGTCTAGAGACTTTAGTCATTGAAAGGGATGATTTTGAAGCTTAAGAGCACAGAAGATTCCCAAGAGATACGTTCAAGTTGATGTTCTGCAAAAGAGGCATGTGTTGAGTATTGGATCTCATAAGGTCAGAGGCTTAGTAGTACTTTTGTATATGTGGACATATTCTCACATGCTCTTCGCGCCCATAGAAAATGGATTCCGGGTCGTTAAATCTCAGAACACGATCGCAGCCATTCAATTTGAGCGTAACGGTGGAATACGAAACAGGAAGCTGCACATCGACCTAAATGAAACAAGTTATACCTCCTGTTATTGGAGCTAACTCTAATTCAATCGCAAAGCGCTTCGTTCCTGCTGCCTCGGCTAGGCTCTTGGGGAACGACGAATGGGAGCTCCTTTTACAGAGCCGCGCTTTCTGTTGGTGGCGGCGGATGCGACACACGACGTAGAGCGCTTTTACGCTTGACGTAATATTATCGAGTGAGTTAAAACCATTGCCTAGATGAGCGCGCAAGCAGATGTACATAGGAGTCAGAAGAAGACGGTAGGCCTCCAGGGACAGACAGCTCTTGATCACAAGGGTGAGGTGGGATGAGTGGCGCGGAACGTATCCGCGGCGCGTCGGATGTCTGCCTCGCTACCGTACCTATCTAGCTCCCCAACACTCGACATTGTTATTGCATCTCTATCACTATTTTCCTATAGATCTGTTTCTGCCACATATACTTGAAAGCTTTGTGACTATGTAAGCCCCGCCCAGGACGGCTTGTGTGGATAACCCTCGGTCGATTTCTGGCTATAGCTTATCCTTCGGAGAATCAATGTAATCACAAACATCTCCGCACTCAAAGTACTTTCACAGAACCAGCGATAGCTCAACTAGGGCGTAGGCGCTTTGAAAATCCTCTTAGGCAGCATAGATAAGGGGATCAAGCCGCACACATAAATCACCTGGGCCTCGGTGCAGAAAATGCACAGCACTCTGCCACTCATAGTATTCGTGGTGTTGCACAAAGTTCATGCAGGAGAGCACGGTCTGCCATAGGCCAACAGGCGTCTATGGGAAGTGGGCGTGACGCCCGTCTAGCTCCAAGTTACCCTCGATACTCGATACTAACCAAGGGTCCTAATGAATTCTTTGACGCACAGCTGTTATGCCGATCCAAAACGCAACTGTTGACCCCAGTCCAGGACACTCTATACGAAATCCGCTGTCGAAGACGCCTTTATTTCTTGCTGCTAGGGTGCAGCTGCGCAGGGTTGCACGCGTAATAGGCGTCGCGCGGGCTAAGTAGAGGCTTGCAGGTCCCAGCCTGGTCATAGGTAGACATACTTTACATATGATTGTGTCTACCGTTTGCATACCCGCCCAGCAATCATGTGTCCTGTAGTAGAGGATGATGAGCAGCACTATCGCTACTTGAAGGAATCGACCAGAGACTACTCTATTACTATAACATGTATGTTAATAACCGCGTGAAGCACTTAAGTCCAGTTAAGCAACGTCTGTTACTACTTAAAAAGTGTTTGAATTAACTTTGGTTCTCCTTTCAGTTTGGTCTGCCTAAGATACTGGCTTTCTGGTCGGAATGCTATTTGCCAAGAGGTGAAAGCGGCGCCCGACACTGAACCGTGTGAATTTCGATCTTATGCGTTCCAAAAGCCGTCTCTGCTTCTCAGTGCGCCCAGCTGCAATCCAAGTAAATAGATGCCATCGCATGCGCGCAAACATATTCCAATCCTGAGGAATGTGAAAATTGTGCATAGCCGCGTACTCAAAGTAAGGAGGGTAGAAACCTGCGTAATCCCAATCAATTAACCAAAGTTGACCTGAATGATCAAGAAGAATGTTTCGAGGAGCAAGATCATGGTGAGTAAAAACAAATGTCCTGGCCGCTGGAGGCGTGTATACCTTTGAATACACCAAACAGTGGGGCGCATTCTTTATTTCTTGTCGAATAGAGATGAAGTTGGCCCAGAATTTAATAAAGGAAGTGATATCATCTGGACTTGACCTTGCCGGCACGCCGTAGCGGTCGTCAAGCCAAAATGACCTGCACTCGCCAGTTGCAAGAGATCCTGCAGTAGACGAGCTCACTGATCTTAAAAGGCTGATTGCATGACGAAGCTGCACAGCCAGCTTTATAGATGCAAACCAGCCTAATTTCGCCCATGCTTCCTCTAACGTGGTTCCTTCAATGCACTCCATAATGCAAAATGCTCCATCATTGGATTTAATCGTGCGTTTAATGTCAGGAACGCGAACGCCCAGCTGACGAGCTACTTCCACGGCTCTAACCGAATCTTCCAACGCTTCGGGCACATAGGTTTTGGCTAAGTACCTGGTAGATAACAGGGATATTGCAGAGAAGGGCGTGAGGCGCGGGGACTTGTCGATATGGCAGACTAATTCGGCGTCGGAATAGCACTCGAGGAGATCGTTCTGGAAAGAATGCATGATATCACGCGAGAGACCTATTTGAGTGGGCGATGGAAGACCAGCAAGAACGGGCATGGTGTGAAGTGTAGGGGACGGGTGTAGTAGGCGCAATCCAGAAAGAACCGATGCTAGCAAAGGCGGGCATGGTAGGCGAAGCGCAGAGAGAAGGGAGGCCGGTAGTCAGTAGAAGCCCAGAGAGGCCCACTGTCTCTGAGATTCGAAGGTGTCGTACTTCAGGAAGAGAGTTCTTTGATGTTTGACCGTGTGGATTCGAGCTAGGTAGATATGATCGGGTAGGAGGGTTGATGGAACGCTAGCGCTTTTGAGGTGAGGGGATGTAGACGTGAAAGAATCTGTTTCTTTTCGTCCAAGTAGCGGCGGCCTTGGTGGCACAGGCCAACTGTCGCCCTGCGCTGCTCCGCCGAACCAAGCACGTGCCAAGCTCCCCGACTAAAAACTCCTGTAGCCTTCTTTCCCCGCAACCCCCTCCCCTCACATCACACTTTGCCGCGCTCACGCTCCGCCTCTTACCAGCACTTTGCCAGCAATAGGCTTTCTTCAGCGTCACCTTATCAATCCCACTGCCCACTCCCGCGTGCTTGCGCCTACATACCCAGAAACCACTGTCGGTAGCGCCTTATAAAGTTGGCACTCTCGTACCGTGCACCACAATATAAACGTGCAACTAGTTCGGAAACACTAACGCTGATAGATTCACTTAACTGTATAGCGCTAAAGCATGTAAGGGATCTTTCTTGTCTTCTTGGGTATATTCTTAGCCAGCTCGCGTGAGCCACTATGAAGAGTTAGAGGAGGTATAAACCTAAACATATAACAGAGGTTATGTATGTGTATAGGATGAAGCCAGTGGTGAGTAGAAGCGGAAATCCAAGTAGTCATCAAGTGTGCTTTACTACGCTACTATGTAAAGCTTATGATACGCTTATCTCGTGCGGCTTACAAACTGTCTCTCCTCAACGCAGCAACAGTCGCTGCCTCTACCTCCTTCTCGTCCTCCGCTGCGCTCGAACCATCATCTGACAATGCTCTGCGTTCGTCAACTGGCCGCTCCGGGACAAGGAAGGTTGCTGCCAATGTAGACGGAATGGTGATGGAAAACATGACAAACGCGACAATGAGATTGATCATGGGTCTGATTTTCGCAGCTCCGATCCCGAATGCAAGGCATGAGCCGATAGATTCGAAGGAGCGTAGGAGACCGACGGCAAGAGTGAGAGTCTCGATGTCGTCGAAGAAGGTGCCGAGAATCCAGTATACGAACATGTAATGAGATTCATTCATGAATCTAGAAAGCATTAGTTGCGGTACGTGCATGGCAACAAGTGAACTTACCTGAATAATACGTTCACTGCAAAGCCGCGACCGAAGCCCGGGAGGTCCCAGTCAAGTGTAACTTTTGGTACTGCCTCTTCGTATAGCTTCTCGTTTGCCACCTGCCAGCCAAACAGTGCCAGCATGAGTACTGAGAATAGAATCCAAGTAAACTTTGCCAGCGTCGGTCGACTGCAGAACTTCGTATCGTAGAACCAGCCCCAGAGGATATTTGCAGCCGTAGCCGCAATTCCAGAAGTCAAGGCTCCCAATGTCCTCGCGCGGACAGAGAAGTACTTCGTCAGGTAGATGCCTTGATAGGTTCCATTCCAATTGAAGCCGATCATGACTGGGATGAGTAGGTAGAAGCGCTTATCGCGGAGTAAGTCCCACCATCTCCGAACCTCCTTCATGACCGCTTTGTTCTTCGTGGGGTCTGGCACTTTCTGGCCATCTGGACGGATAACCTTTTGCGGGGGAGAGATCAGCAGGGCCAGCGGGAGGCCAAGACATTGAAGGGCGATCAGGACGATGTAGGTCGTGTATCCGACCTTGCCTCTTTTCCCACTCTTGTGGTTCAAAGACAGCTGGATGGAAGAGCCGATCAGCTGGCCTAGTTCTCGGAGGCCGAGCCAGATACCAGTGAACTTGCCGCGATTGTGAACGTCGGCATAGCCAAGCGCGATAGCACCTTCAGATGCCCACAAGGCGGAAGCAGCGATACCGCATGTTGCACCGCCAAATAGAACAAACCACTCGGTTCCATAGCGGTTGTTGACTATAGCAAGTTAGCATCCCATACTCAATCGAAATACGCATGTTACGTACCGTAAAGTGACGCAGAGTACGGTGCATATCCCAGCGTTCCGAAGATGAGCACATTCTTTAGGCCGAATTTGTTGGCGAGAATCGCGAAGATTGAACAACCGAAAACCATGATGCCAAAGGTAAGAGAGTTGGCCCCGTTGACGAGGTAGGGTTCCTGCTGCCCGCCTGCACCGACATCTGTAATCATTAGACGGGGAAATAGTTCAGCGAAGAAGTCTAGTGCATACTGTTGAGCGCGTTCCAAATACCAGGCTGAGTGAAAGATATCAACCCTACGATGATAACGTTAAACAGAGGGCTTCTGTACCATCTCGTGAAGCGCGAGACAGGCTTTGTAGGGCCATCTCCTGCTTGCTCGACCTCCAGCTCAGGTTGCTTGGAGGACATGTTGAAGATCACCAGGGCTCGAAACTTGAGCACGTTGATAGTTGTAAGAGGGTCCTATCTTTAAGATCATTCTTTATTTGAGGCGGTAGAAATCATCCGACGATAACCCATTGCAACATTTGAGGGCAGGGTAGAAGGCCCGAGTTGTCAAGACGATGTGATTGGATAGATGTACATCAACTGCCTAGACGGGTTAGATGTGCATGTCGTTATACCAAGCTTCGATGAGACCATCCTAAGCGAGAAAAAATTAGACCTGGGCAACAAGTATTTGAACACCGTTCCAACCTAGCACAGCTACACATCGAGAATTGGTTCCTTGCCAAGATCAGAGTTTCGTCTTGGGAAGTAAGCTCGAGCGCATGGCTTGCATGAGTCTAGAAAAGTCTTCGATGATGAAAAGCTCTGGCGGGCTGGGCTTGAGATAGATCTAGTAAATAGTAACGCCATAGCTGTTAGCGACTTCAAAAACTTTCATAGGCGTCTCGGTACCAGTTATTTCCTACTTTGAGGTGACGCGATGTGACATGCACACATGGTGTTGACTCAACGGCACGCCTGAGTAGACAAACAGCTTGAGACGACTCGAGGTCCTGAAGCGAAGTGATTGGCAGTTCAGACATGTGCGATTCAAAATAAATAAATCTTTCTACATAGCAGAATACATATTGGGTGTTTGGGAAGAAGTACAAGCTTTTGGTGAAGTCCGAGATGTGGACGACGAAGGTGATCTTAGTCAGCGCTTGGCGCTGCAAGACGCGTCGCGTTCCCGCTCAACTGCTCATGTGAAATCCGTCTCTTGTCACGACGGGCTCGGATGCCCACCTTCAAACTGCTCTACTCGGGAATGACATGACCTTTGGCGTCGACCCCGGCCTTCCAGCGATATGTGGAGGCAACGTGTTCGTCTAATGGTCCTCTCTGACCCTTCTTCGCGTAGAAGTTCTCCCGATAGGTTCCGCCTGGAACGGCGTAGTCATCCCAGAACAAGCCTCGCGACTTCAGCTCTGGGAGTAACAGGTCGACGACATCCTTGAACGATTGTGGAAAGAGCGCATATGCCTGTCCCTCCGTTAGTTCATACTCAGCATCCGCTCTTGGAAGCGACTCACTATGTTGAAACCGTCGACATCTGCCTCATCAATCCAGGTTTGAAATCCGTCGACTACTTGAGCGGCGGTACCAACAAAAATTGGCCCATTTCCTCCAATGCTAACGTGCTCAGCGACCGTGTGCTTTGTCCACTTGGACGTTCCAGGGGAGAAGCGCGCGTATCCCTCTACAGTGGATCGAACGGCATTGCTCTCTACTTGCCGTAGCTCTTCATCGTCTCCGTACTTTGCGAGATCGATCCCCGTCCATCCGCAAAACAAGGCCAGAGCACCCTCAGTCGACGCGTACTTGCGGTAATCAGCCAGCTTAGCCTGTGCCTCCTCTTCTGTTCGTCCAATGATAGGGGTTACGAGAGCGAGAACCTTGATGTTCTTCGCGTCTCTGCAGAATTGCGAAGTCGCCAATTCCCTGATCTCCGCTATGCTCTTCGCACATACAGCGGGCGCATGCGCGGATACGAAGATAGCTTCCGCGTTTTGCGCGGCGAACACCTTCCCCGATTTTGAAGTGCCGGCCTGGAGTATCAATGGTGTACGCTGTGGGCTTGGCTGACAGATGTGTGGTCCTGGTACCGTGAAATATTTGCCGTCATGGTTGATCTCTCGAACCCGATCAGGTACCGTATACACACCCTTCTCTCTGTCCAACACGACTGCATCATCTCTCCAAGAAGACTCAAGAAGCTTATACATAACCTTCACATACTCCTCAGCCTGTGCATATCGCTCATCGTGCTTTTTCCCTGTCAGTCTTGGTCGTTATTGAAGTGAGAAGGCCTTACCGGAAGCTGCTCCTTCATTCCCATATTTTTAGCTGCAGAGTCGAGGTAGCTTGTCACAATCTGGACATGTTAACTGTTGCGCACACATTGCGGCTTGGGCGAACTCACGTTCCAGCCAAGTCTTAACCAAACGTTAGTTCTCAGTCGAAACAATGGACACGGCCTCCTTACCTTCCTTTCGACAGATGGTCGACAGTTGAAAGCCTTCGAGCGAGATGATATGGCTGCTCGTATGTGGTTGACACGGTTATACCAAAGCCGATGCTCTTCGTGGCCGCAGCCATTGCAGAGACAATTGCCAAGGGCTCATTCACCGGCCATTGTGCGCCCGAAATCTTCGCAGCATCGAGGTTCCCGTTGTAAACATCGTAACCTCCGAGGACATCAGCTACAAAGATACCATGGATCTTGGCTCCCTCAAGAAGCGTGGCGAGCTCAACCCAATGGTCGATATCGTTGAACTCGTGTGAATGATCGTCAGGATGCCTCCACAATCCTGGCGACTGATGGCCGCTGCCTGTTGATATCTCGCAGGTTAGCATCTCTTAGAACTCGGAAATAAGAAGCTTATCGCCAGCGCCAGCATGCACAGGGCTCGACTTGCATGACGCCTTCTAGTCACATGACTTACACATTTCAACGAACGCATTAATGATTAACTTTTTTCCAGACGCCCTGGTTCCGTTTCTTGAGGCTCTCGTGGCGTGCTCGCCCTGGCGCTTTCTTTTCGCCATTATCCAGAGTATTGAGGAGTGAACGTTGTAGACCGATGTCGCTTAGGGATTGGTTTTGTTCCATCGTGCGGATGGTGTGCTTACGACCTCTATATACGCAATCGCTTATCGGTAAGATAGAACACAACCCCCCATCGGTGATACTACCCTGCATCTCACACTATCCACTTTCTCTCCGACATAGGCCCAGCTACTCACCCACGTTTTACCGCTTACCGACAGAACTTCCCCACTCCCACGCCATCTCACTCCACAATGCCGACAAGATGGTGCCTCCACAGGCTTGGCCCTTGCACAGCATATGCATGCACCTGCAACGCATACGCATGTCTGGACTGCGAAGCGGAATGTCATCCTCGGGACTTCGGAACATCCTGTCCTGGCAAAACGGTGGTCCACTCACGTGCATGTCATCATACCGTCGACGATCCTAACACCTCTTGTTCCACGGCCACATTCGCCTTCAACTCCAGTGACTGAACAGCACAAGCAGGCGACCTCTACATCATGTCATCACGAAAGTTACGAACGAGAAGCATAACAACATCGCCGTCAAGTGCATCCCCACGTGCAAAGAGAAGAAAGACCCAATTACAAATCGAGTTTCAGCGGAGCACAGAAAGAACGCCCCTTCCAGAAAATCAGTCAGCATTGCTATTACATGCAATCCGTCAACCGTACGGTATATCAACAGAACACGAAGTCCCGGAGATACAACACGACCATGAACTACTGGTCAAGGTCAACGCTGCAGGGCTAAATCCAATTGACTGGAAAGCACCGTGAGTACTTACATCCATTTTTCCTTTTGACAACCCTAATTATGAGTTCTCTCGCTCTCATAGCCCCCAAACCCTGTCTAGAGGCTTCCTTGCTCACACATGCCTAGTGACTACAATTTTGGCATCCCAAGTCTACCATATGTATCTGGGCGCGAACTGGTAGGTACTGTTGTCAAAGCCACCAAAACGCCCAACTCCCGCATACGCGAAGGCGATATCGTCGTCGTGCCATCAACCGACTACCGCGATCTTCGTAAAGCTGCATTCCAAGAATATAGCATCGCGTCGTCATTCAATGCTATTCGACTACCTCGGCACATCTCAATCAACTCTGGCAGCATACTAGGGGTGGCCTTCATATCAGCAGCGCTAGCACTAGGCATATGCATGGGTGTCAATTTTGAGTCCATCGAGGATGGCCCAGACCTACTGGATATTGTGCGAAACATTGATCCTGAAAGTCTTCCCGCAGATATCCGTGAGGAGTGTCTGAGCGGTATCGGAAAAGCCGAGAGAGCAAAATCTGGGGACTTTCTTGTCATATGGGGAGGTAGCTCGACGTGCGCACATGTTACGAAGCAAATCGCACGGCTGGCTGGATTGAAGATCATCTCGGTCGTCGACGGGGCTAAGCATGGTCTGCGAGTCTCTTCCAGTACGACAATACGCCCCGATTTGCTAATCGACTCTCATAACCCTGAGAGAGCGATTAGTATCATCAAAGCGGCAACTGGTGAGCGAGCGCGCTTCGGGTTCGATACGGAAGGCAAGGAAACAGCTGGACATCTTCTCAAATCACTCGCTACCTCCTCTCCAACAGTTTCTGCGCTTCCAGAAGGCAAGAAGCCATTCCAGCGCAAGGACTCGAAGCTCATTACACCACCAGCAACGCCTTTAGGGACTTCTTCAGAATTGCAAAACTCCCATCTGGTTGGGTTGACTGGGCTACCGAAGACCGACATACCCGAGGGTGTCGCACTTCACACTGTCCCGATCAAGCTATATCATGAGGTTGCAGAAGTGGGAGAAGCACTTAGCGCTTGGTGTGAGAAGCTGCTTGGCAAAGGGTTGTTGGTGCCACCAGATGTCGTCGGAACCGTGGCCGGACTGGAAGGCATCAACAAGGGGCTTGATCGAATGAGGAAAAGGGAGATTAGTGGAGGCCGATTGGTGGCTGTGCTGCGATGATATTGATTATTACAATTAAGGTCAAAAGTTTCACATGGGTCTGTTTTATTGCCACTTAGCATGTGTTGGAGTACAAGCATAATATTTGATGCGTTTCAAAAGCAACAAGTTTGGTGTGATTATGGTGATAGTATAAGTTTGCTCAGCATCAACGTTCAAATCTCTAGCGAACAAGTTTAACTTGAGCGAAGTAAATTTACTGTATATGTGTAACACAAATAAAACCCGCCTTGAAATTCCATCTCACGCAGTATTGCATGATAGAATACACGGCTATTCAAATCCTCCACAAAGTTTACTTGGGTCTCCCCCTGATGCTCCTACTCCGCAACCTGTTTAACCGACGACAGCCTTGCTTTCTCTGCTGTCAACATCGACCTTGATCGGCGGAGTAACAATGCCGCTATCAGTTTGTTCGATAGCTGCTTTCCTATTTCCACCGAATTCCTTGACTACCAACCACGCTGGGAAAATAGCGACAGCCCATAGCGCGAAGTTCCAATACACAGCGCCAACCTCGGCGAACACCGTGACAGACGTAATGCCATAGCTGATTGCCTGCCATGCAGATTCCGTGCCTCTCAGCAGCGCTGCGTAACGAATGACTTCAGGCTCACTGGTCGCAATATTGCTGATAATGAAGTATAGAAAGAGGTAGTTGAGCTGGAAGCCTACTGTCAGGAAGACGAAGACGCCGAAAGCTCGACCAAAACCTGGTGTTGCCCAGTCGTAGGTCGGGTCAGTATGCCGGAACTCGCTGACTAGGACGGTAGCCCAGAGCCACCAGGCGCCTTGAAGGACGGCGATGGCACCGAATGCGGTGCGGGCGCGAACATGTAACGCAATGCTGGTTCGGTCAAGATAGGCGCCTAGAAGATTGCCGCAAGTTACAGCGATGATTCCAGAAAGGAAGGAACCAAGGGCACGAGCGCGGACGGAGAACCATACTAGTGACCGAATTAATATAGGATCACTCTCTGTATGGTGTATGACTTACGGGCAAGATAGGTGTTGTACACAGCCTCTGAGAAAACCGCCTGTCCAATCCAAAGTACGATGAGTAGGAATCTCTTAGTGAAGAACAGCTTCGTAGTCTGCTTGATTTCAAACCACGGGTTCTCCAAAATCGCGAGCTCCACTTTCTTTCCGTCCTTCCTTTGCACCTTGTTTGGTTTATTCAAAAACAAACTCACTACTGGCCCTGCACACTGTAGCGCGATGAAGACCAAGTACACCGTATAGGTGACTTTTCCGGCTTTGTCACGCTTCACATTCAGCCCCAGATTGATCGCACCGCCGAGAATTTGACCAGCGAGGCGGTATGTAAGCCAGTAACCCAGGGCTTTGCCTTTGTTCCATGGTTCGGGATAGGCGATCGCAATGGCTGCTTCGGCCATCCAGAACACGCCAGCTGAGATGCCGCAGAGGGAGGAACCAAGGTATACGAACCACTCGGTGCCGAAGCGGTTGTTTGTGCTGTTGTGAAATTAGCGTTTGTCTTCTATGTAAATTTTACGACTGCAACACTTACTACAGGGCTGCTGCATACGGAGCATATCCAAGACTGTGCATTTCCGTTAGCATGCGCGCGACAAGATACAGCTGTTATAAACTCACGTTCCAAAAATGAGTGCGCCCTTGATACCGATGTAATGCACCATTACACTACTGAAGTAGCAACTGACAACCATTAAGCAGAAGGTGAGCGCGTTGCCGGCATTGACCAGAGTCGGTGACTGCGCTCCTCCGGCTCCAAGGGAGTTCATCGCGCCCCAGATTCCAGGAGCGCTGAAGTTACATAGTCCCAAGATAGTTATGTTGAAAAACGTTGAGCGGTACCATTTCACTGACAGAGTCAGCAACGCCTCGGAAGGACTGTGAAGAACTTGAGCATACCTGGGTAATCGCGCCTCTCGCTATGATGATCGCTGGCCGATTCGAGGGAGACATCTTGTTCACCCATTTTTGACGTGTTGTGACTAATGTCGATGTTTGCGCTGGCCAAAATTCGAGATGGTAGTTTTTCGAAGAGGATTCAATACATTCAAATACAGCCAACCATATCGTTAGAACGAGATTCCCTCATCGCAACCATGTACAACATCATACTCTCCCTACCGAAGCTAGCAAGTACCGCCGAATCTCAAAGGTACCTGCACAGGCAACGCGTCTGCTCCAACCATGGCCACAGAAGGCCCGGACCCCGTTCCAGCTGTCCGGTACTCGGACGTCACCTTGCACTGTACCTATTTAGACTTTCCCGAGCATTCAATTGCCATTTGAACAGCCGTTGCGGGAATTTTTCGGCACGTTGTTGAGATCGGCGTTTTGACGGGGTAGCACGCCATCTTCCTTGTACCTGACGAAGAACACCAAGTACCTGCACTAACCGCGCGGAGAATATCGCGTAAATAGAACAGCGCGAAGGAAGAATGTTGGACTAGCCATTGTTGACGAAATAGATAAGTAAATGTCGTGATATGGAAAATAGAGACGTGCGGATTAATAAGTGACACCAGAGGCAAACGGGCAATTATTTGCGAAGGGCGTGCGAGTCAATATCGCCTTGCTGAAGTTGCATATTGTCGATTCGATCTAATTCTAATATGGCACTGGGAATAGGTGTCTGACTCGTATAACCTTTTAGAGAGAAGGCGAGGGCGTGCAATATGCTATGCTGAAAATCGAAAACGAACAAGAGAGTTGTTCAAGCCGACTTCTTTGTTGAGCCAGGTAGGTCCCACCAGCTCTCGTGAACATCTCTTAGGTCGCCCTCTTTCCCTGGAGCTTTCAGATATGAGACAATATCAGCGTCGTCCTCCGTCTCGGCCTGTGTGTAGCCATTGCCAAAGTACGCAAATCTATTGATCTTGTTCTCGCGTTCGTATTCCCAGTCTTCCCACCGCGGTTCACGCCTGACGATGGTGATGTGTGCAGCCGAGCCGGGCCATAGACCATTGATACGCTGTCCGGGAGTGCCGCCATTGTTCCAAGAAGAGCAATTGTCTGTCAACACAGTGTTGGGAAAGAAAGCATCACAGTAGTCGACAAAGTCATCTGCTGCTTCTTTGGAGGGCGCAATGGATTTGATGCCTTGTGAGGATGCTTTTCGGAAGACTTTGGCGAAGTACGTGACTGCTGTTTCCACAGCTTGAGGTACTGTTCCCGCGGAGCCAGTAGCAGCTGGACCAGCCAGGAAAAATAGATTGGGGAAGCCTGGAGTAGCAAGGCCCATGTAGGTGTAAGGAAAGCCAAATTTTCCTTCCGGCTTCCAGGCCTTGTTCAGGTCAACTCCTCGTGCCTTGATCGAGAAGGGTGGAACCAGATTAGTATTTGCACCTGTAGCACAGAATATAGCATCGAAATCGTAGGTTTTTCCATCGACCGTCTCAATTCCGGTTGAAGTGAAGCGTTTTATCGGTGTTTTGACCAGGTCGACGTTGTCTTCAGTAAGGGCTTCCAAGTATCCGGGTCCTGGTGTCAAACGTCGGCAATTTGGTGCAAAGTCTGGAATGAGTCCGTCTAGAAGTTCTGGCTTCTTTGCTGCCCGCTTCTTCATGACATCAATGAACTGCTCTCGCATGCCCACATTCTCCGGCGAACCTCGAATCACAGAACGGAATCTCCGCCAATAACTTTCTTCGAGATCTTTACGGAAAGCTAGATAAGTCTCTGGATCCTCGAAGGATTTCCGCTGTTCGTCAGGGTATGGCTGTGGCTCAAAGGTCCGCTCGTCACCTGCCCAAGAGGTCGCAATCCAAGTTGGATTCCGTACAAATTGAGTAACATGCTTTGAGACGCGCTGCAGATTGGGTACTATTTGGATGCCACTTGCTCCATTGCCAATGACTGCCACCCTCTTGTCTGTGGGGTCATAAGAAGGATCCCAATTTGACGTGTGTCTTAAGAACCCTTTGTACTCATCGAGACCAGGGTAGTCAGGCAGCTTCCATGCATTGAACCGGCCAATTGCGGTTATGATGAAATCGAAAGACTCGGTGGATGTCTTGTCATTCTCGAGGTCCTGAACTTTCAAGCGCCACTGTGATTGCGCATCGTTCCACTCGGCTTCATCCACGCGATGTCGCAGCTTGAGATATCTGTACACATCATGCTTTTTTGCGCGCGATTGCCAGTACTCGCGAATCTCTGCGCCCTTGGCAAAGATCTCAGACCACTGGGTATTGGGCGAGAAAGTACTCTGGTAAACGTGTGCTGGGATGTCGCAACGTACGCCAGGGTACACGTTCTCGAGCCATGTACCGCTCTACACAAGAGTCAGAGGAGTCAAGGTGGGATTTTCAAAACACTTACCACGTCGCTGTTTTTCTCAAAAATTGTCAGCTTGATGCCGGGCACTTTTGCTGGGAGCAAGATGCCAGCATTAATTCCCGCAAGGCCAGCGCCGATTACCGCTACTTTCAGCTCTCGCACATGGTCGAGACAACGATTGGGATCGAGTTTGAATTTCGATACCGGGTAGTTGACGGGTGTCGAAGAAGGTGTATTGATCTGCTCCGTCTCTTTCGCAGGTGCGAGATGGTCGGTTAGCTGTGCGACGCGTCGTGTGGAGGTTGATGTTTGTGCCTCAGTCGTCGTCTTGTCAACGGCAGGAATAACCGAGTTTGGCGCCATACTCGTTCCAGTACGACTTGGGTTGTCGAGATTTTGTCGCAGAAAATCACACCCTTAGGCAACGCTTGTATTACAACACATGCATTTACCGCCATGAAAGCTTTTAAAGCCTAGAAACGAGCCAGGCCGCTATGCGCGTAGACCGACACTCCACCCAGGCTCATTGCCTTCGTTATCGTCCCGCTATCGGTTTCGTGTTCCGGCTCCCAAGCTATGCGCAATCACGTCTTCACCCCACCAATTGACGGTATACGCCATGTGCTAATCATCCTTGGCTGTCGTGATTGCTTCCCTGTAGCAGCTCACAACCGTGTGAAGCCGATACCCGATCCAGAACGCAGAGGGCGTCGTGCAACCTTAAGCCACCACCTCTAAATGCAAGAGATGGATTGTGCAATATGGCCGAGCTGAGGCCGGCGGCCTTGGAATAATAGTTCAACTATACATAAAGCTCACCCAATATGATATCTAGAGGGTATCCGCCAGCAGTTCGTCGACTTGTACAATATGTCTTCACCGATCAAACCCCGCAAGTGGTATCAGATTCGCTGGTTTCAGGATTATGATACGCCCGAGGAGCGCAAATTAATCATCAAGTTAGACCTTCTTATTGTCCCATACGTGTTTCTTGCGTATTGGGTCAAGGTGAGCTTTCTATGTACGGGCTGCAGGTGGGACGTGTTCTGACTTCATACTTCAACGTCGCAGTACATCGACCAGGCCAATATCAGTAAGCTGAGCCACAAATTTCATTTGAATAGGCATCACTAACGCTTTTGCAGATAATGCGTACGTTGCTGGTCTCAAAGAGGACTTGGGATTCAAGGGGAATGAGCTCGTACGACTGCAAACGCTGTACATCCTAGGCGCAGTCCTGGGGCAGCTGCCTTTCATGTATCTTTTTACAAAGATCCCCATGTACTACCTAATACCATTCCTAGATATTGGATGGGGCATTTTCACTTTGCTCCAATATCGCGTTCAGTCCTTCGCGGAGCTGGCCGCGTATCGATTCTTAGTCGGATGGTTCGAGGCCGCCTTCTTCCCTGCCATACATTACATTTTCGGTACGCCATTTAATCAGATTGGAGATTATGCGCTGAATATAGTTAGGCTCCTGGTATAGAGGCGACGAGATTGGACGCCGAGGCGGCTTCTTCTATGTTGGCCTGACTTTGGGAACCCTCACCGCGGCTCTGATCCAATCCGCGGCATCATCGCAGTTAGGTAAGTGTCCGTACACAAGCTATATGTGATATATACACTGACTCTATGTACTAGACGGCGTGCATGGACTTGCCGGCTGGCGATGGATGTACATCATCTGTGCTATCATTACGATCCCAGTGGGTATTCTTGGCTTCTTCGTTCTTCCTGGAACCCCAGACAAACCGAACAAATGGCTCTTAAAGGATCACGATGTAAAACTTGCGAAGGAGCGTCTCCTGCGTGCAGGCCATAAAGTGGAAGGTAGCGTCACGATCCAGACATTTATCAAAGTTGCAAAGTCTCCTCGCGTCTGGGCATTGCTCCTCCTCGACATATTCTTCTGGAATGGATCTATCAACACATCGACCGGTGGCTACCTACTGTGGCTGAAGAGCCTCAAGCGCTACTCTCCAGCCCGCATCAACCGGCTCGGTGCAATTTCACCTGCAATTGGCATCTTCTATACCCTCGCAATCTGCTTCACATCAGATCTGATATTAGGGCCTGCTTGGGCTATCACGGTGTCACATGTTTGGAACGCCATCGGTTTGATCATACTCAGCATCTGGACTGTCCCCGAATCCGCACTGTGGTTTGCTTTTATGACGACCTACTCTGCCGTAGCCATGTCGAGCGTCCTCTATGGATGGATTAACAGTCAGCTCAGTTATTCGCCTGCTGAGCGATCAGTTGCCCTGGTTTTTGCCAATACATTGGCACAATCGACAACCGCCTGGACACCACTTCTCGTCTTCAAGACTATTGAAGCACCAAGGTTCCATAAGGGTTATCCGTTCGTGCTCGCAAACTCGGTTTGCCTGATCGTACTGGCGCACATCATCAACTTCTATGTGAAGAAGCGGAAGAGGTAAGAATTTGCATCGGATCATAGAATATCATTGCTGACTGTATGCAGCAAAACTACTTCACAATCCGATGACGAGAGTGGGGCGTCGATTCAAGAAACAACCTACCAGGTTCCTCAGAAGACTATTCCTGCTGCTGATGGCCCAGCTTGAACACAGTCTCCAGAGATGATATACTTGCTTGTTCCGCATCCGCGTGAAGCCAGGCTCTTATCATGACACAAAACGACTACTCGTAAATAGAACAGACAACGAACTATCATAATGAATCATTTCATCTCATGACAGATTTCCTTGTTCCAATTTGATTATGAACCCTTCTTATTTTCATAATGCGGCGAATACCATCAAGCTCGGAGAAGCGCGGTCGAACCGAGGACTACAATGAGCACCTACAGAAAAGCACGCAATTTATGATGTATGTTTCAATGCATATGCTATTATAATTAAACATTCATGCAGCCACAGCTACCCCACATCAAGCAAGCGACTTCGGTAACCGTTATCGCATATGTCGTAATGAAACCCCCGCATCACGAATACGCTCAACGAATAACCTCGCAGCCCGCATTACCAAAGCAAGCAGGATAGTAGCACTACGCCTCCCGAACAATATCCGGTCGCATAGCAGGCACGTGAAGTTCTGAATCGTTCAAAATCAACCCAATCGTTGAACAATGAGCGTGTTATCTACAATCAACACGTTAGTTTACATTTACACTCACGCGTGATCATGGCGGAAGCTACCACGAACGGTACCAACGGTACCGCCAACACCAATGGCAACAGCGCAGCACCCAAAAGGAAGATTCTCATCAATGCATTTGATATGAGTACAGTTGGCCATCTGAGTCCTGGACAATGGAAGAATCCCAAAGATCGGTCTGCTACCAAGCGTAAGCTGGGCTACTGGATTGACCTGGCAAAGTTACTTGAGCGCGGTGGCATCAACGCATTGTTTCTTGCCGATACTTATGGCGGGTACGATACGTACGAGGGCAGTTTGGATAACTGTATAAGGCGGGCTGCGCAATGGCCCATGACCGATCCTACTATTGTACGTTCATCATTCCTCTAGATTTAGTCGTGGTAGAAAAGAGTTGGAACTGACTATGGGTAGCCAATTTCAGCGATGGCAGCTGTAACAAAGCACCTTTCCTTCGCCATCACAGCATCTACATCCTTTGAGCCTCCGTTTCTACTAGCGAAGCGCTTCAGTACTCTAGACCATTTGACCGGTGGGCGTTTTGGCTGGAACATCGTCACGAGCTGGAAGAAGGCGGCGTTCAAAGCCATTGGACTAGACACGCCAATTGAGCATGACGAGCGATACACACAAGCAGATGAGTATCTGCGCGTTCTGTATAAGTAAACCTCCCCGTTCCTCCACATCGCCCTTCTGAATACGGCCTAACCAAATTTTAGACTGTGGGAAGGCTCATGGGCCGACGACGCCATCACGCAGAACGCGGAAAAAGACGAGTATATTGATCCGGATAAGATCCGCACCATCAAACATAATGGGAAGTTTTTCCACTTGGAGTCCCGCCACATCGTTGATCCTTCTCCCCAACGAACGCCCTTCCTCTTCCAAGCTGGTACCTCCTCTGCCGGCTCAGAATTCGCCGCCACTCACGCTGAGGCTATATTCGTCTCGTCGCACTCGCCCGTCGTGCTGAAGCCCAAGGTCGCGAAGATCCGCCAACTAGCCGCTGAGAAAGGGAGGGATCCGCAGTCCATCAAGTTCTTTGCTACATTCACGCCGATTCTAGGGCGCACAGATGAGGAGGCACAGCAAAAATACGAAGAACTGAAAAGTTATGCGAGTGAGATTGGTGGATTGGTCCTGGTTAGTGGGTGGTCAGGTATTGATCTGAGCAAGTATCCGCCTGATCAGGTGTTGACCGCGGATGATGCGACGGAAGACCATCGCGTGCGGAGCTTGCTAGACGCATTTACGGTCACTTCGCCTGATGTGCCAGAATGGACACCACGCGTGATTGCGGAGAGAGCGTCGATTGGTGGTTTGGGTCCTGTTGGTGTGGGAACTCCAGCTAAGGTCGCGGATCAGCTTGAAGAATGGATCAGCGAGGCAGATGTCGACGGATTCAATATCGGGTATGTTACTACGCCAGGAAGCTTTGAAGACGTGGTGGACTTGCTGGTGCCAGAGTTGAGGAGGAGGGGTATATATGCAGAGATCCCGGAAGAGGCGAAAGATGAGGAGTGGACGGCACGAGAGAAGGTTTATGGGAAGGGGCAGGCGAAGTTGAGGGATGATCATGCTGGCGCGCGGTATAGGTATGATGTTTATGACGAGAGAGAAGAAGAGAAGACCTCAAATGGTGCGGCGAGTGCAGAAGACGAGAGGCCAAGCAAGAAACAAAAGAGATAGTGTCGTAACTGATATTGGCATACTGGATAAAGTCCGAAGTTCCGCATCAGATAATCCGCCCGGGGTGTTTGTCGACAATTTGTGCATACCTCGCGTCCGATCTTGTTCTTTACTTTCACAGCTTCATCTCTTCCCACTCTTCTCCTTGCGGAAACCCTAGATGAAATCTCCCGCACTTTGCAAAGCTTAGCACCGCTTCCTCGTCCATTTGAAATTCCGTCACCTCTCCCCCAATTTCTTCACTCGCGTCCAAGAAATGCGCATGGATACGCTCTCCACTGATAAGTTTCATCCACGCCGGAACTACGAAGCCAAAAATGGTGCCATCAATCTTACTCCGGGGCGCACCGTCCGCGAAATCGATCGAGGCGAATCTACCCGCGATTTTGAAAGGCATCAGCGTGTTGAGACACTTGGCCGGGCCGAGCTCAGATGACGAAATGAGTTCATCAAAAGACTCTAGTGTTAACGAGCGTACTTTCAGATGAAAGTTTGGTTGATAGATGGTAACCATGGCGAATGGCAGACGTGCGTCCATGGGCGCGGCTCTTACTCTGCCATTCTTCGAGATCGTAAGTGCTTGCCCATCTTTCAACATCATGAGGCTGCCGTCTTCGTAGACACCGATTCCATCCGTGCCATGGGTTGTGAGATCCGCCGTTCGTGGCTGTCCCGTGTTGAAGCCAGCATTGAGAGCAGTATAGATGGAGAACTGGAAGATGTCGTTTGGAATAGAGCCGACCATTTTGACTGAAAAATTACTGAATATGGGTTGCGGTTAACGTCCTCGGGGTTATAGATGGTTACACCTCGAAAACCTGAAAACGATCGCCTGATCAAGCTCGGAAGAGGAGAGCCGATCAAAGCCTATCAACGCGTCTTACTCTTCAAGCTGGCCCAGTTCTTTGCGCTTCCTTGTTCTTGGCTATAGCCCAAATATGAGTCAAAGACTGCAATCGTTAAGACGACCGGATGCACATGATACAACCTAGAGCATGTAGGCTTGCACCAAGACGGTATGGCCGGCAATCGTCACTAGTTCAAGTGTAAAAGCCTACGTAATATTGAAGGCATGGGACTTCGGGGCACGATAATAGCTTTGTGGGAGCTTGCTTCACAGAAGTTGTTGATTGATGATGCTGTCTGATGACGATGTTTGCAAGTGAGGAGCAGCGAAACACCGCAGGCGGATTCTCGCTTACATAACGTCGTCTTGGCGCCGAAGCTCAACATCCTCAGCATCAAACCGCACCAAGACCCTCCTCAGCCATTGCGCAGCCCGTCTGCACACACAGCCCGCCAAAATGCTCCCATTTACCTTCCGCGCCATCCGCTCCCGCAGCGCTGCCCCCCTGCTCCGCGCAACCTACGCCTCGTCCCCAACAAGCTCAAACCAGGTTCCCGCCAACGACCCAGTCAAGCGCGATGCGAAGCCAAATGTCTCCGAGACCAATGCCCTGCCCACCTCCTCAGGAGGCTCGTTCGATAAAGTCTTGCAAGAAGATGTTGCGCCAGCGGAGAAAATGAGGACGCAACAGGCGCCCAACTACAAGGGCATCTGGAGTCGGAGCCAGCAGCCGAGGGAGGTTGCGATGAGTGGCCCGCGATTCGAGCAGAGCATCATGGAAGATCAGGTACGTTATCTTGGTGAATGCTTTGGGGTTACGTCTGAGGGTTCAAAGCCGTGATTGAATTGCAATTGGTGTTGTTGCGGAGTAGCGATGAGGATTGGAGAATTTGGGGGACAGCCAGCATCATGCATTTGCTAATGAACACGTCTAGCCTCGACCCTACGCTGCTATCGAGCTCATCCATAAGCAACCCGTTCGCTGGGTACACGACAGAATGGTATCGTGCGACGGTGGAGGTGGTCCCCTCGGACACCCCAGGATCTTTATCAACGTGGATAAGCCACAGATTTGCGCGTGCACATACTGCGGTCTACCATTCGTACGTTCATCCTAAACACCAAGGTCTTAGAGTACAGCTTTGGTAGCTACTGGAACGGCAGGGATCATGCTGATAACGAACAGGCTAATGAGCACCACCGAGCGCACCTCGAGTCCCTTCCCGAGTCGGAACTGTCATACCCACTTGGCCCACGAGGTGATGTAGCTGAGGTTTCAGAATCACAAAGGGTTACGGATGAGCCATTTGGACAGCGGTAGAGAGCTTGTATCCTGAATGCGGGATAGTGATTGTATATATGTATTGCAAAGGATGAATCAATTTCAAATGCTTGATATGAATCCCATGGATTCCAATCTCTGACCGCAGTAAAGAATATCTAGTTGCTAAGAGACTGTCCGTTTTGAACTACATGGAGGAAGATAATCGTAGGCTTGCAACTGTTCGAATCGATTGGCTTGACTATCGGGAGGAAGATGCCCTATAGTCTGGGAACCCACATTAACGTGTCAGACCCTCCAGACATCCGTTGTTGAACATGGCCCGGCAAACCAGCTATTCCCTTGCAAACCGACCAATCATAGAGTACTTCACGTAGTCATCGAAGAACCTACCGATGCCGGCTTCGGGCAGAAATAGACACCAGTCATCTTGGCTGTGGAACGATGACCTGAACGCGTTGACGTATTCCCAATACTCTGGGTAAGCCCCTCCAGTTTCCCAATCAACCACGCCGGCAATTTCGACTGTGTCCTCGCTCTTGACCAGGATATTAAGTGGACATAGATCTCCATGTGTCATTACGATCTGATTATTGCTTGGCATTTCCCTCCGGAGATAGTCAAGCCGACCATCTTCTAACCAGGAATCGTCGAGTATGAAGTCGTTAAACTGTGCCTCGCTGACAATGGGCACAGAAGCTATTTTCTTGAAGCGATGGCCACCTTTGCAGATCGGTGGCATCCCTCCTCCTAGATATCCTTCTTTTGACGGTATTGGGAGTCCTCTTAGTTCAGTGAAGATGTGATTGAGTTGGTCTCGCACATGGCATTTCTTGTCAGACGTTAAATTCCCCCAGATACGATCTAGGGGAATCCCCGGGATAAAAGACGAGAAGGTGTAAGACCATTTACCAATCATGATCATTCCGAGGGCTATAGGCGCTGGGATCAGTTGCGAATGTTCGTGGATGTGATCAAGAATGTGTAATTCGGTCGTGTCGTTGGATGCGTTGATCTTGACAACAATGTCCGGCAATATGCGGACCACATATCTTGCGACATACACATAGAGTATCTCTCCTTTCACTAGAAGGTTGCTGAGGGCTAAACGTAATGTGGACGCTGGCCCATTCTCGATAACAACTCCCTTGGCTGTAGCACCACTCTGCAGTGACTTTTGTAGGGCAGGTGATAAAGGCCACAGAATGAGAACAGGTTCTTTTGGTACCGTGTGCTTAAAAGAGTCATCTCTATCAGCCTCGGCTTTGGGCTCAGAATCTATATCATACATAAGCGGAAATTTTAAGTGTACAGCCTTTTGGCGCATTCGTACCGTTTAGCGTATCTTCGATATTTGCCGGTTTCAGGATCTCGGTTGATTTTTTCTTGTAGTCGAAAATAGCCTTCCGGAACTGAGGCCAAAGATCGGATGCTGGCTCATCGTTGTTTACTATTTGAGTAACCGTATCAATCACTGATCGATTTAGCACTTTCAACTCCTCCTGGACCTGTTCGGCGACTTCTTCGTCTCTTCCGTGTTCGGTTGATGGCATGCTGTAATTCTTCCAACGGCGTCCTCGTGGCAGGACAGATTTCACAACCCAGGCAGTTCATTCATTAATAGCAACCGATCTAGCGATTGCTCAATTAGGGTGTAGGCGCTTTGGAACTTTTCTATATGAGGTACCACGCAGGCTGGCGGAGAGGATCATGCATGATAAGCTTATTAAGCACGTTTACCGGTACCCCTCGTGTGAACAAATCGCTGAACGGCAGTCGCTACCTAGTCCAGCACCTACTTCCAGAATTTCTTTCTACGATTGCTTGTTCTGAAGATAGGAATTTCCGATCACATCTCTTCACTTAAAATTTGTACAAATCACCCCAGATCATCAATGCGGTTCCGAATAACTAGGGGGAAGGCCTAAGCGGACAGGCTAACATTCATCCGTCAGACGTCAAAGGAGTTAGCCTTTGATTTACGAAATTTCAATTGACTGATACACATTTTCATTATAAAGTGCCTGCCAATCCCCTCAAAACACAGGTTTCCAGCCTTGATATTTCAGATTTGGCCCACGCGCTTAAAGGATCAACTGCCAACAAATCCCTAACTGGAAAAAGCATGGAGTTTTGTAATTTCTGTCTGAAAATCACTCAATCCGTAATACGAGGCGAACCAGGATCCAGGAAATGGCATGAAATGGAGAAGCGACCTCCATTTAGGCAAACAGAGGCGACATGCCCACTTTGCCGTGTAATTTTCAATAACCTACAGAGCCCCTACTTTAAAGAATTTCCCTTGCGCTTTGTAGTATTTCCCCAAAAGAATAGCACAAGAAGTGGGCAGGGCCTATGCTGTGAGTTGGAAGTGTATTTGCACAGTGAGGATGACGGGAATTATGGTGAAGGCACGAGATTTGCAGTATGGGCAGATGAAGGTAGAGAACCTACAAGTTTGGCGCTATCTTTACTAATTGAGAGAGATAGGTACTCCAGCTTCTCTCGCATTGATCACTCGACCACCAATCTTGAAGCAAGGCCTAGAAGACGTGTGCGACTTGGCTCGATTTTGGCTTAACGAGTGCAGTAGTTCACAGCATGATTCTTGTGCAGTTATGAAGGATACACGATTGCCTACTCGTGTTCTCCGGATATCTGGAAATATCGAAGCTCCTTCGGTCAAGTTGGTTGTAACCGGGGGCATGAAAGGCCGCTACTGTGCCTTAAGCCACTGTTGGGGTTCCGCTGATAAACGACCCCTGATGACCACACGCGCAAATCTTCAACATCATCTTGTCGAAATATTGTTCGACCAGCTACCTAAAACATTTCAAGATGCAGTCATGTTGGTTCGAGGCATCGGAATTGAGTTTTTGTGGATCGACTCGCTTTGTATCATACAAGATGATGCTCAGGAATGGCAATCGGAAGCAGGGAATATGGGTGCAATATATAGCGACGCAGCCCTTGTGATAGCTGCTGCTGGGTCCAGAAACTCGACAGAAGGCTTACTTGTCACTGAACGGCCCCAACCGGTTGTCCTCAAGGCCCCTTACGTCCTGGACGATGTCGCCAAAGGATCATTCAACGTTGCTATGTTGCCAAAGGGCGATATCGATCCAGAAGATGGTTCTTTGCGAAAAAGGGCGTGGGCTTTCCAGGAATGGTATCTAGCCGAAAAGACTATATTTTTTATGCCAGGCGGTATTACATGGAAGTGCAACAAAACAGAGCTGTCAGAACGAGGAAGCCATACTGAATTGTATTTTCATGAACGGAGCTCATGGATTCATCTGTTGCTTAAGTATTCAGAGAAATCTTTGACTTATCCTTCCGATCGTCTACACGCTCTAAGAGGGATCGCTAGCCATATAGGAAAGACTCGACCGGATAAATACCGCTTTGAATATGGAGTCTGGGAAGACCACCTCTTCGAGCAGCTATTGTGGAAAAAGGAAAACCTGGACGGTGAGGCCGACCTGTTGCACTTGCCCACGTGGAGTTGGGCATCTACTGGAGGGACCAAATCGTGGTGTCCCCCCGAATACAAAGGCATGTTGAGATACATATCTCAACTGCGAGAGATCACCAGTACAGGCTCTCTTTCTATCAGTGGAATTGTTATTTGGCCGATGTTCACGTTAATTCGCTTCCCAATTTGGCGAGACCGCAATTGGGCCAGATATACAGCTGGAATCGAAGATAGCATGGCCTATGCTGCCATCTACAACACGGGCTATCCGATTTATGCAATCTGGGACCACTCTTCCGATGAAAAGTTCTCGGGTATAGTGGTGTTTGATGGTGAACCTATAACGCACGCAAGATTTGCTGTCCTAGCGTCTACTGAACGACGATTTACTCCATCGCTGTAAGCAAATTTGTAAATGTTATTTTATCGCTCGATCCGCTGATTATGTAGCGATTCGGATGACTCATTGAGCACCTCTTCCCATGACTCCCAGACAATCGAAACAGAAGAACCATTCCATCCACCCAAACAGAATCCTGAATTATTTGAACACGGGAGTGGAACGCGTTCAGATGATACGGAATCTAGCGCAACTTCAAACTACTACAATACTAGTCGAAACATGGGCATGGCAGATCATGACTATGATTTGAAGACGGTGGACATGGACAAGTCAGATTCAAAACACAGTGAAGACGTCCAAGCAAGCCAGATGACTAGCTTTGGAAGCAAATATGAAGATTCTCAAATTCTGGATGTAGACGCGTCATATTCAGAAGGTAGTAGCTGTGTGTCTCAAGCACGTGAAAACGATGACGATAATATGGTAAGTGATAGCCCGATTCATTACTTCGGACATACGTCTCACGTACCTAGTACTCAGAGCTCTTCCGTCTAGCACGCTCAACGAGCCATGTATACTGGGGCTTAGCACTTGAGCCCGTGGGCGAGGGCAGATACAAGCGCGTGGGACTTGTCATGCTATATCCCCATGCACTCGACGTGAGCAATAAGGAAGATCCTGAGTATGAGATAGTATAGTTTTCTTCTATTGATGTAGCACGAGAGAAGAATAAGCTGTAAAGCTTAGAGAGCTCCCTTCACATCGTAAAAGCGGTGTTGCAACATAATAAACAGTACAGTACCGCGAAGGTTAGTCGCATAACAATAGAACTGATTCTAGCTACGTAAAAAAAGCCAGTAATCTACTTAAGCGCCCCTCTCGACACTTGCACGCGTAATTCGCTAACAGATATTCCATGACTTTTCTAGTGAGAGATTGTGGGTTGGCACCAAAGTTCGAGCGGATAGGCGGGTATAGCATTGTCTATAGGAAACTGATGTTGACTATGCGCTCAGTATGACTTCGAGCAGGCCACTCCGGTATATATTGATGGGATGCTTCAATTCAATACACATCTCCGCGAAGCGTTTCAAAGCTCCATGTTCGTCTGTTTGGTTAACGATAGAGCTCGCCATGCTAGTTCAGCAGCTCCTCTAGCTGCGACAAACCTAGGATTCGTGGCAAATACCTCAACCTCAAATCCAGCTTCCTCGACGGCTCCATTAACAAGTTCGTATATCCCATCTATGTCAATATCACGAGGACTACCAATTAGAAGCACGGTGATCACTTTTGGAGGCCATGGTGGCTCGGGAAGGCGCTTGTACCGCCTGCGAAGTAATTCTATAACCGCCTCTCGGGTGCTCTTCCTCCTCGTATGCCTACCCACGTTCTCTGAATTTTGATCGTCCCCGAGAGAAAAGTAATGTATCGATAAGTCGGTGTCCGGATCCGCAAGGTCGTTAGCTTCGCGCATGGACATTGTGTGAAGGAGGACAGCAGCGGATGTGTACTCCACGAGAATAACTGAGCGTACGGGAAGGGCCAAGCCTTCCTGTCTGCATTGCTTTTCATCGGTATAGGAGGAGCACAACCCCATGCGATTCCCAGTGTATGTGGAAACGATGGTTCGGGGTGGGTATCTGTGGTTACCATAAAGCAGGGGGAGATTACAGTAGAGAGCGGTGTCGGATATGTCTTCCGCATAGAGACCGGGGAGCGCTGGGTAACTTATGACGACTGAAGCTATTGAGGATGAAGAGGCGTGAGACTTGGCAAGGGAGATGAGTGAGGAGGTGAGAGTGGAGAGCGTGCGGACGTCTGAAGATGCGGGAAGGAAAATCAATTTTCGGGCAGAACGAAACCCTTGTCGTGGTTGGTCGTCCCATTGATCCTCCATGCGGAAGTAGGGTGGCCTGTCCGTGACGATCAGTGTAGGTTCAGGATTCCTTAATGGTATGGATTGGGTAGAGTCAGGAGGGTAATACGTACGCCGGGTGTGAAGACGAGAGTCGAGAGAATCGCTGCATCATGTCCAGATAGTTCTGATCTCCATGCTCGCATCCAATGTCTTCAAACGAGCCATCCTCATGCCGTATCGAAATGGTGCCATAGCTTGCCGTCAGGGAGATACCAAGAGCGAGGCATCTTGTGGATGCGGGCGTTTGCTTATTTCGCTTGCTCATGGGGAGGGGAAGCCATGTAGGGCGACGAGGTGGGACGAGGATGAAGTAACATACAATGACGGAGAAGAATGCGATTATGAGCGACCTAAAGAACGGCATAATAGGTATCAGGATCTGTGGTCACTGGGAATAGAGTCGAAAGTGCTTAGACATAACTGCCAGAGGCAGCCGTAGTTGTGTCCACGCCACATTAGGCGGAGGTTATATTGGCGCGGTGAGATTAAACGATCATGTCGCGCGATTGGGCGCATGAAAGAGGTACGAAATATAACATATTATCAAGTAGCAGTCGAAACATAGATATATCGTAGGTCATTGAGGAGGTGTAGACACCGTCGAGCCAGGTTCATCGGATTGCAAATGGAGTGTTTCTGATGGACTACATAACGCAGAATCTCGCGTAAACCTTCCCCGCGTCAACCCTGACGTCAACCCCACCTCCACCAAAAGCTCTCAACTTTCGCAGCCAGATTGCCCAATGCCGCAGCAACCCTCCTCAATCTCCCCACTAACTACATTCTTGATCGTCTGCATCTTCGTTCTAGCTCTCTTCCCCAGTCTCTTCGTCTCGATAGCGTGGGCACCCTACAATTCGCTTGTAGACTACACGTTCCCCGCCGCCGCAACGCGCAGAAGTGTACTGTGCACGACACCGAATATCTGCACCGCAGCAACAGCAACAGCAACAGCACCGACAATGTCGTGGTACGTCTGTCGTATCTATTTCATCCCCAAACCAAACCAAGCCAAATCAATCGTCTCGATTCAGAATAAATACACAACTAACACCGTCCACCCTACCAGGTTCCAGAAATCCCTCACCCTGCCCACTCGCAGTAGGGGCACCTATCTCGTTACCGACCACATCAACAAAGAGCTCCCCGAGATCAAGCAGTACAAAACAGGCCTGCTGAACCTCTTCATCCAACATACATCCTGCGCGCTGAGTCTGAACGAGAATTGGGATCAGGATGTACGCGCCGACATGACGGATGCGCTGGATCGCATTGTACCCGAGGACAAGAAGGGCGAGGGTCTGTATCGACATGATGCCGAGGGTAGCGATGATATGCCTGTACGTACCTTGTCACCTTGGTTTGAGGAAGGAGTACCGGGAAAACGGGCTAATCATCACAGGCACATGTCAAGTCCGCGTTAGTCGGCGCGAGCGTTACGATACCTATTACAAATGGCAGATTGGCGACAGGGACGTGGCAAGGGGTCTACTTCCTAGAATTTAGGGATGTCAAACATTCCAGGAAGGTGGTGGCTACGATTCAGGGCGAGAAGTTGTGATGAGAGGAAGAGGGAAGCAATTGATTGCAAGACCGAGCAAGGTTATGAGAATTGTACCAAGAATTCATGGAATTTTCGTTGCAAAACATGATTCATGTGTCAAAGTAAGCATTCGTGGGATATGTCTCGGATAATCATGGTTTTGATCTATCCGATAGACCTACTGCGCCTACATGCACCTGCCAGACCCAACCTTGCAAATCCTCTGACTGTCTGTCGTATAGGAGGAATGCCGAAAAAGGAGATCAGAGAAAACTGCCAACGCCGGTGCCGTGAGATGCTGGGTATCACTGAACTGTATCGAAATGAAGATGCCAATTTAGGTATGTTGAATGAGATGATGGTAGGTGAGGCCGAGAAGCAATCTGATCGTCTCGCGGGAAGATAGTGGTGTAAATTGAAGCAGATCTTTCTGCCGTTGAGTGATGGTGGAAGCCAGCGATATCTCGTCAGCGTTGACAGTGTCGCGATGCCGAGAAGAAAGGGTTGTTGTTATTCGCGGTGAAACACCAGGAAACCCACGTCGGCGTCCATCATCCATCGTCCAGGGTGACACTCGTTCTCGATCTGGTAGTAGGTCCGAAGATGCCACTCGCCGTTTCTTTCACGGCACCAAAACGGATCGTCACTACGCGCGTCGGCTGGCTTGATTCTCCGCGGGTCGTATGCACCCCTCTCCGTCGCGACCCGGCGATTCTCCATCTGGATGTCTTCGCGCGTGGGGCCATGGTTGCAAGTCGCCCTTGCCTCCACCCTCGGTGCGGGTGCATAACCCTGCGCTTGACTGTTCGTAACGTGGTAGGTCGTTGTCGTTGCAGATGGGCCAGGCGGGTAGACGTAAGCTTGGTAGCCATAGCTAGGTGTAGTGTTGTAATACGTCCTCTGGTAGGGAGAATAGAAGTTAGCAAGCGGGTACATCGAGCCATAGAGGCCGTAGTTGTAGTAGCCGCCGTAGGCGGGGTATTGATAGTTCTGGGCGTAGTAGTTTGCGCCGTAGGACTGTGGGTAGTAGGAGCGGGCATTGTATACCCCAGGATAGTATCCACCTGCCGCGTAGCCAACGCCAGCGCCAGCAAAGCCGACACCGACAGCAGCACCAACGCCAACACCAACACCGACCCCATAGCCACCTGGCATAACGCCGGCAGGGTAGGCGCCATTTGGTTGTTGGCCGGCATAGCTGAGAAAGCCGCGTTGGCCGTAGCGGGGTGTATAGATATACTGGTGGCGCGGCTTTGGGTAGGCCTCCATGGTGATGATTGGGGAATTGACGAATGTGTACTGTCGACAAAGCAACGATGGAGGTAGAAAGTAGGAGGGGTGGTAGGCGGGCGCGACAAGAGTGAGACGAGGTGAAGCCCCGTGCAAGAGCCGACCAGGCAGCCAAGAAGAAGGTGATGTCGCGACAATAGAGTCCGAGATGCACGCAGCTTCAAAAAGCTCACGCGAGCCAATGACGTGATGGGGCGGTGTACGTAAAGGAGGAAAGAGCGGAGACTCACCATGGCGGCACCGCCTGGCATGGTAGCACGAGCTCCAGGAAGAAAGCCACCACCTTGCCCATATCGATTCGAGTACCCGCCGGGCATAACGCCTCGAGGATAGCCACCGGGGGCGATGGCTCTAGGAAACCCTCCAGGCATGACACCTCTAGGATAGCCCCCATATTGAGCAAGGCGAGCTGGAGCCATCAACGCATTGCCCATGTGACGGCCAAGAGGAGGGCGAGCATAGTATCTCGAGGGATAGTAGGCGCCTCCGAAACCATTCCGGCGCCGCCAGGACATGCGAACGCGCGGAAGCGTCTCTTCTTCGTAGTATCGCTGCCCTTGTCGCATGTAGGTTCTGGTCCGGTACGTGTCTCTGTCGTCGAAGCACATTGTGCCGATTGCAAGACTGATGGCTGTCGATAATGAACTGAACCCAATCAAGGCAGCTGAGTACGGAAACGCCAACGATGAGCGAGGAAGCTATGACGTACAAGAGAAGACGCAAGACACTCAGACCCTCGCGTTATAGCAAAGTACCCCGCGTGACTTGCGACATGAGCAGATAATCTTGCTTACCATGTACATAGTATCAACTGAGGTCCATGTACGTATCCATTGTCTCTCTCAATGTCATAAGCCTTTGCTGCTGCCAGATTTCGGCACAGCTCCTCCCTCTACGGCACCAGTACCCGCACCAGGAGTACCACTGCCCTTATTCTTCCCCTTGCCAAACAGCTTCTTGAACCGTCCCAGGAAGGGAATTACCGTCATCCTCGCAAACCACGGCGTAGCCCAGACACTGAACACAATCCGTGGAAGTAGAAACATCTTGACAATCGTATACGCAGTCGCAAACTCCACGACCAACCTCACGCCTCCTTCACTAATATTCCATGCGTGGTCGACTTTGCGCAACCTCTTTGCCTCACTACCCCCATTGACTTGGTTCTCCAGCGACTCCATTCGCTTCGCATCTTTCTGTATCTCGTCCACCTCCCGCTCCGCCTCTGCTGCCTCGTCGCTGCGGATCCACCCCTTCCTCTTGAAGTACCTGCCGAAGCGCTCGACGCCGCTCGAAATCCACGCTCCCTCGGCAAACCACCGCGGTAGCCAGTGCGTATAGTGGAAGTATCCCGCGAGACCGAAGAGCGGGATTATCGCAGTCAGTTCGTGCAGGAGGAGGAAAGAAGTGATGTGTGAAACTGGGGCATTTGCGAGCGCATTGGTGTACTTGTGTAGAAACTTAGGGAGGCGTCGGTTGAAGCGTTCGATGCGGGATTGGGAGTGTAGTGGCGGCTTGGGAGGCTCTGTTGCGTATCGTCGCGTGTTTGGGTTGCGGACGGGGCGTGCTGGACGCGTAGTTGCACGTAGGACGGCTCTTCGTAGCATCTTGATTATCGTTTGGTCTTTGCACCTCTTGCCAATTATTCACCCTCAAGACGTAAACAGCTCAGTGTGCTAGCGAACACCGCACCTCCATCAGTAAGATTGATGGTGTTTTGTCGAGTATGGCAATGTCGTCGGGACTTGGATGGGCCGAATGTGGTTCATCGCGGCTATCGCGCTAGCTATGAACCCCTGCTTGATGCCTCCACACCTTAAACATCAACAAAGCGATCAAGACACCTTGTGTGACGATTGTAATCAAAACATGTTTAAAATGATTCTTGTGCACAGGTTGCCGACTAGATTGACGATTGACCGTCATCACTCATACAAGGTCCCCTATTCTTAAATTATTGAACTTCAAGTTGGTGACGCAGATTATCAACCAAGAGCTTGGAGTCAAGATGTTACTGTTCTATGAGCATGAGCCTGACTCGGCTAATGCCACGTCGTCTACAGTTACATCAGACCCTGCTTTCGTCAGAACGATAGACCCACTACCTCAGTATGGTTCCCACGCGTTCATACCATATCTACCCTGGTCCCTCCAGCACGAATTTGAGTCGTCGTCAACCACATCCATTCCGCCAAAGGCACCAGATGAATCCCTAACACTCCACAACACCTCATCATGGACATACTGCGGCCCACTACTCGTACCAAACTCCACATCCCTCCCTCCATCCTTCCACTCTTGGTCCGCGCAAACAACATCCGACCCGTCCATCCTACTAGACCGTCTCCTACCACTCCTCTCTTTCCTCCACACCTTCCTCTCAGAAGCAAACGCACAAAACTACTGGCTTACCATTCGCGCCACAACTCCGACGAACGAGTACAACACCCCCCGATGGCACACCGACGACGACTTCTTCTCCACTACCACCACCACCACCACCAACAACAACAACGAGCCGGAAGTAGAAGACACCGATATTCCCTCCAATCCCCACAGCAGCACCAAAAACAGGTGCTGGAAACTAGCCACCATACTCCTCGGCCCACCAACGCTCTTCATAGAAGACAACGCCCCAGCGCTAGACACGCTTCGCCATACGAAAGCCCACCACCGCGAAACAATGTCCGAACACGCGTGTACGTCGATCCGCTGCCTCGGATGCGCCACATACGCCGCCTCACTCCGACACTCGCTCTCCACCTCCCTCGCAGCTTCAAAGACCGCTTCACCGGGCCCGAACGAAGTAGCGTTTTTTCGCATCGGCGACGAAGAAGGCGCTGTGCACTCTGAGCCCAAGTGCGACGTTGATCGGATTTTTGTTAATGTTGTGCCGGGGACGGAGAGTGAGTTGAGACGGCTGATGGCGAGGTGGGGAATGGGATTTCCGCGTGCTTGGTGCTTTGGGGTTCCGGTTGGGTTCATCAGGAGTGATGAGAGATTTGGTCTGGGGTGGACGTGACAAAGGTGGAAAGAAAAGACAAGTGAGGGTGGCGTAAGTCTTCGGGCAGATGTGGAACACGTGTAGCTAGTTATTGAAAGGAGTCGTCATAAGAAGAAACACTTTACTTACTGTGGCGAGAAGCAGTGCGTTTTGTATCAATTCTATTGCACGGTATGATGTGGAAGAGCAAACTACGACGCTTTTGAAGAGAGCCGCCTCAGCTTTTGTCTACACTCTTCCAATACATTCCTTCTCGGTTATCCAATGTCGTGCTTGCGCTATATCCCATTTTGGATCGATAATGCACATTCGCATCTGAGTGCCGAAGTCACTCCAAACCAGCTGTGGAGTGAGAAGAATCTGCGCCCAGCACTGTCCACAACACCTCTTATAACTTCTCCGCAACCTCGATGAACTCCTCCAGGTTCTTGGTCGGGCGCACGCCGCTACTGACTTGCATGCTTGCCTTCCAAGCATGGACGTCCTTGATGAGAACGGGTTGCAATGCATCCAGCACGCTCTCTATATCCTTCACCTCTTCCAGAGCCTGTGGTTCTGCTGGCAAGCCAGAGTCCGCAATGCCCAACGCCGCCTTGGCCTCATCAAGTACCATATCGGCAACATCCTTCTTGAGATTCAAGTCTTCATACAGGTAGCCAGAGAGGGCATCAGGGATCGCTTCGGCAGAGGCAACCTTACTGATACGTGGCTGCAGTGCATCATCGTTGGGTGTGATTTTGTGTTCGGTAAGTATGATCTTGAGCGCTGCCACAGCGGATGTCTTCTTCTCGTCAAGGGTGGCTTCTTTGGGCTTGGCCTGTGCTTGAAGGTGAACGGACAGCTTAGCGCGTTGGAATGACGAGGTGGAAACGTAATGGGCGTAGAAATCAGTCATGTCCTTTTTTGAGAGCTTCTCAATGGTCTCGGCGTCCACGTCGGCTATATCAAGGTTAGCATTTCCGTTAACTAGTATCGGAGCTTAGAAATGAGAGTAACGTGCCTTGTAAGAAATCATAGGAGTCGCTATAAATATGATTCCAAATCCTGTTGTCTTCTTGCGACAGATTCTTCAGCTTCGCCAAGCGCTTGTTGATGATAGCCCTCTTGTGGCTCTCAAAGTCTGCCTCGCTCATATCCTGCAACGTCACCTCGAATGTGTTCAAGAAGTTCTCGATGCGACCTTCGAGATAACGGCAGTCCTTCTCACTCTGGATCAAGATGCGATACCCAGCCCAGATGTCGGCAAAGGTGGAGCCTGAGAAGACAACATAGCCAAGCTGCTCAATCGTGCGTAACTGATTGAAGCAAGGCTCATCCGTCATTTGTCCAAGGAGCAATAATTTAGCCCGCATGTTGTTGTCATAGCGGTTGCCGGTATACAAACTGTATTCGATGCAGTGATTCACGTTCGCAGGATCCTTCAGCTGCTTCTCGTAGATGAAGTTGCTGCCTGCTGGTGGAATTAGATTTCGTCGGATGGGCAGCTGGCTGGCTGGTAGCTTCTTCGGCTTCATCGTCCGCTCCACGAGATCTGTAATCTTCAGAGCCTCCTCTTTGTACAAGTTCCCATGGGCAAGAACCTCGATCTGGCATTGTGCGAGGATCTGAGGGTAGAATTGCCGCACATCTTGTGCAGTCACGCCTTCTAGCTCTTTCGAAAGCTCCTCGTTCATGAAGCTTTTCTCACTCTTGAATTGCCGTGAGTAGGTTCCGACCTGGTGGAAAGGCTGTCCGTAATCCCAGTTGCGCAGAGAGCGCGTCATCCGATCGTGGATAACCTTGAAGCGATCTTGTTGAACCTCAAGGTCTCGCACCTGAAGCAAAACCTTTTCCAGCAAGACATGGAGCTTGTCATTGTAACCGCTGACAGTGATAGACAGGCCACTAATGTGGTTGGTAAAGTCGTAGACCAAGCCGGAGATGTCAGCATCGTAGGAGTACTCGACCAAGGCATCATTGACAAGCTCGCGATACAGCGTACATAGTAGAGTAACACGCGCCGTTACGTGCGTTATAGGGGTTCGGAAGTAGATGTGTACGTTGGCTTTGGGTACCCAGAATTGGTCGTCCTTTTTCCACCAGATGCGCACATTCTCGTCATTCCTGATGAGCTTCGGTGTCTTCGTCGGCTTCTCCACATCCTTCTTCTCTACGTCTAGTCGGCTAGGAATAAATTCGTTCTTGTGAGGGAAGTGCAATTCCGCGGGCCTGCTCTTGCACTCGAATGCTTCTTTAATCTCGGCAAGAAAGTCGTCGGGTATCCGTTCGACCTTGTGCTCGGTCCCATACCATTTTTCCTTCTGGTCCCACCCACCCGGGAAATCTTGGCTAACAATTGTCATTCTGAAGTTGTCCGGTCGTAAGAACGACATGGCCTCACTGATAAGGGTGGCATCGAACTTCTTGATAATAGCCGGGCCGCTTAGAAGCTTTTTGCGATCGTACGGTCTCTGCATAATACCTGCTAAAGAACTAGCGGTTCGGCTTGGAGGACTCTTCTGTTTAAACCGGAATTCCACCTCACTTATCCGCATCTGCTCTTCAACTACCCACTCCTGAGGCGGCTGATCCCTGATCAAGCCAATGTACTGGAATATAAGCTTAGCAACTTCTTTGTAGTTTTTCAAGCCCTCCTCTGTCAGCTTGACATTGATGCTGAACAGCCCTGAGCCAGGACAGAGCGAAGACCCTCCAGCGCCTAGACCATTTGCCCAGCCCTTTGCCTTGACGTGTGCGAGGATACTACCCGGACCTTCGTGACCAATCAAATGGCTAAGATACCTTGACGGATGGGATTCGTAAAATTCCTCCTCGTCACGATAGGCGAATTGAAGATCGAGTGACCTAGACTCCAGGACGGGTTTGGCGAAGGTCTGCGTCAAAAGTTCGTTCTTCGTATAGACCGGTATATCCCAACGATTGCGGCCCAAATCCTTATTCGGAACTTTAGCGAAGACCTCTTCTACCCACTCCTCCAAGGTATCTAAGCTCTCTCGACCTAGGACGACCAACTTCATTCTGTTTGCGGAATACTGGGTTGAGTGAAACTTGATGAACTCATCTCGAATCTTCACACCGCGCGCGATGGGATCGTCATGCAGAGTCTTGTAGCTTCCGGTTGAAAAATGGTTGTAGGGATGCTCTGGATTTGCGAGGGCCTTGTTGAGCTGGTGCAGCCGCCAGGTGTCATTTTGGAGGTTCTTCTTGTTCTCTGAGTCGACAGCCTTAAGCTCTCGATCTACGGTGTCTTCGAGGAAGAGGGGGCTAATGAAGAATTGGCCAAAGCGGTCGAGCCCACCCCAGAGGGGCGAGTCATCCTTGGACTCTGGCAAGTTTATTTGCGAAGCATTTGGGGTGGGAGCTTTGCTGTTGGTGGGCGTAGAGGAGGGATACGAAAGTTCGAAATAGTAATTTGTAGACGTGGCAGCAGTAAAGGCATTTGAGTACCCACCGTGGCTGGTCAAGTACTTGTTGTAGGCGTTCTCTTCCGGGTACTTTTCGGTGCCCATGAAGAGCAAGTGCTCTACCGCATGCGCGATACCGGGCATGTCGGGTGCATCGCTGAAGCTCCCTACGTTGACATCCAGGGCGGCGCTGGCCTTGTCTGTGCCAGCCTCGTGTATCAGAAGCACTTCCAGCTGGTTCTGCAGCGTGATGATGCGGTACGAGCGGTCGTCGAGCTGCGGTCGCTCTAGGTCTTCGATCCGCTGCCGCGAACCAAGACTCCTTCCCAGCGCTTCCGGCATGTTGCGTGCTTGTGCTTCTCTTCTCGACGAGTGTCTCAGGCCTGGGCGAGCCGTGAGAGGTGGGGTTTCGGAAGGCGGGAGGAAGCGCGGCTTATATGTGCGACGAGCTCGCAGGGAGCTAGTGGCGCGAGCTGTCAAAGCTGAGCAATGTAGAGACGCTGCCGTGTACCGTGCAAGTGACCAGGCAGCCGGAAGAATCGCAACGGATGCTCGGTGTTGTGGCACGAGCGACAGATTCCCAAGATGCTGTCGTGCGCCGCGGACAGGAAGCATCCACGAGACTGCCAGCGGGGTCGATGGGTCGTTGGGCAAGCGGCTCTTTAGACTGCGAACAAGCCTCGAATCAATTGCGCCTGATAGATAGCACCCGCAGCAAACAAATGGCGGTGAGACAAGGCTAGGTATTGCTCCAGCATGAGGCTCCCGAACAATGCGGCGCTGCCTCTCTCTAGTTGTATGACCGTCGCCTCGGTACCGATGGGCAAGCTAGGGCGTAGAGGCCCTGCTGCGATTCCTCCCCCCGCCCTATCCTAGCAAGGGTGCAATCATCCATCGCTCGCAATTCTCGCCTACTTGCTATCATGGTACTCAAGGCCTTTGAAGCAGGATATCCGAATACTACGGGCTTCCGCAAGGTGGTCAAAGCAACAATATACATCAAGAAGAAGGAGGGCATGTCAGACGAGCATTTCATCGACTACTACAACCGCAATCATGCTCAAAGGGCGGTCCCAATCCTCCAACGCCATGGCATTATTAGCTACAGCCTTGTAATGTTTCCTTTTAGTTGCCCTCCAATCTTCAGCCTTCGTCCGCAATGCTATCAGCCAACCTATGCTCGGCGCTGACAGTTCGTCAGACGTACCATCTTCAGCGCGATAGAAAACTCATCCAGGACATCATGCACGGGCAAGCCAAGCTCATGGAATATGATGCCATCTGCACCTTTGTATTTCCTGACTACCTCGCCCTTGCCAAATTCCTCTATGATAAGGAGGGTGCAGCCTTGAACAATGACCATGAAAACTTCATGGATGACAGCCAAATGAAGATGATGGTGGGAGATGAGTACATGCTCATCGATAATGGCGAGAAAGTAGCCTGAATCTCCTCGAAGAGAAAGAAGACAGATGTCTCCGTGGGGTATCATTGAAGTACGCAGCCTACAGGCAAATGTCAAAGAATGCTGATCTCGCTCATCTACGACCCCTGCCTCTGCCTCTACCAGCAGAGCCGCGGGGCGTATTTGGCTTTGGGCAGTCGTCCTTCATATGCCCTTTCTGTCCACATCTATAGCATTCCACATTGCCCATGTCGCGTGCGCCGGGTCTACGACCTCCTGATATAGACGTTAGGCCGCCCAGATTCATGTCTTCATGTGGTGGTCTCGGTGGTCCTCTCGGTGAGTCGTTGCCTGTACTGGTGTGCGCTTTGCGAGACTCGCGCCTCTCTGCGGCGACTTCGCGCTTCGTCTCGCGTATAAGAGCTGCTGTGGGGTCATCCGAATCATACTCCTCAGATGTGGACTCGATCTCTCCTTCAGAGTCTTCCGCTTTCTCAAAGGTAATAGGTTTCTAGGGAATATTAGCGCACGTAAATGCTCACGACCCCGTCTATACGCACATCTGCCTTCTTCACACCACCGCCAAATTGCATCCGTATAGGTTTTGGCTCTTCTTCTTCCTCGTCTGAGTCGTCACCCGCATCAATCTCTGCGAACCCAGCTTGCCTGACCTTCATAGACTCTTTGCGTTTTCCGTCAAGAGGGTCTTTGAAGCTCAACACCCATTTTGTTTCGCCTGTGTACTGCGCAGCTTTTTCTAATGCCTCCTGCCGCTTCTTCTCCTCTGCTACCAACGCTGATTGTAGTATCTCCTGGTCTGGCGTGCTGGGCGCAGACGCGCCATTCGCAAGGCGCTTCTTCTTTGAGGGCGGCCCGTTGGGCGTCGATGGTGCTGAAGCTACAGATTTTGCGGCCGACCGCTGCATGAACTAGTTGCGCGTCAGCAATTATCTGCTATGATGCAGCGAGAAGCTCACCTTCATCGTCATCAAGCGACTGGACATTGATTTTGGCGTGCTATCTGCCATTTTGTGAGATAGTACCTCTGACTAGGTTAGTGATAAAAGCGATGGAAAGACTGCTGTGCAGTGTGTGACTTTTTTGTGGCCAGTTTGACGTGAGCAACGGCAATCTGGAATTGATTCATCAACTTTTGATGCACGGGCCAAAACGCGATATCGATAACCCGGCCGATGAGGCTGAAAGCCCCGCAAACAACAGGGGTCACGATTCCTACAGTCTACGCTGCTCCGGCTCCGAGAGACTACTCCAATGTTGCAGCTAGCATCATTCATTATTGATGCTGGCACACTAGCTTTGCCAACGTTGTTAACATTACGCTATTCAGCAGTCCGCTTTTTAGGAGACGAGAGTATGAACAGGAGGACAATTCTGATGCTGGGAATGAATCTCTGATTTCATTCATCCATGGAAGACTACTCGACACTAATCACCTTTATCAACATGCCCTTATTCCAATGGCCATTCGTAACAGCCTTCTGTTTCACAGTCAACCGTCGATGCCCTGCGAGCCAGAACCCAACACTTCGCCATTTATCGTGAGCGTAACGTGGATGAATGCAAGGCTGCTATAACTGGCCAGCAATGATCCAAGGGATACCAGGCGTCCCACTAGACTGTAGAATACAATTGGGACATTGCGAGTCGCTGATATGGGTAGTAGCTTGATCTCTTCGACGCAGTCGTTTCCGAAGGGTGCATATTGTACATCGTCAACCGGGTTTGGGTGCGTTCGCAGTTCCAGCCTTCGAAAATATAGCCATTTTCAGCTGTCGATAGGCTTCAATAGTATCCCGTGATCGTAGGTCTGCCTCGGAGCTTGTAGTTGATCGACAGCTGCGTTCTGGTAATGACGACGTCCATGATGCGATTGAGGAAGCTCGACCGGGCGTCAGGAAAGGATGAGTCGATTGGCAAACGGAGACAGAAGCCATGGAAGTTGAGGAAGGGACGGATGTGGTGTAGGAAACAAGTGAGCCTGTGGAACAGGGCGCCATATCAACAGGAGCGAAACATGAAACTTGGGATCAAGATATAGTTGATTCTGACGGATTTGTCACAAACGAAGGGTGCACTTTATGTACGACTTCTACAACGCGAGTACCTACAAGATTCAATTCCGACAATATGGGACGAGTCTGTCACAGACGAGCGGTAGAGATTACAGCCAGGTTAATTCAAATAATCACTTGACACCCGATTCGCGAAAGTGGAAAGTCTGTGGATGATGAGATACACCAAAGAGAAAGATCATACGATTTTGACAAATTGCCGGGATGTAAGAAGCGCCCAAAGGCACTTGATCGCATAGGCGATTCATGTGGTTGTAACTACTGGGTGTTTGGTGGAAAGTATTCCAAATATCCTGACATGTAATCGACGCTAACAACCCCTCTGTGGAGCATGGCTTACCGTCCCGAAACATGGCATTAGTGACCGTGCCCTCGCAATTCTCGCGTGCACCTAAACACGGAAGAAAGTTATAATTGTATTTCAGCTAACCTGATCTTTCAGACGATTGTCAGTGGTCGACCTGCGCTTCACTTCACACAAACCTTCGGCTACACTACTACTCATCCGACTAGAGGGCTCGGCAACCAATGCGCTGGAACAAGGTGTCATTTTCTATATGCGACCCACTCATTTCAGTCACCACTCTATCTTGAATCAGACTGTCATCGAATAGGCAGGGTATGCGAGGCTCTTCCTCCACGGGACATCGAGCGTCACCATCCTCCCACTTTTCTGCACAATCGGGGTCGCCGTGATCTATCGCGTATCTTGATCCACATTGAGCTCTATAACCGCGCTCCCACAGTTTACCCGATATGTCTTTGCGTTGATAAGCATTTAAGGCCCTCCTGCGGCGTCCTTATTTGAACGATTCGCTTCAAATGGCCGATCTGGAATGATATCGCTCTCTGATTAGACCGCCTCTGGAGGAGGGTTGACAAATACCCAGGCCACAAAGAGCTTGCTCATGTCGGCCCCCATCTCGAAAGTCAGCGGGTCACACCACTTGCATATTGATGCATCCAACAGCCATCTTCATGCTTCAATGAATGCAAAAGTCGGTTGTTACGTGTCGATCCCACGTTCACTGGCTACCGCGCGACGAGGTGATTTGCGATAGTCAGTGGCCGTGTTAGTTGGATTGAATTTCCATTTAAGTCGAATACCGGCATTATTAGAAACAATCAGCTCGGACGCCCTGTGAATAACCCTCGTCGATGCAATTATGCGGCTTCGCACAGGAAAACGAACGACTTTTGGTTTAACATCTCACTAGCTAGACGGCCTGTTTTTCAAAAGAGAGACAATCAAAGCTTGCTGTATACTGCGTTGAATTACGTCAAGCTTTACTAGATCCAGAGACGCGGTATGCCTCTTAAAAGCTGCGTGAGTAGCCCTGAATAAGTGAACGAAACAATCGTTACGACGCTAGCAGCACCTTTCTTACATCTAATGTACTTCATGATCAGATTCGTCATCGCACCTTCGGGCCGTCTCTAAGTCGAACAGAACCAGTGATACCCTTTAATTCTAAAACGTCATAGCATTGCGGAGGGGCCTCCTCAGAACTCGACAAACCGCCATTCACCTCATCGAAATCTTCTTCAATTGCTAGCAGTCACCATTTCTTCCATCTAATTTATTGCATGCGATTCCTTGCACCTGGAAGACTTTCTTCGGGCGCTCTACCTGCTCTGGTTGGCACATGGCACAACCCCGCCCATGAACCGTAGTTCGCAGTGCTTTAGACGTTGTCTCAGGGCTCACGCAACCACAATCATAGTCTCAACATTTAACCAATGCAGACCCCAGCATCAAACATCACAGTATCCGTAACCCATGGAGAGCCGAGTATAGTCAATAAACTTATGATGATTATTTGCTCGACTCACACGACTCCTCTAGTATTGGTAGTTGACCTGGAACTTGAAAGACAATAATCGGGGATTGATCTACCTACGAACATACGACATCATGTCAACCAGAGAGTTGATATGGGCCGGACTGGCCCAGGTCCCCGGGCTCATTGCACACCTCAAAGAACGTACATGACCCAAAAATCGTACTTCCGTGGCGGCCTTCCTACACATTCTGAATTATAACTCAATGCCACCTTCCTTCTGCACTTCAGTAACGAGGATCTGTCGAATTCAATCGCACAATGCATTCTCATTCTCCCAGTTGGTTCGTTCTCTCCTCTAAGGGAGCGGCAGATATCCGCTATACAGCCCTCATTCCAGCTGTGGTCTCCACTATATTCGCTTTTTCCATGGTGGTTCTTCGTTGGTACAGCCGGATTCACTGCTCATCAGGTAGCATTAAAGCTGAGGACTACTTTGTAACGGCCGCCTTGGTAAGTACAGACTAGGAAGTTACGACGAGGCTGACTATCGAAGTTGCTGTCCATTGGCATGACAGGGGTGGTTGGGGGAGGTATTCCATCTTACCTTATTACCATTGACAAGCGGACTGACTGCCCTTTAGAATTTAACATTGATGCCGGGAAACTAAGACAGAAGGCCATGCTGACCCCGCTTCCCGTCATGCTAAAGGTGTGTGCACCCTACATACTTCCCACTACTCTACTCACTCGTGCCAGCTTGTCTTCACACAATCAATACTCTACCACCTCTCGATCAACCTCGTGAAGGTTTCTTTCACGCTACAGTACATCCGGCTGTTTTCCGTCATCCCGGAGGTCGTTTACTGCTGCTACGCCCTCCTTGTCCTCATCTTTGGAGTAGCGGCAGGTGGCGTCTTTGGCATCATCTTCCTTTGCAAGCCGGTGCAGAGCTATTGGAACATCACAGTGTCGGGCACCTGTATAGATGCGGAGGATCTATTATGGGCGACGAGTATCATCGGCATCATCCTTGATTGTGCTATCTGGCTACTACCAATCCCTGTGATAGGACGCTTGAGACTTCCGAGGCGACAGAAAATGAGCTTGCTTGTCGTATTTGGACTGGGCGGGTTGTGAGACAAACTCCCCGAACAAGTCTTTGAGATACATGCTGATCAAGATGGTGTAGTGTGTGCATCGTTAGCATACTCCGACTAGTGCTTGTGCACGATGCCGCGCATCGATTTCAATACACAAGTAAGCTCCCGTGTACCTTCCTATCGCACGTAGACTCACCAGCGCCCTATAGAATCAGGCACCTACGCCATCGTCTTTTCCACAATCGAGTTGAACATCTCGATCATATGCGCTTCCCTACTCGTCATGAAACCACTCTTTGTGCGCTTCCTCCCTTCTATCGTCTCCGAACAACATGATTCTGCGAGAGAGGATCGACGGCTGTGGAGAGGAATGACTGGGCTTGATCTTCTTGATGGGCTGGCATTGGATGAGGAGGAGAAAGACGAGAATGATGGGAGGAGGGACACGGCGATTGGCATGGGTAGGATTTATGAGAGGAGTGATACGCCTGATAATGCATGGGATTCGTGGAGGAGACTCGAGAGTCGTTGATGGTGCTGCCTTCCTTGACACCCTGGACTCATTTGTTGATTTAAACTAGGTTGAGATGCCTATAGATGTTAAGGATTTTAAAGACGTTGATTGCCGATAGGTGCATTCTTGAGGTTCGTGAGGTGGCGTGCAAAATTGAACCCCCATTAAGCATGCGTGCTTTTGAAGACCATCTGCGCTCATTTCTCAAACCGAATGAATGGTAATAGAGATAGTTCATGCCTAAGTTTACGAGGCAGGCCTGGTATGCGTGATGTAAGTGTCTTGGTGTTGAAACTGAACTGATGATTTATCTCTCCAAAACTCTCGCCCCTTGCGAACTTCGACGCGTCTGCTTTTCTAGCTCTAGATACACGGGGACAAGATGCCCTCACACAGTGTCCATTTCTGTTTTAAGACGTGAGTTACGCCGGGGTATAACGGCAGCAGACTCATCAGTAGTTATCAAGAGCAGAAAATTAATATTTAGTACTATAAAGTACTTTTATAAAACTAGTAATAGCTTAAACTAGGGCGTAGGCGCTTTAGATATCCTCTTAATAATAACGCGCGTGGCCACGATTCTGTAGAAAGATATAATAAAGATTAGGCTGGTAAATGGGTATAGGCTAGGTTAGGGTTAGGTCTTATATAATCAGGGTTAGGTTAAGGTAGGACTAGAGGTACCTAATATATATAAAAATAATATAGCTTTATTACAGCTAATTATTACAGTATAATATAATTAACCCTAGTTAAAATAGTAACTTTAATTTAACTTTAACCTAAGCTCCTACTACCCTAATCTAACTTATACCCTAAGCTTTTACTATTCTTACTAATTTTTAACTTAAAGTCTGTGCGACTATAACTAAACGTATACCCAGTACTGGGTACCTCAGACCTATTTACCAGCCTAATAAAGATTGCGTATAAAACGGGAAAGGTTAAAGAGAGCAATCGAACTAAACAATAGAATGGGGGCTTATAAGGTGGGACTAATGACGAGATGATGGAATTTGCTTGCAAAGCTTCCCCCTTTCATACAGCATTTTCGTCGTAGATGCTCCTGGCTGCAACAGGCAGACACAGCGCTTAGAGTGATTCTTAGAAGAATTTCCAAAGCGCCTAGAGAATAGTCCAATTCCTCTCGGCGTCAAATAGGCTGTGGTTGTTATCCAATCCTGCTCTATGTAGCTAATGAAGCCTGACGCTGGAGTCCGCCGCAAACGTGCGCCTTGAGCTGCGGCTGCGAAGCAGCGTTGTCTCGACGGAGCAGCCCAGCCACCCAGCGCTTGGCGTAACGGCTGCGCCGCATATTTTTCGGCGTCGCCCTTTGCATTTTCAGAGCGCTTAGAAGCTACAGTAATCGGGGCCGCTCTCAGATGTGAAAAAAGCAGTGTTTGATCCTTCAGATGAGGCGTGAGACACCGGGAGAAATCTGATTTAGCCCCAAACAACGTATTGATTGTCCACGAGACTTCACTGTCGTTTTTCTGCATACTCGACCTATCCTGGAAGAATCAATGTAATCACAAACATCTCCGCACTCAAAGTACTTTCACAGAACCAGCGATAGCTCAACTAGGGCGTAGGCGCTTTGAAAATCCTCTTCCATCTGCAGAAAATTTGTCAACTTGCCGAAATGTCTGCGCTCTACAGGCTTGGTCAAGTTTTAAAGGGCAGTCTTGGAGAGTATGTGATCTCCAAACAAGTCCATGATACGGTTTGGTTTGCACTGTGAGTCTGCCTGTGGAGGTTGAGCTCCGGGTTCAGAAGGCTAACACCAGGACAGGAACCATTCCAGCCAAGAGCAGGTTGTGATCAAAGCAGTCCCAAACCATTACAGGGTTCAACATGAACGCGACCTTTTAAGACAATTTAAAGGGAAAGTTCAACACCTCAGGCCAATAATCGACGAGATTCGTGATCCCGCCGAACCATTAGCCATCGCGTTAAGGCATCTCGATGACGATCTCTATACAGCGTCAAAACAAAAGATGCTTAATCGGAAAGAGCTCAAATACGTCTCTAAACGAATACTAGAGTCACTGAAAGCGCTACATCAAGAGGGTTTTGTGCATACTGGCAAGTTTTACTGAGATCTTTGCGTAGTTCTGTCAACTGACATCGGGATCAGATGTCAAGTTGGACAACATTCTTGTCAACTACGGAACGGATGATGCAGATAACCGCTTTTCAGCTGTGGAACTCAGTGATTTAGGCTCTTGCTCTCAGGTAGACTCCAAGTTTGCCAAAGAATGCTATAGCATAGGCGCTCCGCTTTGGAGAAGCCCTGAGGTTCTGGTCGGCTTGCCATGGAATACTGCGACTGACATCTGGTCCTTTGGACTCTGCGTATGTAATCTTTACTCTTTCAGTAGCTGGAGGTTTTCTCTTTTCCACCAAGAGCTAATTGTTCTCTATCATTTAGCTGATCTCGCTGATATATGGAGGCGAATGGCATATCCTACGGCCCAAGGTGTCGTACGACCATGAAGACTTTGACTGGCTCATTCTAGTCAACATGTTCAAATGGTTCGGACCTATCCCAGCCAAGTATCAAGACCTTATCGGCAACAATGAAGATTCAGATTCGGATAAAATAATTCAGGCTCTTTTCAATACGGTCCCAAAGGACGACCGAGGTTCGTTCAATAGAGCCTCTCTAAACGAGATCCGTATCCAAGACCGAGACCTCATTCTCAAGATCATGAAGATGGATCCTCGAGACAGACCAACTGCGGAAGAGTTGTTACAAGACCCTTGGTTCGAGCTGATTGAGGAGGCTGGCGTTTGGGATACGTTCAACAAGGATGTATGATGCTGCATTGGAATACTTACTTATATGACTGGAGCCTGCATGCAGACTATCAATATCTCTACACAGGTTCCAGTTCTCACGCATGCTCCAAAGGGGGCTATGTTAGAGGAACTAACATGAGGTCACGTGACTAAAGCTCGTTCTTGGCAGAATGAGCTCCCATGTAAATACATACGGCTGGTACGCTCACTGATTGAACTCCTCGTAGTTCAACTACTATTCTCACATAGTCTTTGGAATCAAGCTCTCTTGACTATGATACAAGAATCCCCTCTTACTTTGTTGTGAGTCTCTGTTCAAGTACCACTTACTACGCTAGGAAGGCCACTTCTTGTAGTCGAGAACCTCTCTCAACCCTGCTTTATTCCTAACAATCACATCCTCTCTGCCCGTCTATAAGCAGCCTGAGGTGATAAACAATGGCAAAAGCCCTGGGCTTGATACCTCATAGAAATTCCCGTCTCCATTCTCGTAGGCATTTGAGTGTGCGTCATCTAGAAAGCATATGAGGGTTGACAGGCATCATGGGGAGCTTGGGGCATGACCCCCACCAGATTAGCGCAAGTGGAGCTTAGCTTGCACAACATCGACCTCAACCTGCACCAACGTTCATTGAATGCATGTCGGCCTGCGTCCACGATTGAGAAACCGACCATCGCTCCTCGACCTCATCCATAAGAAGAATATCGACCAGATTTCGACGGCTTTAGAGCGCATACCCATACTCGAAGACGACGTCGAGCCACACCGCGTCCCGCTGCCTACGAGCCCGCTGCTACCACCGCAAAGCGAGGTTGCCAGCCAGCCCCCGGCGCCGCCCATCGCACTATCGAAAGATTGCGACAACATCGAGAAGGAGACTCCAGTAGCAAAGATGCCTCCTGTAAGCTTGCCAGGTGGAGGGATGAATTGGCCGCAGGCAGCTAACCAACGCGGCGACAGAAACAGCAGAAGAAGCAGGAGCCGAAGAAGGAGCAGAACGAGGAAGCTGAAGAGCATGGTGCGTTAAAACTCTACGCACATAACGAAACGCCTTGAGAATTGATGCTGACCCTTTGCAGGCGCCGTCTACTCCATCTCCGGGTACGTCACCGCATCGCAAAGTCGAGGCCACATACTAATCGACCCAGTCCTGTCATCGTAGCCGAGAACATGATCGGATGTGCTATGTACGAGCTTGTAGGTACAAACCTGAAGCTAGTGTGAATGGTAACTAACGACCCTAGGTCCGTGTTGGTCATGATAACTTGGTAGGAGAAGTTATTCGCATTGACGCCGACAAGGCCACCATTCAGGTCTACGAGGAGACTGGTAGGCTCTATGCAAATAGTTTTGAGAGAAAATGCTGATATGAAACAGCTGGTCTCACGGTCGGCGACCCTGTCTTCAGGTCCGGACAGCCTTTGTCTGTCGAACTCGGCCCCGGTCTTATGGAGACCATCTACGACGGTATCCAGCGTCCACTCAAGGGCATTGCGGACCATTCGAACAGCATCTACATCCCCCGCGGAATCAACCTGCCCGCTCTCGACCGTAAGAAGAAGTGGGACTTCACACCAGGCAAGCTGAAGGTGGGCGACCACATCACTGGAGGCGACGTCTTTGGTAGCGTCTTCGAGAACAGTCTTCTCAGCGACCACAAGATATTGCTTCCGCCGCGTGCGAAGGGTACCATCACCCGCATCGCAGACAAGGGCAGCTACACTGTGGACGAGAAGATTTTGGAACTCGACTTCAACGGTACCAAGACGGAGTTTAGCATGATGCACAGATGGCCCGTCCGAGTGCCCCGTCCCTCCAACGAGAAGCTGTCCTCCGACCAACCGCTTATTGTCGGCCAACGTGTCCTCGATTCTCTGTTCCCTAGTGTCCAGGGTGGCACCGTGTGCATTCCTGGTGCTTTCGGATGCGGCAAGACTGTCATTTCCCAGTCACTGTCCAAGTTCTCCAACAGCGATATTATTGTCTACGTTGGATGTGAGTGTAATCTATACAAAACGTATATGAGCGTAGACTGACGTCATACCTTTAGGCGGTGAGCGTGGTAATGAGATGGCTGAAGTCTTGATGGATTTCCCAGAGGTATGAAGACCGTTTTAAAATATGGTGCACTGCTAACTAGCTACAGCTCACGATTGATGTCAACGGCAAGAAGGAGCCCATCATGAAGCGCACGACGCTTATTGCAAACACATCCAACATGCCTGTAGCTGCGCGAGAAGCCTCTATCTACACGGGAATTACGGTAGCTGAATATTTTCGCGATCAAGGCAAGGATGTCGCCATGATGGCCGACTCTTCGTCTCGATGGGCTGAGGCTCTTCGTGAGATTTCTGGCCGTCTTGGAGAGATGCCTGCTGATCAGGGTTTCCCTGCGTACTTGGGTGCTAAGCTTGCGTCTTTCTACGAGCGTGCCGGTCGTGTCCAGGCTTTGGGTAGCCCAGAGCGATATGGCAGTGTATCCATCGTTGGTGCTGTCAGTCCCCCGGGTGGTGATTTCTCGGATCCTGTCACTACCAGTACGCTCAACATCGTGCAAGTCTTTTGGGGTCTCGACAAGAAGCTTGCTCAGCGGAAGCATTTCCCGTCGGTCAACACATCGATCAGTTACAGCAAGTACACGACACCGCTCGACAAGTACTATGCCAAGAACAACCCCGACTTCCCGCGTCTGCGCGACCGCATCAAGGAGTTGCTCACCACCTCGGACGATCTCGACCAGGTCGTGCAGCTCGTCGGTAAATCCGCCCTGGGTGACTCTGACAAGATTACGCTTGACGTAGCAACTCTCTTGAAGGAGGACTTCCTGCAACAAAACGGTTACTCAGATTACGACCAGTTCTGCCCACTGTGGAAGACTGAATGGATGATGAAGAACATGATGGCCTTCCACGACGAGGCACAAAAGGCCGTTTCGCAGGGACACAGCTGGCCCAAGATCAGGGACTCGACCTCAGAGATCCAGAGCCAGCTCCGCTCCATGAAGTTCGAGCTGCCTAGCGAAGGCGAGGAGAAGGTCACCAAGAAGGTAAGCTGTAATGGCTTTTAATTTTACGCGGATCTTGCGCTAACGAACACAGTATGAGGAGCTCCTGCAGAAGATGACGGAGAAGTTTGCGTCGGTTGTGGACGAGTAGGTGCACGTTGTTGAAAGTGGTGTTACATAGCGTGTCTGTCTCGTATATCTTGCATGAACATAGAATGTGAATTATCAAAGTACAAATGTTGATGCCTGGCTCCGATGACGACGCATGTTCGCGTCCTGTGACCGCAGTCGCTCGTCAGATGCTTCATTATGCGCCTCTGGGCCTGGAAAACAAACATGCTGTATCATTTGCAGGCTATTCTTCTGTTCGCAGACACCAGAGTAGAATCTACTAATTCACGCTCGAAGAGTTCACCAGAAAGTGTTGCGTAACCCGAATCGGCCGTTTCCAGTTTCGCCACAGACGTCGTGTTGTGGCGGTGCTCGAGCTTGGGCTACAACGCATCTGCAACAACTACACATTGCTCAACAAGGCCCCAGTCGATGCAACACATTCGCCTTCCACACCTTGAATAATACTCCCTCTCCCTTTAGATTGTCGGCAAACAATAAACGCACCTTATCGACTGCACCCTCTACCTCGCCTGCTATGGCGACGAATCCGAATGCGTACGCACATGTTCCAGATAGCCCCTCGCAGAGCAGAAAGCTAACAGAAGCTACAGCATCAACGTCAACGACCCGGGCCTGATTACCCTCGTGAACAAACTTCAGGATGTCTTCACTACAGTAGGAGTATGTTGTCGCTCCAACCCGTCGCTGCCCAATTGTCGCATGCACACTCTCGAGGAACAACTGCTGATGCCCACGTCAGGTTCAAAACCCTATAGATCTGCCGCAAATCGCCGTCGTAGGATCGCAATCGAGCGGAAAGAGTTCAGTACTAGAGAACATTGTCGGGCGAGACTTGTGAGTGCCTACGGTCGCCGCTCCCCAATACGTAGCTAGTATGCTAACAACGTGGACCCGCAGCTTGCCTCGAGGAACAGGTATCGTCACTCGAAGACCACTCATTCTCCAGCTGATCAACCGCGCCGCGGGGACACAAACAAATGGCGTGAGCGACGAGGTCAAGGCAGATGGACAGAACAACGCGGATGAGTGGGGCGAGTTCCTGCATATCCCAGGCCAGAAGTTCCACGACTTCCAGAAGATAAGGGAGGAGATTGTGCGCGAGACAGAATCCAAGACTGGTCGCAATGCGGGTATCTCGCCAGCGCCCATCAACCTGCGGATATACTCGCCGAATGTCTTGACTTTGACGCTTGTCGATCTACCGGGTCTGACCAAAGTGCCTGTAGGAGACCAGCCGAGGGATATCGAGAGGCAGATTCGAGAGATGGTTCTCAAGCAGATCAGCAAGTCCAACGCCATCATTCTGGCCGTCACTGCCGCGAATACGGATTTGGCCAACTCGGATGGTTTGAAGCTGGCGCGAGAGGTCGACCCAGAAGGACAACGGACAATTGGTGTCTTGACAAAGGTCGATCTGATGGACGACGGAACCGATGTCGTGGACATCCTTGCTGGTCGCATCATTCCGCTGCGATTGGGCTACGTTCCCGTTGTAAACCGAGGGCAGAGGGATATCGAGAATAAGAAGGCCATCTCCTACGCACTCGAGCACGAGAGGCAGTTCTTCGAGAACCACAAGGCGTACAGGAACAAAGCCGCGTACTGTGGTACACCGTATCTGGCTCGCAAGCTGAATTTGGTAAGTGTTTACGGCTAAGAGCTGAGAGTATAGCACTAACAACTATAGATCCTCATGATGCACATCAAGCAAACACTACCCGACATCAAAGCGCGCATCGCATCATCTCTCCAGAAATATCAAGCCGAGCTCCTTTCGCTAGGAAACTCGATGCTTAGCGACAGCTCCAACATTGTTCTCAACATGATCACCGAGTTCACCAACGAGTACAGGGGCGTTCTTGAGGGCAACAACCAGGAATTGTCCGCGATAGAGCTGTCTGGTGGTGCTCGTATTTCCTTCGTTTATCACGAGTTGTACGCGAACGGTGTCAAAGCTGTCGATCCATTCGACCAGGTCAAGGACGTCGATATTCGGACTGTTCTCTACAATTCCTCTGGTTCATCGCCAGCGCTGTTTGTTGGTACCACCGCCTTCGAACTCATCGTCAAGCAACAGATCAAGCGACTAGAAGACCCCAGCATCAAGTGTGTAAGCTTGGTGTATGACGAATTGATCCGCATCCTCGGCCAGCTTCTCAGCAAGAACTCATTCAGACGGTACCCAGCACTCAAGGAGAAGCTACATGCGGTCGTTGTTCATTTCTTCAAGAAGGCCATGGACCCGACGAACAAGCTTGTGAAAGACCTCGTCGCCATGGAGTCGTGCTACATCAACACGGGTCATCCAGACTTCATTAACGGTTCTCGCGCCATGGCGATCGTGCACGAGCGACACAACAGCGCCAAACCTCAACAAGTAGATCCAAAGACTGGAAAGCCGCTTCCACCAAGTGTGCCACCGCGGTCGATATCACCCACGCTGAATCCCGATGACGGCGCTGGATTCTTCGGCTCTTTCTTCGCCAGTAAGAATAAGAAGAAGATGGCTGCTATGGAGCCCCCGCCATCCACACTAAAGGCCTCCGGTACACTTTCGGAGAAAGAAGCACAAGAGGTCGAAGTGATTAGTAAGTACCTTCTATGATATATGGCATATGCGGCAAGCTAACAAAGCGCTAGAACTCTTGATCACATCATACTTCAACATCGTCCGCCGGACCATGATCGACATGGTTCCCAAGGCCATCATGTTGAACCTAGTGTCATGGACAAAGGAGAACATGCAAGGCGAGCTCCTCACCAACATGTACAAGACAGATGAGCTTGATGAGTTGCTTAAAGAGTCGGAGTACACGGTCAGGAGGCGGAAGGACTGCCAGCAGATGGTGGAGAGCTTGTCGAAGGCGCAAGAAATTGTCAACCAGGTGCAGTAATTTGGAAGTGGACGGCGGATTAGTCTCGTCTTGTGTCTGCGATCGGCATTCTATGTAGGGTGTTTGGGCACTAGAATTTTTCTTGGGCTGATCTCTATGCATAGCTGATGTATGAGATATGTTACCAGTGGAGTCGCGCAATGTATTATGCTTGAATCCGTTTCGGTTATATCATATATATGCTGCAATGCAAACAGGTCAAACATAAGCTACCCCAGCCCTAGCTCTCCACACCTCGGCATCGTCAGCTCCTTCCCCGCGGGAGTCCTTAGCCGGTTCACAACCAACAATGTCTACGTCGAGCATGTCTATATTTCTACCTTTCATGCCGTTGTTCTCTAACTTCCGATTCCCTGAACGGCCAAAGTAGTCTAGTTACAATTTTGGGGACAGAATGACAGCCCATCAACCGCCTCCGCTTACAGGCATACGCGTGCTAGAATTCGCGGGACTGGCACCAGGTTCGTCTAGAAATACACTCCACAGACAACTATAAAATAATTGAATCTGACAAAAACTCACAGGACCCTTCGCAGGCCTCCTCCTCGCCGACTATGGCGCAACCGTGCTCCGACTCGACCGCGCTGCAGCAGGCCTTACCAGCGACCAACTCACACGGCGCAAGACGTCGATATGCGTGAACCTCAAGTCTCCCTCAGGCCTTGCGCTCATTAAGAAACTCATCCCAAAGGTGGACGTGCTCATCGACCCGTTTCGCCCAGGCGTGTTGGAAAAGGCCGGTCTGAGTCCAGAGGAAGTACTACTCAAACTCAACCCGCGCCTCATAGTAGCGCGCATGACGGGTTTCCGGCGCGACGGGAAATACAGCCACATGGCTGGGCATGACATCAACTACATTGCGGTATCAGGCGTCCTATCGCTATTTGGACGGCAAGGCGAGAAGCCGTATCCGCCTGGCAATGTAGTGGGAGATTTCGCGGGCGGCGGGGCTATGTGTTTCCTGGGCATATTGCTTGCCCTGCTGGCGCGAGAGAAGAGTGGGGTTGGACAGGTTGTCGAGGCGAACATGGTGGATGGGAGTGCAGTTTTGGCTACGATGCCGCGATTGGGGAAGAAGACGCAGGTTTGGGGTGGAGATAGGGGGACGAATATGCTAGATGGCGGGGCGCCATATTACGATACGTATGAGACCAAGGAGGGGAGATTTGTGGCTGTGTACGTCTGTTCATTTGTCTTTATCGAAGTATCTTCGTACTAATCCCCACACGCAGGGGCGCCATTGAGCCGCAATTCTACGCCGCCCTCCTCAAGGGCCTCCAACTCACGCCCTCTGACCTCCCAGGCGACCGCGACAACAAAGCTGATTGGCCCAAGCTAAAAGCCTTCTTCACCACAGTCTTCAAGACCAAGACGCGCGCGGAGTGGGAGCAAATCTTTGACGGCACAGATGCATGCTGCACCCCTGTCTTCACACAGGCTGATCTTGAGGCCCAGGGTTTCGAGCAGCGGCCTGCTGTTACGCTGAGGGATACGCCAGGACTTGCTATTGCTGAGGGGGGAGAAGGGCGGCCGGCTGCTGTTGGGCAGGGGAAAGGCTACGAGGGCAGTGGGTGGGTGGAGAAAGGGTTGGTGCCAGGGGAGGGAGGGAAAGATACCCTTGCGCTGTGGACGGGGTGGGCCGAGGGGAGGCAGTATGTAGAAGAGGGAGGAGGACTGGTGTGGAAAGATGGTGCCAAGTTATAGACGAAATAGCTCTGAGTTCGGCAAAGAAGTTATGCACTTGTATTGTGTTTCGCCCGAACTATGCCTTCCAGGTCCAAATATACATATTTATACAACAAGCACTGTCAGCCCGCCTAGTTCCTCTGTTTCCTTGCCTTGGGCTTAGCAGTCTTCTTGCCGGCATTCCTCAACTTCTTCCTCTCCACGTTCGCCTCGATCCTAGCATTGCTCTTCCGCCACGCCGTCCATCGGTCGCCCGGTACAAACTCCTTGACCTGCACATTGGCTCGCTCTGCCGCACGCCCAATCTGCCAATTAGCCTCGCGGTATGCGTAGCCCTTACCCCTTGTTAGAGTGAGAGATTTGCGGGTTGATTCACGCGGTGTGTCGGCGCGAGCAGCCGTGTCAACGGGAAGGTCTGCGACTATGACATCGGCGGCGGGAGTGGAGGATGATGTAGGGGCAGTGACGGGGACGGCGAGCATGTTGAGGCGGCGCCGTCGCACAGCATTTGGTGGGTAAGGAAGGGTGTGCTCCTTCTCGAGTGCCACGCCAATGTATTGACGCTTGGGGTGTTTCCGGGGATCACGGTAGTAGCGGACGTATCCAGACTCGGTGGCGAAGACGCAGTGGTCGCGGCCAAACTTGCAGTTCTCACCAGGGAACCACGCCGTGCCGCGCTGGCGGAAGATGATGTTTCCTGGTATCACGAATTCTCCTGTTGCAATCGTTAGTTGCTGGTCTTTTCATAGTTGCTGGTGTATCGGATCATATACCTCCACTCTTCTTTGCTCCTAACCGTTTACCCGGTCCATCTTTTGCTCCGTTGGCTCGTCCTTGGGCCTGATGCGCTGAATGTCTTACGAAGGAGAGGGTGGGGACGGTCGGTGTTGCGGAGCCATTGGCGGAGCGGAGGGCGTCGAGAACGCGGGTCGAGGGGGCGATGAAGGTCGAAGATGTCGCTATAGATGCGCGGACGGGCGCAAATATCCGTGGGAGCAACATTGCTGCTGTGATGAGGGTGGGCAATGTCGTCGTTGCTCTCTCGCGACTTTTCGACATGCTTGTCCGGCGCTCCTCGGTCTAGCCCGTTATGGGCATTAGTGGCTTTCCTCCAGAAGCTCCCTCTCAGTCTGCTTGGAACACCTGCATGCTCTAGCAGAACCGCCTTCTCGCGACTACATGTAATAATACCGGGTACACTCTAAATTATCTTTGAAAGTCGTAAACAAGTGCTACTGACGGCCAAGTGTGCCATCCGAGGACGAATGGCCAAAGCTAGTTCTCTGCCGCTGCCTGCGCTGACCGGTCTAGATGAGCTTGCCATTATTTACCTTCATAATGCCTGCTACTTCCGTGGGAGGAATATGACGCTTCCTATCGCTATCCCCTAAGACGTGGCAAAATTTGTTGCCGCTTATCACTGCTCTGGGCCAGTCATTAGGGTCTGGTTTTGCTCTGCCACTATCGTTCGCATCTATTCTTAGTCTGGGTTCTTACAGAAGAGCTCAAAACTGATGCAATACTACATATACGCATCCAGCAATGCCTCCTGCTCTCAGGCCGCGAAACATCAAGGGTAGGGCCCAATGCTCTGCGCCATCAACTATCGAAACACCAAACCTGAGCGACGTCCCTAAGGAGGAACCCTCGGCTATCGATCGAAAGCCTCCCGTCTACACAATCGACTTGTCACTACCACCATCGCAGCGTTATGCACACGTCGCTCACGATTTCAAGTCTACCGTTGGCGAGCTGGCACAGCTCTTCGATGATGTTCTTGACCCTATCAGACCGTCCATGGTGCCCCGGTGCTTCTTTCATTTCCTTGCCTGGGTCTTCTTGCGACGAATTTTCAGCAAGGAGCAGACCAAGGAGCTCAGGGGCATGAGCAAAGTTCTTGGCGTACCAATGTACCTACTTGTCGCCTACAACGTCTTCTTGGACCTTCTCATGGGCTGTACTAGTGGTGGTGTACTTGTAAAGGACCACGCCTTTTCAAAATCAAGCATGATGCATTTTCGGACGCTGGACTGGGGCATGCCTATATTGCGGAACGCCATCGTCCAGTATGACTTCGTCGAGCAACTAGACGGCAAGGTCATAGCGACAACTATTGGCTACGTCGGTTTTGTTGGAGTGCTTACCGGTGTCAAGCGAGATCTCAGTGTGTCACTAAACTTCAGGCCGTATCACAATCACCCTGGGTGGACTATCGGGAATTTCCTGTACTACTGGCATCTTTTGCTAGTACTCTTGGGCTTCAGACCGAGTATATCTACCATACTGAGAGGCTTTCTAATTCCTGAAACGGTACCCATCAAGCAAGACGGACCTACCCATAACGACAGCGCAATCTCGTTCCAGCTCGCGGCACGGCCACCGTTCTCCTTATCAGACCCTAATTCTAACCTGCAAAACATGCTCACCACAGCTGCATACCTCATCTTCTGCACGGGCGAAGAAACCCTCATCCTCGAGAAAGACCTGCACACTGCGCGGATCTCGCGATCTTTCGCATTCATCACCGTCACCAACCACGACACGTCTTACGAAGCCAGCTCACACGCACAGTCCCAACACGCAGCCCACACTCAAACCAAACAACCATTCCTTGGTATCGGCATGCAGGATCTCATCGACGAAAGTATCCACAGGAAGGCGTGTTTGGTGCAGAAGTGGGAGGCACATCAGCAACGACAAAAGCGGATTTTTGTGCGGGATGATGTGCACCCCGATGCGAGACGGATGGGTGAGGCCACAGCGGTGGGAATTCGGGTACAGAAGTTGAAGAAATGGATGTTGGAGTATCCGGTTTCTAATGAGGAGACGCATTTTGTGTGCATCATGGATCCGGACGAGGGCGTGGTCAAGTGGGTAAGATGCTTCGAGGAAGGGGATATCGAAGGAGAGAATGAAAGCGATCTGTAGGTGACAGGTTGCATGTAGATATTCAGTTGTTGAATGGGAACTTGAGCCCCATGAGGTGCTTAACTGGCCGTATAGGTTAATGTGGAATTGCTTGACATTGTCACGTTCCCTGTCTGTTTGTTACTATGCATATATCTTAGGTTCAAATACGAAGAGAGGGACCTTAGAATAATGATAGAATATAAGAGCCGCTATTACAACACTTTTTTCTTCGCGGGCCACCATCAAGACGAGAAAAGCTACGAATGACGCACTAGTCTTCCAGCCTGATATCAAGCGAGATCCACCTCGCGCCCCCTCCGTCTCAGAATAACCTGAATGCAATCCACCTTCGCCATGCCATCCTGACCTTGCACCAGCTGTTCCATATCTTTAGCAGCCCACACGTCCTCGATATCCCTCATGACGCGCTTCAAACTAGGAAACTGCTTCGTAGTGTACATGTCTCCGAAGCGAGCACGAACGAACTGACGTTGTGCATTGTCGACCGCCTCGCACCCAGCTGTGAACAACGGCCAGATATGGGCCGTGGTAAGCGGCGACCGGACGTCTACTTGCTCGATGTAGCTGAGACAGCGCTGCACGTGATCCACGCTGATGGGGTTGGGGGCGCCGATATCGAGCCAGGTGCGGTAGAGATAGATGAATGCGGCATGTCGGTAGGCCTCGGCTGTGTTTCGAACATCGGTCTCGTTGCTTAGTCCGTTGTGATTCGACGTCTTGAAATCCATATTTAATAATATTTGTTGGAGGACTCTCCCTGTTGCATCTTCTTCCTCGGATAGTGCCGTTTCTGTCGATTCCATTCTGCGTCGCTTGATGGTTTGTTGTAGCTCGCTGATACGCGCAACAACTAAGAGTACGTTGGCGATGCTCTCCATGTCTTTCTCGCCCTCGAGTGCTGTGAAGTCGGTTGCATGGTCCACTAATGGTCGCGCCCCTCTTGAGACAGATGACAGTATGTCGTGGTACGCGAACAGACTCATCAGAAAACGGGCACTGGATGAAGCGGCCCAGTCCTCCTCTTTATGACAGGCTACCATCGCTTTGGCCCCCATCAAATGGTTTGCGACGTTGGCTTCGTCATCAACGCCAAAGAGTCGTGAAGATACTTGCATCATCATGACAGTCGCAAATGCGGGCTCATGGTTTCTATCGCCAGGCTCTTGAATGATCTGCTGAAGCTCGCGGATAGCATCTCGCTGATGGCGGTAGGCTTGTAAGCGTAAAGATGAGTTGTTCGATAGTGATCCAAGATGGTTCGCTGCCATGGACAAGATCGTTGATCTCAGCGCCGCAGAGTCGTAGGCCATAGATGTCAAATGGAGCTGGAATGGCGTGGAGTTTGCGTTTCTTGGAGCAACCGATATTAGCGTAGAGAGATGGTCTATCCAGTGATGGAAGAGATATCTATCCCCTGGTGACAAGTCCGACGATGGGCCAGGGGAGACAGCTGGCAGCAGAGGCATGCTTTTGGTGGATTCGGGCGAAGAGAACGCGTTCTCGGGACTAGATAGTGAAAACGGCGTCGAGAAGCGGCTGACCATGGAGCCTGGGGTTGACATTGAGACCGAGAGCTGGTCGACAGACCTTTTCCTGGTAGATTTTCGAGATAGTTTTGCCGGTGTGCTGGTGCCATCTTGCCATTTGAGCTTGACGCCGTACCCTTTACAAATGATCTTCAGTCTGGTGCAACGGCTGCAAAAGGGTTTCTGTTCGTCGCATTTATATCCCGCTTCCCTGCAGGTCCAGCATCCCGTTCGCGTCCTCTTGTGTGTCGCCATCTATGCGAATCAAGCATCTTAGGATCGCTGAAAACACCACATGCACTTTGTCATTGGTGAAACTCTGGATAAGCGTAGTTCTTGGGGCCTTAATAACGAGGGTGAGTACGTTATGTTGGTCGTTCACTACATCTAACGTAGAGAAGTCCAGAGATCAGATGACAAAAGTGGCAAAGTGGATATGCGCTAGCTGCTGCCTCGGGAACAGCCGAAACTCAACACCGTGGTGTTCGAAAGTAGTGATGATAAGGTAGCTAGCTCTACATGACGCAGAAGTCTGATCTGTGGGCCTTTACGTGCGCGTGCTGCATGGTGGTTTTGAAGGATGGATGAAAATCGCATACCACGAGTCAGGCCTGAACCCAATAGCCAGGGCTAAGCCCACGTGCAGCACATGCGTTTCGAATCAGGGCGCTGCTATTTCCTCTGCTCCTTGATGTTGAAGCTGCCAGACCATAAGTTTTAGGTGATGGTGCAGTCCGCTTGTGTTCTCCCAGGAAGAAGACGCATAATCAAGCTTCGACACAGATGCAATGCCTGAAAATCTTATAGCCTCAGGTCTTCGAATTCGCACAATCCTACTGCGGTCGTAAAGACGGCATGACGACAGCAAAAGACCTGGAGAGATCACAAATAGGAAGCTAAAAAAAAGACAGTATGTTTCGCTCATATGACACCGCCTGCGCAACCGAAAAAATGCGCAGCCAGCTCTAATGGAGCACTTGGTTCCTTCTCCGCAACGCTGAATCGCAACCGCCCAATAGGTATACTCGGTGCACATCAATACAAGACGTAGAGATGCACGTGAGATGGGCGGTTGAACTGTCTGATGGTGCGTGAAGAAACAGAAGAGGTTGCGCTTCGCAAAAATCTTATCAAGTAGAGGGCTTGGCGCGCCATTCCGAAAGTGGGTTAGTCATGGAGCAGGGACCGCAGGGCAAATTGACAACATCACCGCGGGAAGCCATCAGAAGATCCATGGGACGGTTTCGCCATCTCGCGCTGAATATCGCACGAATTTGAAATATCTGTTTGTCAGCTCTCGTCTACATAATCTGTGGCGTAATGCTGGGTTTCTTGATTATCTGATAACTTGACGCTAATCGACATTACTAATATACACTCACCTCGCGGAGCACATCAATCGTCCATCCCGGGACGCTCCATCACCGGTCTACGTGAGATTCTAACATATTCTGCCATGGCTTCGCCTTTTTTATGCGACTCCACGCTGCAGGTCCATACTGTCGGTATCGCAGTAGGCCTATTGCATTTAGCCCCCAACGCCGCTCACTAGTATAGCGCCTGGTGCAAGAGCTGAAGATGCCATGGTTTACTAGCATATAAATTAGACGTATAGCTTTGTCTCAAGAGTAACCATAAAAACCCAAATTTACAACATGGATCGCTCAACAAAACGAAACTTCAATTTTGTAAACCTCAAGCACCCCGATGACCTCAAAGATGAAGAGACGCAACTTCGCATACGCCGTCTAGCCATGACAGAGGTTGGCAGAGCGCGAAGAAAACCAAAGACAAAGCGCGAGCGCAACGAGATTGTCCTAGAATTTCACACTCCAGCTGAAGAACGCCTCAAACTTGACCGCTTGGGTGGCGGCCAGCTAGATCCCTTTGGCCCTTATCCAATCGAGCTTGATGCTTCTGCTCGGGAATTGCTGGCAAGCAGTGAGTGCATTTCCCAAAAACAATCAGCACTCGTTCCTGACAAAGTGTAGTTTTTAGTCCAGGTTCCAACCACCCGAGCCAGCTGCGGGCGTCTTGGTGGCCTGTTGGGCTCAGTTGCGCAGCCACCTTTCACAATGTTCTCTCCAACTCTCAAAACTTTCAGCTGCAGAAGCTAAATGGGTTTTTTCCTTCGCAGGATGATGGATTGGCTTTGACACATCACCACAAGGCACTCCGGCATGCTAGCGAAATGATGAAAGACCCAGCCAAACACAAGAGCGACGAAGTTATCGGGACTGTTGCCTCGTTCATGTGCCATCACGTAGGTACCCGTCCCCGTCAAGGTGGTGATAATTGACCATTTGTAGGCTTTATTAGGTAATTTCACCAGTGACGATTGGTACAAACACCGCAATGCCCTTGTAAGGATTGTCGGGCTCAGGGGAGGCTATCATGCCATTGACAAAGACTATCTTCGGATCACAGTGACATGGTATGTCCTCGCCTCGACACATGAATACCAGCCTAGCTGAGATACATTGCTGACCCGTGACCAGGTCCGATCTCATAGGCTGTTTCTCACAGGACGTACCGCCAATAATCCCCCTACCCCATCAATGGGAAGCTGACTCAAAGTCTCCACCGAACTCGCCCCGACCACAACGCCCAATATCATTAGCGTGGAAGCAGCAACTACCAATGCAACTAGACTGGATCTCGATATTCGATGATATCGTGCAGCTCATATCGCTAGATCGCGAGTTCAGCGAGAAGCAGCTAGTCTTAGCAATCACGAGCGGTAGTTGGCTGGAGCCGACCATATACCGCCTCCTTTCAATACGACCGCTACAAAAGGTAAACAATCGTGAACACGTGATTGAAGAAGTGTGCCGGCTCGGCACATTGCTCTTCCTAGCACCATTTTGGAGGATACTAGGACAGTCACCAGTCTGGACAGGAGCCATATCTCGCAACCTGCTGCTTGTCTTGATGAAGAACCTGGTGGAGTGGAACGAGCTCAAGCCGTTGCTCATCTGGGTAGTCTACTTTGCCGCGATTGAGACGAAAGACCTGGGAGAACGAAGTCAGTTCGTCTTCATGTTGGGCGTGCTCACGAGCGGCATGCAGCTGCAGGGGTGGGATGGCACAATGCAGGTTGTCAAGAGCGTTTTGTGGGTCGAGAAGGTGTATGCAGGCACCGACGAGCTGATACGAGACGAGGTCATGCATATCGTCCATCAGAATCCCATAGGTGCTGCTTTGGGAGACATCGCACCGTCGTTTTTGGATGATATTTCAGGCAACGACTAGACCTCTTTTGGAAAGATAGCATCCTTGCCAATACATGTAGCAGCCTTGCAACCCAATGGCCACCTTTATCAACTACATACTTTTAGCCTTCAGCCCTTTAGCCTCGTCGTACGCTCCGAGTCTAGACAGGGTATGCCTATGCCTAAGCCTTACTTCCATCTGCATCTGAAGACACGTAGTCGGCGCACTACTCGCTTTCGAGTTACCACCGCGATATCATCGGCGGCCAACTTGGAGACTGAATGAGACTAAAGACATTTCGACAATGGTTTGATTGACACTCTCCATGACTACTTTCTTGAGTCATTACAAAGTGACTCACTTAGCTCAAAAGTTATTTTACTCACGTGGCTCACGTTGTCCATATAAACTCTATAAAAAAGAAATGGAACAATTATTGGTCAAGGATCATGTTCTCGCTCATTGGGGCGTTTCTCTACATCCGACGAGGGATCGGAATACATTATACAGATTTCTCCCTAGTACAGTATATATTTAAGATGACTTCTATAGATAGGCCACGGTATGGTCATCCCGAATGACAGCTATCAAACATCAGTAATCTTATCTGTGAATGTAAGAACAGTGTCAAGAGCTTACCTTTCACACCTAGATTGACTTCGCCACCAGCTACCGATGATCCAGTGACGACGAGTTCGCCTGCTGATATCTCATCTGTTGTCTTGTGGTCGGTTGTGTCCTTCAACTTGATCTCGACGCAGCTTAGTGGCACACCGAAGTGACTATGTTTACTCGAGTCTGCCGGTCCTCGCCTGTAATCGTAGATGTTCGTCTGTGCAACTGCTCCTGCTACCTTGGCAGCGGTCAACGCATAGACGACACGCGCTTTCGTGTAGATGCGGAGGTCGGAGAGATCTTCCGCGCTCAGCGGAGGTGTATTTAGGCCAGCCCGTTCGGAGATAAAAAGGAGGCGCAGCTTTCCAGGTGTGTTGCCAATGCTCGCTCTTGTTGGTGCATTGAGCTTAGTGAGGAATGTATCAGTAGGCAAGCGGCCAGCAGCCAGCATGCGGGTCTCGAGATAGTGGGCTAGCTTCTTAAGTCCGCCTGTGACAGACGTAGTGGTGGTGCTATGTAGTTTGGCAGCAGTCTCAGCCGAGATGAGCGCAACCGTAGGCGCAATGGAGCGACTGGCCAATGTCAAATCTACGCCTGGGCCAGCAACAGAGTTGATAATGATGGTCGCATGAGCGAAAAGCGCTGATAGTGTTACGCATAGGCTGTAAGAGTGAGTGAAGGCGTCAGCGGGAAGGAAAGTGTCCGAAGCATTAAGTCGTTGTGCCACTGGTAAGGAGGTGTTGAGCGCACCCACGGCGGCAGCCAAGTTCTGCGTTGGTTAGTAAAGAACAACAACTGTCTGATTGGAAAGCTCACCAGTTGTGAAAACTCGACAATCTCCGCAGACTTGGCCCCGCTTTCTTGCCAGAGAAATACGACGTTTGGAGCTTTGTTGGAGTCCGAGGGCAAGGTGGCGGTGCCGTTCGTTTGGTCTTGCACAATTTGATGCCAAACTGAAACATCGATCTTGCCTCCGATTCCCTCTGGCACTTCGCTCCAGTCCATGTGCCTACTTGTCTTCTCCACAGTCCAGATGATCTGTCGAAGAGCAGGAGCACCGCGGCTTACATCAGCTAAGGGGAACGAGCCCGCTTCGGCGACTAATGCGTCCGCTCCAGTCTGCACAAGAAGCTCGGCAAGCGTAGTATGCGGCTGGTTGTACGGGATTAAGATGGGGGTAAATCCGTAAAATGCGCCAGCGAAGAGGACGACTAGGAATTCGATGCTGTTGGGGAGGTAGACGGCCACTCGCTTTGCGCCATGGTCTTTCAGGTGTGTTCCAATGATGGCAATCTCTTTTGTGAGTCCTTCGATCTTGTGCTCTGAGACGCCTTCCTTGCCGAAGACGGTCATGATGTTCGCTGTGCCACTCGAGCTGGCACCCTTTTCGAGGGGAATTTCGCCTGTAACGCGACGCCAGATATCTCGGAGGTCACCATCTTTTCCGGCCGTGTACATGGGCGCACCTGGGGGCTTCACGGCAAGACCGGTTCGGAGAGGGTCTAGCAATGTCAGCTACCTTGTAGATCAAATGGACATGGGCCAACGTACAGCCATGAGGAGTCTCGGGGGACCTAAAGACGGCAGATTCTCCCTGCTGCCTCACATACGAAGCCTGGGCCTGGCGTGCAAGCAGCAGCGGGTGCGTGTCAGCATCTGCCGTGTCGTAGATGACCCAGCCCACGAAGCCCAGGAGGCCAATGGCGAGGAGCGACGAGTAGACGTTCCAGCCAGCTAGAAGGTCGGAGATGGAGCTGTCGAGCTGCTCAAGGAAGTTTGCCATGGTTGCAAAAGCATGAAGCGCAGATTGCGTCTGGAAGCAAGAAACAACCGCAAGAGTGGGCTCGGAACATTCAAGCTGACGTCCGCTGCAGGGTGACGCGCGGGGGTGTGAATGCTCGTGGGGTGGAGCGAGCGTCGGTCCAGCGTAGAGGGCCCGACTTGCCGACCAGATTATATCCAAAACGCCAGACGCTATTGCGTTGCTGCGCGACAAAGCCATACTTGACGCCATTCACGCTCACACCCACACCACAATGCGACTCTAGCTGCCGTGCCTCGTCCGACCACTACTAACCACTAACCTCACAGCAATAGCAGTTCTCACCGCACAGATATTGGCCTCTCAATTCCACCGTTTGGAAGCGATAAACAATCAGACCTGCCATTCACGCCCACAGCCACATAGCTTCACCCGACATGTCAGTCGCTAGGGTCGCGCAGCCTACGACTCCCCAGTCGCCAGCGACGCCAGCAACACCAGCCGCCCAGACCCAGCTGTCGTACACACCCAACGGCTCCTGGCGACACCCCAAGTTTGACGAGATCGCGCGCCGCCAGTACGCCACGACCTTTGATGAGCGCAATGTCAGGGCTATTGTTGCGAATGCGGGCCTTCTCTTCGTTTCCATCTACGCGAACAGCATCACCTCCAAGGTGAAGCTGCTCGACTATGCTGTGTATGCAAATCCCTATCCAGTAACATTGAGTCAGCAAGCTAACATCTCCTAGCACCCCCATTAATGCGCTGGTAACCACCGTCCCCTACAGCGAATGGGTAGTCGTATTAGTCCGGCTCGCCTTCGTCGCAAACATCGTCATCGCCTTCGCGCCTCTCGTCCGCCGCTACTACCCCGACGACATCGCCGACATCCCCCTCACTCCCTCGCAGCGCGCGTCCATGGGCCTGAAAGCTGGCATCTTGTCACCACCAACTCCCGGCTCCGCGTATGCATCACCCAACTACGTGACACCACCGCGCTATCAGCGATCTACACCTCGCAGCAGCAGCTTTAGCAACTACGGCGAGCGCTCCTCGCAATCACCGCTGTCTGGAAGCCCGCGGGCAAGCTTTGGGCAGTCCTCTTCAAACTCGCCCTTCTCTCCAAATAACACGAGTAGTCCGCTATTCCAGAAGGCGCTTGGTGGATCGACGACGAAGCGGTTGAGCTATGGGGGGAGCCCGATGAGTAGCAGCTTGTTTGGCGACAGCTCGAGTAGTGCTACACCCGGTACACCTACGCCGTCTACAGGCAAAGCGAGCGTGGGGCTGAACAACAAGTGGCTGTATGAGAAGCGGAGAGACAGTCCCAAGAGCAGTCTGTTCAAGTGAGGAGGTTCATTAGCCATGTGTGTAATTTACATGTCGCTTTATACCCGGAGATATTGCGCTGGCGTCCTGAACTTGGAATTTTAATACTTCAGCGTAGCATGCATAGCTGTTTTGGCAAAATATCAGCTCGTTTACCCATCATCCATCGTATCACACAAAGAGCGGATCTTGTATGACATTGTACCATGCTAGGAGCCTTCAACCCACGCTGCAAAAGCGGGAAATGTGCATTACAAGTGATAATACGTGACTATTCGCAATATATAGTCCCTCTCAGCACCCCATTCTATTATGAGAACCGATCCCCCTTCCTCGTCCGATACACATCACTAGCCTCGTATTTACTCTTCTCCCTTGCCTTCTGCGCCTCATCCTCCGGCGCATGTCTCGTCGCGGCGGGGTCCTGGCTAGCCTGTATCGACGGATTCCCATCTTCATCCAGCTCCGCACCACCACCGCCACCCGATTCCCCCCTCTCGCTCCTCAGCCGGCCCAGCTCGCTCGTGACGGACCGCGGCGCAGTAGAGTTAGACGCATTGGATGTGGACGTTGGATTGAGCGGCGTAGTGGTTGGCGGAGCGTAAAGCGTGGATTGCTCGAGTTCGAACAGGCGGATGCGCTTCTGGCGGTCGACTTCGGCTTTTGCCGCGCGGTCTGCGTTGATGCTGCGCTTTGCGAAGAAGTAGGCGCCGCCGCCGGCGACGATGAGTGTGCCCCAACCGTAGCTATTTACTGTGCGTTAGCTTGTGTTTTGCTTTCTCCGCGCTCCCCGGCAAGAAAGGTGCATTATAGTATTGCGGAGGCGAGGCGGCGTGGGCGGTAGGGAGATAGATGGGGCGGGATGCCGGGAGAGTGATGGATATGTATGCAAGTGATTAAATGCAGAAGATTCGCGTGGAAACATGGTGGAGGTGTTGTGCGCTCTCGCGGTGTTGTGAGCTTCAGATGTGACGTACTATACTGATTTGACCTGAGCTTTGTTAGCTATGCTTTTGTCTCTCTGGGGTCTTTGAACATACTGTGTTCATTTTGGGAGATGTTTCAAAGGCTCGTAGGCTGGTGATTGATGTGTTGGGAAGCTTCCTTTGTGCTTTGCGATTGCTCCAAAGTTTTCTGGTCGGTGTTCAAAGTGGTCTGATTGTTGAAGGTTGGCGGGAGAACATTCGGCGATGGAGCTGGTTTTCGGCGATTTGTCGCTCCACGATCAACCCTCTTCATTGTTCTATCCGCATCGCACCTGCAAGCTCATTGTCTGACAGCATCATCTCTTTTGCATTACTACGTATTTCAAATGTCTGATCTCGTTTAGCATCATCAGCGAAGGGACGCATGTTCACGACCCACATCTCACTAACAGTCTATTCATTCTCGCAATACTAGGTTTGTTCGCTCCGAGGAATACAAACGAATCGCCTCTCTACGCTCAGGGTTGTATCTATAACCCGCAAGGATTATTTATAATTCACGCGGATTGAACCCCCTATATCCGATATAGTTGCGAGTATCTATAGTACTGAGATCTATAGTACCGAGTCATGACTCTATCCAACATCACATGCAAGAGTCTTCCATCTTCTCCATCATGTAGCATGAACAGGCACCCTTTTTCTGGGATACGCATACTTCGTCCTGTATGAGGCTCGACCTCAGGAATCTCACGCCACTGACGCCTCCTTACAACTAGACCGCCGCCCCACAAGGATGTAACGGGAGGGACCCACCTTTACGGCGCCTACCCTCAAACATCACTTTTCCAATAACTTTTCCAAGGCTTCTCTCAGTCCTAGAGACATACCACTCGTCTTCTGTTTTACCAAACCACGAGCCAAGGCGTCGGCATATGATCTAGGCGTTTGATAACACCTGTGCAGAGCCACCTTGTTTCGCAATGGCCTGTTACGCTATGATTCGAAACGTGACTCCTCGGCAGCGAAACCTCACCTGCCTCATCCTTCGGACCAAGGCCGCCAATATAGCGCGTAGTGCGGAATGAAGGTGTGCTCTATACCGGAAGCGTTATTTGATACATACCTACAAGTTTGGAGTCGATGGAGGCGCTTCGCTACTCCACTTACATGGCACCTGCCGACTAGGAAGGCTCGCTATGGACTGTGGCCATGTACTACTCACAGGGTAGACATTGCACTAGTTGCGCAGTCTTACTCTATCAAGCTTTCATAAGAGGTCGGTTAGAGGGCTTACAGGGAGCATCCGCACGTTTGCATTTCTTCACCAGTGCTGAGGAACGTCTCAAGGTAGTGGGCACCACCATGGGTCTCCTCTTCTAGCGCTCCTGAGCCCTGGCCAGTCTTCATAGTATATAGATCCACGGCGAGGCGGGATTTGCAACTCACCTCTATCAGCTAGATCATCAAGTTCAACGCACTCTCTAGTGTTCGCCGGTGGTCCTTCTTTTCTTCACATTCATTTCTATTCAAAGCGCTGAGCGCATTTTTTCAATTCAAGCCTCCATCGCAATGTATTATCAGACCTCTTTCCTCGCGCTAGCCGCAGTCATTACTACCGTCCATTCGCACGCAGCTATTCTCGCAGCTGTTGGAGACTCAGGTACAAGTCAGGGCTTCTTGGGTAAGTGGTCTGGTCACTTGATCATCATTATACCTACTTATACGGAATCACAGTGGATCCTGCCATTGCACGTAATTGCACGACTATTTCGCCTTGTCAGCAAGATGCTACCATCATTCGAAACTCTGAGATCACTCAGAATATCGTCAATGCTTGTGGAAGGACTGAGATCGCTGGCAACATCGATATCGGTGAGCAAACCGAGAACGAGCTGGCAGCCGGTCGCATGGCCCAGGTGAAGGCTGGTTCGATGGTTGCAGTGACGATCCATCAGGTAAGACTACCCTCGTAATCTAATCGACTTGGCTAACAAAAAGCCCAGGTCAACGCTGATGGAGCCGGGCCTTTCGAGTGCGATATGGACGAGACTAGCAATGCTGTGACCACTTTCAGGCCATTGAAAGTGTCCAACAATGTACCCGGTACCAACGGTCTCTCGCAAGCCAAAGAGAAGGAGTTCACCATCAATGTTCAGATGCCAGACGACTTCAACTGCATCGGGGCCTCGACCGGTAACATCTGCACTGTGCGATGCCGTAACAATGCCGTTGCCGGGCCGTTCGGAGGCTGCTTCGCGGTCCAACAGACTGACGGAACAGGCCGTACAAACACTAGCGCTGCTGGTAAGTTACTTTAGTGCTTTATTGCGACTTCCTTCCCAACATCTTTTGTATCGTATGTACGCATACTCACCGTGATGGTAGCCGTCGATACTTCCCAGACACTTGAGGGTATCTCTGCGCAAATTCTGCAGAACAAGAAAGATCTCCCTGCCGCCATTGCTGCAAACCAGGCTGCTGGCGCGGCGGGCGGCAATGAAGGAGCAAGCGCCATCTCCGGTGCGTCTTATTTCATGTTTATCCGTCTTCGCTTCAACACATTCGTCGGAAACCATACTGACCTCCAATACAGCACTACTTCCAACCCAGACTGCTGCTCCTGACAACGGAAAGGGCAAGGGCAAGGGGAATCAGAACGGCAAGGGCAAGGGCAAGGATAACCAGAACGGCAAGGGCAAGGGCAAGGGCAATGATAATCAGGCTGGTAAAGGCAAGGGCAAGGGCAATGGTCAAGGCAAAGGCAAAGGCAAGGCCGGCAAGGGCAAGGGAGCCGGCAACGCGGACCAGAACGCCAATGGTAATGGAAAAGGAAAAGGAAAGGGCAACGGCTTTGGAGGCTTTGGAGGCTTTGGGGGCGGCAACGTTCAGGGGCGAAGCGAGAGGCAGAGGCGACCCAAGTTTCTCTCTTAAGAGACTCCTCTAAAAGGTCACATGTAGTATACACATGCACCCTTATCCTCAAAGGGTCATGTCATCGACTGAGGAAGGAATCTTGGAGTCGAGCGCTCTGGTAGGCCCGAATCCGAGAACCGGCTAGTCCGGTCTACATTCAAATGTATATCATCTTTAATCAAGCATGTCTTTTGCAACATGAACTTCAAAGATACAAACGCGCCGTCTGAAACCTCGGGGAATTCAAAGACTGATTATTCACCAAGAGTCTTATAGCCGGGGTTGTGGCAGTCGAAAGTCGAGAACATGTGATTCCTTCTAGAACCGCAGCCTGCAGTAGTCTCGCGTTCACCAGACAGACGTAAATATCCTTTTCCCAGCCCACAATAAAGATCCATCTGCAGGAGATGGATGCACGACCTAGTCCCAAGTCCGTGGCACTCGACCTCGCCGTCCCCGAGAGACTATGTATGTAATCAGTGGATACCATGGCGGTAGGGTATCAACTCGCGTGGGGAATATATAGCCCCATCTGGGGAAGTGCAACCGAGATCTGCACACTACCGAGGCTGATCAGCCGATGAACCGTTTCAGCCGATGAACCACTTTTTACTAGTAAAAAAGCTAAAAATCTAAATTTTATTTATTTAATAACTAGTTATATAGTAAAGCTATATAAAAACTTTATATATATAAAATATATAGAAAAGTATTCTTTATAATTTTAGAATTTAAAAATAGTTTAATATTTTATATTAATAAAGTTATATTAAAAGTAAAAATAGAAAAAAGCTACTTTTAATACTTAATAACTTTACTAATATTATATATTAAACTATTTTAAAATTCTAAATTTATAAAAATAGGTTTTTTCTATATTTTATATATATAAAGTTTTTTTATATATATATTATTTATTTAGTTATTAAATACTAAAAAAGTAGTTATTTTTTA